ACAAATACAGCAAGCCTCGACAACAGCCTCCCCCCAGCAGCCGCCTCATTCCATACTACCACAATTTTGTGTATGGCCCAGCACAGGGTGATGTTCCCCATCACCCATTTGAAAGCTGGAATGACATGCGTGCAACCCGCCGTTTCCTGGAATTCGACAAGGACACCCTCACCATCCCACCAGTCACCATCGCCGACCCAGCCTTCACCCTACCACACAATACCACAGCACAGCCCCCCTGGAATGCAATCCGGTCACTCAATGCCCCTCCCCAGGCACGCAGCACAGTCCACCGGCTGGCACTGGGACGCATGCCTGCCCGCAGGGATAACAACCCATATTGCCACTGCGGCATACTGGAGACAATCCCACACATGCTCAATGAGTGCCACGACTTTGCCATACTCCGCGACCAGTTCTTTCACCGGTGGACCACAGTGGCCCGCAACATCTACAGCTCTGTACGCCAAGAGATGCGCAACTCTGCTGAGAGGAAGTACACTGCTGCAAGGGCTGCTGCCATTGCTGCTGATAGCGCCTCCACTGACCCCAACATACCCAGCCTAGCTGCCACCCTCCAGCGCCCACCTCCTGCACACATGCCAATCCCACTACCCACCTCCCCCCCACAGATTGCCAACTGGGTTGTGCTCCCACTTGTCAAGTGGGCGACCTTTGCCAAGTCCGACTCCCAGACAGCCAAGGACTTTCACAAGTGCTTTGAACTAGCTACCTCCCTACTCATACACCTACACTGGGTTGCCCGCAATGACCATGCATACAGTGGTACCCAATGGTCTATCTCACGCTTCACCACTGTTTTTAACCGTGATCTGGATACCTTTGCCTATGTAACCCTACCAGCGAGCAGCACACTGCGCCGCTTCATCCACCTTGCCCACCTCGATGACGTCACCGCCCAGTCTAATACTGCACCTGCAGATCACCGACCCCCCAGCCCCTCGGACAATAGCCCACGGTCCCGCAGACCACCCTAACCCATGGTAGACACACCCTACTGTGCTCTGATCCCCCGGTTACCGATTCAAGGCTTTGTTTCTTTTGTACTATTACTTTCCGGTCAAACCTCCTTTCAGTGGGTCTGCCCAACATGTTTTAGATAGTGTCCCTCCACCCCAAGGTGTTTTGCAGCTACTTTTACATGAATAAAACACCAAGTTCAAGAGCTAGACCCCCTTTCAGGTCCGATTTAGCCTATTTCTGAGCTATTCGGTTACTTGTTGAAATATATTATAATTTATAGAATATATGCATTGCTGAGTTTTAATTAAACCTGGGATGAATGGTTGAAAATGCTGTTTTGTAGGGCACGCGAGGAGCCAGGCGCTCAAAAAACTCAACAGGTAATAAACTGTTGTTGCATTTTGTATGGATATATATAACTGTCTAGAGTTTTATTTAAAGGGAAGCAAAACATGACTAATGAAAACTGAAAATTGCAATTTCGTTAAAATCAACATTTACTTGTTTCGCAAAACAAAACAAAATTATTTTTACATGAAAATTATTTTTTCCTTGGATTTAATCTCGTTCATCTTGGAGTAAATCATAATGGATTTTAAGTGAGGATACTTTTTACTATTATCATTGACAAACTCTATCAGCTCCTTAATTACTGATTCATACATACCAAATTTACGCAGCGACTCCACTTGTACCATCAATTGCTTGATACATAGCATGATATTTTCTACAAGAATAGTTCTACCTCTTCCTATAAACATATTTTTAATCCTGTCTTCAAGGGTTTAACCACGTCGTTACTTTCATATACATTTTGTGTATCGCATGTGAGCTTGAACTATTTGAATCTGAGAATAATTGATTATAACAAAATTATACATCTGTTGCCTCTTCTTCCAGATCTTGAAGACCTTAGCATTTTCAGGTTTGGCCAACTAATCAAATTTAAATTTAAAATCTGCGCTTTGCTTGGTAAGTGAAGGGAAGTACAGTCAGTAATATTAATTTGGCCAAATAAATAGTTTGCAGCACAGTAAAACTCATTCCATTGACTCATCTGCCATATAATACCACATTATCAGGTTTCCAACCGACTTGATATTAGAGTTATCAAATGATTTCTCGGCAAAAAATGTGCCATCAATTTAAAATCTTTCAATATGCTTAGGATAGTTATCGGCAAATGGTATGTCAGCGTCTGGTGGCCTATCGGTAATGTTTAATTTTTGAGACTGGGGAAATGTACCTTGTATTTGTCTCCGCTGTTTAACTTGTATCTCCAACTGTCTGGTAAAACATCTGTTTTGCTGTAACCATTTCTTAAATAATACCGAATCTCCAACTCTTTTAAATTATTAAAGTAGACATCACCAGGATTCATTTTGTTTTGAAAGTACTTCCATGAAAAATGATGTGGCGTATCGGACAATATTAGTTGCTTAAGTTTTTGAGCATAGATTCTGGGCAATATCTGACTTGGATTTTTATCAAGCAAAATTATTAAGTGCGTCAAATTATCCGAGAGCTTTGGGGCACTTATAAATGTTGGGATGTTGGTTTTAATTTGACTGAGTTGCATTGAGAAACAGTCAATTAACATGTACAAAACCTTTACTTTCTCGTCCTTGTTGTATCCTCCAAGACTGACTGTTTTTAATCTGGGCATATTCTTTTTTATAAATGTCGCAATTGGCTCTGAAATAACAACAGCATCATCATTATTGTGAATACGAGATACATTGACAAAACCCAAGTAAAATGAAAGTGCTGTTATGTCGTTCCAGTACTGCGGGTTCTTGTTGTGCATACGAATCAACATATTACGTAGCGGGCTGTAAGCTGTAAGCTGCTATATTTGAACGTTCAAATTCCGCATATAGGCCAATGCTCTGGTATATTAAAAGTTTTAAATTGGAAAGTGTTGATTCGTTATCAAAGATTCCAGAGCGCAACGCCACAGTTGTTGAAAGGCTTTCCAGGTATGCATCTCTGTATACTAAACTCTTTCCAACGCTCCTCCAATTGCTACAAACCGCAAGCAATGGTAGTTTCAGCTTCCATGTTTTAATGTTGTTATTTTTGGACGTAAACGCGTAAACCAATATTCTTTCCGTGACAACGTGCGGCAGTGTGTTATAAAATGACATTGTGGTAAAATAATATGAAATAAAAATAAAATAATACAATAAAATATATAAAGGATAATTGTGGACTAGAAAAAGGTCTACATCGTCTAGTGGATGTTCACCTCATTTTCAGTAAAAGGTTAAAATATAAATATAAATCAAGATATAATGAACCATTTTCCACACATTTCTTTTGCTTTTGACTTTTGGCTTTGAAAATCCATAATAAAAAGTCAAGCCCAAAAGGCGATTTTTCTTGGCGAAAAAAGGAGACAAGGCAATCTTGGCTTGTGTGCACTAATCTACCAAAACAATACCAAGTACTAATTTTTCACTGTTTCCAGTTCTTTATTTGCCAAATAATAAACACGCTCTTTACAAACTATAAATACATTGCGGTGGTAAACCAAAAAATGATATGATAATTGAGCTGTCTAATTTCACAAAACAATCAATTTCTTATTTTTTACGTGAAAATAATTTCTTCGTTGGATTCAATCTTGTTCATCTGGGAATAAAACATGATTGGTTTTGTTGAGAACCCCTCAGCCCGGGCCGCCGGCCTGGGTTAAGGGGTTCTTAACAGTACAATGTCAAATGTTTTAATGTCCGAGTGCCTATCCTGGGCAACAAGCAAGCCGAGGTCGAGCCAGGAACAATGCGCAAATATGTCAGATTGTCCGAGAGAATTGGGAAACTAATGGTTGTAGGCATAAATCAGTTGACATGCTTGAGCTGCGCTGAGAACTGGTCCAGCAGCGCGTTATAAAACAACTTTATTATCTCATCTTGTCCACTCCTATCTAAATAAACTTTGGTCATTCCAGACATACTTTCCTTTGTAAACGCAACTATAGGCATCGGTAGTCTTGTTTGTTCAATAAATTGCTGGTTGGTTCCGACGTCGTCTACACTGCAGGCGCGCAGTACACGGTTTAATTGTATTATCATTATAAGCGTAGAAATTCCAGTCTAGTGCTGCGGGTTATTCTTGTACATGAGAACCAATATTTTGTACAGCATATTGAAATCAGAAAAGGAATTGATGTTGACTTATAGGTTTTTAGCATATTGCAACGCGCCGGTGGTGTCAATCAGATTGATGTTAAATTTTAGCATTTTAATTTCGGTGTTGCTGGCAGGTCCTTTGTTTTTAGAGATAATAGTAGCGCTGATTTTTTGGTCAGTCGACTTTCAAAGTAAACGTTTTTGTAAACCAAACGCATAACAACTGCTCTCCATCCACGACAAACACCAAGTAGTTGAAATTTGAGGTTCCACGTGTCTATAGACGGACTGCAAGAAATACAAAAGACGCAATAGTATATTATCCACGACAAGAAGTGGGAAATTGTTGTAAAGTGAGATACTTAAAATATAGAGCAGAAATAAACAAGGCACGCAAAAACAAAAAATTAGAAAATATATTAGTTTGATTTTCGTTCATTTCATGAGCAGAAAAAATAATATGTACGAAGCATTTGTATAAATAATATACACAATACACAATACATAACACATTAGAGCGCCAGGTTTTCTTTTTTAAATTTCTCTTTGGGTTTACTCCTATTGCAAATTAACGCTCAAATGACAAATAATGCATCTTGTTTAATCACTACCTTAGATCTTACATAGCGCGTGAGAGACACTGTTGTCTACATATTATTAGGTTTAATATTTATTTTGCATCATGGAAAATGTCATAATAAATATTCTACCATATATATAGTGCATATTGTTAATTAAATGCTGGATTCGACATGGCGCAGTCACGCGAGATGCCTTCAAGCCATAATGCATAATTTTTTAAAGAACGTCGAAAGTTTGGGACTGCTACTGCCGCCATGCCGTAGCATTTTCTTTTTTCTTTGTTTTTTCTTTACATTCTTTGATTTTATTCTTGTCAACTTTTTAATACATATTATATCACACCCGCACTCATTTCCCCCGACTGAATAACTCATGGACGGCGCTACAGATATACCGACCAGCGTCCGCGTGTTCAACAACCCGATTATATTGGAGGGTATTGTCAAATATCTTGAGCTGAAAGACCTCGAGCAGCTGAGCAGAACTTCCAGATACGCCTGGCGGCACGTCATTCCTAAAATGTGGGTGGAACCAGCCTTGAACACCATACCGGGATTCCGAAGCTTCAGCACGGTTGTGGGGAATCCGCTTGCTATAACAATAGGAAAGCATTTAACGTACGGCGATATTGTGCGGACAATAGATCTCTCGATGCTTGGCGGCAGGTGGGAGAAGGTCGGCAGCTTGCAGATGGTACCCATCTTCAAGCACTGCCCGAACATGCGCAAGCTCAACATGAATTTGTGCCAGCACATTTACAACGAGGCATTTGTCAAATTGTTCAAAGACAATCCAAACTTGTGCAGCTCGCTCAAATTCTTGGACATTAGTGAGACTATGCTGACTGATGAATCTTTGGAGCAAATTATCCATATGACTCCCAACCTTACCACTTTGGTCATCAACGAGACATCCGCATCCCATCGCACGATGGGGGCAATTGCACATACTCTGGGCGATCTCGAATGGTTGGAGATTGATTGTTGTCACGATATCAGGGCAGAGGAGCTTATAGATGTGGGGAAATCGTGCACGAAGCTGAGCCATTTGATTGCCACTGGTGATATGATTGACAGGGATGACGACGCGGTTGAACTAATCGATCGGATAAATGAGCATGGGGAGTGGGAGGATGATGGCTTCGGAGATGACGATGGTTACAGCGAGTACGATGATGATAATGGTTACGACGATTACGATGACTTTCACGGCCATGGCAACGACCTCGGTCACGAGGGATACGACTCTGATGGCGAGCCTGACTACGCGTACTGGGCCAATGCCATTAATGGCCAAAGCGGAATGTTCCGCTAATAGATGTTTTTATCACTGGTTCGGAGTAATAACAAACAGTATTGATCGTCATTTTCTGTGCACTGATCAATAAATCAAGGTTGATCTGGTTTTCTTTTTTTTTTTTTTCTTTCATTTTACCCCTTGCTCCAAAAAAAATTCAAGAAAGAATCCGCAGAAGAAAAAATACTGACCAGCAATTTTCATTTTGTGCTCTTGGGTGCGATTCGCTAATTTCAATTCCGCATTCGACGTTCAATTTTTCGACATTTTTATTTTTATTTCACGAATTATCCATTAACTTCCAAATAAACAAGGGTCGTTGCAAATTTTGACCCATGGACTTTTTTAAACTTCTCGGGGCCGGTGCCAAATTTGACAAGAGCCGCTTCAAGGAGGATATATCCGTTTTCAAGGTAAGGTTGCATAATTTTACTCTCGGGCGCAAAATACACTCGCTCAGACACTCGGAGTATTTGGTTTGAGAAACTCAAAGCTAAACCGTTTTTTGTATTTGTTCCCTTACCAAATGTTAGCCCTCAAGGCGCGCAGACCAGCAGACAATCGATGTCGTAGATATTGTTCCAAAGGAGCTCGACTTTTTCGGGGATCACAGCAGGCAGCAGTCAAAGAGGAGTGAGGCAGCCATTCCTGCGAGCCAGGTCAGCGGATCCGCCAGCCAGTTCATAAAGGAAGAGGATGATCACACGCCATTCAAAAACAACAACGAGGTCGCCACATACCTGAAGAGCCATCGGATCAAGGTGACTGGAAGCGACGTCCCGCACCCAGTCAAATCGTTTGAGATGCTGTGCAAGGAGCACGAATTCCAGCCGTTTGTTCTGCGCAACCTTATAAAGTTTGGTTTCAAGCAGCCGACGCCGATTCAGATGCAGGCAATCCCAATTGCCGTGCACCGCCGGGACCTCATTGCCAACGCGCCGACAGGATCAGGAAAGACACTCGCGTTTTTGCTGTCCATACTGCACCAGGTGCACACTGAGGAGAAGCAGGGCCTGCGGGCCGTTATTGTGTCGCCGACCAGGGAGCTCGCGACGCAGATCCATGAGCACTTGAGCAATCTCACCACAGGCCGTAAGATTAAGACGTGGCTGATGACAAAGCAGACAGCAGCAATGCAGGCGCAGGATCCGGCGCTGCGCCAAAAGTATGATATCTTGGTGACCACGCCGCTGCGTCTGGTGCACGCAATCCAGAACAACGAAATTGATCTGAGTCGGGTGCGCAACTTGGTGCTTGACGAGGCCGACAGCCTGATGGAGAAGGGCTTTGTGGAGCAGGTCGACGAGATCCTGGCCGCGTGCACATCAACCAATCTGCAGATCTCGCTGTACAGCGCGACTATGCCCGCCAGTGTGGAAGAGATGGCCAAAACGATTATGAAGGATCCGATTCGCATCATTGTTGGTTCAAAGGGCGCCGCTACAGAAACCATCGATCAGAATCTGGTGTTTGTCGGATCTGAAGAAGGCAAGCTGGTCGAGATCCGCAATATGGTCGCGCAGGGGTTCAAGCCCCCCTGCCTTATATTTGTCCAGTCCATTGACCGTGCCAAGGAGCTGTTTCACGAGCTGGTCTTTGACGGAATCAACGTTGATGTCATCCACTCGGAGCGCACGCAGACACAGCGGAACCGCATTGTGCAAAAGTTCCGCACAGGCGAGCTTTGGGTGCTCATCTGTACCGAACTGATGGCCCGTGGTATCGATTTCAAGGGTGTCAATCTTGTCATCAACTACGATTTTCCGCAGACCACCCAGTCGTACATTCACCGTATTGGTCGTACAGGTCGCGCTGGCCGCTCCGGAAAGGCAATTACCTACTTCACAAAGCAGGACGCACCGTATCTCAAAACTATCGTCAACGTGATGCGCCAGTCCGGATGCGAGGTCCCCGAGTGGATGCTGCAGCTGAAGAACCCGAAGCACAATGACAGGAAGATCCTGAAGAAGAAGCCCCTTGAGCGGGATGCCATCAGCACGGTGCCAAAGTATGACCAGAAGCGCCAGAAGCACAAGCAGCAGATTATTGAGCAGTCAAAGGCCAAGAAGCAGCGAGTACAGCCCAACGGCGAGTCTAGCACCAAGAACAAGAGCCATGACTCGAACGTGTCTGAAGACTCGGAGTAAATCTAAAAACAAACACATACAATAAATCAAAGCAAACCAAACTGTTTCTATAATTTTAAACAGACAAAAAATTGGAGATAATCATATAAATAGGCAATATAGACGATTGTCCATGACCTGTGATTTCTTTGGAAGAATGCCTTTTCATATTTAATATATATATATTTTATTGTTTTCCAACATATATTATTAAAAAACAAATCTAGATATATAATTTTGTAATTTTAATTAGTCAAATTTTGTACGCACATTTAACATGTTTATGAATTATATAAACCACAAACGCCCCATGCCACGCGCCACTGTGTCACCATGCCAGTGCGGCTACCATAGTTTGGAACCAGGGTGGTACCAAAAGCGCTGATGACAGAATTTGGCGTCGCAATAAATACCATCCGAATGTTTCTTGTATGAGTGGAATCATGAGTGCTATTTTCACATTATATACGCACAAATATTTGACTCACAATGCTGTGCCGCGTTCAAAGTTGTCGCGAATCTCCTTTGTGTGCTTGTCGTAGGCACGGTTCATCTTTCGATTAAACCTGGCATTGCGGTCGTTGATATACGACACGTCCTCGCCCTCCTTTTCGATCGACGGCTTGTGCAGCTTCGCGCGCTTGTTCTGCTGGTCCTCGACGGTCTTTGCAAGCATTTCGACTTTCCGGCGCTCCGGCTTATGCTGCTCGCCCAAAATCACAGCGCTCGCGCTAGCCTCCACTGTGACTCTCTGGTACAGAGCCAAGTCGGGCTTTAGCTTGGCCACATCCCTCTCGTACTTGCGCTGGTTGACCTGGGAGTAGTCTGTGAATCCGCGCTCAACATTGTCCCGCCCCTTGCCCTTCTTCTTCTCGTATTTTTCGACCTGCTCAATAGTGTAGTCCAAGAACCGAGTCCGCTCATAGTCATTGCCGGTGTATTCGTCGCGCTTCTGGAGAATCTCGGCCTCCTTGCGCTTCCTGTCTTGCCGTCTCTGATCGCCGGGGTTCTCGCGCAGCCGCTGGTGCTCCTTGTATACCTCGCGCTTATTATCCTGCGCCGACTGTGCAAGGCGCTCACGCAGCATCCGAAGCCGGTCGACTTGTGGTTTGAGGTCTTCCGGTATGTCGGTTCGCTCGGTTATATCGACTTCACTCTCGTCAGAGTCTTCAGAGTCGCTATCATCTGATGACTCGCTGGAGCTGCCGTCCGATGCGTCCGAACCTTCGGCCACCTTTTCAGTAGTGTGCTGCGCAATTTCATCTCTCTCCTCGTCGTTAGAGCTTTGCGACTTGGCAGACATGTTATAAATTAATGATTAAAGTGTGTGAATTTTTGAAAGTAAGTTTATATGAGCTATGGGTCCAGTCAAAAAAAGTGGGTCAATTAAATATTTGGGGGCCAGAAAAAACCAACATTACTTGTGGGGCGCACGTGCTCAAAATAAGCAATGTTTCGGGGCATGATTTATGCCATGCACATTTATAGACATCAGGGGGTGACATGTATCACTTGGCTAGACATCAGGCGTCAATGTTAAGGAAAACAAACATTATTCTTTATTTATTTGTTGCTGAGTATATAATCCACGAAATCATTGCCTCGGATCGATTGCAAGCAACCTTTTCTGCCAACATTTATTTTTATTATATTACGCCCTGAATAAGCTATACAACTTCAGCATAATGCTTGTCAAAAACGTTTCCGCGCACATTATCTGGGCAATGGAGCTATCTCTTAATTCAAAACCCACATACGATCTGTGCATAGCAGAACCAGGGACCAACATACACATTGAGCTGAATAAAAGGGATGGGCACGCGCACTTTGTACTGATACTCACTAACTGCGGTGTGTGCATCTGCGAAGCTACAGGCAAACCCGACATTTTGTATGTGGATAAAGACAACAAAGTTGTTCAGATGTTTACAGATTCGGACCAATGTTGGATACTATTGAAAGTACACCACCCGACCGCAAACATCAGTAGCAATAAGTATCGTAGCCTGAGGCTGAGCGCCATAAAGATTGCCAACATGGCAAAACTAAAAGGCATATCGCTGTGGGTAAACTAACTTTTTGGAGGTTGTCCTTTAACAATATACATTAAAATCGGTTTTGGAGTTATTTACGCTTAGCCCATTTCATGACTCCACAGTAATAGACTATGAAGAAATAATAAAAATGAAATGGCAGCAAAAAAGTACTGGTTACATCTGGGCTTACATGCGACATCAATATACTTGTGAATGTTTTTAACTTGTATAAATATAGTTTTATTCACCATATATGCTAACAAAAAACGTGACTAAACGGCAGCTTTTTCGGGGGCTATTACCCACTCCACTTCGCTTTCTCCATTCTCCACAACATTATTCTCATCCTTGTTGGCAGCTTCCCCCTCTGTCGCCCTCTTTGCTGCTGCATCCTTTATGGCCTTCAAGCATTCAGCTAGATCCTCGTCAAACATATTGAAAAAGCTTTGCAATTTAGACGAGGCTTCTGCAACCCTATTCACAACCGTGTGCAAGTTCGGTGAGCCCTTTGGGCTAATGATATCATACAGCTTCATGTTGATGGATGCCCATATGATCATTAAGCGCTTAATGGAAACCGTCACCGCCAAATCGACAAAGGTGGTTTTGGTACCAAAATAATGCCCACACCAACCATTTTTCCAAAAAAAATTGGTGAGTTTGAACAAATTTATTGGCAAATAGCTCAAATTCGCGCTCAATAGTCTCGCGATTGTCATCGGCACAGTTCTTGACCCTGACACCCTTCTCCAAAAGAACGCGGATATCTTGACGGGGTTGTAATTGGCGGGAAATCTGCACAGGGTCGGGGGTTTCGGCTAAATCTCTACAATTAACCAAATACGACTCAATGCTAAGTGTTCTATTGATGTCAATTTGGGATCTGTCCGTCTTGTAAACGGTCAAATTTTTCGCCTCGTCAAGACATTAAAGCCGTTTCTCTTTCAATTGCTCAAATACCTCCCACCAAAATGAATTATTTCCATGTAATAAAATAGCCCTTATGGTCTCATAAGTGTAAATATCTTTAGGATAGCGTAGTTTAAAGCGCTGGCGACTAGCGGACATGATGGAAGTTTAGAAAAAAATTATTATGATAGTAGATATATTCAATTTGTAAGTATGATTTTGTGTTAAAGGATTCCAATTTTGAGCTGCTAGGCTTGGCAAATTTATAGGAATTTATTATTTATCTTTTTGGGTCCTTTAATCTGTCACAGTTGAGGCACATAATGGTCGCGTAAAAAAATATGTTGCCTTGCTGAGATTAATGGGCTGTGTGCGTGGCAATCAGAGCAACAATGAGAATATTATATTATAGGTTATTTATACATCAAGGAGAACATATAAAAGGAGTGGTTGTCATGCAACCAGTAATTGTTCTCCTTGGAAGACATAAATATACTTCATGCCAATATTTTTTTTGGTCTGGACACATATTGTTACGCAGTAAGTTTGACCATCGGTGTCACTGGTCCCTATTAAACTTTGATTGACATCAAAGGACATGTGTATGGTACATCTTTGTATGTCAGTATCCACAACTAGCAATGAAACGGCGTTCACTTGTCTTGAAATGATATACGTACCAATTCGACAGACCAGTATTTAAAATCTGGTGTTTATTTTCTTAATATTACAACAATGGTCATTTGTGAGCGTTTATAAAATTAAAACAATTAATTCACCAAAAAACTGGGGATTTAAGAAATGAGGGATTATAAGGACGTAGAAAAAGAAATAGAAATCAATACGTAGTATTGGTTCTAAAGAATTAGAAACAATTAAAATAATTTAATTGTACAAAAAATTAAAAACATTATTTAAAATGAAGTTAATATAAAATTGCAAAAAAGCTATTATTTATCTTCAACCGAGTTACAATCAGCATCTTCCTTTTTATTTTTCTCGAGCTTTTCGACCTTCTCAACCTCCTCAACCTCCTTGACCTTCTCGACCAATTTTTCCATATCAACTTCCAATGCATCGTCGAGAGTCTTCGCGTATTCTTTTATCTTGGGCAGCGCTGCAACCGCACGTACAACCTTGTGCAGCTCAGGTGCTTCCTCAGGTCCAATGAGCTTATACAGCTCCTCGCTGATGGGCGCCAATATAATCATCAAGCGCTTGATAGTGATCATAAGAGCCACGTCAACGTAAGTAGGGCTAGTGTCAAAGTAAAATCCTCGCAATCCATTGCGCCAGAGCACCAGACTATGTGCCTCGATGAACTGTTTGGCAAATTGTTTAAATTCAAATTCAGTCGTCTCGCGGTGCTCTTCGTTGCAGTATTTAACGCTGCACCCCATTTTAAAAAGGCTGTCGATCTCGTGGCGAAGTTGTGCTTGTTGGCCGATTATAACCGGGTTGTGCTTCTCGGAAAGATTGTACAGGGCTGCCAGGTACGACTCGATACCGAATATTCCGTTGATGATAACCTGGGAGTTATCCGTTTTGAAAATAGTCAAGGTTGTCTCATCATCAAAAGTAACGCAGTATTCGTCTTCTGCAGAAGAAAATGGCTCGTCCCAGCACGCATATCCGCCGTAATGCAATATGGCCCTGCTTGTTTCGTGTGCAAAACCGTTTTCAGGATATCTCAGCTTGTAGCACTGGCAGAGAACAGACATGTCAAATAATTTAGTAAGAATATAATGGAAAATTGTATAATGAAAAATAAAAAAGGGATAAGTCAAAATGTTTGCTCGCAGTGAGCGTTTAAATTTGAAACACTCATCATTTGAAACAAAGCAAGGTTTTGTACAAAAGTTGGGCCAGAGTCGATTTATACTTTTATCATTTGGTTATCAACGCTTGATGTGCATAGCCAATTCTTTTTATGGCAGTAACATCAAAGGCAGAGTTTCATTTATTCAGTTTGATTTCATTTATCCAAAGTTATTTTACTACATGCGAATCATTTTATAAAATTGTAATATTCAAAATAAAAATTTAAATGTCATTTATTCAAATTTAGCATACATACACATGTATCTCTTCTAACTGAAACCAATCAATAAATTTCAAATTAGATGAATTAGGCAAGTGCGTTATTTGCCATTTTTTTTTTAAAAAAAAAAAAAGTTGTCAACCATGTTGATAAAAAAAATATGAAAAGGAAACTATATAAAATTTTTTTTGTATGAGTGGATTATTTTATTTATTACATCTTGAGCTTGGTGTCAACATCCTTGGCAATCTCGCCGCCGCTCAGGTAAGTGTCAAGCTGGCCAGACGCAGCCAACAGAAGACCCAAGAAAACAGGCGACGGGTTCAATGGACGAGTAAGGTACTCGGGGTGGTACTGGGCGCCAACAAAGTAAGGGTGGTTCTCGAGCTCCAAGATCTCCATCCGCTCGCCAGTCTCCGCATCCCTGCCAACAAACTTGAGACCCTTCGACTCGAGCTCCTTGACAACCTCAGGGTTAACCTCGTATCTGTGACGGTGGCGCTCATGGACCTCCTCCACACCGCCGTAAAGCTTCTTGGCCTTGGAGTTGCGCGCAAACTCAGTGTCCTGGAACTTGGTCGGGCGGGAGCCCAGACGCATGGTACCGCCCATAGTGGTGCGGTCAATCTCAGGCATAAAAACGACAACAGGGTGCTCGCAGGCCTCGCGGAACTCGGTCGAGTGCGCGTTGGTCATGCCGCAGACATTGCGTGCGAAATCAATAACGGCAACCTGCATACCAAGGCAGATACCGAGGTAGGGGGTGTTGTGCTCGCGCGCCCACTTGGAGGCCAGAACCTTGCCCTCAACACCTCGCTCGCCGAAACCGCCCGGAACAAGAATGCCGTCGGCGGCGCACATGTGCTGCCAAGCCTCATGGTACTTGAGGGGGTCCTTGTGCATGGATAATTCCTCCAGATCTGAGGCCTCAACCCAGCTGATCTTGACCTTACGATTGACGTTCAAACCGGCATGCTCCAGCGCCTTGACGACGGAAATGTAGGAATCAGTCAGATAGGTGTACTTGCCGACAACAGCAATGTTGACCACATCGAGGTCGCGCGCACGACGGCGGGCAAACTCGCTCCACTGCACCCACAGGCTCTCGCCCTCGGAGCGCACCTCAGGGGAAAGCTTAAGCTCGTTGAGCTTCAGCCTCTCAGTCAGTACATCAATGATACCCTGCTGGCGCAGGAGGATGGGCACATGGTAGAGACTCTCGCAATCGTGCACGCTGAACACCTGCTTGGGCGAAACCTGGCAGAACATGCTGAGCTTCTCGCGGATGCCCTCCTCGAAGGGGATGGCCGAGCGGCAGGCCAGGATATCGGGGGACAGGCCGAGGCCGCGGAGGTCGCGTACCGACGCCTGCGTCGGCTTCGTCTTCTGTTCACCAACAGCACCAACCACGGGCACCAGGGACACGTGGATAAGGCAGAAGTTATCGTGACCGACACGGAACTGGAACTGCCGCATGGCCTCAATGAACGGGGCGGACTCGATATCACCAACGGTGCCGCCGAGCTCCACAATGCAGACATCCGGCGCGCGGCCGTCCTCGGACGTCGAAACATTGCCGACGCGCTCAACCCAGTCCTGGATCGCATTGGTAATGTGCGGGACAACCTGGACGGTCTTGCCCAGGTAGTCGCCGCGACGCTCCTTGTCAATCACTTCGCGGTAGATCTTGCCTGTCGTAATGTTGTTGTCGCGGGTCAGCTTGACGCTCAGGTAGCGCTCATAGTTGCCCAGGTCGAGGTCGACCTCACCTCCGTCGTCCAAGACGAACACCTCACCGTGGTCCAGAGGGCTCAAGGTGCCGGCGTCAATGTTAAGGTAGGGGTCGATCTTGATCGAGGTCACGTTCAGGCCGAGCGTCTTGAGCAGGAGACCAGTGGACGAGGCAATGATACCCTTGCCGATACCTGAGATCACACCTCCAGAGACGATAATGTACTTTGTCTGCTTAGCGTTGCTGCCCATTTTGTTATTCTATAAGTAGTGCTGCGTATGTGGATGTTCTATGTAAAGGAGAGAAAATAAAAGTACAAACGAACCACGAAAGTAAAAAAAAACTTAGTTTTGGGACAAACAAAAAAGTTTTTTTCTCATTTTACATGAGACGAGAGAATGGCGGCTGTTTGGACTGATCAAAAAGTACTGGTAGTAGAGCAAAAAAAAAATAATGATCACTAGAAAAACCAGAAATTATTAGATCAGTGATCACAAAATGCAGCCGGACGACTGTTATTTTTTTTGTTGACTCTGGTTATCAATGTCAACAGTAAGCCACAGCCAACGCAACAACACACATTGGAAATGATAATTTGTCAATGACAATGCATGCGAGTGTGCGTGTGGGGGGTATCGGTATCGGCATTGTTAATCTGGCTCTGTCCTCTTGTGTGAGGAGGAAAAATTAACCAACAAGTAAAACTTTCATGTTGTATTTACCGTATAATGCCCGTCTAAAGGTGTGTGTGAAGAAGACGGGAAGGAATCTTTTGTGGATTTGTCGGCAATTGCACTCATTTTATACTTTTTCCGATTGAATTGGATTTCTGAGAAAAAATTTTCTCCCCTTTTTTTTTTTTTTTTTTTTTTTTTTTTTTGGTCCCACCCCCAAAAATTATTTTATTCAGCCGTTTTTTTGCGGATTGGGTGTGGTCGTCTCCCCCAACCAAAAAAATTCCACATTTCGAATTAGGGCCAGATGAAGTGAGTCAAATAATATGTTGAACATGTGATAAGCATCGATAATTACACAGATCAAATTAGCGATAATCTGCATTGAGATATATTTTGTCAGCACAGCTTTAAAAAATATATTTTCAAGATCGCCAGGAACATAGGGAAAGAAAGACAAAGAAAACCTCCCTTCGTCTTTCATTTCCCCGCTATATTCAGCTTTGACTTTATACTGCACACAACCAACATTCAAAAACACACACACTTTTATATATATTTACAATGAGCTTGGAAAAGGAACACGGAAACACACCAGACACGACGATTGACACAGCCGATCTGGACAACACAACGCAGCAGCAGCAGCAGCAGCAGCAGCAACAACAGCCAGAGGACGAGGAGGATGATGGAAGCATGGAGTCACAGCAAGCACAGGCGTTCAATCCCGAGACAGGCGAGATAAACTGGGATTGCCCCTGCTTGGGTGGAATGGCGCAGGGCACTTGTGGAGAACAATTCAAGGAGGCGTTCTCTTGTTTCGTGTACTCCGAGGAGGAGCCGAAGGGCATGGATTGTATTGATGCATTCAAGGCCATGCAGCAGTGCTTCCGCGATAATCCTGAGGAATATGGCGCGGAGCTGGGCGATGATGATGACGACGACGACAACGACGAGGAGCAGGATGCGGACGACGGGAACGTTACAGATGCGGAGACAGATATTGATAACAGTACCGATGACGAGCAGGAGAGCAAGTAAGCCCGGAGGTGGGAAAAGTGGCGAGTGGCTGAGAGAAGACAAAACTTGTTGATCTTGAAATATATTTGTAGTGTGTTCAAAAAATAGTAAATCAAACTGCCGCTGCCTTATTTATTTTTCCAAGTGGCACTTGCGCCTCAGACACCAAAAAAAAATCGTGGGAGCAAAAAAATTTGGTCTACATTATGTCTTTTCCAGCTAGCTCGTTTTCTTCTTTAGATTAACTTTCCTTCCCTTTCTTTTCCCCTCCCTATCATCCAAAAAAAATAAGAATTTATACAGCACCAACATGGACAGTGCACAGCGGCGACTCAAGGTTCTTCTCGTCGGCACAGGCGCGCTCGGCAGCGTGTATGCCTGGCGGCTGCAAGCCAGCGGAAAAGTAGAAATCACAGCCGTGTGCCGCTCCAACTACGCCGCAGTGCAACAGAACGGGTTCCTGATCCAATCCGCAGCCTTCGGTACGCACACTTACCGGCCAACCAAAATCATCAGCTCGATCAGCAATGCAACGGGCGAAATCTACGACTACGTCATCGTCTGCACCAAGGCGCTGCCCAACCTCGGCGATAACTCGGACATCATCGCACCGGCGGTTTCCCCGTCAACAACCATAGTTCTGATCCAGAATGGAGTTGGTATCGAGGAGCCGTTTGCCAGACGGTATCCGCAGAACCCATTGGGCAGCGCTGTCGCCTACATTGACGCGAGCCAGCCGGAGCAGGGGATCATCAACCACGGGCACATCTCAGCAATGACCCTAGGAACCTACCCGCCGCACTCCGAGCACTCGGCAAGGCTCACAGCCTTATCCGAAATCTGGAACCAGCAAGGAATCCCGTGCACGGTCGTCAATAACGTGCAGGCATTCCGGTGGCTCAAGCTCGTGTGGAACGCATCGTTCAACACTGTGGCGGTGGTTTCGGGCGGCAACGACACGCAGGAGATGCTGGCCGATCAGCGCTGCAAGGCGCTGCTGCGCTGTATTATGCTGGAGGTGTATAGGCTCGGAGAGGCGGTTTTGGGAGAACCTCTGCCCGTGCGTAATGGCGTAGGTGATGCTGATGCGTGGATTGCGGAGACGGAGGGGAGAGAGGTGCCGGTGGTGCCGTCGATGCTGATGGATTTTTGGGCGAAACGGCCGATGGAGCATGATGTCATTTTGGGCAGGCCGATTGCTGTCGCCAGGCAGCTGGGCATCGACGTGCCGCATATGGAATCGGTGTATGCGCTGCTGGTGATGGTCGAGAAGCAGTATCTCTAAACCTGTGAACCTGTGGACCTGTGTACCTGTGTACCTGTGGACCTGTGTACCTGTGGGCCTCTGAACCTCTGAACCTCCGACCCTCCGACCCCTTGACCCTCAGAACCTCAGAACCTCCGATCCTCTGACCCTTTGACCCTTTGACCCTCTAAACCTAGCCCCTGCACCAATATACTTATCATTATTTTCCTTACCTTCATGCTCAGAATAGTGCATGCGTTCATAATAAATGATAGTAACAAAAAGCAATAAAAAGCAGCCATTTTTTCTACAGAGTATAGTAGTGGGGGGCGTCCCTCCCACTCAAGTAAAGGTTAGTCAAGTTGGCTCAACTCGGTGGAAGCGCTCATCGCATCTGTTTGCCTTTTTCGCAGTTCCAATTTTTGGTTTTCAATTTATTTTTTATATTTCCTCATCTCTATACCCTGACAACGCTGACAACGCTGACAACACTGACAACACTGACAACACCGACAATCTGACAATCTGACAAGCCCACGCAGCGAATTCCAACCATGTCAATTGTCCGAAGCAGCAAGTATCGCCATGTCTTCGGCACGGCGTTTAAGCGCGAAGAGTGCTACGAGAATCTCCGCGTATCCATCTCAGCCTGGGACACAAACTTCGTGACGGCCAACCCCAAGTACCTATGCTTAAACTGGAATGCCGGCGGCGGCGGAGCCTTCATAGTGATTCCGCACGACCAAGCAGGCAAGCTACGCGGCGACTTCCCACTATTCAGCGCGCACGCCGGGGCCGTGCTGGACACGGCATTCTCGCCGTTCGACGATGACATTGTGGCGTCCGGCGCCGAGGACCATAAGGCAATGGTCTGGCGCGTGCCGCGCGGGCTTGCGGAGCGCGAGGAGGACGTGACTGAGCCCATTGCAGTGCTGGGCGGCCATGGGCGCAAGGTCGGGCATGTGGCGTGGAACCCGGTTGCGCGCGATGTCCTGGCCGTGTCGAGCTCCGACCACACCGTGCGTATCTGGGACGTCGAGAGGCAGGCGGTCGGCGTTCTGCTGGAGGGCTTCAAGGACACGGTGCTGTCCATTGCCTGGTCGCCCAATGGCAGCCAGCTGGCCGTAGCGTGCCGCGACAAGGTCCTGCGCATCTTCGATGCGCGTTCGGGCCAGTGCCTGCAGCAGGGCCAGAGCCACCTGGGAGTCAAGGGCTCGCGTGTCGTTTGGGTTTCGCCCACGCGGCTGGTCACCACGGGGTTCTCGCGCACCAGCGATCGGCAGCTGAACTTGTGGGACAGCCAGAGTCTCAGCAAACCACTCCTGACGCGCAACATCGACATGTCCGCTGGCATGCTCATTCCGTTCTTCGACGCCTGCACGCAAATGCTGTACGTTGGCGGGAAAGGAGACGGCAACATACGGTACTACGAGTTCGCCGACGATACACTGTACGAGCTGGCGACGTATTCCTCGACGGAGCCGCAGAGGGGCCTGGGTGTTATGCCTAAGCGGGGCGTGGATGTCGTTCGGTGCGAGGTCATGCGCTTCTTCAAGGTCGTCGGCAACTCGACGGTCGAGCCGATTTCGTTCAAGGTACCGAGGAAGGCAGAGTCGTTCCAGGCTGATATTTACCCGCCGGCGCATGCTGGCGTGCCGGCTCTAAGCGCCGAGGAGTTCTTTGCTGGGAAGGACGCGGAGCCGTTGCTTGTGGATATGGAGTTGCTCTATGAGAGTGGCCCGCTGGTTGTCGGCGAGAGCGCTGGCGGCAGGCCTGTGCCGGTGGTGTCTGCGCCTGCCCCAGCGGCAGTCCCAGCGGCGGTCCCAGCGCCCGTTCCTGCACCGGCGTCTGGCTCTGCTCCTGTGGCCGTTAGGGAGCCGGCCAGGGAGCCAGCCAGGGAGCCGGCCAGGGAGCCCTCTCCCTCCTCCGTCGCCCGCTCCTCCGCACCCACGCCTTCCTCGCCCCGCCAGCAGGCCACCGACCAGTCGCAGCTTCACGCCATCACAGCCGAGCTCGACGCGCTCCGCGCCACCAACCAGCAGCTCCACGCCGAGCTCGCCCAGGCCAAAGCATCCTACCAGGCGCACCAAAAGGACCTGGCCAACGCGCAAAGCCAGGTGGCGCAGATCCAATCGGAACACGCCCAGGCGACAGGGGCCCACGCACGTGCACTTGAGCAGCAGAAGCAGGCGGCAGCGACGGAGCTGGTGGGCATTACGCAGCAGCTCTTGGAGGCTGAGACGCAGGCTGGCGAGCTTAGGGGCGCTGTTGAGGAGCGCCGTGGGGAGGCCGAGGAGCTTCGGGCGCTGGCTAAGGGCCTGGAGGCGGAGGCCGTGGATCTGCGGCGGCGGCTGGAGGAGGCTGCGGCAGAGGCCGAGGGGAGAGAGAGCGAGACTGCGAAGTTGAGGAAGGAGTTGGTGGCTGCTATCGGGGCAGCCAATTCGCTAGCTGTGGCTGCTGAAAAGGCGGCCGACTGCATGTAAAACCCAAACCTTTTGTTTTTTCCCTACTTTTTTTCGCTTTCGTTTTTTGCTTTTTTTTGTCCTTCTATTTTTATTGCGTATGCTCCAAATTTAGGTGGCATACATGTGATATCTAATCATAGTGCCATTATGCATAAAGGGAAGAAGATATCGACGATGGAGGTTTTTCATTTGCCCACTTTCCAAAAGCGGTCTGAGTTTTTTTTTTTTGATTGTTTCATTTTAGCGCGAAACGTTTGGAAAATAAAAGAAGCTGTCCTCATTTTTGCCTTTTATTTTTCTGTTCACTTTTTATATTATATTATTTTGCATTACTTTATATAGGACGAAATTGAAGAGAGAAAAAGCTTTTGACTCCCCTCCCCCATCACTCCCCTTTTTTCTTCACCTGAACTCTTTTTTCCACACTTTATTAATATATTTACTGAATTCCACAATGGTCGCGACAGCCACAAAAAGTGGAAACCCGAGACCAACTGCAAAAGCCAAGGCCTCAAAGCCGTCCAAAACGTCCTCTTCAAAACCCACCACCACCACCACTAAAACGACAGCAGCAGCAGCAGCAGCGGGCCTTCTCAAGCCCTTCATACCCAGACACGAGTCCAGCTCGGCATACACAAACCAGCAGCAGCCAGCATCGGACCCGGGCCTAGTAACCCCTCGCAACACGTACATTCTGGACCAACATCAATACTCACCGCTCCTGGACCATTCATCGCCTGCGTGGTCAATGAGCTCAATGAGCAATAACGGCGACCTGACGTTGGCGCACAGTCTAAGCCCCGTTGATTGTTCTAATACAACAACGGCTGCATCAGCTGCTGCTGCTGCCGCGGCCGCTGCTGCTGCTGCTGCTGTTGCGATGAATGGAGGGGAATGGCTTGGTTCTCAGATGTTTCCCACATTGGCTTCCGTGTTTGGCTCTGGTGAGCTTTGCGATATGAGTGGGTCGAATACAGTGGATGCTGCTGCTTTGGATGGGTGGCTGCAGCAGTACGTTAACGTCGAAGCTATTGCGCCCACAAACCCCCTGAGCGGATTTTCCTTTAGCAGTGGCGTATCATCAATGCAGCAGCAACTGGACTCCCCGTTATTCACATACTCCTCTCCTTCTTTCTCCTGCACCAACTCTACCGTTGCTAGTGGGCTTACGCCGGTTCCGCTTTTGTCCAGCAATGTGCCTGCGCTTGACCAGTCGGCTGTGTCGGCTATTGCCTCGGTGGTCGCTGGGTCTTTGTCAGAAGATATGCTGGCGTCGATGTTTTCGGAAGAAAACTCCACTACAGTGGATGTTCGGGCGCTGACTGCGGGGAGCGTTTCGCCACAGGAAACTATATCTGTACAGCAGCAGCAGCAGCCGACGGGCGCTAAGAGGCAGAGAAGAATGTCGCCCTCAATAGTGACTGCTGCCATTAAGGGTAGTATTACCACAGGCGGGCTACTAACACCGGCCACTGCTGCTTCAGCTTCGGCTTCTGTTTCTGATGTTGCTTTTATTGGGAATGATAATATGGAGGCGGGCTTTCCTTCTTTCAGCCGCAGTAACGTTACTGCTGCTGCTGCTGCTGGCTCGCAGAGTCCTCAAGCAGTTGCTCTGGAAAGCACCCCAGTACCCAGCAAACTCCCTGCCACCGCCCCTTATTCCTCGCCATCCTTGTTTTTGTCGGCCAACAATAATAACATCACCGGCCGCCGCCTAGCACCATCTCCATCTCCATCCCTGTCTCCAGCCGCCCACACTACCATCAACAGCGGCAGCAGCGGCAATCGGCCGCTGGCGCCCCGCCAACAACCAGACACCAACTCGCGCTCCGGCACATCAACTCCACCAGGACTCAGCGTGCTAGCCAAAATAGCTCAAAAACAAGCACCCATCAAAGTGAAAACCGAAACCTCCCCCAACTCTTCCCCCAACTTACACCCTACCACTGCAGGCAGCAGTGGCGCTGCTCCCGTGGTAGAGACAGCTGCGCAAAAGCGCCAAGAGCGACTGATTAAGAACCGCGCTGCTGCATTGCTCAGCAGGAAGAGGAAGCGCGAGTATATGGGAAAACTGGAGGGCGACGTTGATGAGTTGAGGGAAACTAATAGTGCGTTGGTTAGGAGGCTAGAGGAGATGGAGAGGATGGTTAAAGACCTGATAAGGGAGCGCGATTTGCTGAAGGGGACACAGGATAATGCCAATGGAAGCAACGCCAGTCAGCAGCAGCCACAGCAGCAGCAGCAGCCACAGCAGCAGCAGCAGCCACAGCAGCAGCAGCAGCAGCAGACAAAGAGCGCGGAAAAGCCAGGCAAATCGGACAAGTCCGACAGCAAGGCGTCGCAGCCTTCTTCGGCCGATAGTGTCTCGGCAGAGAGCAAGAAGCAGCCGTCAGACGCAATGGACGTCGATATCAACGGCACCCCTTCAGACATTAGCAGCAACAGCAGCAGCAGTGGCCACGCCCCAGGCACTCCGCAGCTCCGCCCCTCGCCCGCCATCCTCGCCGCGCGGCCGCCTGCCTCCACCACACCCAATGCTCAGCCAGCACCAGTATCAGCCCTTGCGTCGCACACCGGGCGCAGCATCCGACCACGCACCTCAGCTCTGCCATCATCGGCAGCACCAACACCAGGCAGTGCAAAGCAGCGCACGGCGGGCGCAGTCCTCATGGCCATGCTCTTTTCCTTTTCGCTCTTCTCCCTTCCATCCCTATACTCCTCCGACAACCAAATCACCGTCGGTGGAGCATCGGGCGCCGCTGCATTGCTGCCTGTGCGCGGCCTACCGTCGGCCGAACCGCCGTTGCTGATTGGTGACAGTAGCCCGTTTATTGAGCGCGTTCGCAGGTCTCTCGAGGCCCTCACCCAGCAGCAGCAAGATGTCGTGGCAGCAGCCAATCAGAGCGATGTGGTCGGTGATAAGGTGCGGCCTATGACCATGGAGGAGAGCGCTGGGCTGCGCGCGTGGATCAATAAGCATACGGGGGCGGAATCCGGGTCTGCCGAGCTCTCAGTTGTTCGTTCTTTGCCCCCGCGTATGGACCCGACAATGCCCGAGTACGCGATGGTGTACTGCCCGACCATCCAGCAGGTGATTTTTGGCGGCAGTGGCAGTGGGAGTGGCGATATGTTGGAGGTTGCCCATATGCGTGACATTGCGTATAATCCGGTGTCCGCTCGCGTCATACGCTCCAAGTCTGACCACTCGGCGTCGCCCTCCGTGGCTGTGCCCCCTACTGTTGTCGTCGCTGATATTGTCAACGATGTTGGTGGTGGGCGGATGGACGATGTTGACGATATTTTGGATCTCGTTGCTACGCCTGCGGGTAATACCCTGGGGCACGTGCAGGTGCGGCCTAAAATGTCGTTTTACTCGCCGATCGCTGTGGGCGGCGGGAGTGGTGGCGTTGCTGAGGGCGATATTTTAGCACCCTGGGAGGAGAACGCCCGGCTGTCAGCCAAACTTGTCGACACGGCGGATTCTGCAAGTACCAAGCAGCAGCAGCAGCAAAAGTATCTGCGTATTGATGTCGAGGTTGTTGGAAGCAGATGGGTCACGGCTGACAAGTTTGCCAATGGAATATACCACTAAACGTCTTTTTTTATAAAAAAAAATTAATATTTTTCTTTTTTCAATTATATTCAAATTAAAAACAAAAATTTTAAACATGTTTCTTGTTACTTCTCGTATACGACCAAACCACATCGACAGAAACCGACCCGCAACCACCGCTGAGATGGGAACATATCCAATTTTTTTTTCCTCTAGAACCAAAAATACGTATCGCTCCTCTGGATGATGGCCCAAAGTGCGGTTTACCCTCTGACCTCCCAAACTGTCGCATTATGTTGATGGGCTGGGAAACAAAAAAAACGTGCAAAGCCTGTACCACTGAGACTAAGGCCCTCTGCGCACTACTTCTGGAAGTGCGAGCGCGTTCAGCGATTCTAACTTCTCGTACCTCGCTTCTTACAAAACAACTGTAGTGATCAATACAGGGACCTGGGCATTCCACGTCAACAAAATATCATGGTGGTTAACAGCTTTAGGAAAGTCAAGGTAAGTATTTCTCAATATACAAAACGCACATCCCACAAACTGGGCTATCTTGGGGGGGGGGGATACCGCATGCATGCTGAACTTTCAATTGACATCAACCTCACAGCACGTATGCCATGTTTTAGTTGCTTTTGGAAATCCTCAGTAATGTAGCCGCATCGTAAAAGACTTCTTTGGGATGTGAGGTAGAATAGTGGATGTTCGCATATTCAGGGACCGCTGGACAAACGGGTGTCGTGTCCAGTGGTTTTAGTTTGATTCTGAGCGAAGAAAAGCTCACCGGAACGCTTACGTTTTGCAACACTCTAGTCCAAGACAGTCGTCCTCAATTGCCACGCACAATGCACTCACGTCCTCCAAACTCGGACATCAGCACTAATTTCCCCCTCAACGGCTATACAAGCAGCGCCGCCACCCAATGCAAGGGAATTATTGTGAATAGCTAGTTGTGTAGTTTTTGTTTTATTGAGTTTCTATAATAAGATCCGCACTAAAGTACTGCGTCAAAAAAATTGTTACTTCTCATATGCTTGTTCGATTTTCAAAAGCGACTCATACAACGCCCTCATGTGTGGCACGGCCACTCCATGTTTTTCTGCCAAATCAATGGGATTTTTCAGAATAACCTCGGTCTCCATATGCCTCTTATTTAGCGAATCCTCAAGCATCGACGTATACACAGGTGCCTCAATCCCCTCAATATACCTTATAGCCGCTGGAGGATCCACAATGCCATTTGTTCCAGGAAGTTTCCCCTTAATGATACTCTCAGCCACGGCAAATATCTCCGCCATAACGTCTTCTAGCATTCGACGATACCGTTTATGTCGGACCATCTCCTGGCAACTGAGCTGGGAGAGCACAGACACGGGGTTGGTCGACCCATTGAGGATTTGTTTCTGCCACCGGTACACCTGAATATCTGATTTAATCGAGCAGTCAATGCCGCCAGAGCGTTGGAACTCGGCAAACAAATTGTACAGCTTCTGCAAGTCCTCATTGGTGTGCTGCTCGTTGGCAAACCCGGCTACAACCATGGTGAATCCGCCATGTCTGAGCCTCCACCCACCCAACCCGCCGCCTTCCTCCCTATTTTCCTTGCACACACTAACAAATGATACACAGCTAACCACGGGATTACCTTTGCCGAATCTTTTTAAAAACGGCTCCTCCACGCCAATCCCATTCTGGAACAGCAAAATCATTGTCCCCGGACCTACAGCTTTGGAAATTACTTCAGAGCTATCGTAGATATTGGGCAGTGCCTTGAGTGCTACCAGGATATAGTCAAAGCTAGTAGTGTGTGCTATGGCATCGTCGATTGTGCGGTAGAGATATTCCGGGTGGTAGATTGCGTTGCCATATTGGAGGGAGGTTATTGGGATGCCGTGGGATTTTATTTGATTGTAGGTGGAGCGGCAGAGGAGGGAGACAGTGTGGGTGGTGGAGTGGCTGAGACGCCAGCCGAGGAGACCTCCGATTGCACCGCCGCCGACTATATTGAGAAAATAAAAATACATAAAAATAAATAAATATTAATCGAATATTTGTTTTATTTTTTCTGCAGTAAGTTTGATAAAAAATATTGATGTTTTACCGACAAGAACATGAAATTTGGATTCCATGTTTTTTATTTAAAAAATAATATAAAGTGAAGATAAAGTAAAAAAAACAAAGTGAAAACCCTTCCTTTTTCATTTTAACAAATCTCACAGCGGTATTTATATTAGAATTCCTAATTCGCACCTAGTCCTATTCTCAAATTATTATTATTTATACCCTCTCTCAGTCTCTTCGTGTTAAAATAAGGAAGGGGAGAGTGGGGGGGGGGATGGGTTGCCAAGACTATTTTTAATATTTGCGATGATCCATATTCAAATTGAAGACAATGTTATTTGCCAAGAAATTTTTGAATGATACACCCACACATTGAAAAAACAAACAAACAAACAAACAAACAGACATATGCCGTGAGGTGAACAGGAAAAAATGATAACAATAGTCAATATATTTTCCTCTGTGAATATAAATATAAATAAAACAAAGTTTTACATATTATTTTTACTACTAGTGGCAGGGTTTGAAGATTAAGTTTTTTTTGGAAAAACAATTCATAAAATTTTCGGTATAAGGGGTAGTAGATCTTCAGTCATTTGATTAACGCCACGTTATGCAACAATAAATTTAAGATGTATTTTTCATTTAGAAAATTAAATCACGTGTATAGCCATATGTTACTAATAAGCCATTGAGCGCGGAAAGAACCAATAATTTTTTATTTTGTTGGTTGTTTTTTAGGTCGATTAATAGTGCGCGCAACTAACAACTAACAACAAAAAACAATATTTTCTTATTTTCTTATTATTCTTCCAGTTGATATGCATAAACAATAGCTTTACTACACCTCACTTTTATTTTTTTTAAGTGATCTGCGTTTTCCATTAAACATTGAATTATATTGTTAGTTTTATTTTGCATATGGTCATCTCCGACTATACTTCTTGCATATCTCTATAATTTCCATTCCACGCATTGTTAAATGACCAATACATCATCATCCAGCTTTAGCGACTGGGAATTCGTCTACATGCGCAACATGGACATTGGACGCATATCCACCCACACTCTGCACTCAATCTGGGCCACCCTAGGAATCGACCAAAGCAAAGTGGCCTGCGCCAACAGCGTTGGAGCTTTCCTAGCGGAATTCCTTGTCCACCGAGACTACATTGATGACTTTGTCCATCTGCTCTCCAGAATCACCACGCAGAAACCCCTGGATGCGTCCCTTTCAATATCCCGTGACACAGAGTATGTCCCCATTAACCCATACGCGCACCTTCTGGGTGAGCTTGAAGGTGTGCCGCGGGATGCATTGGATGCGCTGAGAAGGTATGCAAGGGAGTCGCTTACGCGAAGGTGGTCGGCTGTGTATTATTCTGTGGAAACAAGTAGTGGGGTGCGCGAGTTTGTTGCGGCAGAAATGCACAGGCACTCGCTCAGTGTTTTGCCACCGCCCACACCACAACAACAGCAGAACCAGAACCAGGACCAGCGGAACCAACAGAACCAGCGGAAGTACTTGCTGAAGTCACCGCCGATATGCCCTGCGGCACAGTGTGCGCCGCCAAGCGTGGGAGAGCATCGGGGCAGCGGGCTGGTTCATTCCAGGCCACCGAATCACGCGCTTCTCTCGCACGACCACCTTGCCGAGCTGATTCCACAGCCGACCATGCATCGGCTGATAATCTATGCCGACGGCGCCTACCTCCCTGACCGTGGCACGGCTGGAATCGGCGCCTTTTTCCAAAACACCGCCACGCGGCCACTCTCCCAGCGACTTCCAGGCCACCAATCGTGTGCGCGCGCGGAGATCCTTGCCATGCGTGTTGCGCTCGACAGGATGGCGGCGGAGCTGCCCGGGAGGGTGGCTGGGGATGCTGGGTGTGAGATATGGGTGTGTTCGGATAGCAGGTATGCGGTGGATGGGATTAATGTGTATATGGAGACGTGGGAATCGTCGGGTTGGGTGACGGCGAAGGGACGGCCAATTGCTAATCGGAGTGCGTTTTTGGACCTGCGAGAGGCCACACGGAGGCTGGCGAAGAGCGGGTATACGGTCTTTATCCACCACTTGCCTGCTCACGCTGGTATTAGAGGAAATGACATTGCGGATATGCTGGCAAAGGCCGGAGCTCTGCTGTAGAATGTAACTGAAGGCCAATTGTACTTTGTGTATTATTTAACTTAAAAAGCTGCTGTATTTATTTTGTTTTGGTGCTGTGTGTTTGGGATCGCAGGTCCTGGAGCTCGAGCTCGAGCTGGTGGATCCGGGCCACCACCCACGACTGCTCAGTGTCCAGCTCATTGCTCACCCGGGAATTAACCACCTGGTCAACCACTGTCGCTGCCACCGGTTCCTCAGCCTTCTTCTCCACCGCATCTCTTTTCGCGCTGGTAATCCAGTACAGCGGATAAACGCGGCAAACATTATTCACCACCACAGCAACCGTCACCATCACAAGGCTGACGGGCAAAACCGGATATAACGGAAACCACCACCCGACTCTCTTCACATCAGCTGAAAAGAACCCGGCCAAATACGCTGTGGCGCCAGCCGGCGGATGATAGCAATTAAGCAATCCCATTAAAACCACCGCCAGACCCACCGCCAACGCCCCTGACAGCCACACCAGTGACCCATCCACGTGTTTAAATGCCTCATACATGAACACCCCGACTTGCGCAGATATGACGTGACTCATAACAACGATGCGCGGCTGCGAGAGTGGTGAGGACGGGACGGCAAAGAGAAGTACGGCGGAGGCGCCCGCTGGAGCTATAGCAAAGGGTAGATTGTGGGTGTGGATTGCTGGCCCGTATGTTTGAATTATGCCCAGGAGGGATATGGCGAGGAAGGAGGTGAACCCGGAGTAGAGCGACCAGATGAGCACCGATGGTGCTGGGATTGGTTCGCTTTGGTACTGGGCTCCGCGCATACGGTTGAGATAGGATTTGGGTGAGTCTGGGAAAGAAAAGTGCCGCTGGTTGGGTTTTCCCGGCAGCGCTCGTATCCATTGGATAAATTGTTTTATCAAATATGACATTGTGAGTAATAACAAAAAATATATAAAAATAACAGTTTGAAAAAGAAGAAAAATGGAAACTGAATCCAGAAATGTAACAGGGTTGTTTCGAGTCTTTCTGTTTCGATTTGTTCTATTTGGATCCTGCATTTTACTTTTTTTTTTCTTTTTCTTCATTCATTCATTCTTGTATTTATCCCCTCCCCAACTCTTACATTAATTGACAAAAATGATTTTTACCTATGCGCATAGGAAAACCAATGCATATGAAAGTCCTATTGTGGTAATCACAGATATTTTCTCTCCCTTAAATAATTTTGTATACCATGGACCACCAAAAAAAAAATTAACAAGATGTTGATCAACGGGAAATTGGCAAATCTTCGCTTCATTCCGTTGTGAGCTATTTATCTTTTTTTCAGTGAGTTTATTTATCGTGAGAATACATGATCAGCAAGTGGCTCCTATTTAAAAATTACTCCGCGCATCAGTTGCTTCTTCATTCGCGCATGCAGGAAAAAAAAACCTAGCCACACATGCATTTGAATGTCAAATATTTACATATAAACCAATATAACTTTACATAAAAAGCAAATGAATTTTTTATAATTTAATATATGGCATGTTTTTCTGTTTATGAAATTCAACTCACTTTCACCCTCTATCCTTTCTTTTCCCCTTTTTTGTTAACTTTACATTTACCCTATTTTATAACAGCATTAACAAAACTCATACCCTATTTTCACACATAATATAAAAAGTACTAAACAAATAACATAAAATGAAAATATCCTATATCCCTATTATTCTGTCTATCAGCGCTGCGCTCACACATGCACACTACAAATGCACAACCGACGAGGCCTTTGATGTTTTGTTCAATGATATTACTGCGGATTTGCTTGCCGAGCATATACTTGATTATCTGAAAAAGGGTTCTGTCCAGTGGCGCAATGATATAGACCAGGTTGATCCCAGGAAGTCTGCCGTTGCACTTATTCTACGCTATAGAGCAATTCTCGAAAAACTGCCGGTTGCCATCGCTTCAAGGTTTCCGACAATCTAAATAGTAATATATTTTTTTGGTGTATTTTCCAAAAAACAATATCATTAGACCATTTCAATTAAATAGTTAGTAATAAATATCAATTATAATAATATATTAATACTTGTTAATTTTGGAATGTAATAGTGTTATAATAAGAGGGAATGTGTATAGCACTACAATGCAGTGTTAGAGAGTGGGGCGTCAGTTTATAGAGGTTTTTATTATCAATGGAGTCAAAAGTAGAACTAAGGCCGACCTCATCTTATATATATGCCTCGTTGCCTTTATTGTGCACTTCACCGATTGTACACTCAGTTGGCGAGAACTGGTTTTTCTACAAACAGACTAGTATCTTGGCGTGTCAATGTTATGGTCTTCACATGTGTGCATTCATGCATATACATTATGAAGTGGGGGGGGGCATATCAGGGTGTCATTATTATGTCTCCTGACTTGATACTACATGGTGCCATCTATGCCCTATCAATCGAAATGTTGATGAAAACTCGTTCCACGATTCTCAACCTCGATATCCACTTTCATATCATCAAACTGCTCAATAATAGTACTTATATTATATTCAATATAAGCTTATTTCCAAATGATTTTTTGGCATCTTTTGCAGATGGGCTGCCATTGAGCAATAGGTGGCTTGGGTTTAGTGGCTTTGATCAAGCAAATTTAAAAATATCCTTTAGAATATATACACCATGCACCCACAGGAAGCCCCTCCACTAGCTCATCTTTAACTTCCAACCCCCACCCACACCCACATTTTATTTTTATTTTAGCCACTTGCATGGAATATACAAAAACCGGTTTAAAATATACTTGGCAATGCCCAGTGGGATTCAACAAACCACATTGAGAAATGGAACCAAACGCAATAATAAACATAAAAAATGTTTTATAAACAAAACCTGCTCAATTTTTTAATAAGTAAAACCACTAACCACCACTTCATCTATCTACCAATCTCAATCTCAATCTCAATTGTTTTATACTAAAAATATCAATCTCTAGTTATCAAAAATATTTTTTTTACAAAAATGAAGTATTACCAAAATTACATTTGCTCTTCTCGGCCTTATTACCTTCTTCTTTGCCCACCAGGGATGTAGTATCGACGCTGCTCTCGATACAATATTCAACGATATGACTGTGGGCCAGCTATCAGACAAGGTGCTGCACAACGTCCGGCGCGATATGAACGGCATAATAAGCAGTTTTGAAAACCTATCCACAGGCCAGATTGCTGACAACATCGTCGACAGGTAACAGGGTCCTCAAGGAACTCTTAACCTATACCGGAATAAATCTCCCTCAAATATAATCCTGATTATAAAAGTTCTCTTTAAAAACATTTCATTGTTTTTCATATATATCGCAAAGGTTCCAAAGTTTAACCGCAGGGTATAAATATTGGCTGCAAGAATCACTGGTTCCAAATGTCAGCGGGTACGCGTACAAGGTTCCAAACAGCACCAAAATGGCAAATCCCATTAGAATACGGGTAATCAAGCGGCGATGTTGCACTGGCAGTGCATCATCCGAAAGAAGTGTCTGGGCAACCACCTGAGCGCCTTTACAAATGTAAAACGCAAGTAGCAGAAGGCTAAAATATAGAGCCGGCAGATAGTGATGCAAGTATGTGGCGCGAAAAAGCGCAAAAAATACAAAGTAATTTGCCGCCCACATTGCCCAGAGAAAATGAATCTCCCAGGGCAAAACCAAGTCGACAACCTTGCCGTGCGACCTGCGGCCAATAACCAAAGATAAGAACACAACCAATGGATGAATAAACACACAGACTATGGCTGATGCCCACCACAGGATAGGATTACCAACGAGCGTGTACTTCAGACCACCCACCCATCCGCCCATTGGCATCGGCCTTGTCAAAAAAGGCCAGCTAAGGGGCGAGCTTTCAAACTCGCTATGGACATCCGGGTCAATAAAAAGCATGCTGTTTATAAGATGCATCAACCGCCCGTATGTAATAATATGCTGGGATGTTTTGCTGGCGAGAATTTGGCGCAAGTCAACTGTCGGCGTGTCAATTGTGACTATCTGATGCTCGACACTCCACACTGTGCCTTGCTGACTGCCGCTAACGCACTCGAATACGTACGGCGGTATTATTAATTGCTGGTCGGCTGTTTCTTCGACAATGTGGTTGTAGTCGATGGCTACTTCGCAGTTGTGCTCAATGGACTTTAGTCTGAACTTTGTCGCCACTGGAACCAGCTTGCTTCTGTCGTTCATGTGTTCAGGCGTTTCTTGGTTGGAAACAGCTATTTGCCACGTATTTTTCCCGTAAAGATCATGCAGACGATTGGCTTCGCAAAATTCGACCAAAAGCCCACGCGAGCTTGGAAGCTCCGTGCCGGGAATACACATATGCTGGCTTGTTTTAGGCACGCTAATTTCTACAAAACTTCCGTCACGAACAGCAGCAGCAGCACGCTTGTCGGCATTGTCTGTGTCGCGGGCATTCTCGGGCACCAACATCGGCTCTGTGCCCGAGGAATCCATTATTCGAATTCCAAGATAATTTTCAATTACAAACTCCCGCCTCGTAATCAGCACGTGCTCGTCCGTGTCGTTCTGAAAATAATAGCTCATATACTCGAACGGATACGCGCTTGCTCGCAGAACAACAAATGAATCCGAGTAAATGTTGAGAGGCTGGATCTGCTGTGCAGAATTGTTTGACCGCGCAAGATAGTCCGACCCCATGTGGTCCGACTGCGGGCTGTAGTTTTGCAAGATATGGAAATGAATCAGAAACCCCGCCAGGTACACAGCCGCAGGGATCACCGAGAGTGCCAGGGCGTGTGCGAACCATGCGATGATCATTTGTTTTGGCTGGCTGCTGCGAAAGCACAATAAATCAGATAGCATGCAGATACCAGTAACCGCCAGCGTCAGCAGACCAACAACTTTGATACTACAACAGCCTTAATGCAAGATAAATACGAAAACGCCAAATTGGTGTAAATAAACACGGGACAATTGTTGTGCGCTTTGTACACATGCACGGGTATAAAAGCTGCAATTAATTGTTTTTTATACCTGCAAACCAGTGATAGCGCCAGGCCAAGCGCCATCATATGAAAGCACCATTTGCGCGAGCCAGGTGCCAGCCCGGAATTCCTCAGACAAACAAACGCTCCCACCGCAACGGCATTCGCTAGCATCAGCATGCTGTCAAGCACAACCATTCGCGAAACACCAATCACTGCATTATCGGCTGCCACAAACCCCGCCGCCAGCCAGGCACCCGCCGTTGGAAGCCGCATACTCAGGCACAGCCAAAACGTCACAGGCACGAGCCCAGCTCCCAGCCCAGCCTGCACACACCTCGCGGCAACAAAGGGCACGGTCTCAGGGTACTCGTGGCCACTGGCAAAATCAAAACCACCCTGGTATCCAAATGTCCAGTACACAAGTGCAATTAAAAGCTTGCCCAATGGCGGGTGGACATCCAGGTAGAATAGTCTGTCGATGTAGTGGTTGGCAAAGTTGCCAAAGTGCGTTTCGTCCCAGATTACCCGGTCGAACTGGCCTATTCTGTGAACCCGGACGAACAGTGATATAAAAGTCAATGCTGAGAGCAGGGTGATTTGGGAGCGGCGAATCCGCGCAAACGCTCTTGGCCTGCGCGCGCTTGTCCGGAGTATGGCGCGAAATGAAAGGCGCTGCATAAGCATAACAAATCAAATGCGTCGTTTAACAGGGTTTTATTTGTGCTTTATTGATTCAAACTATGCAGGCTAAAATAAATTACGTTGCCATATATATGTTGTTTTTGTACCCAAGGTTAGCAAAGCGGCGAGAAATGAAAAATGAAAAAGTGAGGAAGTTTTTGGTGTCGCGCCCATTTGGCCAGAAAAGAAATAGGCTTGAACGAAGTAACGCGCACAGATGCATATGCACGGCTTAATTAGAACGAGAAAGATTATTTTTGAGCATTTCCGGTTTTGTCCAAAATCAGGCCACATAAAAAATGAAAATTTTTTCATGCACAGCGCGTACTGTTTGATGACATCAGCACGATCATTGGCCAAAGAAATCACAATCGCTGCAAGCTTGTGTGACAAGCATCAGAGCCAGCTTTTTTATTTTTTATTTTGCGATCGGAAATAACAGCCGCACATTCTGAGGAGCAAAAAAAAAACATGGCTTTTTATTTTTTATTGTGGCGAGTGCGCAGTTGGCTCTCGAGCTGCGCAGTTTAGTTCCAAGAAGATCCTGGGCGTTTGTCCGATATTTTCTTTTTTGCATAAACTCCTTTTCTTGGTCCGATAATAATGCCACGAAATAAACTGAGGCTGGCTTGATCCAATCTATTTCAAGATCTGGATCTGCATATAAAAAGCTGGAGAGCGGACGCAAAACAGCTCCGACAGTCTCGCCCAGTGCAATATATACAAAGAAAATCCTAAGCATACGCGCATTAATTATGAATGCGCGTAAACCTCACCGCCTGGTTCAAAGCTCAATTCAGTCTACAACCAAAAGTGTCGGCGTTCGCGCTTCTTGACGCTCCTCGCACTTTTTATTGTTTTTTTTCTTTACAGACGAAACAAAAAAAAGCCCAAATCGGGGACGCCCAAAACCCCCTGAATCATTTTTTTACTGCGCCAGAATTTTTTTTTTCCATTTTTTTCCATTTTTTCCTCCCCTTCAACCCCCCTGCCACACCTTTTCCCCCTTCCCCCCAACTTTTATGACTGGTCAGCCCTCTTCCAACTTGGCCACAATTGTTTTTCCATTTTTCCATTTTTGCGTTGTTTGTTTTACTCACACTATTACGCCTGTTTATTTTATATTTTTCATTCCTTGTACGCATTTAATACCTTTTTTCGTTGCTCATTTGTATTATTCACCGCACAGCTTTCGAGTAAAAGAGAAGCCCGAGTCAGACAGCAGCTACACATATACGCAGAAGATCGGTTCAGGAAACGCAGGAAACAATACTTACGGGGCCATTCAGCTATTGCATATTCACACAGTAAAAAAAAAAAGCAGGGCTAGCATTCTCCTGTTTCGACAGTCAAACACAGCCAGCAGAGGTTACCATAAATGATCTCACCGTCAGAGCTACGGACGGTCATTGACGATATAAAGCAAGTTGCGGCGTCGGCTCCACCGGTATGCGCGCATTACTCTGAGGACGAGGATCAGTCAGACAATGATTTTTTGCCGCGCGACTACGACATTGACCGGCTGCATGCTGACGATGCCCGAGACAAGGTCTTTGTCGCCATTCTCAAGGCCCTGGTTGCCCGCCACAACAAGCCCAGTTCTCCGAAGGAGCTGGCCACGTGCATTATGAAGCATGAGTTTACATTATTAGGGTAAGTTCCATTATCTTTGGTTATTTTTGTGTTGCTTTGTTGCTCTTGCGGGTATTCTCGTTTGCAATCCCTTTTTTGGCTTGTGCGGATCGATGTACAAAAAAGGAATTACTCATCGTTTTTGACGAGCGAGTAAGAGTGCGAGAGAGAAAGAAAAAGACATTCTCAATCCCCACTTCGTGACCCCTTTCATTTGCTTGCTCGCTTAGACCAAGCTTGAAGGGCTAAAGACCAAGTGGACAAAGCACAAAAGTCGGGGGAAAAAACAAAGTGGATCTGTCATATCTTGCTTGCTTGGCCGATTTTCTTATGGTTACCGGGCGCCTTGCCAGCGGCACGCTAAGCATCATTCATCTTTTTTTCACTTTCTTTCTTTTCTTGCTCACCTGGCTGTTTCTGCTCTGCGGTTGAGTTTATCCGCGCCTTTTCCACTTTCCGTCCATGATGCCCCCCCTCTCTCCTCTCCTCATTATTTAGTCCGCACCACATCACCTCACCCGTGCTTTTTTTTCTGCTCGCCAAATAAGAAGAAATAGCCGCTGGTGGGCCGGGTCGCGAATGCTTTATTTTATTTGCTATTCGCCTAATGCGGGCGCCATATAGGAGAATCAATTTTAATATCTGCTCTTGAACACCCTTTTTTTCTTCCCCCCCCCCCCGCGCTTGCGCACTCTATTCCACACACAAACATTGATATTGTCAATGTTGCTCGCTGTGCACTGCAAATAAAAAATGCAGATTAGATTTATTGTTCTGCACTAAAGCGCAGAGGATCTAGAAATGGCAAAAGGAAACACCCCCAAACCCCCAGAAAACGACATGCCGCTAGTATCGGTTCTTTTCATCTTGTATGCGTGCTTGCAGTCAGGTCATTTTTTTGGGTCGAGGTTCCATGCCCAAAAGTGGATCCGCCTTTTCATCCCTTTCTCCTGCTTGTGTGTACAGCGCGCGGTTTTCGTATTTTATTTGTCCAGAAAAAACTAACTTGCTTCCACGCCTGCGTTTTCTTTTCACTCTTTCCCCCCGAAATCTTTCAATTAAAGCGGCCTTCAATAGAGGCGCCACGCCCTACGCTACAGTCTCATCGCGCATATCGCAACACTTCAAACGCATACTTGAGCACATCCCGCCGCGGCCGCCGATACTGGGAAGGGTGGCCCACGAGAAACACACGCGCAAATATTTTTACTACGTGGCCTCGGCACTGGAGCAAGAGGATTTCCTTCGCAAAGTACGCATCGGTCTCATCCCCACCCACAGCACTGCATCGAGCAGCAACAGCAGCGCTCGCAATTCAAAATCAATCAAAAAGACGCGGTGCATGGTCCCCGCAGTCGCCGTCGAACCGGATCTCTCGCTGACGATGCGGAGGAACAGGCGGGCCAACAGCGCAGACACAACCGGGCAGAGACCGGCCGGGCGGTCAGCCTCGCACAGCGAAGCCGAGCGTGGCAGGCGGTCCAGTCGGGTATCGCTGGGAGTCAGCACCCGGCCGCGGCGAACCTCGTATGACGGAGGATCGAGCAGAGTGGATGCTTCGGGTGACGAGGGCAGCGAGGAGAGCGACGGGGGCAATCCGTATGCGCGTAAAAAGTACAAGTCCGTGAGATCGGCCGTGGCACAGGTTTACCCTAAGCGGCGATCCAGGGTGCAGTCGGGTATCATGCCGGTGGTCTCGTCAATGGCGCCGCGCGCCCGGAGGTCCGCCAGCCATGGCGACACGCAGAGCACAGGCGGCCACAACAACAGCAGCCAGGCTGGGGCCGGCAAATGGCGGCCCAGCTGCTCGTCTTCATCTGACAACGACGAGGCTGATAAGGAGCTCTCCGATGACGAGGAGCTCTCCGAAAGCCTGGCGAAAATCAAAAGCTACCGCCTCAGCAGCGGCAGCGGCAGCAACGAGGACAACAACACGGCAATATTTCAGAGCGTCCACCACGATCAGTCTGACAGCGAGGACAGGAGTAAGACCACAGTGTCTATGCGACGGCGGGCCGAGCCAGCAACGCTGATGCCATTGGTGCCACACACGACACCGCGGGCATCAGCATCGCCGGACCGGACGCCATACCCCCCAGCGACGTCGCCGTCGTTCCTCGCACACAGACTGCTCGGCGAGAGTGGGAGTGACGGCGAATTGCAGGTGGCCTCGCCGCTGCTGCTGCCGCGCGGGCTGATGTCCTTGCAGATGCCGCTGGATAGCATTTTCGGCACGTCGCCGATTGCCGGAAAGGACTCGATTCCGTCGCCTGCTGATATGATGACGCCCGTGGTGACTGCTGCCTCGGTGATGCTGCTTCCCGAGGACTCGGTCGTCCCAGCTGCACACTCGTCGGCACTGCTACTTTCGGCCGGTAAGTTTCAATGATCCATTCATCCACCCACCCCTCCATGTTTTGTTTTGTTTTGTTAGTGCCATTTTGCCATTTTGTGTGTGCTGCGAATCCTATGCTTCGTATCTGTGAATGAGCATTCACGGGTAAAGTTTTTTATTTGCCTCTCATGGATTGTCCGCAGATTGTCCGCGTTAGAATAGGAACAAACAGGCCGAAACAAATTGTGAAGCCATGTGGCTTACAACTTTTGTGTGTCTGAACCTCTCTCTATTTTACTTTTTTTTTTTGCATTTGCTTGTTTTTGGGGGTGTTGTTATGTGTTGGTCGCAATTATAAAAGAGAGCAAACCCCCCTCCCCTGGAATGCAAAACGGCGCGCTAAACAAACAAATCGCTTGCTTAAACAAAAAAAAGTGCCAACAAAAAACCTTGATTTTTCTTTTTTTTTCCTATTTGTTTATCCCCCGTTACATAATTCGTCTCTTATTTGTACTAAACACACATTTCCCCCTTTTTCTCCTTATTTTTTTGCTTGTACTTGTTATGCTGTACTGCGTATGGACAACTGTTCTGTCGACTGGTTGGAACAAATAGGCATGGGTCTAGACACGCACGATAACAAAGTCACAGGGACTTGCCCTGATTTCGTCAAACATAACACAACGCCCGAACACATCAACAGCCCGAGTGAAACCGCTGCCGAGCCCCACACAGACGATGGACTTGGCAGCGGCAGCGGCAGTGGCAGCAGCAGCAGCACAGCCCCGCTAATATCTCACAGCACCAAATCCGTCGTCCAGACGGATAAAGGCCAAGAGTACGACTTTAGCTTCCACGATCTCATGGATGCCGAGCTAATGTCCATCAACGAGCTGGACAAGCTGTGGAACAACTCGAATCCATGCGCAGAAGAAGAGGATGATGATGATGATTCAGAGGATGTGGGCTGCAGGTTAGGGCTGCTGCCCACTATACCCGAGGTGGCCATGGAAGATGATGGCGGCGAGAGCTCGGCGGCCATGCTGGCTGCGGCTAACAAGCCTACAGGTGCCAACAGCGACAATGAACAGAACGAGCTTCCATCGAAGCTCACGCAGAAGCTTTTGGCCCTGTCCGCAACGCCCAAAAGGGCAGCGGCAGCGGCGGCGGCGGTGAATTCATTAGCAATGGCTGGCTGCAAATCTAAAAAAGAGCAGCAGCAGCAGACAGTGGCTGCAGCTGAAAAGGTGTCAAAGAGGTTGGATGTTTATGCGCGGGGCGAAACGTGGTGCGCCTCAGTCCCCACTTCTGCTTCTGCTCCGCAACAATCTTTGAGCACCACTGCACTGGACAGCGTCGAGTCAACCAAAGTTCTCGTGGACAACACAGACGAGCATGAGGAGACAACGACATCCTGCAGCAAGGTCGTCCTTCCCGACCCCTTCGCCGACATCCCGGCGACCGCCATGGTGGCAACCAAAATGGCCGTGTCGCCACGCATCGTGCTCACCATTGTCGAGACCGTCCCTGTTTACATGACAGTCATCACGACAACAGAGGCCGCGGGCTCTTGCACTGGCAAATGGATTGTGCGCCGGCACCGCCTGCTGAGGCTGGTCGAGAACGGGTATGTCAACGCGTCGTCTCTTCTATTAGCCGGCGGAGTAGCGTCAGAGCAGGAGCGCAGCATTGTGCTGAGCCTGGAGGTTGGTAGATTTAAGTGGCGTAGGCCGCAGAGTAAGCTCTATGGCACCTGGATCCCGCTGCCCAGGGCCCGGGCCCTGGCCGCCACGTGCTCTCTGAACCACCGCCTGGGTCCCTTCCTCAACGACAACCTCGAGGCCTACTTCCCAGCGCCGCTGCCGACGACTTTCATCCGCCACCTCATCACACCCTTTTTCACCGACCCCACGGGCGTCCTGCTGGCCGCGAGCGACCCCGATGCCGGGCTGGGCATTGAGTTCCAGCACCTGGTCAACACGGCGGCGGCCAACCATCGGCCGGCGCAGAGCATCTCTCGATCCAGCACCTTTGGCGCCACTGCCCGAGGCACCCCGTCTCCGTCCATTATTCAGTCGCTGGCCACGCGGCCGGGGGCATTTAGTTTTGCTGGCGCAGCCAAGGCTATCTTTGGCTCGGATGACCGCCACTTGCAATCGCTGCTGCAGCTACTGAGTGCCGACAGTCCCATGCTGAGCACTCCGGGCGAAGCAGAGCGCGCAGAGTCGATGCAGGCCGGGCCCGGGCCTGATGCAAAGGCAGAAGCAGAGACAGAGGCAGAAGCAGACGGGTGCGGGCAGGAGGATGAAGACGAGGAAGCGAGTGACTCCATTGCACTGGATGTCAAGGGCGAACCCAAAGAAGGGGCTGCATTGGGAGAGGACTTCGGTCGTGACGGCGGCAAAGCTTTAGCACAGACTATGGGTTCAGATGTCGTGGTGGAAGACACGGCCACTGTGTCAATCGAAACCGACGGCACACACACGCCAATGCCCGACCACCTAGCAGCAGTAGCAGAGTGTACGGGTGTTGACGCAGAAAAGCTTGCTGAGGCCATCTCCTCTCTCAATCAGATGCAGGACCCAATGGGCGACGCGATGGACTGCGAGATGGATCTGGACATGAGCATGGTCATGCCGGGCGCCGACAGCGACGCCGACATGATCTGCTGCTCCACGCCGCCCTCCCCGCCGCCACCACCTGCTCTGCCACTGCGCCAGCGCCGCATATCCAACGCGCCACTAACAATCCCCCGCTCCTCACCGGCCATCTCGCAGAAATCGCTGGATGGCTCAGTGGCTGACGGTGAGGATTCCCAGGAGGAGCTCCTCGACCTAGAAGACGACCAGAAATCGCAGTCTCGTCCATACTCGCCGCAGCAGAGACACGTCGGCAGTTTCAATGCCCGCTTGGCGCAGACCATGGAAGCCTTTGGGTTCACGGGCGCGGCCAAAACCAGTCTCCTGTTGCGCCTGCGCGCGGCAGCAGCAGCCAAGAGCACGGGAAAGCAGCAGGCTGTCGCTCCCTACATGCTTTACCGCAACAACAACAGCGGCGGCGGAAGCGGCGGAGTCAAGCGCGGCAAGATTGCTGCGGCGTTGACCGATGATGACGATGCTCTGACCCCTGGGAGCGTGCGTAAACGCGCCAAGGTTATTCGCATTCCAAGGGTCAAGCCCATGGCCAAGCCCCTAGTCAAGCAGAAGAAGCCCAAGGCGGCGCCTGACGCCTCTGTGGTTATGCGCTTGGCCAGTGCCATTTATAACCATACGTTGAATATGGCGGCTCTAGCCCAGGCGCAACGTCAGGCGGCGGTGTCAGCGGAGGCTGCATCGACAGCGGCCTCAACGTCAACGTCGGCGACGACGACTGTGTCGGTTAATCCAGTGCCGGCTACTTCGGCTGCGCGCGCACAGGGTGCCCAGGCGTCGCCAGGCACTCGTGTGGCCCAGCCGCGGCAATTGCAGCGGCCAGCCCAGCCACAGCCACAGCCACAGCCACAGCCACAGAAACAGGGGCAGGGGCAGGGGCAGCAGGGTGCAAGGATGCTGCAGAATATGGCGCGGGTCACTTCGCCTGGGGATCCACGCGGCGGGCAGGTGAGGCCGGGAATGTCACCCCAGCAACAGCGCCCGGCGCTGCCACAGCATCATCCGCTTCAGCAGCAGCAACAGCAGCAGCGACCGGGTGGCCTTCCCAACCGTCCTCCAATCAGGCGGCCTCCAATGCGTCCTGCTGGCAGCATGAACGGCAAGTCGCCGGTCAATTTGCAGCAGCAGCAGCGGCCTCCGATGCAAGTCAGGCGCCCGCCGCCCATGGGCTCGCCGTCTGGCTCTGCTCCTGTGCGTCCTGGGTTAGGCGGCATGCGCCCCTCGCCCAATGGAGCTGCGCAACAAATGCGGCCGCCCCTGCCTCGACCGTTGGGAACACCGCCCGGCGCGCAGGTGCGGCGGCCAGTGATGCATAATAACGGTGTGCAGCGGCCGCCGAACGGTGGACCGTCACCTCGTCCTCTTATGCGTCCTCCTCCCATGGCCAATGGCATGTCTCCGCGCCCACGGCCGATGCCGATGCCGGTGTCGATGAGTGGGGGTCGTCCGCGACCACCCATGGTGCGTCCATTGACTTTATCACAGAATTCCCAGGCAAGCAGCCCGGTGCTAGTGCGGCCTCCCAGACCACTGACCAATGGCCAGCAGCAGCAAGCTTCCCCCGTTGTGCAGCCGGCCACTCTGATCACCCCCGTCACTGCCCAGTCGGCAGTCCGCCCACAGCAGAAGCCCCCTGTGCCACAACAGCAGATTCCCGTCAAAATGCAGTCGCCACAGTCACCACAGTTGCCAAGGACCCCACTGTCCGGCATTGTGCCTGCGACCACCGCACCACCACCGGCTGCTGTTGCACAGCCGCCGCCTGGGCTCAAAAAGCAACCGACGACCTAGATATTTTTAAATCACCTACAATTAATGCTCTCAAACATTGTTTATTCCCACTTCCTATATATATACTATTTTTTCAAAAGCCGGAAGAACCAATTCAAGTTATATTTCATTTTCCCAGACACTGCCGGCCGCTGGATGCAGGCCCTCCTGGGTGGGCATATCCTCCACCAAGGCATCAAACACGGCCCTGGCGGCAATCTCCACTAAGCGCTCGCTATCCTCGGGAGAAATAAACTTGTTGCCCGTCCGGTCAGCAAACACCATCAAAGCGCAAGCAGTGCGGATGGATGGCCGGTCCATGTTTTTGGCTCCGGTGGACGCCTGTGCTAAATGAAACAGCATGTGGCTTTCCATTTCTAGCGCCGAAGCGTCCTCGTACTTCTCCCTTATGCGGTCCAACAGCCCCTCATTACAATCATAGAAATCGGTTCCGATCCGGCCCTGCGACCCATAGAAACTATCGGCATTACCGACAGATCCCGCAAAAACATGCTCTGCGCCCACAGCTTCACTCAGTTTCCGCTTCACGACGCGCGTCAAATCTTTATCAGCTTGCACAGGTTTCCAGAGCAAATACGGCTCACCTTCTCCTTCTTCGAAAAACGCATAATTGCGCCCAATAGCGAATGCGCTCTTGGCAACAATTATGTCTCCCGAAGTGGCCTGACAAATCGACCCACAAGACCCAAACCTCACTATGCTCAAGGGCCCCTCAATGACCATTCGACTTTCCCTTACAAAGAAATCCATCATGGAAAGACCCATTCCTATGGCAACTACGCTGATTGGTAGGCCCTTGTAGAGACCAGTTATAGTGAGGAACCCGCGGTGAGAGGAGTGTGTGAAGAGGATTTTGTCTAGGTAACTGGCCATTTTTTGCGCGCGTTTGGGGTCGCCAACAGTTAGGATGCGGTTGGATACCTCGCCTGAACGCGTCTCTATGTGGTACGTGCGACCTTCGGTGCTGAGTGGTTTGTTGGCACTTGTCATTTGTTCCGTAGGCATGGTTGAAAAATATATGTGTTTTTGCTATGGGTGAGTGGAATAAAATATTTAATTGTTTTAAAAAAATTAATGGGTACAGAGAAGATAGAGAAAGAAAAAAGTTTGTTTTTTTATTGTTTTTTTTGTTTCAAGATTATTTTTATGACTCTTCAAGATATACACTTTGTTTGCATTTTCGAATTTTCTACTTCCCTCTTTTTTTAAAAAGATCTTCTGCAATATTGCGATGTCATCACAAACTTTTTTTAGAACCCTGATTCTTGCTAAATTTATAGATCAAGATCTATTGTATCATGAATGATATCACTAATTCATTTATTTATTTTCTGGAAAAAGTACATGACCACCTCACACAGCTTACTCGTGCTCACCTACATCTGCATCAAAACAAAACAAAAACAGCAATGAACAATTGAGCACAACATGTGTCACGCACACACACAAAATAGGAAAAAGGAAAAATTGAGTTGTTGCATAGCACATGTGATATTCATTTCACCAAAAACAGATTTAAAATAAAAACAAAAGATAAGCCTGGTAGATACAATTATAAACATAAAAAACAATGCAATGTATAAATGTCATGGGTGTGTTAATTCACAGAAACGCAAAAATAAAAAACAAGGCTATTTGCCTCTCATTAAAATTTTTATTTTTCTTAATTGCTCGAGCTTGTCTCTTATTTATCTCTCTCCCATCCAATTGAGTATATGGAAAATATAATCAAGTTACGAATTCTCATGCATAGCTTCATTTATCTTTGTGGCCATATGCTCTTGCTCACATGCACTGCTGACATTCATTGTACTCCACATATTTTTTTCCTAACACATGATTACAAAATGGCGCGGACAACGAATGTCGAATAACATGCTAAAGCACAATTATTGACAAAAAATAAACCTTTAACTTGGGCTATACAATGCTATAAAAAACAAAAACAATTAAGAATTAACAAAACAACAAATTAAATATTATTAATCATGAATTTAAAGAATCATGTTTCTGAGAAGCTCGCGCTTCTTGGGATTGTTGCCCTTGCGCCTGGGGCTGTTTTTGTAAGAAATTAGTATCTGTCTGATCTCCTCAGCAATATGGAGCAACACAAATATTGTCGATGTGGAAATGGAACGTACGGTTGGAGTTGGATGTTGTGCTGGCTGATCATCGGATGAATATGGCGTATCTGAAGCTACAGATGCCAACGCATTAAAGATATCTGCATCTGTTGAATCTGGAAAGCAAACCTGAATGTAGCTATGGAATTTATAACGACCAACAGTCAATTGCTGAACAGGCCCAGTAACCGCATTTTTCCGATTCCAAGTTGAACTGTGTACCTTATCGTAATGCATAGTCATGCTATCCATTACAACAACATAATAGTTGCAATGCTCGCACCAATACCCACCATTAATAACTTTGATCCCTGGAACTGGCAAATCCACTCGCTGCAAACGACTCTTAAACCATTGCTGAAATTATTCCATTGACTTGGAGTCCAAATCCTCTGACAGAAGATAGCGACACATTGGCTTGATATCTTGTTGATTAAAATTGGGCTTGTGCTTGGTTCTTTTTATTTTACAGCAATTGGAAAAATGCTTGTAAATGCCATCAGGAAATACCATGTAGCGGGCAAGTCAAGCAAACAATCAGGCCGCTTTTTTGTTCAACCTATAAGTTTACCGCAATCAAAGTCGACTTTGGCAGAGGTGACTACATATAATAATAATCAATATGGGTTAGTATTTAACAGTCAATTACACCCAATTTAATATTGAATCATTTTAACCAATACTTACACTTGTGCTGGCATTGTCGACAGTGCCAGTTCAATTGTTGGTATCCATTGAATAAAGCACACTACGCTCAAAAGCATGGCTCTTTTTCATATAGTCGTGTTGATGTAGTTTTCCACAAAAACATTCGAGCTTGTCGCCCATTCATTGGAATGCGTACTTGCTGCCGTTGGCCGTAGTGACTGTCACCGGATAGTAATGTCTTGTGTCTATTTCGTAAAACATTTGTCATAAAGGATATCGGGCATTTAATGCACTTGAACACCTTTGACCTGTGTTTAGTTCTGCTGGGAGGCATAGCTGAAAAATGATAAAGAAATAAGAAATAAGAAATAAAAAATAAAAAATAAAAAATAAATTCAAAAAAGCATTCAATCAAAGTGTAGTCAAAAAATAGCTTACGCCATTGTGATTGCTGCTGTAAGGCAATTGAACATATGGAAAGTAATTGCATTGTTCCATGTCTGAATCTTTACATTATTAGTCAGTATTTCTGCAATCCGTTTTTGGGCGTTATTGTAGTGAGCAGATATTGTAAAAATGATAATTATAATAATAGTTATAATCATGTCGAGCACATTCCTATAGCAAGTGCAGTTATTTTGTCACATAATGACCAGCTGACATTCAAATAAAGATTTAAATGTAAATAAATAAAGAAAATAATTATTATAAAACAAAGGTGCGCTCTTCTAACAATAAAATATAAATGTTTGCTACTAAAAGAAACGCTGCGTTTCTGGAGTGACCGGATTTTATTAACTAGAAATTTACGTGGCCGCATCTGGAATGCAAACTCGAATGTAATCTTGGTATGTAATACTACCAATAGAAAGCTTCTGAACAGGCCCAGTAACCATATTTGCCGAATACCACGACGAATTATGCAAAAGGTAATGTTTGCGCATAGCATCAGTTTTACAGGCAGAATAGCCACAGTGTTCGCACCAATACGCCTTTTCAATGACCCTGATGCCCGGAATCGGCACATCAACACGTTTCAAGCGATCCTCAAACCAGCGCTGAACTTCACTGTCTGATATGGCGCCCGAGTCCTTTGACATCATATATCGGCACGCGTCTTTAATGTTGTCTTGATTAAACTTGATCTTGTGTATGTGACCGTGGACTTTCTGACATTTGTAAACATGATTATAAACGCCAATGGGAGATACCATGTAGTGGCAAGTCTGGCAGATAATCAAGCCGCTACAACGGTCAACTTTTAAATTCAGCGCAGTCAACGCAGACTCTGAAGGAGGCGGCTATACAATATACAAAATTTAAAATATTGTTAGCAAATAATATCCATAAACACAAATATAAATTTGAGCAATCACATAGATACTTACACCTGCGTTGGTATCAATAGCCGAGTCTTTATGAACTTTGCTGTTATTAACCGCGTTAAGTACGCTACACACTGGAGCATGTCTGTCTTTCATATGGTTGTAAGAGTAGGCCTTGCCACATGGACACCCAAGCTTATCGACACTCTTCCATTGCAGTGTGTGCGCTCTGCCGCTGGCCAAACTAATTGTAACTGGAGTGTGGTGCCTAGAGTGCTTCTTTTTTTGATACAGAGTGTCAAAAGTCATTGGACAGGATGAGCATTTAAATTCTGTTTGCTTAGTCATTTTCTTGCTGCGTGCCATGTTTGGATACAATAACTAAAAAATAGTAATGAGTTAAAAAAACAATTATAGGCTGTATACCACCAAAAACAAAGTGCTCAATCAACAATGATTTTGTCACTTTTGCACATGTTGCTTTTAAAAATAAAATATGGGAATGGAATATACATTTTGCAAGTGATGATGTTAAATTCCAATATAGATCAAATGTATTTTAAAACATTAGTTGCGCAAAATAAAACCAATACTAAGGTCTCCAGAACATTATAATATTAATACATTGTGTTTTTATTTATTACCGCTAGCTTGAAAAGTGAAAAAAGCGCACATTTCACTAAATACAGCACATATTAATAAGCTGGTTTTATATTTAAAACGCTAATTATACGCTCAATTTACATGCTGCAGATATAAAATTTCTAAAAATTAAAAAATTAGATCGAGTTTTTGTATTCGCTTTTTTGCATGCAATTCTAACATTCATTGTTCTTTAAAAGCGATAATGTTTACACATGACTACAATGGGGGGGGGAAGCGGACAACAAAAATCAAATAGCATGTACAAACAAGCACAGTAGAAAAAAAGTTGGATGGGAAATATAATTATTGTGCGTTAATTCTAACGCCTCTGTAACAAGTGCGGTGCACGGTATTCAAAACAACAATGTAATTTTGTGCCAAAATAAAAATTTTATGATTTTTAGAGATAGAAAAATGAGATTGGATTAAATGCATGCTTTTTTTTAAACAAAATGTTTGTGTTCGTATGGTGTGTTATGTGTGAATGCAGATTGGTAAAGTACAGTTTTTGCAGTAAATGATAATGAATTTGCCACATCAGCTCAGCAGTGAAGCGCCGACGCAGTTGTGGTGCGAGACCAAGACAATGGGGATCCAGTCCGCACAGTGCCTTCAGAATCAAAAACAGCGTGGCGAATAGGGCTGACCGTGCGCAAGGGAGCAGCCAAAGGCGATGATGACCGAGACATAGATGCAGGAGAGCCAGCCATAAACGAGGGAGAATACCCGCCGTAATATGATGCACCAGAAGATGACAAGGAAGCAGTGGCAAAATCACCACCACACCATGCCATGTCCTCGTACAATGGCAATTCTGGCTGCTGCACGGTGCACAATGCCGGATGCATGTACGCCGCGGGAGACGAGAATCCATCCGCCTGAGCGCCCAGCCTACTGCCTGCAGATGGCGATGAAGAATATGATGATGCACCAAATACAGCCGCTGACTGCGCCATGTACCTGCGCGTATCAGCAGCTGTGGGCGAGGCAAATGAAGGCAATCCAGGTGCAATGGGCTGCTGCTGCTGCCCGCCAAATGTCAGACGCCGCGGCGCGTACAGCTCAGAAGAGCTGCGAGTGGTAGGCACAGTATCCATGTCAGCGTCCTCGTCGGCAATAGCTGGTATGGCAGGCGGAGCCAGCTTGAACATGAAATTGGTGCCGCCGTTGTTGTCCCAATGCTCGCTGCCGGCAACGTTATAGCGCACGCACATGGCAATGGTAGTCGGCAGATTCTCAGTGACCGACTCGGGCAGAGCCATGCCAAAGACAAAGCGGTCAACGCCTGGGCGTCCGCCTTGATTCTCGACCAGCGTGTGGCTAAACTCGGCGCTAATCTCATGAACCGACCGCCACTGATCAAACGAGTAGCGAACAACCACAGCCTTTTCAAACGCAATGTTGTGTACCTTAATGGTACCACGCAGGGCAGCGGAGCAGCGCTTGTTGTCAGCCAGCTCGACGCGCTCAAGCACGACGGGAGAGTCTTCAAATGTGGAGAAGGAGGGTGTCGGGCGGCGCAACGGAGTGAGGCGCACAGTCAACGGTTGCTGCTGCTTCTTGGGCGGAGAAGCAGCGCAAGGGCACTCGCTGTCAGAAAAGCCGTAATCAGGCATAGCGTCTTCGCACACAGATTGTGGGCTCTGGGCTTTGAGGAACCACCGCACGCACTCAAGGTCGGCGCCAAAGTGGACAAACCGAGGAGCGCGCATGTGTGACATGGCTATTGTCCGATCGCCACTGCAAAGACGCTGCTGCTCGCTATAATCAGGCACGCTGGCCGTAGTGTTGCTGCGCTTGCGCAAGCATGGGCGGACGATCTCGCCAGTACCCTTGCGCACGACTGAGGGAGTAGCGGGCACAGTCTTTTTGCTCACCACCATCATATGTTGCTGCTGCTTGTGTGCATAGTAGCTGCTGTTGCGCTTGCTGGGCATTTGCATGCGCAGTGAGAATGGCGGAAGCCGGTTGAACATGGCCTGGTCTTGCTCAGCTGCAGCTGCCGATGACGAGCAGCCCATCGGCGAGCCGCGCACAGACTGTAGGAATGTCGCTGTGGATGCAGGGATGTACATGGTTTAAATTAGTTTATAAAGTGATGAGTGATGGGTATCGAACGTGGCACGAAGAGAGAGACAAAAAAATGTAAATGCGAGTGTGTCAAAAAAAGACCCAAGATCAAAATAAACAAAATAGGCAAAGTATTTATTGTTTGTGTATGTTCGAGAAAGTGCAGATAAATAAAGAAACCAACAGTAAAGGTAATATCAAATTTTACAAAAAAGCACAGCGAAATAAACAAAGATTCCAATAAAAATGGTAAAATAAAAAATTACTAGGTATAGAGTAAAAAAATAGTACAAAAAAATAGTACAAAAAAGTTTGAAAAAATCGCTTTGTAAAAAAAGAAAATGAATAAATTAAAATGAACAAAATAGTGCTTATAAGTTTGTAGTTGCTTATATGTGCTGAGATTTAAAAGAAAAAATAAAATGTAATAGGTGGGGGCCGCGCGATGCTTTCAATTTATACTTTGGATGGGCGGGAACACCTGTAAAATGACCATCAAAATGCAGTGTGAACCCTCGATAAAATACAGGCATGCTTTCTGTCCCCGCCTCATCGTAATGCTCTAAAAAGAATCACTCTATTTTTTTTTACTCACGCGCCTTTTTTTCATTCGCCACCGCCTATTTTCCCCATACTTTCCACCACTCCTGTTTGGTGGAACGAACATTACGTGCAATTGTTAGGAAGCAGATAAAATACAGGCCACGGCAAAAAAAAGACAAAATAAAACATGGGATGCGATGGGAAGCAAAAGAAGGGGGCAAAAAAGAGGGGGGAGCAGAAGGGGGGTGGTCCAAAGTACCCCCACGCACGGTGGGTATGCCAGCCACCCCCATTCACCCACCCCCAATTTTCTCATCAAAACGCCTACTTGTCCAGCGTGCCGCACTGTAAATTTGCCATAGCGTGCTTATTTCGTTTATTTACGTGACCATGGGCAGCAAGCTGGAAAACAAAGGACAAAGGGAAGTAAGGGTAGGGTAGATTCAACCAATTGAATTGCTGCGGGTTGTTTGTCAACAATTGTTCTCTTGCATACCATTTTGGAGAGGAGTGCAGGACAAAAATGAGTAGTGCCAATCATTTTTCTTGGAAATAAAATGACCTTTCTCTTGCTTCACCTCTCCTGGTAATACGGACGGCCGATGGTGATGGGAGTTGATATATCTGCCAAAGCGGGAATCTTCAACGGCAACACTTGATCGATTTACTTTATTCGCTTGATTATGCTTTGTCCAACAGCGACAACCGCGACAACCGCGCAGCATACTGCGCAACAGCATCAGACGCAGCAGCAACACCAGAAAAAGGTAAGAGGCACAAAAATACATATGCAAAGCTTACAGAAGAGGCACAAAGGCCTGCGAGACAAGAGTGTACATTCGACAAATATTTTTTTTGCGCACCAAAAGCTCGACATTAACATCACACTGAAGATCACAATTCACTGCATTTATTTTTTGTTTGGCCCGATTCAACACGGTGGAAGGGGAAGTGCCTGGTCCTTCGGGGGTTGAAATAGAAAAAAGACTTCATAATTACCGCCCACTGTGACCAAGAATAAAATATGATTAATCTTCTGAGAACGCAATATTTATTGGCATTTTTTGCGTAACCGTTGTATGCCAGCGTTAGTGCCGCGCTGTTACTCCTAGAAAATCGGCCGAAATGGAATATTGCAGCATAACTTGGGCACTTCACACTATATCATTCGACAAATCAGTTGGCATCTGGTTGCCAAAAGAAAATACTATGAGGCGCCATGGGTATAATTTGTTTTTTATTTGAGTCGCTATTTCTTAGCCAATGCTTAGCAACTAGCACACTCCCACTACAAGATGACATCATTTGTACATATTGTTTGCCCCTCCTCCGTTTTGTTTTCCATTCTCTCTCATACCTACATGTATAGCTGGCACTCAACCCAATACAAAAGTGCGAGCGTTTTTATGAATGCAAAAGCAAATTGCAAAAGCACGCAATTTTATATAAAATTATAAGGGCAGCAGGTACAACACAATAAACCGGCCATATGGCGGATATGGCAATATTGGCCATAAAATAATTTGAGATTGCGTTTACAAATCACCAAGTTAGACAAATGCGATGCTCATAATTAAGGGTAGTAACTGGTCGTGATTCTAATTAATTTATTTTGTGGGCGCTAAAAACCCCTACGATCAGTGACAATCATTGGGAGAAAGTGAGGGGATGGCAATTGTGAGATATTTTGTGAGCGGCTGCCCAAGTTTCACATTGTGCACAGGAATGCATGTATCACGCAAAATCAAAGCTCGGTGCTTGTATTCGGAGAATATGTATTATGTTTGGTAAATCCCCATTGGCTGTATTAATCCATCCTGCCACCCTGCTATATCGCTTGTACTTGGAAGAAAAACTTGAAGAGATTGTGACACATCCAAAGTAATTTTAGTACTCTCAGAAACAAACAAAAAACGCACTCTCGCTAATAATTATTCTACTGTTATTTTTCCACACTATTCTCCAATGTTGCAAGGACCCTATGGACAAAAAAAGCTGCAAGCACAAGTAAAAAATGGTGCGTAATTAATAAATATTGCATTGTTCAAACACAATATTTTATTTTAACCAACAAACCTCCCACATATGGCGTTATCTTTTCCACATCAATTGCTAACCAGCCCAAAAATAACAATAGAATTGCACAATATAAGACTTCAGTTTTTTTTACTGCGTGCCAAACAATGCTAAACGTGAACAACTGTTTTTGCAATTCCTCGCCCTTGCTATTGGATATCCTCTTTACTACCAGCCACCTCACAAGATAAATAGTGCGGTATGGTACAGAGAAATACAGCTTCAGCCAATGACACATGGTATACAGTCGTAGTGGCGCAATGCAAAAAAAAAAACGAAAAAGCAAAAAAATGCAATCAGCCAAGCAACCAGCCTCCCTTTTCCCCAGAAATTACAAACCACGGGAAGAAAACACAAAAAAAAAATTGCTTGGCAGCACAATCGAAAAAAACCGAAATAAGGATTTAATTGGCTTTTACAATGCCGCTCGTTATCTGCATGCCATCTGTCCGTTATCGGATTCACATCAAAATCAGAAAAAAAAACATTAGGAGGGGAAATTAAGAGCTTGAACTACACAATGTTCAGGTATCCAATTGTGTCAAAGGCCCACTCTTCCCACACAATATTTCTGGCTTGGTTGTTTGATTGTGTATATGAATCTACACACAGAGGCACAAATATCACGAGAAAGCACGCAATTACCAAAATATTTACGTTAAATATTTCATTTTTCTCACGTTTTTTCATATCCTAATTGTGTGGTCAACAGTATCTTTTTTGTAAGCTTTTAGTGGATGGCATCTGTTTATTTACTTTTGCTGAAAATAAAGATTTAGCAGAATTTATGGACGATGACACAACGGTACTTCAAAATGAGCACCATTTTTGAGCTGTAAATGTATTTTCACATTAATTTGTCGCCTCGATTCTCGCACAAATGAAACCAAATACTCCATTGGGTCTTTTTCACCCGACTTTTTCCGCAAACACCAAAAACATTCTAACAAGAAAGCACGCAATCAGCAAATGGCCGATACTTGCTCAACATGAGAGGGGGTTTTTTGTCTCCGCAAAAGCGGTTTGTGCTTGCGGATTGGTGCGGGTTGGATCGATGTCCACGCATGCACCTTGTTTATTTTACATCCTGGTTGCCCTAAAGACAAAGAGAAAAAGACAAGCAAAAATTAAGTGGAGGAACGCACACGCATGCATTCATTAACAATGCCACTTCCACCCCACTATTTGCCTTGTGCATTTTCCCTTTTGTGACACGCGGCAAAAGCAATTGAAACCTGCTTCCACTTACTTGCGGATAGGTACTATATTTGCACTTGCATCTCTGCTCGTAATTTCCAAACGCACTTTGGAGCTGCTATTTTTTATTTCTTATAATAATTGGCATTTTTTTACACGGTGGAAGAAAGGTCATTGCCTTATCGCTGCTAATCGATGGGGTGGTTAGGGAGGAGCGACATGGCATAAAGATTGACACGAGCGCATCCGCGTTCCACTTTCCTGCGTGGCTCCTCAAATGCAGGCACTGCATTGAAAATCAGGAATAACATTAGGCAATACAAATAAAAAAATTCAGCAAGCTCATGTCTCGGACTTTTTTTTTATGCCACAGCACAAAATAAAATAATGGGGGAGAATAAAATAATTTTGGTGCCAACGCCGTGCCATAAACGGGAAGGTAAATTGAGGGGAGGGGGATTGTAGACATGCACAAGCAATGCCCACCTTTTGCAGCAAAAAAATTCCACGGACAAAGCGCATGAAGCGTAGCAAAAATAATGAAATCCGCTTTAAACGTACAGTAAAGCGCTATGCCCTCTTTTTTCTCACCAATATTCACGGATATCATTTATTTGTGTAATAAAATCGGCAAAGACTTTTATTTGTTTGGCCGGATCTCTGAAGGATATGCTGTGTATTAGGTATTCTAAATTGTACACATTGAATTAGCACTTGATATGCTACTTGAATTTTAAAATATAGCTTGCACCCATTCACGTGTTTGGCATACATTCATCTAATACATGTGCATACATGGTGGCATTCTAAAGAGAGCGTATTTATACAATCAGTTACACGTGGAATGTCAATATAATTATTGGATATTTTTAAAAACCAAAACCGCTAATGTCTGCTCTAACAGATTATATTTTTTTTTGGCGTAGTTGCCATTAATTTGACAACTTTTCTTAAACATACAATTTGGTTATTTAGTAATCCAAGTCAATCAAGTAGACCTATATTTATTGGTTATTTATTTGGGGGGTTTTTCCGGCCATTTAATAGCACCGGCTGATACTGTAAATGTGTGGGACAAAATTTATAAAATAATTGTCAAATTATGCTGGTGTGACACCCCCACCCGCATTCCTGCAAGATAAAAAACAGCCAATATGGATGCAAAGAATAACTTGATGCCTACCTTTCATCTTTCGTAGTTTCCAGATAAGCACACACGTATGAATACTATTATATTCTACATAATCGGCAGTGCTAAGCAAGTTGTTGTGCGTAGCAAATCAAAATGTTTAGTGTTTTGTTTTTTGTTATAGATATTTTTCCCAAGCAAAAAAACAAAAATAATTGGATAAATGAAAAAGGCGGCGCTTCAACTACCCGTTTTTTGTTCCCACCCCCTGCTTTACATCTGCATTGGGATTACTGGTACGCCCCAAATAGATGTTTCTTTTCTGCTGCCTGACATTTTCAATCCAATTCATTCTAATCCAATAGAATAACTATTGTATTTGGTTTTATTTGGCACATGCCAGATGTTTATAAGATACTGTGCAATATCACATTTTAAAAAAAATGAAATAGCACTGAAACCAATTTTTTTAGTATCTGGAAACGCTTGTTGCCAAATATAAAATGATTTACTTTGTAAAACAATTATTTTTTCCCACCGACCATATTTTTTAGAGCACACTATTTCTTTATTATTTTTATTGCATTTTCAAAAAAGAAAACAAACAAACAATTCAATTCTTTTGCCGGATGAACGCTTCCAATAAACAACTACTCAAAAACAAAGACATATTGCACTATGTGCAATTCTTTGCATGTATATGCATGTGCGGTGTTTTGCGCGCGTGTCTTTCTATTCTTTATTTGCAAAAATATAAATATAAATGCAAGTATACAAATAAAGACAATGCTTTTAAAAATTTACGCATTGGGCGGGTGTATCTGTAAATAACAAAAAAAAACGAGGAAGAGTATGCTTTGCACAGCAGATTTGAAGCCACCATCTATTGCCGCACTACGTCACTTTATCATATAATGATTATATCGGGTATTGCCAACCATGAATTATGAATCATAATAGTGCAATTGGATATGAGGATCTCCGCAGATTTCCAGCACTCAAATTCTCAGACATTGCATAAATTGTCTTTAAATGGATCTAAAGACACCTTTTGAGTGGTCTATACTGTTAATTGCAAAACCACCTTGAAGATCTTTCAATTTATTATAACCATTGAGTATTGCAGCAGCTTATTTCTGGAAAATATATCAGTGTAGAAATTAATGTGTTGCCTTTTTTCTACCACACATGTTGCATACATACTGGTGCATATGCTCCCATGTGGTCCCTAGGACATGGCAGCTGCGCATCTGCATTGCTTCGTTGCAGTGTATTTACTTGTTTTTATCTACATCGTCCACATGTCATCCAGGTGCAAACATTGCTTGTTGCCTAGCATTGCATGGGCGTGACCAACAATATATTTGATCATTGTTGTATTCAACTAAAAAACGTGCTAGCTATTTTCAATTAAAATTAAGTAATTAAGCATGCAAATATTGCCAGCCACTGCGTGCAAGTCGAATACAATACGAGAATATGGATTTTCCATCCACAAACATACATATACATAAGCTTGCATGGCTCTATAAGCACGTGGTTTATTCAAGCTCCCGGATCAGTGCAGGCAAATTACCAAGCTGCTTGTTGCGTCCAAGTTAGTAATTCAAAAAGAATTGCCTGATTCGGTCCAAAAACAAACAGAAACTTGGATACTGTTATATATTTAGCAATATTTTCAAAAACAATAAAAGCTAATAAGAGCTAGATAAGCTCAGCCGACTTAGCTTCTGTCTGACGACATTGCTCTCTTGCGCTCCTCAAACTCGGTTCTGTCCACCACCTGGATGTTGTTCTTGGAGACCGGGGTAGAGCCAGGCGCGTCGTCGATATAGTTAAGCATCTCGCTGTATGTACCCCAGTTGAATGGGCCCGAGCCGTGTTTCTTGGGAATGCTGCGCACATCTGCACCGTTGCGCGACAGATGGTGATCCCTGCTGTCGGATCCGGGAGAGCTAGGTTCGCGAGCCATGTTTAAGATGTTACAAAAAGAAAGGAATAAGTACAGAGATTGTGAGTTGGGTGATTGCGGTATACAAAAAATGAGCTTGGGAAATAAAGAAAAGCGATAAAGTTTAAACAGAGCGAAAGAACGTGGGGGCTGCCTCAGCTTGGTCTGTTTTATACCTGGCAGGTAGTGCACTTTGCGGCGATGACCTGTCAACGAAATGATGAGTCGCTTTTTTGTGAGAGTGGACACGTGTTGGTGCAACATCACACAGTTTTAGAAAATAAAGAAATGCCAAGAATTTTCCCTAATCCGAAGAAAAAAGCACACATGACCCGGTTGTATTACCGGATTATATGCTTTTGCGTCGGACAATTAGCGCAATCTGCAAATCAAAATAAATGAAAATTTGGTTGGTCAATGCGATTGGCTGTCAAGCTTGATCGGGGATTTAAACAAATGTGGAAATCAAGAACAGCAGAGTGCTTTGCCACCACGTAGTTTTACTAAATCTAAACATTATGTATTTGAGAATATAAAAATAAAATTGTAATGCGAATGTGATTAGCTTGCTCAGGGTGCGGGAGCTGGCGTCGGTGTCGGAGGCACAAACATGGTATTGTCTATAAGAACGCCCCTATTGCCGCCCACATTAACAGCAACAGTCGATGCTGGTATTAAAAATCCGCCATACGTGACGGTGCCCCAGCCAGCACCATTGTTTCCAGCAAGGACATGAAGGCCACTAGAGTACTTTACGCCAAACTGGCCGCCCAAGCTGGCACCTCCATTAGCAGGTGGTACAATGCCTCCCAGCCAACCGCCCTCGACGAATGTGCCCGAAACGCCACCGCCCAAAACATTTTGACTAATTTTGCCGTACGCACCACCACCGGCAGTGACCTTGGGAAGCACAGCACCACCCAGATTCACAGTAGCTGACGCGCCGGCTCCGATTCCATTTTCACCGCCATTAAACATACCACCCACGCTAAGGGTTGGCAAAACCCCACCGCCAAGAACAATGTCTCCCCGCAGCGTGCCGATGCCAGAAAATGATGGCATAATTTGGCGCTTGTCTATATGAGCAAACATTTTAGTCTTGGCCGCAACTGGGATAGCTTTGGATTTGGCCCCAGTCTCGGGGTCGGGAATGGTAATGGTAGAAGTTGTGGTTGTGGTGGTAGTAATAGTAGTTGTTATACCCGAAGTAGGCGTGGTGATAGTTGGAGTGGAAATATAAGTTGATTCGGACTTTGATGGTGAAGTTTGTGGTGTGCCGGTTTCTTTTGGTCCGCTGGCTAATTGCGAGCAGTTGTCTCCGTAATTTTGATACCCAATAGGGTTCAGATTGTATTTAATCCGAGCAGAAATGTGACAGGCTAGGTAATTGAAAAGGCTATGTGGATCAGCACTTCTCAGCCCGGCAAATGGAGAGAAACCACGCCAATCAAAAGTTTCGGTACTAGCAGCTGCCAGTAAATCTACAAAGACAAGACTATACGCCAAACAATAAAAATAACTTGCTTTCATTTTTTTTATTAAATTTGAGTTTTGCGCAAATAAATTCCAATATAATAGGTGTTTTTATTAGAAAGGCAAATGTTTTTATTACAAAAACAATCTAATTTAGCTTTTGACCTGTCGTTGCTAATGCCATTATCTGTGTTGTTTTCAAAAGCCGTGGCTTTTCATTTACAATCGGCTGGCAAAAAAACACTATGTATGGATAGTTTTGCAGGTGTTTAGATAATTTACTTAAAAGTATGTTTTAGTTAATCGATAAAATGCATGTATAAAAGCCCCCTGATTTCATTTAAATAACTATGCAAGTGGAGAAAGCAGCTCGTGTGCGTATTAATCTTTTAAATATACAACATCAGGCTGTCTTTCAATGCCCATTCATTCTGTAAATCATACGAGTGGCGTGCATATTAAAAATAACAGAATATATATATATATAAAATAGAAATTCAGGTCTGTTTATGCAGGGCTTTTGCAACAAACGCAAAAGGGCTTTTTTGACACGGGATGTGTTGCGATTTGCTGCTCAGGCGAGAAATTAGTAAATAGAAATTGTAAATTATATTTTAGATAATACCTGTATCATTCATTAATATCAAGAACTGTTACTTCCGCAGTCACTTCGGTATCCTGTGCAGTTGAAACCAATTCTAAAGTTGGAGTTGGAGTTGGAGCTGGAAGCACAACTGCAGTCGTAGTCAAAGTTTTAAACATATTCTGGCCATTGCTAATCGCATATCCAAACCCGCCGCTAAACTTTCCAATTAGTTTTGAGGAAGGAATAATGTGACCTCCATATTCCACTGAGCCCAACGCATCGCCTCCAATTCCCAGCATTGCTTGTAGCCCGTTTTTCAACATTACTCCGGCCTGGCCTCCAGCACTCACGCTGACACTTGCTGTTGGCACAAGTCCATTCAGCCACCCGCCCTCGTACACCATAACTGAGCCAGCAATATTGGCCACCAGTTGGTTGATTGCGCCGGCAAATCCACCTCCAAAAGCAACAGATGGTAAAACACGGCCTCCTCCGCCCAAAGTGGCAGATGCCCCAAGTTTATACCCAGTATCACCACCGTTTACCAGGCCGCCCACAGATAGCGTTGGCATAATGCCTCCACCAACAACGAATTCTCCACCAACAAGTGCATTTCCAGAAATTGTAGGTAGCGCCAAAAGAAGCGGCATCCGTCTGTGTACACCATTGGTTGGGATTGCAGTCCTATTAAAGATATTGGAAAATCGAATTGGCATAGTTAGTTTTGCTGTGATTATGCGCTTTGACACCTTTTTGCAGCTATCGATGAAAGCGCCATTTTAAAAATGAGGCCAAATTTTGTAACAAAAAATATTGCGTTTAAATTGACAAATGTTCTTTTCTGAGCTTACTGTAGACTTACTGTTGAGCTAGTCTCTGGGCTTGTCGTTGGACTAGTCGTTGGGCTTGCGATTGGCGCAGGTGCATATGCATGCGCTAAAGCTGGATTCGGAATTGGAATAGGTATCGATGATATTGGAGTGGTCGTGGCATCTATAACAGTCAGGCTTAAAATATATTTAGCGGTTGAAGTTGTAGTCATAATAGAAGCATATGTTGTTGAGAGCGTTGTCGTAGCATCTGTGGCAGTTGAGCTCAAAATGTCCTTGTCGAATGAGGAGGTTAATAAAATCGAACTGTATGCCGTAGAGGGCGTGGTCAACACCAACAATTCTGATGACATTGTTGAGCTGAATTGTGATGATATCAAATCTTCCAGTGATATTGAGCTGCTGGGAATGGTTGTGTCCAAGCTGTCTGTGACAGGAAAACTAGAAATGGGTGTTGTAGAAGAAGATGCTTCAAAAGTTGCTGTTGACAAAAATGGTGTCAGTGAGGTGGATGCTTCTGAAATAGATGGGCTAGAATAATTAGACAAGATGAGTGACGAGGACAACGAAGAGGTCATAATTTCTAACAAGGATTCTGTCATTGAGCCAATAGCTGGGATGAGCAAGAAGGGTAAATATGTAGATACCACAGCCAGACTGGGCGTCGTGTTTGCCATGGGAATTGGCAATGAGAGTAAGTCTGATTCTGATTTTGATTCTGAAGCAGTTGACTCGGTTATAACAGACAAAGGGTTCAAGCTATCCGCAGTAGCTGTTTTGAACAAAGATGTATCTTCAGTATAAGTGGACGGCTGGCCTGACATGCCATCATCAGCACTGGGTGCGGAAAAGGTATCTGTCGACACAGACAACAGCAACAGCGAAGGCGACAAAAATAGGCTTTCTGAAGGTTTAGCAACAGTTGTCTCGATGGTAGGTGTAGCGGATAAATTTTGCCTGTCCGTTTTGAAACTAGAGATTATGTTTTCACTTGCTGTTGTATTGTTAAAATTTTCTGCCGATTCGTCGGATAAAGTGGATGTAGAGAGATCTTCTGAAGTGTCTACACTTGTCTGGTCTGCAATATTTGTTGTATTCAAAGTGCTTGTGTTGGCAGAAATGCCACTGGTAGTAGCATTGTGGTTGGATGACAGGCCATCCAAAAAACCTAATATTGTGGACGGCATTATTATTGGGGTACTAAAAATTAAGCTAGTAGTGCTGGAAGACAATATTTTGCTTGTGGTTACATGAGACTTGGTTGCGCCACGTAAACTTATGCTGCCAAAGATAGAAGCTATTGAAACGTTTTGTTTGGAATTTTCGGATAACAATAAAGGTACAGGCCAATTTGATGTTTGTGTTGTATTCTGGAAAAAGTCAAATGATGAGGTCTGGGTAGAGAGCACTGTTTCCTTGTTCCACTGTGTATGGGATATTATTATTTGGTATGCTTCACCGCCTTCTGATAAGATTATGTTTGTTTGTGCATTTGTTAATCCTGCAAATTGTGCAATATTGACTGTAAAAAAACTGAAAATTAAAATAAAATTAGTTGTTTTGTTCATGTTTTTTTCTTTATAAATTATGAATTGGTAAGCTAAAAATTTAATATATACAGCAAAAACAAAAAAATGTGACATAATATTAAGTTATTTGACCTTATATATATTGATGCGCTGGTTGTTGAAGAAATCAAGATTCAATATATAAAATATGGTGCGCATGCAAGTATATTAAATGCAATCTGGCAATGTATTTTAATATCTTAACAAACCTGTGCCTTTGGGAGGTAATATCGCCTAATTTGCAGTAAATCTGTAATATGCACACCATTGCAATTTTATTTTTTTATTACTGCAAGTGATTATCAGATTGCAACAATATTATTTTTAGACACATATGTTCTTATGTACATCAATGTGTGGAAAATTCACCATATTTTTTATTTTCTTAAAAATAAAAAAGAATATAACTATTGAATTTAAATTTTATCAAGAAAATATACGCAATGTGCTATTAATCCATACAAGCAAATAAATTGTTATATATTTTTAAATTTATGGATTGGGCGTAGGAGTGGGTTCATGAACAGCACCATTTTTAATAGAAAAATTCCACTGCCCCCCGCCATTAGCAACCAGCCTAGAAGTAGGTAAGAAAATTCCGCCATACCCCAAAGTTCTCCAACCGCCGCCATTCACACCCAATATTGCTGTAACACCATTTCCCACATTATATCCGGCATTCCCATTAAACACCCGCCCACCGTCTATCATTGGCACAAGCCCGCCAAGCCATCCTGCCCTTGAGGCAGTCGCCGAGGCTTGCCCTAGTAAATTATTTGGATCCACTGAGGCTGCCAAACCGTGTCCGGCTATGAATGACGGCAGTAGCCTGCCGCCCCAAGCAACGGTGTTGGAGAAACCGGCGGCAAGTTCAGGTTCTTCGCCAATGAGGAATCCGCCGATGGTGTAGGTAGGAAGAACACCACCACCGAGGGTTGCCCCGATGTTAGCCTGGCCAGTGCCGGAAGCAGATTGCGGGACAATAATCCCATGAATAGAGGAGGTCGGAAATTCGGGTGCGGGGTAAGCTAGTGTAGTAATAGCCAGAGTACTGATACTGGCGGTTAGGATTGACTTTATGTGCATCTTTTTTATGTTCATTTTGATGAAAAAAGTTAATATTAAAAAATAAAATATTGTTGGGCTTTTTTTCATACTCGCATGTGAATCGGGTGTTATGTACGTGCGTTGCTTTATTTATACAACAATTACATTTATTTTTTGTATATTTAAATGCGTTTAATAATTTAAATAGCAATGTAATGCGAGATGCGCACGTTTTTTCATTGATGAATGATGTGTGCCATTTTTCTCCCCACATATTATTTCGAGTGAGAAACTCAACACGCATGAGTGAGAGAGAAGGGAAGGAGGGGTTTTTCTATGTGGCTTTATTACAAAATATAAAATATATCTCTACACCCTTTGATTATTTATTTTTATCACTAAAATTTTAAACTTGATATCCCAAGCAAAAAAAATTAAATTAAATTATAAGCACATAATTTATTACTTTAATGATATTTAAAACAAAAAAAGCAAAAAAAACATATATTTGTTATTTTAGCGTGCTCCAATGATGTTATAAACCGGGCCCAAGGCTGAGTCAATAATACCACCGACACCATTAAGTATGTTGCCAACAAAGTTTGAGCCATTCGGCACACCGTACTCGTTTTGCTGCTTAGCCCACTCATCCCACTCCTTTCTACGCTCATCTCTTCTGGCATCCTTTTCGGCCTTATGGTTGGCCGAGGCAATATACGAGGCGTAAGCGGCAGCTTGAGCGGCGGCCTGGATATTGGCTTGGGCGGCAAGCTGCTCTTCGGATAGTGCCATGGGAGCAAACATTATCGGGGTGTGCCGCGAAGGAATGGCAAGAACGCTGAGAGATAGAGATGTAAAGGTAATGATTGAAGCAAATTTCATTTTTGAGACCTGTTTTTAGAAAATATTTGAAATACAAAAATTGAGTGTAAAGGCAAAAAAGGGGGAAGAAAAGTGGATGGTTATTATTTTAGCAATTTATATAAACGATAAAAATTATTTTGCTAAGGCCTTATATTTTACTCTAATATATTTACTCCAAGGCTTTGCTTGGTTGCTTGCTTGTGCATTTATTAATTGCTCTATTGTGTTGAATTCAGGTTTTTTACATTTTATTTTTACCGCAGAAAAAGGCTATGCATAATTTTGACTTCACTGGACATGGCATATATTCTGTATGAAAATATGAAAAGAATGCTTCACTTGGTATTATTATCATTACTGTTTAATGGCTTGCCTCTTCAATACATGAGAAGAGATAATGCTTTTTGTTGTATATTTTCCCCCTAAAGTTGACTTGATAACCACGCATATTATTGCTATTCAAAGACAAATTATCCCCCCCCCCCCCCCAAAAAAAAATTCTCTTTTGAAAATCAACAAAAAAGTTTAAAGTAAAACTAGTTTGCAACAAATATTTCGGAAAATAAGCCGGGCCGGGCACCACTGCATCTGTCTCCACCTCCGGCACCCATTTCCAAATCTTACCCGAAGCAGCCGCAGTATTTCTTGAAAAGGCGGCAAATGAATTAGCAGCAATAGCCGCAGCAGAAGCAGCAGCAGCAGCAGCCTGTGCGGCAATAGCTGCAGAAGCCATTGCCTGTGCAGCATTCCCAAAAAACGCCAACTGTGATAATCCCGCCAAAACCCCTTCCTCTACCAATGGCAAACCATTTGAAACAAGAGTATAGACAATGCCTAGATTTCCTTGCACTGCACCTATGCGCGAGTCAATTTGCGTTTGCCAAGCTGGGAAATCAGTCACCAGCTTTACCGGATCAGCGGCCAAAACCAACATAACCAGGAGAACAGCTGGGTTAATCACAGGCAGTATGGTTAATAAGGGGTTGGACAGGACAATCCTCACCGCCTCTTGCGAGAAGCCATAGACGGATGCTAATGCCTGGGTTATTTTTTCAACCATAAAAAACACATTATCTTCTAAAGTAACCACTACATCGTGGCCTTAGAGGCAAAAGACACAAGTTTACTTGTGGCCTTGTTGAATTCCTCTTTTGCAATGGACTCAATGGTGAGTGCGAGGTCGTGGCCTTGGAGAATGCATTCTGGGAAGTTGGTTACTGGGAACAAAATGCCTTTGACTGCTGGGTTGGAGTCAAGACTTTTGGCTATGGATACCACTTGTGCAGAGAGTAATTGCATGTATTGTTTTTCTTGTTGGTTCATATTGTTGGCTTTGAGGGAGAGACTGCGGGCGAGGAGGAGAGCAGTTGCGGTGGGAGGTTGGGTGCGGCGGTGCTCACAGATGGCATGTTGATCATGCGGTTAAATGATAAGTTGGCAGTGTTATTTGCTTGCTTTGTGGTGGAATTGTAATTGCAATTGAATGAAATGGCTTGAGATTCTTCTTTGGGGTGGAAATAAGATCTATATAAAATATAAGCATTTTATGTAGTCTGCTTATGAGTGATATTTAATCAATTATAATGCAAAAATAGGATTTATTTTTTTGTATTTACCCGGTGTGCTCAATACTGGCTGTTGGCATGTACTGCGCACTATTGTGAGAAAACAAAGAGCTGGCGCTAGTAATTCCATGGCCGATGATGCTAGAATGAAAGGCAAAGAGAATAAGCGCGCCATAAATGCATTTGCATATTTTTCTATTAAAATTATTTTTTGTGAGATAATTAATACAAAAGCAAAAAAGAAAGCAATTTGTCCAAAAAATTCCAAGTAAAATGCTTAATGCTGTTCGTTGAATATAAATATAAATATAAAATAAAATAAAAAAGGGCGTATGGCCAAGGCATATTGTATTGATGGATGGAGCCACATGTTATTTTAGAAATCAAATCAAATTAAATATAGCTCGTTTTTACTTGTTTTGCTGGCAACGATCAAGTGGTTCTTCTCTTGTGGAATCGGTCCATAAAAATAAATAAAAATAAAAAGCCATGCACGTGGCCAAAAAGAAAGATAAATTGTCATGTCCTTTCAGCTTTTGGTTTATTTTTATTTTATTGCAACGTTTGCATTGTATATCATTAATATCATAATCATTTTATTCAAATTCAATTCACACCCCGGTTAGAGCCGTATTTTCATTTTTTTGTTTTATAAATGCGGGTTTCCTTTGGCGGGCTCCTCCTCACATGGCGGTTCTGGGACAGTGCCTCGCAGCACAAACAAAATTAGAAGCAGCGACAGAGGCAGCAGCAGCTCTAAGCACCACATCTCTGGACAACACCATTGCCAGCGACAAAGCTGCACTGTCTTTAGATACTGAGCGACAGCACAGCCACGAGGAGCACGAAGAGCGCAAGCGCGAAAGGCTGTTCCAAAAAGCACACTCGACACTGCAGACGTACGAGCAGGCGCGCCACAGGGCACAGGAAAGAAGCATCAGCAGCAGCACCAGCGCAGCGGAGCCTCTGTCCTCCGCACGCGGCGGCCAATTGCCGGGCTCTTGCCGGAATGGCTCCGGCGGCCGCTGTCGGCCATCGAGCGGCTGCTCTCCGGCAAAGGCAAAGGCAAGGCCAGCGCAGAGGACATCCCGGCGGGCGTGCGGCAGGCGCTGCAGCGCGTCTCCTCTCTGGCTGACACGGGCCACTCGGAGGCGCGGCTGTTGCGCGCAGAGACGCTGCTGTACGGCAAGTACGGCGTGGAGGCGGATCCGGCGGCGGCGCTGGCGGACTACCGCGTGCTGGCCGACCAGGGCTTGGGCGAGGCGCACTACATTGTGGGGTTCTTCCACGCCACGGGGCTGGGCGGCGCGCCGCAGCAGAACAGCCTGGCGCTGATGCACACGACGGCCGCAGCCATCCAGGGCCACCCGCAGGCGGCGATGGCGCTCGCGTTCCGCCACGCCAAGGGCCTGGGCGTGCCGACGTCGTGCCGCGCGGCGCTGGACAACTACCGCACGGTCGCGCGGCTGGCCGTGCGCCACTACCTGGCCGGGCCGCCGCTGGGCCGCGCGCTGCCCGAGCCAAGGCCGCGCGCCCGGCTGACTGACGACGCCGGCGGCGCGTACGGCGTGCGCACCGGCGCGGCCCGGCCCGTGGGGCGCGCCGAGTTTGACGACACGCTGGAGTACTACGGCTTTAACGCACGCAAGGGCTCCACGTCGTCCAGCCTGATGCTTGCCGACCTGCACTACCAGGGCCACCGCTACGCCGCGCGCAACTACACGGCGGCCGCCGCCTACGTGCGCGACATCCTGCCGCGCCTGTGGCTGCCGTCCGGCGAGCTGCGCGCCGGGCTGACGCAGGCCGAGGCCGCCACGCCGCGCAGGCCGCCGCCATGCACGGGCAGATGCTGCTGCGCGGCGAGGACAGGCGGGGAAGCCGGAGCGGCCGGAGGAGGCCGCCGGCGCCAAAGCCTGGCTCGCCCGCGCCGCCGCGCTCAACCAGCCGGCCGCGCTCAACGCGCTGGGCTTTGTGCACCAGCACGGGCTGCTGCAGACGCCCGTAAGCGCCGAGCGCGCGCTGGGGCTGTTCAGGCAGGCGGCCGAGCGCGGCCACACCGGCGGCATGGCCAACTACGCACTGGCCATTGCGGCCGCGCAGCCCGACGCCGCGCTGCGGCTGCTGCGCAAGGCGGCCGAGGCCGGCCACGTGCTGGCGCACTTCCGGCTGGGCGAGATGCACGCGGGCCACCCGGCCGAGGAGAACTGCCGCGTGGCGCTGGCGTCGTTCCGCTACGTGGCCGAGCACGCCGACTGGCTGCACACGGCCGACCCACAGGCGCACCAGGCCTTCCGGCGCGGCGACCTGCACGCGGCCACCGTCCACTACATGCGCGGCGCCGAGATGGGCTACGCGGTCGCGCAGCTCAACGCCGCGCTGCTGCTGGAGCACGCAGCGCGCACCGGCGGCGCCGCGCCGTTTGCAACCACGCACCTGGCTGACCGCGCGGCCGCCGTCTACTGGACGCGCGCAGCCAACCAGGACGTGCCCGAGGCGCGCGTGCGCCAGGCCGACCACCACTTCCACGGCCGCGGCGTGCCGCGCAGCATGCACCGCGCCGCCGACGCCTACGCGCTGGCCGCCGCGGCGCCCGAGGCCAACGCGCTGGCCATGTGGAGCCTTGCATACATGTATGAGAACGGGCTCGGCGTGGCGCGCAACTTCACCTGGCCAAGCACTACTATGACGCCAGCCTCGAGGCCAACGAGGCCGGCCGCCTGGCCAACTACGCCGCGCTGGTGCGCCTGTGCCTCAAGTACGTGGCCGCCTGGGCGCGCGGCGAGGACACGGGCGACGCGCCGCTGTTTTTCACGCCGCAGGACCAGAAGCGAGAGCAGACCAGAACCAGAAGCGAGAGCAGACCAGAACCAGAAGCGAGAGCAGACCAGAACCAGAAGCGAGAGCAGAACCAGAACCAGGACCAGAACCAGAACCAGAACCGGTGGGATGTGCAGCCCGCTGCGCCTGCGCATGGCGACGACCACCGCGACGAAGAGCCTGAGGACGGCCACGGCCACGGCCACGACGAGGAGTCGGGGTCGATGGCTGACAACGTCTTTGTTGTTGTTCTGTTCTTGGCTGCCGCCTGGATGTTCATTCCGTTCCGCTGAGCTCAATGTGGCTGACCTTCTGCTTAATTACAAACGAGCGCATCGGCATTCTGAACAAAACAGTATGAGCAATGAGGCTTGCATGTGTGGGTGTGTTTTGTGTGTATGTGGAGAAAGGGGTCTGCTGGTCAAGTCAGCTTAATTGCATTTTTTTGCTTTGCTTTTTATTTTACCAATGCTCGTGACTTTTTAATAAATACGCTGCATGAAGACGCAGCACCAGCAGCAGCACCCACACCAGAAAAAAGGAAGAAAAGATGTAATCGATACCGAAATGGCGAGAAGAAAGAAGGACATCACCATTTTCTTTAAAATATGTTTTTTGTGAAATGAACCCGGGGATAATATTCTACGCGCATGCACACATGCACACATAAAAGAATAAAAAAGTCAATCGTCAAGACGAACATTGTATGCCATTGTATATCCCAATGTGTGACGGCAGATTTACTTTTTTTCTGTTTGAGATCTCCCATCCATCTTTTTTGTTGCTCTCCATTGTTGTCGTTGTTGTTGTCGTCATCTCATGAGTCAAGGTCCTTTGTATTGCTCTGGCTGCCATCCGCAGCAAAATAAAGAAAAATAACGAAATTTTAATCGAGGTCCAGAGACACATGAATAAATACTAAAATGTCATCAAACTCTTATTTCTCTCTCTCTCTCTTTCTATCTCTTTTTCTTTCTCTGCTCACATTCAATTTTTTCTATAAAACTGCTATTTATTTAACTTTTATTTTCTTGCTATTGTTCATTTTTCATTTTTCATTTTCTTACATTCATTTTTTCTTCTTTCTTTTTAGTTATTACCATGCCTGCTCACTTTTACTTCTCCGCCACAACCGCATTCCACCCCCATCCGGCACAACAAGCGCTGGAACTCTCCATAAGAAAGCTCCAATCCATCAAACTATCCAACGCTCCTCCAGCAAGCAGCCCAGTCTGCTCAAAACCGTCCTCGTATACAACATGTTCAAGGCCACAATGGCCACAGACCCGATGGATATGGAAACAGAGGACAAAAAAAACCTAGCAAAGGATGCTGCAGAGGCTGAGGCGGCGGCGGCGGAGCAGTCTTGGTTCGACAATTGCATGACACCATGATTACCGAAGAAGAAGACGAAGACGAGGAGGATATGGATATGGATTTGGATGAGGATGAGGACTTAAATATGGAGGGAGATTCTCGTTGTGCGGTGTTTGACCCGAGAAATGGACCAAGCCCCATTGATACTAAAAGCAGCAGCAACGGCAATGCCAGCGACGACAGCGGCAGCAGCGACAATAGTCATGCGGGGCCTTTACTGAAGCGGTCATGCTCGGCTAACTCCATACACAATTCCACTTGCCGGTCATCTGTCCTTGGTTTCTCAAACCTGACCTATTCTTTTATTGTATATAAATTAAATAAAAAATTGCACGTGGACATATTGTCATTATTCACACTAAAAAATTAACAAAACTTTTCATACTCCGACCCTTTTTTTGCTCTTACTCACACAACTCACACATGCTTTTTTTACAACGTAATATATAAAAAATTTAATAAATCGATAAAAAAAAGCAATTAGCTTTATTCATACATCCCACTCACGTGTACGTTTCGTCCACTGTGAGCTGAACAACAATAATCAATGCAATTAACCCAATAAAAAGGATTCCATATCAATCAATTAACAGCCTCAATAACCCTCTTGACCTCCGGGAAAACCTGCTTCCTCGATGCCACCGTATTACTCTGCTCAAAAAACCACGCCCCATGCTTCCTCCCAACCTCCCTCAGCGCCAAACTCCCTCCAACCAACCCACTCACCACGCTCTCCGCAGCCTTCGCAGCAACCTCCTCACCAAACAAAACCACCAAATCTCTCCCATAGGCCTTTTCCCCGTCCACTTTCGCCTTGCCATGCATCATGACCAGAGCAATATCCAACTTGCGCTCTTCAATCCAATGGCGCACCGCCTGGACAAACTCCTTTCGGCCATCGCGCGCCAGCCACTTGGGCATCCGCATTCCAACACTGCTGATCCCCACCTGCCACGCAAGCCCATTGGCATCCAGGACTTCCCATTGTTTATAGTCCTTGCGCAGCAGGTCGTATGATGACAGGTGGGAGGTCTGGCCCTTGAGTTTATCCAGCGCGCGGTATAATGCTTCCATGTCGCTGACCTCCAGAGTAAACGTGTCCGCGTCATCGGTGATGTTGGCTACGTTGGTGGACCAGCGGACCTGTGGGAGAAGCCAGCTGGCCACCGCGCGATCCTTGGCGGTCGCGCGGCCACCCTCTTTGCCGCTTAGGTTGGACGTGTCGAGGACGATGGGCGCGAGAATCATTTTGGCAAGCGCCGGGTGGATCTCCTCGCAGGTCTCGCGGAGCATCCCCCCGACCACGTTGCGCAGGAACCAACTGGCTCCAACACCCGCACAGGGGCATCCAGACAGCGGCCTTCGTCCACATGGTGGTCAATGATCCACGCACAAGTGGCTCCAAATACCGCTGGCCACTTGACGGCGCATTATGATCCGCCAACCAGACATTCAAACCACCACTTCTCGCTGATGCCGCAAGAGCAGGTAGGTCAAAGTCATCAATGAAGGTTAATCCGCGGAGGTCGGTTTCGCCCAAGGTGGCGTCGTGTAGGGTGCTGTTGAGGAGCTGGCTGCAGTCTGGTCGCAGACGTAGGTCGGACCGGTTGGTGTTGAGAATGGGGATTGCCATGGTGGGCTCTGTTTGGCTGAGAATGTACGCGAGTGTTATGGAGGTGACCATGGAGTCGAGGTCGGCGGATTCATTGCCAAGAACTAGCGTTAGAGGGGGCTGATGATGCCTGTGACGGCGGCGGCAGCACTGAGTCGCAGGGCATTGGCCGGAAGCGATTTTAGAAAGGCTGGGAAACTGATGTTCATGGTTGAAAATGTTAATTTAATGAAGATAAATTCTATTTATTATAGAATTCGAAAGGAAAAAAAAAGAAAAAGTTGGGTGTTGACGCGACTTCCAAAAATCAAAACCTGAAAAGGGCTAGCGAGATCAACGACATCCGCAAGCTATGGAAAAAAGATGCACTTTCTCCTTCCCTTATCTTTTTATATTATTTTTATGAAAGTTCAACACAAATTCCACTAATAAAAAATACAAATATCTTTTTGCACAATGTTTCATCTCGCCTCTTTCTCCACCGCCGCCTTCTTACAAGCCCCAGCCTCCGCCTCTACACCAGCAGCAGTAGGAGCAGCGGAGCAGCAACTCAGCACCCGGTGGCATCGGACTCGAGCGCAAACCACGCGAAAACGAAAACCTTGAGACTCTCCAACGGCGACTGCAATACCAAATGCGCAAACGTGGAATTCTCGAAACTGACCTACTCCTCAGTACCTTTGCCAGTGAACATCTGCTTAGTCTTTCGCGCGAAGAATTGGTGGATTTGGACTCGCTGTTGAGCAATATTGATTGGGATATCTTTTACTGGGCGACTAAGAAGACAGAGGCTCCGGAGGCCGTTAAAAGAATGGGTGTTTTTGAGAAGCTAATGGAGCATGCTGCAAAGAGGGGCACGGGAATTGTGAGGATGCCAGATCTCGAGGAGACAAAATAGGATTTTTGATTTTTTTTATCAAATCAATTATCAAATCACTGTAAGAAATCCCGACCTGTGGGGGAGGGGGTAACCTTGGAGATTGTGTTTACACACAACCTTGCATTTCGTTAAAAAGATGAGTTTACAGTGCGTTAACACTTATTAAAAAAGGTAGGAAAGGGTGGCACATGAACAGCGCCCGAGCGCAAGGCCATCCATCTATCCAAGAGAGAGGAGTGCAAACTCCTTAGAATCATTATTTTACACACACGATTAAAATATATCTTACAAAAGATATAAATTAACAAAGGATATTTATTCTTCCAAGGAGAACAATTCCTGGCTGCCTGACAGCCATTCCTTATATGCTCTCCCTGGCATGTAAATAAACTATAATAAAACTTATCATTGCTTAACTGTCACATGCATAATCAATTAATCTCAGCAAAGCAACATGCAAAGCCATGTGCCTTAATTGTAATAAATATTTTTAAGCAAAAAACATGATCAGCATCATTTGTGCACATACGTGTAGCCAACGGTCATTTCGCAATTTCTCAGTTATCAGCGTGTTTCAGCACTTTTCAGTTTTGATATGATTGATAATATGCCCGATGTGGTATCTATCAGTCTGAGGAAAGCCAGTGTAAGACTTTTCATTTTTGTTATTACTATTTTGGATAGAGGGCTTTCATATCGTTTATAGTATAAATACAGTGGGTATGGCCACAATTTCAAAGTAAAAACCTCAGAACCTCAATCATTTGGGTTTTTGTTATAACCTTTTTCTAAACAATACTAAAAAATTACTAACAATATTCAAGATTACCTCTCTGCTGTTCATCCTGGCTATCGTCTCAGTCTACCTTCCCCCATTGCTGACCATGAGTTCATAGATCCTGAGGGTGGCATGTATGAGGGTAGGCCCATATGAGGGTGGCTTTTATAACCACGACCTGCATGAGCACAACCAGTGTGGCTTTGGTGGCTGCACTGGTGGATTCCGCTTTACTGCTAGCAATCTGTTCCCCAGCTCACAGTCCATTGGCCCAGGCTTCAAGCACACCTCTGGGCTCCCTGATCTGAGCTTCATCACTGGCGGCAATACAATGCCTTGTGGTATGTTTCCTGGCTAGGCATGTGGTCTAGCTGTCCAGCCTTTGCCTTTGCCTCAGCTAATACCTCAGTCCCTGTCCCTGTCCCAGTCCCAGTCCCTGTCCCAGTCCCAGTCCCTGTCCCAGTCCCAGTCCCTGTCCCTGTCCCAGTCCCTGTCCCAGTCCCTGTCCCTGTCCCAGTCCCAGTCCCAGCCCCAGTCCCTGTCCCTGTCCCAGTCCCTGTCCCAGTCCCTGTCCCTGTCCCTGTCCCAGTCCCTGTCCCTGTCCCAGTCCCAGTCCCAGTCCCAGTCCCTGTCCCAGTCCCAGTCCCAGTCCCTGTCCCAGTCCCTGTCCCAGTCCCAGTCCCAGTCCCTGTCCCAGTCCCTGTCCCAGTCCCTGTCCCTGTCCCTGTCCCTGTCCCAGTCCCTGTCCCTGTCCCAGTCCCAGTCCCAGTCCCTGTCCCTGTCCCAGTCCCTGTCCCAGTCCCTGTCCCAGTCCCTGTCCCAGTCCCTGTCCCTGTCCCAGTCCCAGTCCCTGTCCCAGTCCCAGTCCCTGTCCCAGTCCCAGTCCCAGTCCCTGTCCCTGTCCCTGTCCCAGTCCCAGTCCCAGTCCCTGTCCCTGTCCCTGTCCCTGTCCCTGTCCCAGTCCCTGTCCCAGTCCCAGTCCCAGTCCCAGTCCATCAAGCTTCAGCCTGTCAAGCTTCAGCCCAAATATCTCAGCCCAAATATCTCAGCCCAAATATCTCAGCCCAAATATCTCAGACCAAATATCTCAGCCCAATCCTCAGACCAAATATCTCAGCCCAATCCTCAGCCCAATCCTCAGCCCAAATATCTCAGCCCAAATATCTCAGACCAAATATCTCAGCCCAATCCTCAGCCCAAATATCTCAGCCCAAATATCTCAGCCCAAATATCTCAGCCCAATCCTCAGACCAAATATCTCAGCCCAATCCTCAGACCAAATATCTCAGCCCAATCCTCAGCCCAAATATCTCAGCCCAAATATCTCAGACCAAATATCTCAGCCCAAATATCTCAGCCCAAATATCTCAGCCCAATCCTCAGCCCAAATATCTCAGCCCAAATATCTCAGACCAAATATCTCAGCCCAAATATCTCAGCCCAATCCTCAGCCCAAATATCTCAGCCCAAATATCTCAGCCCAATCCTCAGCCCAAATATCTCAGCCCAATATCTCAGCCCAAATATCTCAGCCCAAATATCTCAGCCCAATCCTCAGCCCAAATATCTCAGCCCAATCCTCAGCCCAAATATCTCAGCCCAAATATCTCAGCCCAATCCTCAGACCAAATATCTCAGCCCAATCCTCAGACCAAATATCTCAGCCCAATCCTCAGCCCAAATATCCCAGCCCAATCCTCAGCCCAAATATCTCAGACCAAATATCTCAGACCAAATATCTCAGACCAAATATCTCAGACCAAATATCCCAGCCCAAATATCCCAGCCCAAATATCTCAGCCCAATCCTCAGACCAAATATCCCAGCCCAATCCTCAGCCCAAATATCTCAGCCCAAATATCTCAGCCCAAATATCCCAGCCCAATCCTCAGACCAAATATCTCAGCCCAATCCTCAGCCCAAATATCTCAGCCCAAATATCTCAGCCCAATCCTCAGACCAAATATCTCAGCCCAATCCTCAGCCCAAATATCTCAGCCCAAATATCCCAGCCCAATCCTCAGCCCAAATATCCCAGCCCAATCCTCAGACCAAATATCTCAGCCCAATCCTCAGCCCAAATATCTCAGCCCAAATATCTCAGCCCAATCCTCAGCCCAAATATCTCAGCCCAAATATCTCAGACCAAATATCTCAGCCCAATCCTCAGCCCAAATATCTCAGCCCAAATATCTCAGCCCAAATATCTCAGCCCAATCCCAGACCAATCCTCAGCCCAAATATCTCAGCCCAAATATCTCAGTCCAAATACCTCAGTTCAACCCAGTCCAATCCAGTCCAACTCTCAGTCCAAATACCTCAGCCCAACCCAGCCCAATCCTCACTCCAAATATCTCAGTTCAACCCAGTCCAACTCTCAGTCCAAATACCTCAGCCCAACCCAGCCCAATCCTCACTCCAAATACCTCAGCCCAACCAGTCCAACCCAGTCCAATCCAGTCCAACTCTCAGTCCAAATACCTCAGTCCAACCCAGCCCAACCCAGCCCAATCCTCACTCCAAATACCTCAGCCCAACCCAGTCCAACCCAGTCCAATCCAGTCCAACTCTCAGTCCAAATACCTCAGTCCAACCCAGCCCAACCCAGTCCAATCCTCACTCCAAATACCTCAGCCCAACCCAGTTCAACCCAGTCCAATCCAGTCCAACTCTCAGTCCAAATACCTCAGCCCAACCCAGTCCAATCCTCACTCCAAATATCTCAGTTCAACCCAGTCCAACTCTCAGTCCAAATACCTCAGCCCAACCCAGCCCAATCCTCACTCCAAATACCTCAGCCCAACCCAGTCCAACCCAGTCCAATCCAGTCCAACTCTCAGTCTAAATACCTCAGCCCAACCCAGCCCAACCCAGTCCAATCCTCACTCCAAATACCTCAGCCCAACCCAGTTCAACCCAGTCCAATCCAGTCCAACTCTCAGTCCAAATACCTCAGCCCAACCCAGCCCAATCCTCACTCCAAATACCTCAGCCCAACCCAGTTCAACCCAGTCCAATCCAGCCCAATCCTCACTCCAAATATCTCAGTTCAACCCAGTCCAATCCAGTCCAACCCAGTCCAACCCAGTCCAATTCTCAGTCCAATTCTCAGTTCAATTCTCAGTTCAATTTTCAGCCCAAATATCTCAGCCCAAATATCTCAGCTGTAACGAAGATTCTGCTGTTATAATATATATTAATTTCAAATGAGACTATAAAAAGAGCTAAAGAGCTCACTATTTAGAACTTGTGCACATGAAATATCATAAATATATTTCATGCGTCTATGATGCCATGTGACTCAGATATTTGGGCTGATGTGACATCAAAAATAAGGGCCCAGTCCAATATCTCAATCCAATCCAAGTAGGGAATACAGAAATTCATACGCACATATAAATACTAATGAATATGAACAGTGGGGGCTGTTAATCCCTTAGCTTTCTTTTAGTTCATTTTGTTCAAATATATATTTTTAATACAAAGGCTGTGCCACACTCATAAATCTCACTCATAAATCTGACTGTGCTCAAGCAATTTACCAAGAATTTTGTGCAGGCCCTTGAGTTTGGGTGCTGACATTTTATACACAGCATGGTTCTGTAGCTCAGCATCCTGATACAGCTCAAGTGCCAGATTATGTGGGCGATGTGGTGGCAGTTCTTCTGGTAGTTCATCATGAAGTCAGTTCGTGTAAATTGTGCTGAGCCACATGGCTTTCAGGCATGCTGCTGCTATATTTTTATTGCTGCTGTCTGCTGCTGTTCTGATGGTGTTAATTTCTACTGCCTTCTGCAAGGCGTGTAGCATCTCAACGACAGCCCAGAGGTCGTCCTGTGGGCTAACGTCAAAGTAGGCAAGTGCAGTGACCTCAGGCCCCATCCCCTTCCTCTACAGCAGTGCTGGTACATACTCGGGAATAGGACCATAGCGCGTCTGAATAATGCGCTGGTCCTAGTCGACATGTGCATTGTTGCGCACCATTCATGGTACACCTACAACGCATGCATATTTAATTGGGGCGACAATGCAATTAAATAAATCGGTTGTGGACCGGCAACAATGTGCAGCTGGGGCACAATATGAGCAATGGATATTTCGCTTTTATCAGCGAGCGACGCAGTGACTGGGGTAATCGGGGAGAAAATTTAATGTGCGATAGCGAGTCGGCAAACTGGTTGCTCAGCACCATGCCAATACAACCACTGTCAAATAATGCAACACAGCGCACGCCAGCAACAACAATTACTAATAAAAAGGCGGGGGAAACCCACCCGATAAATACAATAAAAACATGAGAAGGTCTGTGAAAAATAGTATCTAATTTATTGGCGGGATAAAAAATAGGGAGAGGAAAGAGGAAATACTATTTTTGCCAGTAGAAGCGACCTGGCGGTCTACTAGCTGGTGTGAGAACCCTGATAATTGGAAGAAGCAGGAGGTTGTTGTTGCTGCAGCTGGTGACAACTGTGTGGGTGCATGAATAGCATTTGTGCATAGTACATGGTCTGGGCTGTGGGGAAACTGGAAGGCTGGCTGGCAGAATCGTTAACAACTGTATTTCATAATTATACTAATTTTATATTCAATCAGAACTAGGAAAAGAGAAGAGAGTGAACTAATAAATGTTGTTGTTTGCCCTTTTTATGACTGTGAGTCTTTGTACTCACAAGGAAAAGGGTAACTGATGGTTATTGCCTGTAAAGGAAATCTATGCCCAACACTTATAGTGGATTTTTGAAGATAATATATTTAGCACAATATCCTTATTACAGGTATAGATAAAAAACGTATATTTATTTCTTCCAAGAACAAGTCCTGGCTGCCCGACAGCCCTTCCTTATATGCTCTTGTTATGCAGCCCAAGAATATGAAGGTAGATGCTGAGGGCGAAAATCATGAGACAGATTCTCGTCAGCTAACAGATAGATCTGATATGGGCCAACTCACAGGGGATCAAATTAGGCGTCACAATTGACATCCAGACATGCTGTCTGTCTCGAAATAAATGCGCTGAGCGCACAAATACAGACATGCCAACTATATCATATCAGAGACCCGGGCTACTTTCATAACACCAGTTCTATAAGCACCAGTTCTCGCGAACGGAGCACACAACTGCCAGTGAGTGCCACAAAGACAAGGAGATATATATAAGGCGAGGCCGGCGATAATAGCACTTTAGAAACACTAGTAAGGCCTTTATAGCTTCATCCCATTCTTTAGCACTGTCACAGTAGTGCTCCCCACCCCCTCTTACATAAACTCTTTTTGGCATATAAATAAACTAGAATAAAATATCATCATTGCTTAATTGACACGTATGCAATCAATTAATCTCAGTAAAGCAACATGCAAAGCCATGTGCCTAACTGACATATATCATATCTCTTCATATATAAATCGCAATGCTTTTTTAATTGGACATATATTATATTGAAAAAGCATAGTAATGTTAAAGATAAAGAATATAAAATCGGCGTGTTCAGACTAGATTGCCTGCAGATTGGGCGACTGCACCGGCACTGGTGCACGTTGCTCGGCGCGGATCTTGTTCTTGTGCATCCGTGTGATGAACACGTCATCCAGTACATTTTCAGGAATCGTGATAACCATGTTTCCGCGGTTGATGACGTTGTCCGAGTCACAGTACCCAAGAATGGCTTCAAACTCTGAGCTGTGGCACCCACGGATACGGTTGATCTCAGTGCTGGTGTAGTTAACCAGACCGTGGCCAATCTCGATAACCTCTGAGCGGATGGGCGTCATGGCGTTAAGCACGCGCGCCTTATCGGGATCCAGGTTGTCGGTGCTGACCACGGCCTCGCGCTCGGGCTCGTACACTACGCGCACAGCCTGGTTAGACGAGAAGACACCTTCTACACGCCTGATGCCCGCGGCAAACAGCGACTTCTTGAAGCGTGCCAGCGCAACAACAGCACCGGCATCGACGTAGATCGTGCCTGCGCAGTACATACCATGCAGAATCCACCACTTACGGTCGATCATTGGGCGCAACTTGGCAGTGAACCGCGTGCATAGCACGCTGGACGGCACCGGCGCGTCTGGCAATGTGTCGGGCGCCGAAAAGTACTCGATGATGTCGACGACGCGCTGGGGCATGGCGCCGTTTGTGATGATTGTGGTGACGCCGGCCGCCGTGGCCAACTCGGCAGCGATCAGCTTTGTCGCCATGCCACCTGTGCCGACGGCTGATCCGGCAGAGGACACGTCGACGGCTTCGCGCAGTGCCTTAATATCGGTAACGTTGGTTACAGGCTTGGCATTGGCATTGCGGCGCGGGTTGTCAGTGTACAGACAGTCAACGTCTGTCAGCAGGAACAGGTAGTCGGCATGCACCATGCCAGCTGTGATCGCGGACAGCGTGTCGTTGTCGCCGAAGCGAATCTCGCCCAGACTGACTGTGTCGTTCTCATTGACGATGGGCACAACGCTCATCTCGAGAAGCGCCTCGAAAGTGTTGCAGGCGTTGAGGTATTGCGTGCGCTACAAGCAGGTAAAAAGGATGTTTGGCGTTGAATTGTTAGAAGTGGTTCACATTGGCAAATCAAAAGCAACTTTTTTACACACATAAATGCAGAGGATAACCCTCGCCTTGCATCGAATCCATGGCTTCTTACCTGTGACAAGTCGTTACGCGTCAGCAGAACCTGTGCGACAGGCTGGGCCAGATGGCCAAACAGATCGTCGTACAGCGCCATCAGACGGCCCTGTCCGACAGCGGCGATGGCCTACAGATCAAAATGAAAAATGTACAATTGATCGAGCAAATGATTAATTGTTTGATTCAGCAGACAGAAAGCCAATGGTGCGAATCAATGCACACGTGCCACAAATATCGTAGAATCAATCGAGATGGTGTAGGGTGATACAAAAACAAAACAATACAACAGAAAATATGCAATCTCGGCCAATTTAAAAGAGGCCAGAGATAATAGTGACACATCAAGACAGAGGAGCAAAGAAAGAAAAAACTATCAGTTTTCAAAATAAATTACTCACCTGGATGACAGCCAGCTCCTTGGGCTTGATAGGTATGTCGAGACGACGCAAGCCAAGGCCCACAGCACCACTGGACACAAGCACCACGCGGTGACCGAGCTCCTTGAGCTTAACAATAGTCTCGACCATCATGGATAGATTAGCCAGCATGGGCATATGCGTGACCGGATCGCAAATAGAGCTAGTGCCGAGCTTCAGCACAATAGTCAAGCTCTTCCCACTAACACTACTCACGTCACTGCACACCGACCCTGTGGGCGACCCTGGACGCGACAGAGATCTGCTGTTGGACCGCAGATTGGTCTTTGACCGTCTGCGCCGTGGCCCACCGTGCTTGTCCACGTTGGTCACCAACGAGCTGACATTGCGCCGCAGCCCAATCGAGGAGCTACTGCCTGAGGGCGTGCCCAAACTGGGTGCGCGTCCGTGGCCAGGACGCGGCGCGCCCATGTCCAGCTGTGAGCTGGTGCCGACCTCCTGCGACATTCCCAAGGCAGGATTGAAGCCGGGTGACACACGCTCGGGGGTGTTGAGTCCCGAAGCTGACGATGGAAGCATATCCTGCCGAACGGTCTTGGAAGCAGCTGCCTTTTTAAAGTGCGACGAGTTGAGGTGCAGCGGATGGCTGGGCTCGATACGGAGATAGTCGTCGGAAGAATTCGACGAATCCCTGTGCTCTTGCTTAAGATGAGGAGGGATAAGGAGGGAAGAAGAAGAAGAAGAGTTGTCGAGACTTAGAGAGGAAAGCTCGGATGATGTTTCGCCAATGTCGGTTTCGTTGGCAAGCTTGGAAGGGGAGTATTGGTTTTGGGAAGAGCTGTGGATATCAAAGGCTTCTGGATCGTTAGGGAACGCCATTCTAGGCATGCCGCGCCGTCCTCTGCGGCTTTTATTGCTGTCGCTGCCGCCCTCCTTGCTGTCGTAGTTGCTCATACTCCTGAAGATATGATGAAGATAAAAAGTATAAAAAAGGAAAGGAAATAAGAGGGGTGGGGCGGGTTTGAGGTACGGGTAAAGCTGGTGTTTATTTTTGTCTCCGACTCCCGGTAGCGTGATTTACAATAGACTAAAAAATAAAAGGGAAGGAAAGGAAAAGACAAAAGAAGAAGCGATGTTGTTATTGCAGACCAGCGTGCTGCGTGTCTGACTGCTTGCTTGCGTGTGGTGCTGATTGTCTGAATGAAGAAAAAAGTGTCAGAGGTAGGAGTAGGGGGGGGTGTAATGAAACAGGGTTCCGGACCTAATTTGGCAGGGGAAAATAATCAAAAAAAGTAGGGAAAGGGCCGAGATAGGTGTGAATTTTGTATGAATTTCTTTTTTTTATTGCTGTCGAGTTGAATTGTTTGTGTATGAAATGGAATGTAATGAAAATTATGAATAAAACAGAAGTCAAGCCTAAAGGTAGTTTTAATTTTAAAAAAAACTCGAGCTTGCTTTCCACCCCAAGCCTCCTCTCATATATTCCTTTTTATACCTGAGCACGATGCTGCATTTTTTCATCTGTAACTTGGTGCTACCAAGTCATCATCAGCCCCAGGCTACAAAAAAAACAGTGATGTCAAACACCATTCCAAAACAAGAATTTTGAAACAAATTCTGTTGTTTTTTAAGCACAGTCTAAGATGAAGAAAGCAATTTGGATATGGATGTGCGGGCCAGGCAAATAAATTATTGGGCGGGGGGAGAGCTCTGAAACGATAGACGGTTAATTCCTAACCAATGGTCATTTTTGACTTTCGGCCAATATCGGAGAGTCTAGGCAATAATGAGCTACGTCATAGATAATCCCCCTTATATTTTGATTACAATTGCAATTGGCTCGCTGGCGTGTTGAAACGACACGACGTACGGCTACGTGGAAATAAATACATGCAATTACCGACAATCCCATTCAATGTCCCAATAATAGCGACAATGACGATAATAGCAGGCAAAACGGCTTTGAGCCAGTGGCATAGTTGCACCCACACACGCCACCCACCATCCAATCTTCTGTTCGGCAACTCTTTTCTCGGCATTATGATTCTGCTTAATTCCTTTTGTTCATTGAAAGTGGTTGTGCGCATTTCCGGACAATCCCTTCCTCCCTTCCTTCCCTTTTTGAATATTGAATATTAAGCGGGGAAGGCACACAAAACTAGCACAGCTATGATGTAAAAATTACGTCACAATCAAAAATAGAAAATATATATATTCTAGACGTTCATCATTTGGATGTCCTCGGTGGTATCTTCGTGCTTCCTGGCTTCCCACCACTTGAATGCCTCGTCGACCCACAGGACAGAAGACGACAGGGTGATGATCTTGAGAATGTCCAGCAAGCCCAGGGCCTCAGTCTGGAACACCCGCTGCAAAAACGGAAGGTAAATGACGCCTAGCTGGCCGATGAGCGAGCCAGCGACAGCAAAGTTAAAGGCTGTATTGCTGAATATTCCGAAATCAAACACTGAGCGGCGGGCTGAGCGGCATGTCAGCGCATTGAACATATCAAAGCACACGAATGTTGTAAATGTCTATATGTGAATGGAAAAATGCAATCAAAAAGGAACATTTGTTATTGTTAGTGTGAATTTGTGCGAGCATGTGCAAAAAACAAAACCAATATATAAACAGGTTTGGGAAATTATCAAACCAATAGGATCATTTTTTAAATAAAAATTGGCCGAGCATTTTTGCCTCGGGCGTTCTTTTCCATGGGAGAAGAAATAAATAAACTTACCATGCTAGTGTCCCGAGCTGTGACCGCGCCATCTTGCATTTCGGAGACGTAAACTGCCATGGTTCCGGTGACAATAAGGGCGGCAGCGGTGAGAACGCGGGTGACGAGAGGACGAGTGATTATGTTTGCGTTTTTCGGGCGCGGAGGCTGCTTCATGACCTCGGGATCCACAGGCTCGACGCCCAGCGACTGAGCAGGCGGACCATCCATCAGAATGTCTAAAATGAAAAGAAAATAAAGAATCAAAAATTAATTAAAACAATATACATCATTTTGTATTTGCGTTCCTGTAATGCCCGATCGAGCATTAATGAATAACAATAACCTCATGTGTGTTATGCATGGATGTGCTTTACATGCATAACATATGCAGTTTCACACACAAAAAAGAAAATATAAAAACGTCACACACAAAACCGTGCCACAACAGAACAATAAAAAACATCATCAGCAATTTGATCCAATTGGAAGACTTACTGATCCACAGGACTTGCATGGCATTCAGCGGCTGCGGCAGGCCAATTATAGTCGACAGAGCCACCAAAGTCAGCGCAGCGACGCTCGTGCTGAGCTGGAACGTGACGAAGTTGCGAATATTACTAAAGATGCTCTTCCCCTCCTCAATCGCTGACAGAATAGTCGACAGGTCATCGTTGACCAAAACAACATCCGCTGCCTCCTTGGCCACATCCGTCGCGTTCTCGCCCATGGAAATACCAATGTCCGCAAGCTTCAGCGCCGGCGCATCATTGACGCCGTCCCCAGTCATCGCCACAACATCGCCAGCCTGCTGCAGCGCGCGCACAATGCGTACCTTGTGCTTGGGCGTCGCCCGTGCAAACACAGACACCTCACGTATATTCTCAGCCAGCTCCAAGTCGCCAATACAGTCCAGCTGCGATCCCAGCATGCAGCCGCGGTGGTCGCCCAGAACCGGAATCCCAATACTGCGGGCAACTGACACTGCAGTGGTCTCGCTGTCGCCTGTGATCATAACCGTGCGCACACCAGCACTCATCAGCCGCGCAATCGTCAAGTTAACGCCGTCGCGTGGCGGATCATGCATGACAAAAAGCCCTGCAAAGACCATCTGTCCTTCGACGCCAAATGCCGCGGCAACAACACGCAGACCGCGCAGCGAGAGTTGATCGGCGTGCGTCACAATACCCTCGGTGACCGCCTTGGTGATCGGATTGGCGCTGCCATTGGCGCCAAAATACAGCTTGCATCGCTCCATGATGGTCTCCAACGCACCCTTCATGTAGATGACATTGCGCTTGGTGCCCGGCAGCTGCGGAGCGGCCGCGTCGTTGTCGGCCGAAACCTCGACCTGCATGAACTTGGTCTCCGAGTTGAACGGCACCTCAGCCAGGCGCTCAATACGCTCGCGTTCGTCAAAGTGTCTGATACGCATAACAGCGTTGAGAATGGCAATGTCCGTCGACTGGCCGATGAAGGCTCCGCGATCGTCGGTCGTCGCGTTATTGCACATGTTGCCGGTGCGCAGGAGCTGCTGAAGCGAGCGCGTCTGGGCAATTCCCGACAGCGTATCGGCGCGCACCGTGGTCAGGCCGTCAGCCGGCGTGTACAGGTACTCGACCTCCATGCGGTTGAGTGTCAGCGTGCCGGTCTTGTCCGCACAAACCACATTGACAGCACCAAGAGTCTCGACCGACGGCAGTTTGCGACAAATAGCCTTGCGCTTAGCCATCTTAAAAACTCCCAGTGCTAGCGTCACCGTCACGACAATAGGCAAGCCCTCGGGAATGGCAGCCACAGCCAGCGATACGCCAATGGTAAACATCTCGAGCCACCCCTTGCCCTGCAAGACGCCGATGCAAAAGATAAAGCCAATGGCGCAGAACGACACCAGCGAGAGCTGCTGACCGAGCTTATCCATGTCGCGCTGCAGCGGCGTGCGCGGCACCTCGATGTCGCGCATCATCTCGTGGATGTGGCCAAACTCGGTCATCGACCCAATGCGCACGACGACGCCAGTGCCGTGGCCGTTGCGCACCAGCGTGCCCATAAATGCAATGTTGCACCGCTCGGAGAAGCTCAGCTCGTACACCTGCGAGTGCACGCGGTCGGCGGACTTGGCCAGGGCCTCGCTCTCGCCGGTCAGCGCTGACTCGTCGATCTCCAAATGGTTGGCGCTCACAATGCGCACATCCGCGGGGATCCGGTCGCCGGTAACGAAGCGGACAATGTCGCCAGGAACCAGGTGATCGGCCAGCAGGCGAACGGACTCGCCGTCGCGCACGACGTGGCAGAAATTGGGCACCAGCGACGCCAAAGCCTCCAGCGACTTCTCCGACCGATACTCCTGCACGAACCCCACAGTGGACACTATCAGAATGGCCAGTGTAATGCTAAAGGCATCGTCCAGATTGCCTACGAGAACTGATACGCCGGCTGACCCGAATAGAAGCATCACCATTGAGTTGGTTACGATGCTCTTGATAAACTTTACAAATATGTTCTCTTCCTCGCCCCCCTCCAGTGCATTCTTGCCGTATACGCGCTGCCGCTGCTGCACGCTTAGGGATGTTAGGCCGGTGGTTGCGTGCGTAAACAGTGAGTCGAGTACCGCTTGTGCCTCCTCTTGCGCGCACTCGCTTGTGCTTTTTAGTGGGCCGTGTGGCATGTCCTGCTGGTGCTTCTGTGGCGGATACGTCACCGCTGCTGCTGCTGCTAGTGGCACTGGCATTGTGTAGGAGAAGGAAAACTCGGTAATTTAAAAAAAAAAGTAAAGGGAAAAAAGTAAATGCGACAGAGATGTGAGTTTGGTTGAAATGTCCTGGGCTGATTATGCGTAGCTTTTCTAAAAACTGGCTCCGTGGTCAAACTCGCAAAAAAAAATAAACAAAAAGAACAGGCTCAAGTAATTTCGTAATTGAAGACACGCAAAGAGTTGAGAAAAAGGGGGGAAATTGAGAAGACAGAAGGTAACTTCCCCCTTCATTTTTTTTCGATCTGAGAATGTGATTAAAAAAAGGATACGCGGCACTTCGCCACTACGCATTCACATCAATGCCTGTCGGATCTGCTCGTTCAGCCGGCTGATCTTCACAGCGAGATCCTTAATCCTGCAAGCGTCCGGATCATCCTCCAGCATCCCCAGCACATTCGCTATATGGCCTAGCGCAAGGCGCAGGGCGTCGGGGGACCGATACGCGCGATCAAACGCCGCCAGCCGGCCGCCACCGTCACAGCCCCCGTCCCGCACTGCCTGCAGCTGCGCCAAATAAATGCGTGCCATGCTCTCCAGAAATCCAGCAAACAACCAGTAGTCCGTGCCACTATCGGCGCGTAGCACCACCTGCACGTGCTCGTCAAAGCCATCCATGTCGACGACGTCCCTGAGCGCATATTTGACGGCATCCAGATCGGCCCTGAGGCGCGCATACATGCGGTGCAGGTTGTGTTCGTTCGTCCAATTGTGGTTGATCGAAATGGTGTCGCCAATGTTGATTACCTGGTGCCACCAGCCGGCTGGCACAAAGACGGTTTCGCCAGGGGATTGCATGATCTCTAGAGTTTTGAGCTCGCTGAGCCGCGGGTATTTTTGCTTGTCGTAGTCCATCAGGTTATACACCCAGTTGCCCAGCCCATCGGTGAACAGGTGGTTCTGGCCGGGCAGCACCAGGATCCATTTTTTGTGGCCGCAGATATTGGCGCTCCACGAGTACGACCGGAAGACATCCTCGTGGAACGGGGTCCACGTGGCGTCGCCACCCAGATAACAGAACCGAAAGTCATCGCCAGCCGCTTCGCTATCGCAATGCAGGTTAAGCCAGTCGTTCGACAGGTGCGCTAGCGGCCGGTATGCGGAGAAGGGGCTATTCTGTGTAAAGTGCCAGTCCTTGCAGTATAACTTCGAGTTGCTGTGCCATTTTGAAATAAAGTCGCCAAAGGACATGGTTGTGCGCTTTTGGTCGGAAAAATACACTGTGTCGCATTCGGCTACTTGTACTTGCGCGTGCGCATAGAGTTCGAGAAGGCGCGGGAAATTGGGCTTGCCGTCAGATACCCACTCGCGACGTGCCGCCCAGGTGCTGGTGAAGTGGCTGCCCAGGATGACCGGCAGGTTGGGCTCAAGGAATTCTTTGACAAATTCTTCGACGCTCAGCTGGTCTCTGCGCTCGACCCTGTCGATATCCATCTTCAATGTGCTAAATTATAATGAAATGAAAATTATAATGTTTTTGAAAAGTTTTAGACTAATCGGTCATTTTTCGTATTTTGTTATCTATTTTTTAACGCTGATGTGGAGATGGACCACATCATTACTTGGTAGTGGGATTTTTTTTGTGGTTGTTTTTGTTTCTCCATAAAATATTAAATATTCTTTTATTACTCCTTATCCAAGATCCACTTATTTACCATATTCCTGGGAAACAAACACTGTCTCCACATTCTTAAACCACACGAAGCATGACACTTGGCGGAGAATGAAAAATATAAAAAGAAGGGATTGTCTCGCAGCAAATGAATAATGTCACCAGACATGGAAGACATATGCAATTGTTCTAAATATATGAAACCAAAGCTGGCGGGTTATGTTTTTTTTTTGAACTTAAATTTTACCGATAACAAAGGTGTTATTGTTGTTATTGTTCAGGATTCCGAGTCAAATGCAAGAAATCCCCCTAACACAATATTGTGGCTTTATTTAAAAAAAAAGCTCTTGTTTCTCACACAAAACCCCCTCCCCATAAATTAACGCATGTGCCATGTGAACCCTGCAGAAAGAAAAGAACAACCCCACCACATCCTCTCACAAGTCAAGACAAAAAAAGAGGTCAAACACTTAAATACCACTGTCTATTTCCAATACAAATAAAAATCTTTTTTTCGCGCGCGATACCTAAAAACAACAATCCACCTTTATTTTTCTTCCATCATATTTTTCTTAAAATATTTCCGTAAACACAAAACAACCATGACTGCCGCTGCATCCTTTAGGCAGTTAATTGAGACACTGCCGCAACCACTGGTGCAACAAGCGATCCACAAGACATTCATAGAGGAGGACCAGGCCGACAGAGAGCGCATGGTGCAGAACCTGGACCAATCTGACTCCAAATCCAGTCCTATCAGCGACTCCCAGCGCGGGCGCAACTACGATCTCAACCGGTACTGCAACGTCATCCCGTTCAACCACAACCGGGTGCGCCTGCAGGGCAAAAATGATTACATCAACGCTAGCCACATTCAGCTGCCCGCCGAGCTCTCGGCCAACAAATACATTGCCACCCAGGGCCCGCTTAACCACTCAACAGGGGACTTTTGGCAGATGGCTTGGGAGCAGGGCGCCTTGGCCATTATTATGCTGGCCAACCCCGTTGAAGGCCGCCGGAACAAGTGTGCCACGTACTGGCCTGCGTCTACTGGACAGCAGATCAAAGCGGGCGACCTCACTGTGACTCTGGCTGACGAAAGACCCATGCAGGATTGCTTTGCCGTTATTGTGCGCAAAATCACCCTGGCGCACAAATTGCATCCTGGAGTGACCCGCACAGTGACTCAGCTTCATTACACAGAATGGCCGGATCACGGCGTGCCGCAGTCGCCGCTGCCGATGCTGAGAATGATGCAGGAGCTCAGAAGTGGAATCTCGCCGAATCCTGAAACCCCCGTTATTGTGCATTGTAGTGCGGGCGTTGGTCGCACGGGTACGTTTATTATTATTGATTCGGCCTTGGCTTATTTTGCCAAAAATTCTGATTATGAGGGCGATTACGTGCAGGATGCGTTCAAGTCTTTGCGCAAGCAGCGCTCGCTGATGGTCCAGGTCCTGGAACAGTACATGCTGTGCTACCAGGTCATTGGGTACACTCTCAACAACAAGCAGTGAAAGAGGGAGGGGGTTTATGCATAGAAGGGATATGTCTTTTTATCGATTATTTTTTATATAATCTTTTGTTTTTGGTCATCATTTTCATTAATATTAAACTTGGATACAAAATCCTCATGTTGCATGTCAATATGATGCTATTCACACTCAATATATATTGCACACATGTGCATGCTGTCTGTGCCATGCAATGCTCTTGTCGTGTGCTTGGTTGGGTCGAAGCATTCGTGTCTGTCGCAAAAAGTGAAGACAATTTTATGGATGATAAATCATAAATACGCGCAAAAAGACATGCCAAAGAAATACAAGCTGTAGTGTAGTTTTCTGCAAAGACCAACCTTGTATGAACAGACAAACGACACATCACTCTACTCTAGTAAAAAAAACTCCCAAGAAAGGAGACTGTCAAATATAATATCGGACATGAAATAAATGAAGAAATGCAGTAAATTAGCATCAAAGATTTATCACCCCAATTTTTCCTTCTTTATTTCTCCCAGCCCATGGGCTTTTTTCGTCAGTCTCATGGTTGTATTTATTCCCCCCTTTTACTTCTTGCAAAAATATCTCGATATTGCTTGCTTTTACACTTTAACCTTCCAACAGGGAAAAAAATAGCCTGGAAAAGAAGGGATTTGCCATGTTCCAGTAATAAAAATACAATCGCACTCCTGTTTTTTTTTCCTACATTTTCTCCCTTGTTCTTTTTTTTGGGCTCTTCTTTTTTATCCTCTCCTTGCACCCTTTAACCTGATTTCGTTGGAATTCGTTATTCCTGGAATATTGCAGTTGGCAAACTCACACATTAGCTCACGCGTTTTTCTAGTCAAACGATTCTTTCTTTCTTTCACTGTTCCAAAACACATTTTCAAATCATCTCTTTTTTTGGTTGAATTTTTTCTTTTAATTCAGCATCTTTTTATTATTATTATTTGTAAATTACGCAAACACAAACCCACAAACCACAAACACAGACACAGACACAGGGCTACGCTACACTGCTTCAGCTACTCAACCACAGTAGCAACCTCTTTTCAACAACTCCCCCCCTCCCCTCTCTTCCTTTCCTCCACCTTTTTATTCAGTGTTCTTATATAAAACATCAGCAGCATGTCGCTAAAGGCTGAACTCGAACAGTGGCACCAGGCAGTCGAGTACTTTGACGAGCAAAACTACACAGCAGCCTTGGAAATCTTTGACGTACGTACCTCACCCAAATTCAAACGCAACTAGATAATAACGGAGCATGCACAAAGCATACATAGAAAAAACAATACATGCGTGATTATTGTCGTTGAAAAAATACCACTGCTATTTTACATTCGCTATTTCTCATATAATCACTGCTCTTTTCTGTGTCTTTGCAAAATAATAAAACTAACACCCTTCTTTTTTGTTTGTTTGTTTCTTTGTTTGTTTGTGTCGTGTTTCTTGTTTTCCCTTGTTTTCCCATGCTTCCTTCATGTTTCGTTCTTGTTTCAACCTGTAGTCTATCGCCGACTCTGCAAAGATACACTTCAATATCGGCCTGATTCTTGGTCGCAAGGCTAATCACACCGCTGCGGTAAGTTCTTTTTTATTATGCACCATACTATTGCGCTGATTCTATTTATAACTCGAGATGGAATAACGCCTTTTCCAAAAGTATTCTTTTTTCTTCTACGAAGCTTTGTTGCCATTAAGGTTTTCGAGTTTTACCTGCTATTTATCCTTTGTGCCAACATGGAGGATGGGGGAGCACTTTCATTAACCTGCTTTTTTGGAACCATGTTGTGGCTATCGTAAACCGCTGCTAAATAAATAACTCCATACGCTAAACGATTCCGGCACGCAGCCACCCTTGTTTATTTTTGTTTAAACTTTATAGATCGAGGCATATGACAAAGCTCTCAAGCTCGACAAATACCTGGTCGTCGCATACTTCCAGCGCGGCGTGTCCAAAATGGTCATACAACACAACCCCGAAGCGTTGGATGACTTTAACAACGCGCTAAAGTTCCTACGGGACAACGAGTTTATCGACTACACGCAGATCGGGCTTGACTACAAGGTGTACACATGTGAAGTGCTGTACAACCGAGCCCTGTGCTACTTTTGCATGGGCGATAAGGAGGAAGTACACAAGGCACACAAGGACTTGGCGAGCGCCAGCAGCCGCGTGGCTGAGGAGCGGCACTCGTGGATCAAAAAGGCCGTCGACTCCAACGGCATGGACTGTCCGCTGTACTGCGTGCCCAAGGGCGTCATCTACCGGCCGTCGGCCAGCAAGTTGAAGAGCTCAAAGAAAATTGACTTTCTCGGCTCGGCCAAGGTTATCGCATCGGCGGACGGCAATGATAACTTTACCGGGTTCAAGGGCGCGCTGGTGCGCAAGGAAACGCTCAAAAACACGCCCCCGATGATGATGCACCAAAAGTCGATGCGCGTCAAGAAGAGCACGCCGCCTCCGGAGACCACCGGCGCCCTGACACGCTCCAACACTATGCCGGTCAACCGCAACGAGCCAGCTCGCTGCCATCGAGAATGGCGCCCTCGTCTCTGCAGCGGGAGATTGCCAATGGGTCGTTCAACTCGATGCATGGCAGATCGAACGAGACACTTTCAGCCACGGCGCACAGCTATCGCGGTCCGAACAACCCCAATCTGCAAACGCAGGTGTCGGACTCAGAGCGGGAGGAGTCCGATGGCTCTCCTCGGCGTTCACGACACCCACGACCGGCGACCTAACGGTGGGGGACATGAGCCCTGATTACCAGGGCGACCGCCGGGCTGAGAACTCCCCGGCGCTTCGGTCGGCCATGAAGGGCCCCGCGCAGAGCCCAGCGTCCCGTAACCATGTCGACCCCTGGACATTATCCGCGCGGGCTTGGCCCGACGCACCACGCTGAAGAATCAGCACCAGAAGGGCCAACGCTCGGAACAACAGCGGCCCAGTGGCCCGCAGCGCTCAGTCACGCTCAAGTGCCTGGCCGCGTGGGACAGGACGATAGCGGTGATGAGGATGGTAATTATGGCAGCGGTGCCGGCCAGAGCAGCGGCCGCATGCGTTTGAACCCTGGCCACTTGCGCGGAAACTCTGCCTCGTTGCATTCGGCTAGCGCGCAGATTGCCTCCAGCGAGATTATTGCGCCAGTAGTGCAACGGTCCAACACAGACGGCACCTTCCAAAACCTCGAAATTGACTATTCGATGAGCGGAGGACCGCTGTCTCAGTATCAGCAGCAGCAGAAGCAACAGGGTATGCACGGTCACTCGATGGCCGGGCCTTTGGGCCATGAGGACGGTGTGACGCGGGGGATGGCAGCAATGAGCGTGCAGAATACGCACATGCCCTATCCGTCGTCGCAGACTGGCCATATCCAGACGTACGCGTCGTCATCGGAGGCCAACACGCCATCAGCATTGTCACCGATGAGTGCCGACGGCAGCGGGGCGGCCGGCTACGGGTCCATATCCAATATTAGCGCGGGCGGGTTGCGGCGAGCGCCGACGAAGAAGGACGCTATGAAGGTCAAGGTGCACTACGGATCTGAGATCATCAACCTCATGGTTCCCAAGCACGCGTCATTTGATGTGCTACGTAACAAGATTGACGCAAAGATCGCTAGTGCGACTACGGGAGTCGTAGGGTCGCTGCGTATCCGGTATATGGACGAGGATGGCGAAGCTGTGCTGATGACTGATGATGATGATTTCGAACTCGCAAAGGCGTATGCTGGAGGTGATATGACCTCGGCGCAAACCAATGTTGTTGAGCGGATAGAACTGTGGTGCTCGATGGCATAATGCAAATGTGCATTTAATTATAGTGAATTTTTTTGTCTTTTTTTTTTTTAAAAAAAATCATTTCACAGAATAAAAAGAAAGGGTTGTTTGTGTTTCTGAGATTGTCTCCTTTGTTCTGTCCTAAATTCCATTGTTTTACGAGCGAGAGGAAGTGGGGGATATACCCATATGGATACTCTTAACAATTAACAATACATGTTTTCAATATATCGATATCCGCCGCGCCAGCAAAGACAATTTCCATATCAAAAAATTGTTTATTTTTTTGTCTATAGATAAATAAATTTATTCAATAAATTGTTTTTTACTTAAAAGTACGAAACAGCGGCAACAAAGGCAACAGCCGCGAATCCCATGCTCGAAGCGCCATTGAACAACGATCCAGCGGCACCGCTCGTAGTCGAGGTCTTGGTGCTAGTGCTAGTGGTATGAGAGGTTGAAGATTCCCTTGAGCTCGTAAGAGAGGTACTGGTGGTAGCCGCGGTACTTGTGGTATCGGCAGACGACTGGGCGTTAGCAGCGATGGCGAAGAGACCGGCGGCAGAGGCGAGAGTAGAGTAGAACTGCATTTTTATGAAAATGGAAGGAATGTTGTATGAAGAAAGATAGGATCCTGTTTGGAACGGCAGTTGTATTTATTGACAGTTGAAGAATAAATGACGAGGCTGATTCGAGAGATGAAGTTTCCAGTGTTTGAGTTTTGTGCGGATTCGGTCGTTTATATACTATAAATTTCTCCACCTCTACCTTACCCATCAACTCTTCTTCCTCTATCTTTGTCACACCACATGCCAAGGAAAGGCGTGTTAAATGACCGATGAACTAATTATAAATTAGTGACGTTGCCTGCAAACTATTTTTTTGGTGTACAATGAGCATGGCAAAATGGTGCAAAAAATGATTTGTATGTGTGTTTGTATGGCTTGCTCAATGCAGTGGCAGCACAAATAAAGCATGCTGCTGCTTTCCACGAATAAAAAATGACTTCATTGATTGCCACCTCTGACGTATATACCGCTCCTTATCTCTTTTCCCCCAATATTTTTTCGTGACAGATAAATTGCGTGTTTGCATGTAAACTGGCTTCCAATTTTCCATTTTTCTTACGCATAAATGAATGAATGAGAGAGGATTGAGAGGCAGTTTTAGCCGTTTACCAAAGGGGGAAATGGAGGCTTTTTTATTTTAGCCGCCACAATTCATAACAAATAAACATATATCATGCAACATGGTAAAAGATATCGATGGGTAAGATTTATTTAATCAAATTTAATGTAATCAAATCAAATAAAGAATCACCAAACAGTTAAAAACGAAAGGAAAAAAGGAAAGAAATGGTGCCGCTTTCCTGTTATTAAATGTAGTGGGGAGAGCAAGAAAAAGGGGAGAAATAGGAAAGTCTTGCTGCTGCCTGTTGGTGCCATCCATCCACTGCCAAAAGAAAAAGGGTGGATTTTCCGAGCATTAATGTTTGTAAAAATAATAGAAAAATTAGAAAGAAAAAACCCCTGCTTACGTGTTTAGAATGCAGCAAGCATGAGCGACACACCACCGGCAACAGCCAGAGTGACCACCGACGAAATACCACGGAAGGACTCGGCGCCGCTAGACGACGACTCCGAAGATTTCTCCGAAGTTTCGCTCAAGACAGTTTTGACCTCACCGCTGACAAAGATAGTCGAGGTGCCGTCATCCGCGGGCACATCATTCTCGTCCTCGGAAAGCTCAATATCCTCTGAGCTCTCCACATCGCCCTCGACAACGCTCGACTCCTCGACAATGCTGGACTCCTCAATGACGCTGGACTCCTCGGGGATGCTAGACTCCTCGGCGGAGATAACCTCCGGGGCCGAGGCAGTGGGGTCGGCGTGGCCGATGCGCACAACGGACTGGGCGTTCTGGGGAGAGGGCAGGGCGGCGCTAATGGCGGCCAGAGCGAAAAGCGAAACAGTGAACTTTGAGAACTGCATTGTTTTTTAAAAAAGATTATTCGGGTCGGATAAAGGTTGTTGGATTGTCTGTGCGGGGGAGAAAAGGTAGTAAAATAAAAGAACAATAAAAATTGTAAATGTTGGGTATGTTGGGTGGAAAGAAAAGAAAAGTCTATGTGAATGCAAATTAAAGAGACCAGCCGCTTATATTTGCTAGTTTTACTCTTAAAGGTTGGGGAAGAGGGAAAACGTACAGGGGATGGGGGAAGATGAGAAGGTGAGTGAGGGAAAGTGTAAAAAAATGTGAGTAAACAAAAAAGAGGAAAGAAGAGAAAGGAACATCAAAAACAAATAAAAAAGGACAGATTTTTGTATTCCAACTTCTCGAAACCAATTATTCTATTATTACATTCCCTGTCTGCAGCCCCTTTCTTTCTGAGTGGTCCAGCTGATGTGGTGCGGGGCGGACATTTGTTTTTGGATTTTCTTGGCAGTGTAAAAACATTAGACAGAGGCGGCATAAAGTAATAATGATCGACACTGGACTTGTAAAGGAAAGAACGCAACATGCTCAAGTGAAAAAGAAACTTTTTTTGGTAGCGAGTTTGACACAAAACACCCGCACAAAGCAGCAACAGACAACAGACAACAGACAACAGACATTCTTTTGTCTTTAATTCTTTTTCTATGCAAAAGCTCCATACAGTGCATGATTGAAATAAAAATCGCTTAAATTTGTATTGCAAGTACAACTTGGCGCTTGTTGGGAGCGAAAGCAGATGAATATGATATGATGAAGCGCATGCCCAACATGCTGTATCTGCTTGCTTGCCACGTGCGGCGGTGGGCCTGGCAGTCCGCATGCATAACTTCCCCCAAAAAATATTTCTCAGTGGGTTCCAAGATCTGCCCCGCCAATGCGGATCCACCAAAGATGAGCCAATCTTTGAAATAAGCATAAACATTTAAAAAATGGTATTGGTACTCAATAGCGTGCAAACAAATGATCCAAGCGTTCAAAAAAGAGAGCTACGCTAGTTGGGACTCGGGCTCGGACACAGCCACAGACTCGGGCTCAGGCTCGGGCGCGTGCACATGAGCAGGTTGGATATTCTCAATGAACCCTGTTGCTCTGCTCCGGTCGATGGTCGATATACTGGAGACCTTGTTGTTGAACGTAACGCCATAGAACTTATCCGCATGCACCAGCATCTCGGGGCGGAAAGTCGTGGTGACAAACTGGGAGTCGCGGCTAAGCTCGTAGATCATGGTAGCCACTGCCACGCGATATTTGGCATCGAGGTTGGCGTCGATCTCGTCAAACAGATAGAATGGCGCCGGGTCGCAGCGCTGGATCGCAAAAATGAGCGCCAGCGCGACCAGCGACTTTTGGCCGCCAGACAACTGCTGCATGCGCAGGCCCTCGTCAGTCTTGCTGTTGAAGGACACCCGAATGGAAACGCCAATATAGTTTTCGACCGACGACAGCACGTCGCCGCCCTCCATCGGGTCGTCGGCATCCTCGCGGCAGCGCCCAAAACCTTGTCTGTGCGCCTCAGCATGACCAAAGCGCCCTTTCCTACCGGAACAAGCTTGGCAAAGACCTCGCCAAAGTACTTGGACACCTGCTTGAACGTGCGCTCAATGGCCTCGTCCTTGCGCTGGTCGAGCACTTCGATCAGCTCGGTGATCGACGCAGAGGACTGGTCAAGCTCCTGCTTGCGCTGCCGAATATTCTCACGCTGCCGCGCAAATATGCTGAACTGCTCAAAGGCCTTCTTGTTGACATGGCCGAACCGCTTGAGCTTCTCGTTGGTTTTGTGGAGCCGCTTGGCCAGCTTGGGGACCTGCGCGCGGTTGAAGTTTCGGAACGCCTCCTCGGGGAGCACGCCGAGATCCTGGATATTGCGCATGTACTCGTTTTTCTTTTGCAGATACAGGTTGCGCTGTGCCAGGCACTTCTCCAGCTGCTCCATTTCCTTCTCTGCGCGCCGGGTCTCGTTGTCCAGCCGCCCCTTGGTTTCCTCGATCTGCCTCTCGAGGTCCGCAATCTCGCGCACTCTGTCGTCGATCTCGCGGTGCACATCGCCGAGCCGCTCGCCAATGTCTTCCTGCAGCTTAGCCAGTTTGGCCAGCTCGCGCGTGCGCACAACGATTGCCTTGTCGGGTTATCCGCCGTGGCCTGCTCGAGCTGCCGCTGGGCTTCCTCGAGCCGCATGCGCAGCCCCAAGCCAAGCTCGCTCTGCAAAACATTGCGGCGGCTCTCGAGCTCAACACGTGTGGACGACAGCTTGCTGAGCTCAGCCGCCTGCCCATCGACCTCGGTCAGCAGGCGCTCGAGCACAGTGCGCTCCTCGGCGCTGATCCCACGGGTGAACGGCGTTTTGAGCTCAGCCTGCAATGACTGCAGCTCAAGCTCAGCGCTGCGGTGCTGTGCGCGGAGGGCGGCCAGGGCCTTGCTCGCATTATCGCTGAAGCTGCGCGCGTCGGACTCCTCCTTGACCAGCTGCTTGAGCTCCAGCTTGGCGCTCGTGCGCTCGTTAGATGCCTGGGACACGCGCGCGTTGATCATCTGGAGCTCGCTGTGCAGTGCTGTGATCTCCTGGTCTAAACAGACAGCGTTGCCAGCGTTTCTCTCGCCTGGACTTCGGCCACTTGGACGCGGGCGCGGGCCTGCACGAGCGCCTTGGCGGCCTCGAGGCGCGAGCCCTTGCGGCTGACAAAGCCGCCCATTAGCTCGCCGCGGCGGTCAACCTTGTCGCCCTCGAGCGTAACTGCGGTGAGCCCGAGGCTGCGCGCGTAGTTGCCGCCGACGTCCAGCGACGGGCAGATGATGGTTTTGCCGAAGATCTGCTGGAACGCGCGCTGGTAGCGCCGGTTAAAGCGCAGACGCTCGATCATCGGGATGGCATCGCTGGCCCCGGGGTACGTCGCCGGGCTGGGGTGCAGCCGATTGAGGGGCATGAATGTCAGGCGGCCAAGCTTTTGCCGATTCAGCTCGTTCAATACCTTGGTTGCGGTCTCGTCGGTGTCCACGACAATGTGGAATAGGCTCGCGCCCGCAATAGTCTCGACGCACGTGCGGTACGTCTCGTCGACCTCAAAAAGCTCAAACAGCGGCCCATAGATGCCGCTGAGGCCCAACTCGTCGCGGATTGCAGACAGGGCTTGTAGACCTTCGCTGGTTGAGCGGTCGACCGTGCTGCCAATGGCCCTCTCTGCGCGCTTGAGCTCCTCGCGCAAATCGCTATTTTCGGTTTCGAGCCGCGCCTCCTTGCGCCACAGCCCCTTGCGCTGGCTGATTTTCGCGTCCTTCTCCTCCTTCAGCTGGATTTCGCGGGCCTGCATCTCAGCAGACAGCTGTACACTAGTATCAGCGCGCGCCCTGGTCTCAGCAATTGACTGCGAGATAATCACCAGGCGCGCCTGCAAATCAGCATGCTCCTTCTCGGCAGCCTCATACTGAACGCGCTGCTGCTGGATAGACTCGCCGAGCTGGGCAATCTCGTTAGCAAGCCAGGCGTCGCGCTGCGCCTTGTTGCCAAAATGGCTGCTGCGGCCCTGCTTCTGCAGAAGCGACTTGCGCTGTTGGTCGGCCACTTCAAACTGCTCGCGCAGCTTGGTTTCGACTGCCAGCGCCTTGGTGTACTGCGACTCGACGCGCAAAACCTCGTTCTCGCGCGTGCGGATGTCTCGCGCCAGACTATCGACAGTGCGGCGGAGCTCAGTGATGCTATCGCGGCCCGATGACCGGCCCTGTCTAAATCCTGAATGGCCGACTCGGTTTGGGCACGAGCACGCGCGTAATCCTCGGCTTCGGCCGCCAGCTGCTCACGCTCAATGCGCAGCAGCTCCAGAGCCTGCTTGGCGCGCGGATCTCCGGCTCGATGTCGCCCATGTGGCGCTCAAACTCAGCACATGCTTCCTGGCGGGCATTTACGGCAACTAGAAGCTGCTCGCGCTTAATGTCGATTTCGTCCAACTGCTCGACCACGTCCTCTTGCTCCAGCGAGTAGATCGCGTACTCTAGACAGCGGCGCTCGCGGTCCAGGGTTCTGTACTTGTCTAGCTCGTCCTTCTCTGCATCAAGCTCGCCCAAGCGTTCCTCGATCAAAGCCAGGTCCTCTGTGATCTTGACACGCGTGCGCTCAGTTCCTCGATCGTCTTCAAACTGGCCTCCCGACGCGATTCATACACCTGAGTACCAGCAACCTCCTTGAGCAACGCCAATCTCTCGTTGTCCTTTGCATGTGTCAAGGAGGTAATGCGGCCCTGTGGCACAATATAGTAGGGGTTGGAGCGGGAGAATCCGGCGCTTTCGAGCAAACTCGAAATCTCTGCTTTGGTCGAGCTCTTGCGGTCAAGCGAATAGTCGTCTTTTTTCAGTCCTATAGTTCGCCGGATCACCGTTTCCTCTTTGCCAGTCGGGAAGCGGTTGTCGCTGTTGTCGAATACAACCTCGACGTATGCGACATGGTTGCTGGGCCGGTTCCCTCGTGGAGTAGCGCTTGGCGCTCTTCGCGGCCGAGATTTGTGTATGCGTCGCTTAGCACGAAACGAACTGCGGCGAAAAAGTTACTCTTTCCTGATCCGTTTCTCCAACTACGCAAGGTGCTTGTTGATAAATTGGTTAATACAAATGATTTTCGTAAACACGTTTTCGATATGCCTTGTGGACTGACTGCTTTTTTTATTCTTACCGACTACGTTGTGGTGTGGGCTCAGTGGTCCGTGGTGGTCTCGTCCTTGTAGGACTTAAAGCCCTGGATGGATATCTACATGCCAGCGGTCGTTGAAAAAACAGTAAGATTTTATGAGACTCTGAATAGCCCATTTTGTGTTTGGTTGGTTTCGACAAAGTCAAAGGGAGGTGTTGTAGACGGCATTCAAATGCTTTTTATTAGAATTATGCTTACTCTTTTGATATGCATTTAAATAAGGGTTTGTAATTTGTTTAAAGCCAATTCAAAAAAGAGAAAATAGTGAAAAAGAATTAACAAAAGTAGAACTAAAAGTAAACGTTGCACTTTTTTATTTGCTGTTCGCTGCTGCTGCTGCGGGTTCCTTCAACCGCCTATCGTCGTCAAAAAAAACACGCATACAAAATACGCGCATACGCACGCGTAAATAATACAAAACGCAAAAAACGCGTTCGTTTATTTTATTGCTTTGTGATTGGTCAGACCAAATTAGCTTCAAACTTGATTTCATTGCAAGCCACAGACCACGCAAAACTTTAAAAGCTCTGATCTCTCGTCGAATCAATAAAATTTTCAATTGCATTGCATTGATCACAAAACATGGGATTCCGAAGACAGCGCGGCCAAAGACCTGGCAGGCTGGCTCGGCTGGCCGCTGTGAGTGCGGGGCGATCCAGTCCACCGGCGGGTCAGAGAGCTGCGAGAGATCAGACTGATCAGTGAGGGCCGACCATAGTTATTCCTCGACTGCATGCGCACTGCCCTGACAATATCCTTCTTTGTAATGATACCCAACAAAATACCAAAATGCGTAACCAGCACATACCGCAATCCCAGCTGCCTGAACGTATCCGCAACAACATTAAGATCCGTGTTTGGTAAATGGTGATGGGCGTTTGGTCGACCCAAGGCCTAAAGTCCACCATATTCCGAGCAAAATCGCCCGAGTCCTGTGGGCGCGACAAAAAGCAGCAAGTCGATGAGTCTGAGTACACGCTAGACAATAGCGCACGATCGACAATCATTTGGAGGTCTGAGCGCGATATGTACCCGGCGACCGACATTGTGCTCTTGGACTTGACCACTGGGAAGCCGCTGTACGGCGAAGTCTCCAGCACCTCGGCCATTCCACGCAAGGTCTCATCATGAGCCCCGATAACGGACATTTCGGAGCCCGCACCATGAGCTCATCGCTGGTGCCCTGGAGGACGTACTCCTGGTCCATGGACAAGAACGGATACCCGTTGAGACTGATGATGCCCTCAAAGTAGCCGTCCTTATCGATAGAGTCAGCAATGGATTTACTGACGGTGACGGCCAGCATAATGGGCAGGACATATATCAGCGCATCGCTGAGCTCAAACATGATGACGACCACGGTGACGGTCATTCGTGTCGTAGAAGCGAGCATGGAGGCAGCACCCACCAGGGCATAGACACCGGGCGTAATGCAGGGCACATCGGGCTTGCAGGCAGCAAACAGCCTCCACGTCGGATGGTTCTCATACAAGGTCTGCACAACCATGCCAAAGGCACGCCCAATGCTCGCGCCGGCGCCCATTGACGGCATGAACATTCCCGCGGGGACTGCCAGCCCGCAGGCCACAGAAGTGAGCACGACGCGGATGGCTGACGTCAACACCAGCGAGAAAATATTTCCTGCCCTGTCCTTGCGGCTGCACAAACCATCTGTGTCCTGCACAGTGCACTCTGTAAACAAATTTGACACTAGGGTGACTGTGTCAGCGCGCAAGTACACGCTGAGGTAGCTGACGGCTGCCGTGGCTAGGGCGACAACAACAACCTCTCCGCGCGCAAAGTTCTTCAGCGTCGACCGCTGACGGTACTGCATCAGATACAGTGCCAGGCGATTCTGGAAGGTCCCGACTACGCCGCAGATAACGCCGATCGCCACAAAGAACCACAGCTCAAAGAGGTCCCAGTTCTGTCGTATGTGACCTGGAACGACACGAGCTTGCCATTGCGGAAAGGATTGAAGAACTTTAGCGTCATGGCAGCGACTGCAGCGCAGAACAAGCTCCGCCACATGGTCTTCGCTGGGAAGTAGTACGAGACCTGCTCGAGACTGAAAAGCACACCGGCAATGGGCGACCCAAAAGCCACTGATATTCCGGCCGCTGATGCCGCCGAGAGGAGCTCGCGGCGCTTGACCTCATTGCCCCGTATCCTGCTGAACATCCGGGTATATACGTTGCAGCAGCAGCAGGCAATGTGTACCATGGTTCCCTCCTTGCCCAGGCTGAGCCCCGATGCGACGGCAAGCACAACGCCGACGCACTTGACCCCGAGCGTGCGCAGCCCCAGGAACTTACGCATCATAAAGCCGCTCATGATGGTCTTGATCTCGGCAATCCCCTGGCCAGCCGCATAGGGGGCGTACTCAGTCACCAAATATGTGCTGAGACCGGCAAACAGAATAGCATCAAATATAAAACCAAGTACTGCAGCAGCCAGTCGAGCCACCGCCAATGCACGCGCAGGTGTTCACTCCACGACACCCAGTCCAAGCACATGTTGTCAGCGTTCAAGCAGCAAAAGCGGCGATTCAAGTAAAAGCCCGTCCGGCAATGTCCGTTCTTGATGTCAATCAGCCATTGCGATGACACCGAGATACACGTGGCTATCAGCCCCATGGATATGCCGACAGCCAAGAGCACCGCCCAGGACTTTGATGCATCCAGCAGCAGCTCAAGCTGGCCCATGCGGCCCTTGTCTTGCGCGCGTGCCCGCAGCTCGCTCTTGCTGTGCCGCGCCTTTGTATTGTCGTAGATCCAGTCGATGGTCGAAAAGTCATCGTACTTTGCGCGCTGCAACGGGCCATTGTACAGCCATCCGGTGATGACGTCCATGTCCAACCCGCTGCCTCCACCAACACCGTCCTGCTGCTGAATCAGCACTTCCTGCGAGGACCGTGTGCGGTGCAGCGGAAACATTGCGTGTGTGCTGCCGTTGTCGTCAAAGTGTGGAATATAATCGTCGTCACTGTCGCTAGCCGCGTTCTCATCCTCATCCATGCTGCCCGTGTTGCGGTTGTTCGTGCTGGGCTCTCCCCAGACGTTCTCATATGTCCCTGGGCTCGAAATCCCGAGATTTTGCGTTCTATCGCTATTTCCCTCGTCTTCTCTTCCTATCATGGGATGGTATGTACAAAATCAAATAACCTTGCTAACAATGCGCCGATACGGCAATGCTGAGTTTGATAAAATACGAATTGGGATTTGTAAAAAAAGCACAAATTAGCAGAGAAGAAAAGAGTCGCAAAATCCATAAACCTGTTGACCAGAGCCCAAATATGGAATGATTGTTTTTGAGCGTCATCGCGCCAAAATGAATGCGATTTTTCTATATTTGCGTCATCGCCATGGCCAAAAAAAGTATACTATTCTTTTTTCTTTCTTTCTTTCTGTAGTATTTTTAATTTTGTTCTTAAATTCATTTGAATTATATTATTTTTCGCGACGTAAAAAAAACAATGGACCTTTGGCAGGGCATGCTAAAAGCGCGCAAAATGCAGCTCCCACCACTCGAGGAAGAAGAGGGTACTGCCAACGCAAAAAAGGATCACGGCTCATCAGATCAGCTTCAGCCACTTCCCTGGAGCGACTACTTTGAATCGCAACAGCAAATAGACATAGAAGACGCTCGCTTCAATGTATATGCCAGTGGTCTTCTGCACACTGATGGCCCCATCTTTATGTTTCACCACGGTGCCGGACACTCGGGTTTGACGTTTGGCCTGGTGTGCAAACACATCCGCCAGACCGTGCCCCAGTCGACAGTCATAGCGCCCGATGCTCGCGGCCACGGATCTACTACAGGAAAGCACCAGGATCTTAGTCTAGACCGTCTGGTAGCCGACTACATTGAGATTGCCCGTGCAATGCTCGGTGAAAATTCCGAGCGAGAAATTATTTTAGTTGGGCACAGCATGGGTGGCGCGGTCATGACGCATGTCGCGGCATCAAGAAAACTTTCGCCAATCCGCGGCCTGATTCTTATCGATATTGTCGAAGGCACAGCTCTGGACTCGCTGCATGCCATTCCGTCTTTTATTGCCGCCAGGCCCCAGTCATTTGCCTCCGTATCAAGTGCAATTCAGTGGCACATTGACTCAGGAGCCATCCAGAATCTCGAGTCTGCCCGCCTCTCTGTGCCGTCACTCATTGTGCAGGATGGCAGTAGATGGTCATGGAAAACACAGCTAATGCCCACAGAACAATATTGGCAAGGGTGGTACACGGGGTTGTCAAAGACGTTTATTAGTGTGCCGACTGCCAAGCTGCTAATTCTTGCTGGTTCGGATCGGCTGGATAAGGAACTGCTGATTGCGCAGATGCAGGGCAAATTCCAGCTGGATCTCCTGCCAGCCGCCGGTCACACCATTCAGGAGGACCTGCCTAATATGGTTGGCGATGCTATCATACTGTTTTGGAAACGCAACCAGCCACTAAACATTCCTGTCCGTCAGCAATGATAATATAAATTAGAATATGTAAAATTGAAGCGTTAAACAAAATGAAGTATTAATTGAAAATATTGAAAAAGAGCTAACTTGAACCGTAAGTCTCAAAATAAAAGGTGAATCTTGCGCTTGACCTACAACATAAAATAAAGTGCACAAAAAACGGTAAATACAACAACAAACACAAGTTGAGCGAGTGAGCACACACAGCATTGTAAAAGGACAAATATTAAGTTTGCTATTTCCATGTGTCGTGCTCTATAAAAATGTGGGTCTAAATCGATATATTCAAGTCTTAAAAATTACTTACTTAACTGAAAAAGGGGGCAGCGCTGTGTGGGCAGCGCTGTAAACATCATGGTATTCCTTGATGTCAGCCAGCAATAACAGAAATGTGTATAGTGGCCATGATGGCGATCTTGATTCTTGAAAAGGGAAGATAGTGGCTTGAAATGTGTGTTGGGCACCACATCACTCCCTACGAGACTGGTCGCTAATCTTGTCCCAGTACTCCTGAATCAGATCCAGTGAGTCAAAGTTGCTTGTCGGCTCCCAGGTGCTGTCGCCATCAAGCCAGTCAACTAAGTAGCGGATACCACCACGTGTGTTCTTGTGCCTGGTGATGGCTAACACCTCGGCGTGAGTCTCATCAAAGTCGGGTGCTGATGCAAGAGGAATAAGCTGTGACGTCGTATAATTGCGCGGCAGTGGTTCACGTGTCATATCCTCCAATTTGTAGGTGCCAGGTGCTATTATAGCGACAATGCAGTAAGGACCAGTATGCTTGGCCTCAAGTTTGTGCATGCGCTCGCCGCGGATAAGGACTGCTGCTCCAACCTCAAACTCCATTATCTTGTGCCTGTTCTTGAATCGTGCAGTTTGCTTGTCATTGGTAACAGCTGTGCGCTGTGCCACTGTTGTAAAGAGAGTGCCTCGCATGCTGAGTGCACGTTCACGTAGCTGCTCGATCTGTTCAGTGGTTGCCTCCATATCCAGCAGCTCTTCATCAGTGTGGTCGGCAAGCATGTTTGGCTCACGCCCAAACATGGCAAAGAAAGGCGTAAAACCATGACGTGCAGAAATCTTGGTGTTCATTGCATATTGTGCGAAAGGAACACAGCGGTCCCATGTCGCCTTGCGTCCTGCCACTAGCTTGCTGATAACCTGGCTGGCCGTCTGCACTGTACGCTCAGCAGCACCATTGGCACGTGGATGGTATGCTGTAATCAGACGATGGTCGATGCCAGATGCTTGTGTAAGGTGCTTGGCAATTCGGTTAACAAACTCGCCACCATTGTCTGACTGAATGATCTTGGGGAAGCCAAAATTGCCGAAAATGCGCGTCCAGAGTGCTGCAATGGTCTTAGCTTGCTTGTCTGGGATAGCCTCTAAATACACAAATCGTGTGTGAATGTCAATCAACACATGTAGGTAATTGTTGCCATTGCTGGATGTCGGGAATGGTCCTGCCAGGTCGACAGCAACATGTTGGAATGGTGTATCCGACGAAATGGTCTGCAGTTGATGGTGCACAACTGGTGTGTTGTTGTGCCGCTGACAGACAACACAAGTGGCAATGTAGTTGGCAATATCCCTGCGCATACCTGGCCAAGTATGACCAGCAGCATGTAATGCGCCTGCGACAGCTTTAATGCCAAAGTGCCCCTGCAGGTGTTGCTTCTTGACCAGGTTGATGCGCTGGGTGGGGTCATCGATTAATACTTGCAAGGCATGCGCGGCTGCAACCGGCATGTCTTCACCCCCCACAAGTGCATTGTACACACGAGAGAGATGGTCAGGGAGGATGTTGTCAACTCCTGGGCGATGCACAACTGCAAAATCGTAGGATGAAAGCTCCTCAAACCAGCCGATCAACATGGCATTCAGATGATCCTGGGAGTGCATGTAGGTCAGCGCCTTGTGGTCTGTAAAAAGCGTGAAGTGCCGACCGTAAAGGTATTGATGGAAGCTGCGTAGTGCATAGACAATTCCCAGCAGCTCGCGCTTGGTAGCCGAATAATTACGCTCAGCGCGGTTGAGCGAACGTGAGACACATGAGAGATAATGATGAACACCATTTGCATCCACCTGGTAGAGCACTGCACCAATGCCAGTGTTGGACGCATCTGTTGCCACTTGGAAAGGCAGATCATCATTAGGGAATGACAGTGAAAGCGCATGTGCAATGGCCTGTTGCAGATCACCTAGTGCTTCTGTGTGCCTATCCGTCCAGGCTGCAGTGAGGTTGTCTGCATTGCGAAGTGCATCGAGTGGTGCTGTGACCATGGACATAATTGGTATATGCTCACGCAGATAGTTTGCAACACCCAGGATATGCTGAAGCTCCTTAATCGTGTGTGGGATGGTCCATGATTCCACCTGCACTAGGCGCTCTGGATCCATTTGTTTGCCGCTTGGTGTGATCATGAAACCCAACAGCCGAATACGTGCTGACATAAAATGACACTTGCCAGGATTCACAACAAGGCAGTTTGCCGTGAGAATTTGCAGCACCTGCACAACATGCTTTCTGTGCTCCTCAACTGACCGTGAGTAGATGACAATGTCGTCGATGTAGCAGAGCGCGAATGGCATGCGCCCAAAGAGTTGCTGCATCACACGTTGGAAAACTGATGGCAGTGTCTTCAGACCAAATGGTGCCCGGCGGAACACATACTGTGTGTTATTCCATGTAAACGCCGTTTTGTACTGGTCCTCTGGCGCTATGGGAAACCGGTGGAATGCTGACTTGAGGTCGATTGTCGAAAAGACGGTTGCACCTGCAAGCGCGGCAAAGATGTCGCTGATCAGCGGGATGGGATAAAGATCTGGCTCCAATATAGCATTCAGCTGCCTAAAATCATGGCAAATTCGATGGAGTGTTTTATTACCGCTGGCATCTTTCTTCGGAATTGGGAACATCGGTGTGTTGAACACCGACAGCATTGGCGCAGTCTCAATAGTGCCCGTCTCGAGCCACTCAGTGATCTGTGCGTCAACAACAGGGCGCGCTGCATTGGCCAAAGGGTACTGTCGTTTGAATACAGTCTTCCCCGGCTGTGTGGGCAGGCGCACAAGTGCCTCTGGAACTGGACAGGCTGCGTCTGCCGGAGTAGCTTGATTTGCAGCAAGCAGCGGCTCAATTACAGTCATTAATTTTGCACGTGGACCGTCAAAAGTGGTGTCGCACTCATCGTGTATGAGTGATGGTATTGGCGTCTCCATAATCACTGTTGGTGCAAAGGCGTCAACGAGCTTGAAAGGCACATTGGCCAACTGTATACCAATCCGTGCAAACAGCGGGCGTCCAATGGTGATCTGGTATTTCGCGCTTGAAGGGGCAACAAAGCATGAAACCATCTCATCCATTTGGCCACACTGCAGGCGCAGTGGCACCGTCATCCTGTCGACCAGGGATGGCTTCTCGCCAAAACCGGTGACCTGTAGCATGGCTGGTAGGGTTGCAATCCCATGGTGTGCTACAAACTCTTGGCAGAGGAGCACTGTGTCAGCCCCACTGTCAATCAACGCCATCGCGACCTGCCCGTCGATGTACAACGGTGCTAGAGGTGGATCGGCGTCCACCGGTGGCTGATTAGCCCCGGTTACATGCGTCAACCTGACATTGGCTGACTGCACTTTCGTCGGGCATCTGGATGCAAAATGTCCGACCTGGTGACACTTGAAGCAGGTCACACTTGTTGAGCCGTTAGTCATGGCTCCACCCGTCGTGGGCTTGGTTGTCGACACTGTCGCTACTTGCTGCTTCTGAGCATTGCAATCAGTGTAATTGTGTGTATGTGAGCGATGGAATTCACACCATTTGTTGGTTGCCTCCTTGCTCTTGCTGGCATTATTGCCATTACTGGCCCGGCCTACTGCACCACTAGCTCGGTTAGCAGTCTTGGTGTAGGGCATGTGTGCCACTCGTGCAGACTCAAGGAAAGACAGAAGGTCTCTTGGTGTGTACTCCACCTCTGGCAGGTGAAGTTCGACATAGTCCTGAACCTCGGCGGGCAGTTTCCCCAGCATCGTCCAAAACATAAATTCAACCTCGGAACCCTTTGCCATGAAGCGGCGGTGTAGTACCAGCTGGCGCTTCATGCACTGGAGGGGCGTTTCACCCTCATCAATCGTCAGTTCGCTGAGCTGGCGTGCCTGCCTGGCGCGATACTGAATACCCAGGTAGTGTGCTTCTATCTTACCACGGGCTATGTCCCAGTCATCGATCTTGCTACAGTGGTCGGTGAAGAATTCAAGCAGTTCACCGCCGACATTAACCATAAAGTGCCCACCCCATTCTCCAGGGCCCATCTTAATGGCATTGAGCGCATTTTCGAAATGCACAAGGAAATCGGCAAGCTCCATCATCGACTTGTCATTCACACCAAATGTGGGGAACACAATCTTAGGTTGGCTTCGAGGGAGTGCTGACTCAGTGGAGAGGCTGCTATGGCTTGGTTCACTAGGGAGGAACAATGGGTGTACTTTCTTGTAGTTAAGGTAAATTTCCACTTGCTCCTCAACCTTCTCGCGCGACCTAATCGTCGTCGTAAAACAGTCCATTAGGTCTGCAATCTCGTCTGGGTTGGTTTGCATCAGGCTCTCGACCAGCCTGGTTCGCTGAACACGTCTCCACCATACCTGAAGGAAGTTGTCCATTACGCGGTAAATATCTTCGTCGTTGTACGCATCATAATTCCCTTGAAGTATCGGATCCTCAAAGACGGTAAATGCAGTAAAGTTGTCTTCCAGGCCCAGGTTGTAGGGGAGTCCTGGAGAGCGGCGTCTAAGTGCCATAGTTTCTGTTGTTGTTTTCTTTATAGATGATGAGTGGCACGTCTGCCGAAATATAAACTTGCAAGTTTTGAAATAAAATAAAATTGGTTTTTACACCTCACAAAAAAAAATATGTCGTGCTCTATAAAAATGTGGGTCTAAATCGATATATTCAAGTCTTAAAAATTACTTACTTAACTGAAAAAGGGGGCAGCGCTGTGTGGGCAGCGCTGTAAACATCATGGTATTCCTTGATGTCAGCCAGCAATAACAGAAATGTGTATAGTGGCCATGATGGCGATCTTGATTCTTGAAAAGGGAAGATAGTGGCTTGAAATGTGTGTTGGGCACCACACCATGGTTGCTTGTCAGAGTTTGTTGCCAATTCATTTTGCCCATTGCAATTATTTTGGTTACAGAAAATCCTGTAGAATATTTATTGTAATTTGATATCACCATTCAGCAACCGCAAAAAGGCGTCCTCAAAAGCCCTAAAATTATCGTGTGTGCCAGTCCCGACAGCTGGATTCAAGATATCAACACACAACAACAAAGCGCAATTTATTTGGCATGATTTTTTATCCATCCAATAATTTTTCGCATCAAATATTTTGCCTTCTCAAAAGGAATAACATCCACCAGGTTCAAAAATTAAAATGCATGTTGTCGTTTTGAAGTATATGTACAGCTCCAAGCAAAGAAGCTTTATTTTCAGAGAAATTAATTGTTTACCGAAACCCAACCATATTTTACAAATAACTTAATAGAAAATTTTGTGGGCGCTGCATGCACTTACCATCATCCATTTCTATTTTTCAGTTTTGCACAAATAATTAAAAAAAAGCCACCAAGCTAGAAAAGTGTTCTCACACACGTAATGACTGTCATTTGTGCCATTATTTTTAGAAATTCTATTCAAACGATAAAATTAGTTTATTTTTGCAAATCAAGGCACAATTGTAAAATAGAAAATAAACAGGCAATGTTATCATTAAACAGCTTTGCAAAGAAAAATTAGAAACGCAAAAAATAAGTGTTTCCAAGTTTTTGGAAGTGCAATCCTTGTCAATCCAATTCTGGTGCCCAACACACATTCCAAGCCATTATCTTCCCTTTTCAAGAATCAAGATTGAAAAAGGAAAATCAAGACTCGCTAATGCATATGGATTTGCAATATTTTTAATATAAGCATCTTTCAAAGCATCAGTGCCAAAAATGTCCACATTATTATTTGTCAACAGCAATGCAGTGGCAGCCGCATGATATTACATTTTACAATAACCAAGAAAGCAACATCAACTTTTCTGATGATAATATGAGCAAAGTTGAAATAGTCGAACAAATAGTTGCTTTCAAAATAAAAATTTCTTTGCCACTGTTGTGATTTGAGGGGAGCATTAGTTGTCTAGTGTTAAAGTTATGCTTGGGTTTTGTTATAGTTTTCATTATCAAGGGAATCAAAAGTAGAACTAGGGCCAGCCTCGTCTTATATATGTACCTCGTCACCTTTGTTGTCCACATTGCCAATTGTGCACTCCGTTGGTGAGAATTGGTTCTTCTGCAAGCAGACCGGTATCTTGGCAAGTCAATGTTGTGGTTTTCGTGTGCGTGCACTCGCGCGTGTGCATTGCAAAATGTGGAGCAGGTCTGGGAATCATTATGATGCCTCTCTAATTTACGCCTGCATAATTGTAATAATAATAGTTTGTATAAAATATATTTTTGTTTAAAAATCCACTATAATGGAGCTTAAAGAGCTCCTCTTATCTATTCAAACTATTGACAGTGAAAATTAGAAATTGCGATCGTAAACAATCACAATTTTAAACAATTGAAATCATCACGTGACATTAAAATAATTGATGTCACATCCATGGTCTTCTGGGCAGTCGCAGCATTGTGTGTTGGCACAAAGTGTGGCGTTTTGGACAGGCAGTCTGCGACGACCATGATTGCATTATATCCATCCTTCGTCTTAGGTAAGCTCACTATGAAATCCATGCTCATGCTTGACCAGTTGCATCATGGGATCTGTAGTGGCTGCAGTGGTCCATCACTTGGCTTGTTGCTGCCCTTGGCTTGCTGGCACAGGTCGCATGTTGTGACATACTTCTCACAATCCTAGTAAATACTGGGCCAGTAAAACAACTCACTCAGTTTGTCGTATGTTGGTTGCATTCCTGGATGCATTGCAGTGTCATGAAGCTCAGCCAGCAGCAAGGATGTGTCTTGTTTTGAGCCAATGCAGTGGTGTCCTTTCTTGAACAAGATGCCACCTTGTGTGTGGAACTTGTCAGCAATCTCACATACAGCTCTGGATGTTGGATCTTTATCACTACTAATTGATTTCATCATGTGTTCCAACTTGCTGTCACCCTTGTAGGTATTGAGCACAGATTTCCTTAATAGGCAGTGCCCATCAGTTGCCCTTTTCTTTGTGAATACAAAGACTCACGACCATAAAAAGGGTAAAACAACAACAACATTTATTAGTTTGCGCTCTCCTCTTTTCCTAGGTTTGTTTTTAGAATACAGTTTTAAGATATGTATTGAAATCACCCGTTAACAGGCAGAGCCATTTGTGGAGCTGATGTCTGGGCAAAGCACCTGGGCATAGGAGCATTGGGTGGTGCTGGCTTTCCTGCAATCTCAGGCAGGAAGGGTGAGCTGGTGGAGAATCAGTTGTAGGCGCAGGGTCATGGGATGGCAGGGCAGCTGTGACATCAGAAATGGGGGGCTGAGTCACGTGACAACGCAGACGCATGAAATATGTTTATGATATTTTACGCGTACAGCAAATTCCGGATAGTAAGCTCTTTAGCTCTTCTCGTAGTCTCATTCAGATTAATATTTATTATAACCAGCAAAATTTCTCATTACAGCAGCAGTCAGGGGCACAGTCAGACCCATGGGGGACATGGTGCCAGTGCCATCAGGGGCACTGGACACAAAAACTGGAGTATTTGTTTTTAGCAGTGCAAAAATTCAGATAGTCACATGAAATTTTGTAATAAAAACAAGTAGAGAAGAGGTTGGTGTCAAGCTCAAGCCTCAAGATGCTTCTGTTTGTGACAGAGTCTTCAAGTGGAATAATGTTGCAAAGCTTACTTGCACATCTGCAGGAAAGGTGTGGTATAGTTCACTCTTTGGAATTATATGTTGGCTGCTTAAGCCAATGATCAGCAACCCTTGTAAATGATTATAAAGGCACACAATCATAGCAATAATTGTTGTGATTCCTTTCTTTTCCTTTACATTGACTTTTAGTACTTAAAGATATTTTTACACCCGATTTACATTAGCTTAAAGGTATGGTATACTTTGCTCTTTGGCATTATAGAAGCCAAAACAGGATCATATGTCACTGATAAAGTGGGTACTGCATCCCAAGTCCTATGGTATATTTGCAATGTTAATGCCAATCAGCATGACCAGCATTTCCCATGGGGCTGGACAATTTGCAGAAGCATAATTTCTGCTTACATTTTTGGGCCCCACTACATCCTTCAGTCCCACAAGTTTGACATCCAGATAAAGACTTGGCTGCAAGAATTTGTACATTTAATTGTCAATTACTCATAGAGGATTATTATCAGCTGGGATACAACCCTATGGTCAAATACCTGGCAGACATCCATTGCTACAAAATTAAAGTGCCAGTAGCAATATGCAATGCTGCTGATGATGACAGCAGCAGTAACAATAGCAGCGGCAAAAACAATAGCAGCAGTGGTTGCAGTGTTGTTCCAAAAACCAAGTGGGATACAAGGAAATCCAGCCTATACTGTGATACAAGAAATTGCGGCTTGTCTCTAGCGATTGATTAATGAATCAATCGCCAGTTAATTCCATAATTGGACATGCGGAAATTCATATGCACATATAAATACTAATGAATATGAACAGTGGAGGCTGTTTATCCTTTAGCTTTCTTTTAGTTCATTCAGTTCAAATATATATTTTTAACATAACGCTTACCTATTATGACTCTTGTGACATCAGAAATGAGGCTGGGTCCTGTGACAGTATAGACCCATGAAATATGTTTATGATATTTCATGTGTGCAGCGATTTCTGGATAGTAAGGCCTTCAACTCTATTCATAGTCTCATTTAAGTAATATATATTATAACCAGCTCAATTCACAATACAACTCTGGTCAAGGCACTGATGGGCTCATCAGCATATGAGCACTAAAGATTATTTTAAAAGGTAATTTATGCAAAAGTTATTCTTGTGTAAATTATACAATAAGAATACTAAAGTGTATAAAAATGACTGAAATGTTCATTATGAGAGAGAGAAAAAATATTATCCCATGTTATCAGGCTTTTTATACATATCATTGCTGTCTGCAAAGATAAACAAAATAATTTTGGAGAAAAAAAGCAGGAAAATGTTTGAAAAAGTACAAGCATTGATATGTTAAGATCAAAGCCAAAACTTTTGCAAACAAATAAAAAACATTTGATAACAATCGATGATATTTTCTTTAATGCCACAAGTGCACCAAAAAAATATGAATTTATCAATGCAAATATATTATCAAACCATATTGAGTGCATATGAATAAAGAGCTGGAGTATTTAAATATCAACTGTAATTAAATTACTCAACCGACGGTGAGTCTGTAGTATTCCTGCTCGAGCTTGCAGCCGACCCAGATCCCGAATTCCCCAAGCTATCAAAGCTCTGCTGCGACCTATGCTCAAAGCCCTTTCCAAAATCTGGGAACCCGAATCCCAACCTCTGCATAGTCTCTAGTACGCGCTTATCATACCAACTTTTGTTTTTCATCTCTTTGTTGTTTCCACTCGCCTGGTTACTGTTGTTAGTAAAGTACAAACGCAGGGCTTTTTCGCAAACGCGATTAGCCATATTGTTTGTACTTTTAGAAACAAGGGAGCCGCAAACTCGAAGGAGGAAATGAATGTCAAGGACTAAACAGTGGACGCCGAAATGGCTGAATTTGCGCTTTTCGCCGGTTGATGTTTCCCAGTTGCGAGGGTCAATCATTTGCACAAACATGCAGTCGATAATGCCGCTGATGATCGGCCGCTTGGGCAGCGGCCAGCGGTCGAGCTCGCGGGATATCTCGCCCAACTGTCTCAGCAACGCCTCCATCTGCATTGACGGCTGCATGTCGTCTGTAACCTGGTCCTCCTGCGTGAAAGTAGCCGTGACAAAGTCAAAAGACGATTTGGACACGGCCACCGCCTGTTTCTGGCAAAACACATCTTGCAAAGTACCCGGGAATGCCTCCAGGCGCTGCTCCAGGTTGTGGATGTCCGAGACTGTGCGCCCAAATATGCGGTCAAGATGCGTGGCCGAGCGCGGAATCACCCAGCTCACCACTGCTTGCGTACTAACCAGAAGAGCAAACTCCTGGGTGATGGTCGCGTGCGTTTTGCGCAGGATATTGAGGAACTGCTTGAGCACGCCCTCGATGATGGCCAGGACACTGGCAACAACTTGGCCGTAGAGCGAGTCGCGCACGATGTGGCGCAGCTCGTTGCCAAACTCGATCAGAACCTCATCCAGCTTGCTGACAGACGCAATAATAGGGGTCTGCGCGCCGGACGCGTCACTATGGGCGGATATCGATACCCTGCTGACCACAGCGAGTGGGTCCTCGGCGACGGTCTTGGCCATGACGGCCAGGCAGCGGGCCTCATAGCTGCGGATGCAGCTGGTCAAGTCCGGGAAGAACTCCTGGTCCAGCATGAACTTGAGATCCAGCCCGGCGTGGCCCAGGATATTGACCTCGGCCAGAGTATGGTTGAGACAGCTGGCAATGACCTGGAACTTCTGCATCTCATGGAAGACGTGGCGGCGGAAGATCACGGCGTACCCGGCCATCTCCTGGCGCACCCAGGCGATCAGCGCAGACACCAGCGTCGGGTCGGCAAAGAACGCCGAGTACCACTCGCACGTATTGCGGATCAGCCGGAAATACACGACGGCCAGCTCTCGGATGTACATGCCGGTGTTCCCCTCGAGCTTGAGCTGCCTCGTGCGGTTCTTGATGGTCGAGCTGCGTGACGCCAGAAACGCCTCCTTGGCCTCCTTGTCCCACCCGAGCCGGTGCAGCAGCTGCACGCTGGCCGCCACCTGCGGCCGCGGCGAGCACGGAATCAGCAGATCAGCCAGGATCAGCCGCGCGAGCTCGCCCGTGTGCGCGTCAACAGCCCGGCGCACGGCCGGCTGCAGCGGCGCATCGGCCGCGCGCGCGCTGATTCGCTGCACGGCAGCCGTCGCCGCGTCGAACTCGCGGCGCGCAATCAGCACGTCCAGCTCATCGAGCATCTCGGCGCCAGGCCTTGATGCGCCGCCATCCTCGACGCCGCTGCGCGTCCGCGGTGGCGCCGACTGCGCGCGCGGGTCCACAGGCACGGGCGGCGGCATGCCCGGCGGCGGCTCGGAGCCGAAAAAGCCGGCCTTCGCGTGGCTGATCAGCAGCAGCATTTCGTTTTTGGCGTCGGCGCTGCGAAAGCCGAATAGGAAGGTCTCGGCGCGGTTGACGATGCGCACAAGGTTGTTGGCGCGCGCCGAGTCGGCGACCTCGGCGACCGAAATGTCGGCCAGCGCAAACGAGCGGTCGGCGACCAGCGCGGGCTGCGCGTGCGTGCCGCGCTTGGTGCGCACGGCCAAAAGCAGCATGTCGCTGAGGACGACGATGTCGACGCGCTGGCGCGGCTGCATGGTCGACGGGCTGAGCTCAGCCACGTTGCGCACGTCGCCGAGCACGTGGCGGCCAGGTGCAAACGGCACAAAGCGCTGTGCGTCCCTGATGCTCGCCCATACTTTGGCCAGCTGCTCCTTGAACAGGTCGTTCTGGTTTGCCATGCTCATGCGCATGGTGCGGCGCCGGCCAATGCGGCCCTCCTCCTCGGCATCGGTGTCCTCCTCCATCAGGTCGCCGCCCACCTGGTTAATGCTGTGCAGAAGCTCGCGCAAAAGCTGCATGTCCCGCTCCATGCTGGAAATCTCCTTGGAAATAAACACAAAGCTTTCGTAGTTCTTGTATACGTTGCGCTGCAGGTTCTTTGACGCTGCCTTGCGCGCCTCCTCCAGCGTCTTGCGGAACTGCCGCAGCCCGCCTTCGGGCACTGCCTTGAGCGTCTCCTTCAGGTATTCCTCGGCCTGGAACTCGGACCTGGTCAGTCGGCTGAGGGAGACGCTAGGGAGCTCGCCACTGGACACGTCGCCCGTGTACTTGGACCCCGGAGGGTGGCTGCCGCTGCCGGCAGTGTCGCGAGGCGTAAATTGGCGGTCGCGCAGCATGCTTTTTCTCCGACCACCAGCGTTCATCCTTAATAATTGCAAAAAACGGAATTGGCGTGTGTGTGTTTAAATTGGGTTTGAAGAATGGAATTAGCGCGTGTGTGTTTGAATTGGGTTTGAAAAATGAATTAGCGTGTGCTTGAATTGGGTTTAAAAAATGGAATTAGTGTGTGCTTGAATTGGGTTTAAAAAATATGTGAGTGAAACTGAAGAAAAAAGCAAAGCCCGTGACGAAATGGAAAACATATGCATGAAAAAAGATCGAACAGTAATCGATCAATTGTGATTGGCCGGCTTTAACCAGAATGAAATGCTAAACGACAAAAAAGAAATAATTCAAAATCCACCTCGATATAAATTTATTTTCTCTATCTTTGAGCCCCCCCCCCCCCCAATTCATTCTTTTTTCTATAAATTTATCAAATTACACTCACAGCAATCATAAAATAAACATAAAAAGCCAATGGACAAACTACTTCTGCGCCGCCCACCAACATACGCATTCGTCCGCAGTCTCTCACTCTTCACGAGCGGCGGCAGCACCGGCGCCGGCACCGCACCGGTGCGCCATAGGTCGCAACCTAACCAGCCTCTTCCAAGGCACCACGCATCAGCGGCCGCCCCCCAGCGACCCACGCTTTACACTCCTGGGCAGCTCCCTCCTCCAAGTACAGCTCCCACCCTTTTCCCAACTCTACACGCGGCCGGGGCAGACCCTCGGTCAATCCGCACAGGCGCGCACAAAGGCAGTCCTCCCAGGCCCGACGTCTCTCCTCAAGCCGCTAATCGGACGGCCAGCGTTTTTGCAGGAAATATCGACGGACACTCGGGCGGCGGATATTCTGCTGGCGCCGCGGATGCCCGGGGCCCTGGCGGTGGTCGGGATGGACGGGGCAGCAGGGCTGTTTGTGCGCAGAGGGTGCTGGCTGGCGCGGACGCGGTTCCTGCAGGTGTCCGCGTGGAAGGGCATCGGCGGCGGCGGCGGCTTCGGGGCGCTGGCCTTTGACAGTGTGACTGGGAAGGGCACCGTGGTGCTGAATGCCACCGGAGAGATCCATCGCCTGGTGCTGGGTGATGCCGAGGAGTATCTGGTGGACCCGAGGTTTGTCGTTGCCTGGGCGGACTCGCTGCGTGTGGTGCCGCAGGACGCGCCCTCTACCCAGCAGACATCCGACCACAACCCCACTGCGCCTACCACTGGCGCTGTTGTTGTTGAACGCGCTGCGCCGCTGGTGGGCAGCGCGCCGGTGGTCGAGAACAGGGTATCATCGCTACCGCCGTCGCCTGCCCGGTCCGCACAGACTGTTGGCGAATCTACCATGGCTACGCCGCCCGGTGGGGAGCCCGGTAATGCGCTGGCGGCCAGGATCCTTGCGGCGGTCAGCGGCTCGCCCGCGCTGTGGTCGGCGCCTCGGCCGGCGCAGCCAAGGCCGGTGCTTGGGCGGTTCTCAAGGCCACGCGCACTTTGGCTGGCGTTCCTGATCTGTATCGCGTCACGGGACCCGGCGAAATCTACGTGTCTACCAGACTGGCGCCGAAGCCGTGGACGCGCATCACAGAGAACATTGCCGCAAAGTCTTCGGCCAACTGAAATGCTTTGAAAAATATATATGTGTGAAAGGATAAAAAGAGAAGAAAAACATGGAAATGTAAATGTGATTACAGGCCGAAAAAGTTGTTTTGGCTGTTCGTTGATGGCGTGCTCTGGCCGAAAGGATTGAGCTGCTGCTGCTGCTGGCTGCTGCTGGAGTTGCTGCTGGCTGCTGCTGTGGCTGCTGCTGCTGCTGCTGGAACAGCATCTGTTGTTGGGTCTGCATCGACGGTGTTTGCATGCCGCCAAATATGCTCGTCCCGTGTTCTGCTGCTGGAGCGGTTGAGGCTGCTGCTGCTGGCCGAAAACGTTGTTCGACCCCATCTGGCCGAATCCCGCCGAGCTGTTGTTGTTCGATCCAGCCATCATCTGGTTCATGCTCACCTTGCTTCCGCCACCAGTGGCCAGCCCGCTAGAGCCACCCGTGGTAGCAAACGGATTGCGACTGACCTGCCCAAACGACTGGAATGTGTTGGACGTGGACAGCGCCGCCGGGCTCAGATCCACCAGCGACGACCCGCCGGCAGCCATCAGCCCACTGGCACCGCCGATTCCCGAAGAAGCAGCGAGCCCAGGCGTGCCCATCGCAAATGGCGACGACGCGCCACCCATTGCCGAGCTAGTGCCGCCAAAGGGATTGCTGGATGCGGCTGACCCCATGGCCAGGCTGGCAAACGGGTCGATCTTGTTGCTGTTGCGCGCGATCTCCGCGAGCTTCGAGTTGGGGTCATTCGGGTTCACCCCAAATGGCAGCGTCTTGGCCCCATGCCGCCGTCAAACGCGCTGCCAAAGGCCCCTGAGGCGCCGTCGAACCCGCCTGTGCCCTGCACGTTGCCTCCCCCCAGCAGGTCGCCGCGTTGGCGGTGTTGGCGCCAGCAACGCTCCCTGCAGTGCTGAACATGCCTGCGCTGTTGAACGCATTGCTGGATGCGCTCGCGCTGTCGAACATGTTGCCGGACGCGCCTGTGCCTGCATTGTCGAACATGCTCCCAGCTGCGCCAATGCCTGCGCCCCCCATGCCCATGCCCAAGCTGGTGGTCGTCAGCGTGGTCTGCGACACAAACTGGTTTGTGCTGCCGCCAAACTGGTTCCCACTGCCGCCAAACTGGCTCGTGCTGCCGCCGAAGCCGCCGTTGCCGTAGGGGTTGTTCATGCGCCCATGCCGCCCATGCCGTTCATGCCGCTCATCGACAATGAGTTGTCGTTGGCGCCCAGGCCAAACGGATCAAACGCAGCATTGCTCGCGCCAACCCCAGCAAACTGCGCATTCCCAAGGGCGCCCATCTGCACATTCCCAAGCTGCTGCTGCTGCTGGGAGAAGCTCGTACTACTCATCATCGCCGAATTATTCGCAGCCGCTGTATTTCCAAACGAGTCACCAAACCCACCAAGCAAATCGACCTCCTCCGCCTTCCCACCCCTCTTCTCCTGCACCGCCTTAGCCTCCTTTGCGCTCTCCTCAATAGCACGCCTGAGCTCCGCATCCTCATCATAATTATTCGGCAGTTTCTTGACAGTAGCAGTAGCCGACCGTTTGCTTTCCGCCAACGCCCAGCGCATATCCCGGTCATCGTCGCCGTAGCGATTATCTGCAGCTGAAAAGCTATTGACCCGGCCATGACCAGACCTTTGCTGCTCCTGTCGATCGTCGGGCATCCGCCTCTGGGGCAAACGACTGGTGCTTTCAGAGTACCCCGTGCGGTACAGCCCGTCACCATTGTGGAACCCACCGGCGTAGTTGCGGTTTTTGCGTGCCTCCTCGAGCGCCGTCCGGTCGAGGAGAAGGGAGGTTAGCGCTTTGGCCTTTTGCCGCACATTGGCGCCCTGGTCGCGCCCGCTGTCGTCAATGTATTGGAACTCGCGCAAAGTCTTGACCACAAAGAGGTTGTCCACCATGTAGTCTGCACGACTATCGAGCCAAAGCAGATGCAGTGCTCCAGCACTCTTAGTGCCTTGAATACGTGCCGCCAGTACCGGCCCTTGTCGTTGAGCTTTTTGTCCAGTATCTCCATGACTCCCACAAAGTCACTCCTACATACATATGCAATTAAAGTTGGGGGTAAGAGAAAAACGCCTTGGCTTCAGCCTCATTGCCATTTATGCAAAAATTTCCAGAAGAAAAAATAAAGCAAAAAGATACTTACGGGTTGTAGGTTGCCTGGGCAATTTCGGCCAGCAACGACTCGGGTGCGCTTCCCGGGTCATTCGAGGTAGCCTCGCGCACCTTCTTCTGGATAGGCGAGCATCCCAAGGTGTAATTCTTCCTACAATTTCTTTTTCAAATGCAAAAATAAATAAATTACAAGGTGACGTAGCCAAAAGAAGGCTTGGAGAAACAAAAAAACACCCCCCTGTTGAATTAGTGACTTGAGCAGAAAGATATTATGAGTTGGTTTTATTTTTTGATAATTCGTAATGTCCTCTCCTTTCTCTCCCAGATTAACTTACACCGAACGCAACACTCCTTTTGCTGCAGACATTGTTGCTCAATTGCGGCCTTTATATATTGATTAAAATAGTACGAATGAAAATACAAGAAAAAATAAAGAGGGAAGAATAAGAAAACGATAAAAATGTGTAATTAATTGGCGTATTGAAATTCCAAAAGGCCAAGTGTGGGGAGGGGAGGGAGGAGGACGGAAAATAATAATAAAAATGTGGTTTTTTTTTACTCTTTTGCAAGCAAAAAAAGTCCTTTAACCTATCCCTTTGTACTGGCAAATAAAAATAAAAAGACGGTATGCGGAAAAAAAGATGCGCTCAGATAAAAATCTGACAGAAAGAAGGCCCTCACCCTTGCATCACTGTCATGTGCCAACAAAAAAACCACAAGCGTTATTTTTCTTCTTTTCAAGTTCCCGAGTCGACACCCATTGCAGTGGCACTGGCAGTGTTCTTCGAGTACCTGGTTTCATGAGACTGCACCGATGCAAGTCGCTCAGCAACCCCATCCTCCTCAACAACAAACATAACTGGCGGGTCCTGGATAAACGGACACAGGTCGCTGGGCAGGTACATCCCGGACCTATCAACGAACCTCGCCCTCTCACGCACCTCTCCATATACATGGCCTCCAGCCGACTGCGCATGTCCTCAACCACAGCATGCATCTCCTTCTGCACATGCCTGCGCCTCTGTACCTCGACAATCAGACCATCGTAGGAGCTGTGGAAATTGCGGTACCAAGAGACCAACCCCCACATATCCGACAAAAACCCGTCGGCCATCACCAGCAGCCGCTCAAACCGCACCTGAGCATCCGCTGCCGCCTCAACATACCGACTGACAATCCCAGACACGCCTGCAATAGCGTCGAACTGCCCGCGACTGTCCGCGTAAAACGCCGAGTACTGCAAGTATCTCACATAAGTCTCCTCCGACCGCCGCTGCACCTGGCCAAGGCACTCTCGCATGTCCTCGATGATCGCTGGTATCTCATTGGTGTCGCGCAGGAGCACGTTGTAGTCGGCAATGCTCAGCACGCCGCCCTCTGCCTCGAGCTCCCGCACGGTCTCCCGCAGCTGGTCGCAGTGGCGGTCCATGGACCGCGAATCCTGCGCAATCTCATCGACCACCGCCTGCGACTCCTCCACCAGCCGCCGATATCCTGGACACCTGCCCATGTAACGCTGATATCCTCGGCAGCAGGAATCTCAATACCCGCGATGCCGCTCAACGCAGCCGCACACAAATCCCTGTCGGCCTCGGCGAGCTCGCGCAGCTCGTCCAAGCACTCCCTCATTGCGCGGTCTACGACATCCACGGCGTCCTGGTCAATATGGTCGTACAAAGTGTGCTTATCTCGCCTGTGGGTTGTTGCCAGGAGGAAGGTTGGGACTGCGGAACTCCTTTTCCACAACTTCGCGGTTCTTCAGTAGCTCGATGACCATTGCCATTTCACGCTGCACGTCCTGGGCCTCCTGCCACCTAGCTTTAACTGTGGTTTCCATGTCCGATAGGTGCTGCTGTAGGTTGCTCTCGAGCGCTGCATACTGAATTTGCCTCTGGTTGTCTTCCAGCAAGAACGCTAACTGTGGGTGGATGTTGCTGATATGCTCGTGGTGGTGTTTGCTCTGCGCTAGTGAGTCTGAGGATGTTTGGACTAGCTCCCGCACTGTGCGTGCGCCCTGTATTGACGGCTCAGATAGACGCGTTACTGCCTCAAGTGAAGCCATGTGAAGTAGAAAAAATATAAAGGTAAAAGTTAATATTACCAATTTCGGAAGAAAAACAAAAAAAATACAATTACCTCTATTTCTCTTTTTTTTCAGCGCGCTTTGTTCGATTGTGTGTAGTGTTTTCGAGCACAAAGAGAATGCTTATGGCCATATGGCGCATGATGCTAGTACCTTTTTTACAATTTAATAACTATATGTGATGGTGGAAAAGCATATAAAGTGGCCAAGTACTTTGCTCGTGGATGAAAAATCCTTAATTTTTATCTGTATATTCTTTGAACCAGCAGAACTACTAAACAAACTGGTGATTTATTTGGTATCATCTGAGCCAATCGTAACAGTTCGAAAACTAGTGGTGAGCCGGAATTAATCGCAAAATATTAAACTTTACAACTATTACAACCAGGGTGGTAAATTTACACTGGCCTGGTCAAACATTAGGTTGTTTTAAGTATTGACAGCGAAGGAATCAATTATTGTTTGTTTCTGTATTTAGCCATGGAAGAAACATACAAAAGAGACCAAGTGGAAGGTTCCATCCTATGTTCTTGTGGATAAATAAAACTCCAAAAATAGCATTTACTTGCAATATATATTAAAAATTAATGTTTAATTTGTAAATTGTAAATTGTAAAATTTTGAATTAAACACATTCTATGCCACAGCAAAAATACAAATGTTTTTTGTCTACTCTTGTCCAATAATAATAAAATATAGAACAATAAACATGTATAAAATGCAGGCCACTGCTCAACCATGCAAGGAAATTGCAACCACATAAATTTTTCTTCTCACAGTGCTTTTTTCTACATTCAGTAGATTCATTATTTGACTGCGGCTTTGGATCTATTTGTAAAAGGTGTCCTATTTGCTTATTGCACCTGGCATGACCTGTTCTCAAACGAAACAGTGTTGCATATGTTTCTGGATGTCAAATTTCATTATAATGTAGTGATGTGTCCATACCAACAAAATAGAGAAAACCCAACCACTGATGTGTCTTCCGCCTCTCATTCTCTCACCATATTTTTCACATTTATTTTATTTACTTACAGCTTGTTGAAACACCACCCCTAAACTTTTTTATATTAATCTTTTTCAAGTTACCAACAAATGGCTGCCGATTTTATCGCGGTAAACGCTAGCGTCGCAATTGATACTGTTGTGTCAATGGCCTGCCTTGTGGCAATGTTTAATTCCAAACCCACCAGGCGCAAAGCATTGCCCACGCCTGCGTTTCCACTGATTGCATTGGGCATTGCCAATGTGGCACTTGTTTAATCCAGAGCGTCCATCAGCTCAGTTGTTTTTACTGCTTCTTTGTCTGCCGCAGTCTCGCTGACGGCATATTCGGCATTTTGCCACTATTTGGGCGCAGCCAGCGGCAGCAATGCGCTTCCTGCCTTTATGTGGTTAGACTTTACCGGCTGGGCCAATTGCCGCTGATAATGACCTTGCCGGCAACCGCAGCCAGCGCAGCAATTCACATTTGGCTTGCGTGGTATGCGCTGAATTCGCAGTTGAAAAGCAACATTTTGTTCCATCTCAAGGGCGTGTGCGCTCTCGATGGATTTGCCATTATCAAGCTTGTGCGCAGTGGTAGTCTTTCCATTGAAGATTTGCGCAACCGCAAGTTTGAGAGCGAGTTTAGCGAGCACAGCAAAAAAGCGGTGTTTGACCCGAGACAGAGGTAAGCATTTAAAAAAAACATGCTAGAGTTTATGTTTTAAACTGTATATTGTTTTTTAAATGCGCTAGTATATTTTATTGTTTTTGCACAAATAGGTTCTTTGTCATCCGTGGGGTTATTAATGCCGAGTGAAGGAACTTGTAGGCATGCTTATTGCCGATACACTAGTTCAAATGGCTACTCACTGGCGCCGGATTCTGTTTGTTGGCATTCTCGCGGCCATCGGCAGCCCAAGCCCAGTCGACTATCCAAGATTGGCCGTGCTGCTCATTTTCTGGCAGCTGCTATCGCTCACCATCCTTGCTGATAGATACATTTCTAGAGTAAAGAGAGATTTGGAACAAAAAACGTGTGCGCTTCTCCAAGCCAAGGCCCTAGATTTTTTTATGATGTCCCATTGCAATCCTTATGACGCATGGAGCTCAAAAAGAAAACTACAGAATATCTCGTCAGGAACCGTTACTCTTCTTGGTGCCCTCAGTTCAGCGTTTGGTCAGCTCTTCAACGTGTGGATCATCTACAGAGAGATCGGATGGTATGCCGTCATTCCCATCGTCATCACCCTCATTCACCAACTGTTCTCCCACTTGGTTTCCCAAAGATCGAGAACCTGAGACAACTGAATCAAGCGACAAAAATGCCCAGGTTTCAAGATACTTACCGCAGCATACTTGACAACATCCGCACAATCAAGTTCTACGCCTGGGAGAATGTGTTCATAGGTGTAAAGGCATTCAGAGATAATCCAGTCTATGTTCCACCAATGGTCTGGCATATGGCAAGCTACAGTGTCAACCTCATCGGGTGCGCGTCCTCACAGATTTCCGCGGCGCTGACAATTATTTCTTTTTTGGTGCATCCAGCAAGCCTGTATCATACCCGAAAATCGTGCTGTTAGTGGACTCAATCGACTCGCTCACAAAATTTACCAAAACGATTGCTTCTGTTGGAAAGACAATTGTTGAAATCAATAAGGGTCTGGATTTCATACAGACACTATTTGATGCTGAGCAGAAGGTCTATATTACACACGTGACAGAGACTGCTGAGGACGGCGTTGTGGTAAAGCTCGACAGCTGTGTATTAAGCTGGGGCGACAGCAAATTTACACTGGATCCGATCACGCTGTGCGTCAAGGCTGGCGAGTTCGTAACGATAATCGGACGCATTGGCAGCGGCAAGTCGTCACTCCTTTCAGGGCTGTGCGGCGAGATGCCCGTGGTCAATGGACATGGCTGTGTGTATGGCAAGATTGGTTACGTTAGCCAGAAGCCATACATTATGAACGACACCTTCCGCGAGAACGTGCTCATGGCGCTGAGTACGACGAGGAATGGATGCATCAGGTGCTTGAAGCCTGCGCTCTGTCCGAGGATGTCGAGCAGTTTGCAGCTGGCGATCTGTCAGAGATTGGCCCTAATGGCATTAACCTGTCCGGCGGTCAAAAGGTGCGACTGGCACTAGCGAGGTAAGTATTGGATATTCACAGCAAACATGTATCATACATCCAACATATGGAGGATGTAGAATATGTACTTTGTTGCTAATTATTTTGCTAATTATTTTGTAGGGCACTGTACCTAAAAGCGGACGTTTACATCTTTGACGACTTGCTTGCGGCTGTCGATGCGCAGGTCGAGCGCCTCATTATTGAGCGCGTTTTGGCATCTGGCGGCATCATTGGCGACAAAACACGCATTTTAGTCACCCACGCCGATCATCTGGTGCCGCTGAGCAGCAAGGTTGTCACGCTTGCTGAGGGGCATGCTGTGATTGCCGAACAGCAGCCAGTCGATTTAGTGTCTGCTGTCAACACAGATGAGCACACCCTGATTCGTCGACAGAAACTGCTTCAACCAGCAACGCTGACACCGAATCTGGAAAGTTTACCATTCACCCGAGCTGAAGGATCCACCGTTCAAGCTGTGGCAGCTGCAGAAGTTTATCAAGCTCAGTGGGTATGGGACTGTTGCTATTGTAGCCGCGATCCAGCTTGCCAATGTTTATGCGATATACTATGTCGAAAGTCTGCGGATCGGACTCATGGTTGACAGCAATCCCGACACGATGCGCCAGTCGATGAGTAGGTACCTAATTGTCAATGCATTTATAGAGATTGGTCGCATGCAGCTAAACTCGCTTGAGTCATGGATCAGGGAGGTTTTGTGGACCAAACGTGTTTTGGAGAAAATGCGTCGCCAGCTTATCAGCATATTTTCTCACTGCCACTCACACTGTTTGAGAGACTCTCTTCGCAACAGTTCGTCGACATATTCATAAACGATCGAAACGACGTTGCCATTTATTTTCCACAGACCTTTTGCAACTCCGTTCTGTTTGACGGCTTCTTGGCTGCCTCCTCCATACTTCAGATCACAATGGCGTCGCCAATAGTTGTGTTGCTGTGCTTGCCACTAGTTGGCATTACTATTTTATACAGCATATTTTTTGGAAATCCGGAAAATTTTATCCGGGAACTCGGGTTTTTCCATTTCTCTACGATTCGTTAAAACACAACATATTGTGCTCAAAAACAGAGCTCTGCTTCGGATTCACAGATGTGCAGACCGATACCTGGACCGCTTCAGAGCCTCGACTGCTGGGGATATAAAATACGATTATTACTATACAGTAGCTGGCAGTTTACAGAGCATTTTAACCGCCATTTGTGTCGAACTCATTCGCAGCGGGGTGTTGGTATTTAATATCTACAGGCGCCTTTACACCAGCGCTCTTGTGCTTTCCGGTGAGGTTGACGTGATGATATCGCTGTCATTAAATGTGTTCAGTCGCGCTACTGCTCTTACTCAAGTGTTTGGTAGGCTTGAGAATCAACTCCCGGCATTCTCGCGCTACTACCAATTTACTGAGCAAGGGGAGCACGAGGCACCGGCGGTCATTGAGGATGCAAGGCCAGAACCTAGTTGGCCGCAAAATGGCGTGGTTGAGTTTCGCGATTACAGTATGCGCTACCGCCCAGAATTGGATCTGGTTCTCAAAGGGCTCAGCTTTTCGGCACAAGGTGGCGAGAAGATTGGCATTGTTGGACGCACGGGTGCAGGCAAGAGCTCACTCACATACGCGCTGATGCGTTTGGTCGAGCCAGCCAGCGGCCAGATTATGATTGACGGCGTTGACATTTCAACCATTGGCCATCGTGACCTGCGATCGCGCATTGCCATCATTCCGCAGGACCCGGCGCTGTTCAGGGGTACTATTCGCGACAATCTGGATCCAGCCAACGAGTACACCGACGACGAAGTCTGGGCGGCTATTCGTGCGGGTCAAATCAGCGACCTTCTCGATACTCCAACAGAAAAGTACGTCAATCTCTGGATAACGAAAAATCTGACAAGGGACCATGGATCGAGGGTGTCGGGTTAAACAAATGGGTTGAAAACAGCGGCAATGATTTTAGTGTCGGCCAGCAGCAGCTCATCAGTCTTTGCAGGGCTTTGCTTTGGCGGCGCAAGATTGTCATTTGGATGAGGCAACGGCCAATGTGGATTCCAAGACCGGCCAGATCATTCAGAAGTGATTCGCCGCGAGTTCAAGGAATGCACCGTGTTGACGATTGCACATCGGCTGGGCACTGTCATGGACAGCGACCGCATCCTGGTAATGGACCACGGCCAGATGGCAGAGTTTGACTCACCTGAAAACCTACTTGCTGACAAGAACAGTCATTTCTCGCAGCTGGTAGAAAGCATGAATCTCAACCAGGGCAATTGACATGGTCTTTTTTACAAATATATAATTTATCGATCACTTATTAAATGGAAGGATAAATCATGCAATATGCTATTCACATATAATATCGCAACAAAAATTTAAATGGCAAAAATTGAGAGCGGTGGGGTTCGAACCCACGCGGACTACGTCCAACAGAACTTGAGTCTGTCGCCTTAGACCTCTCGGCCACACTCCCTTTTTATTAAAGCTATTAACTCTTTCTGAGTTTAAACATCAAGCTAATATTATTATAGCAAGCATTATTAATTGTAGAAATATTATCTATATGATGCGCACAAAAATGTAATGTAAGAATTACTTTATTGATTCGTAATGTAAGTTTTAAATTAAGCACCTTGAAGTAAAATTAATTTTAATTCAAGCAGCTGTGAGTTTGTATTTGACGTCTTTTTAGTGTGAAGCAGTGTATTTCAATATAATCAAATCAAGTTGTGTTGATCAGAACATTGTTCAAAATCCAACATTTCAATCTCACATGGACAGCTTGCCCAGGTTAAGCCCGGCCTTGATGGACGCCCACCAAGAGTCGCTGTAAGCAAAGGCAACAATCTGCTGAGTGAACTTGAATCCTTTTTCCGTGTCCTGGATAGGGTAATCGACAATGGGCGGAATAGGCGTCTTGATAAAGGAGAAGCGATCCTCGGTGAACGCCTTTTCAACGCAGAGTGCGCGCAGGCCTTCGGGTCCAGCAAAACGGCCAAACCCGCTGATTCCAACCCACCAAAGGGCAGGGACTGGCAGATATAGTTGACGCCAAAGTCATTGACGTTTGTCATGCCCACGCGCAATTTTAGAGCAATGCGGCTTGCGCGAGCTTGGTTGCCCGAGAAAACGCTAGAGCCCAGACCATATGGCGAAGAGTGGACCTTGTTCAGGACATCCTGCTCGTCGCTGAACTTCATAATGACCATTATAGGACCAAAGGTCTCATTGCGCGTGATGTCCATGTCCGGTGTGACATCAACAAGCAAAGTGGGCTCGAAGTACTGGCCCTTGGGATGAAGCGGATGAATATAGGGGTGGCCTCCAGCCAGGCAGCGGGCGCCCTTGGAGACGGCATCGGCAATCAGGGACTCGAGGCGGCCAAAGCTGTTCGACAGAATCATAGCGCCGCAGTCAACCTGGTTAGGCTGGTCATCGAGGATAGCGCCGAGGCGCACGGCCTTGATGCGGCGGGTCATTTCACTGACAAAGTTGTCGTAGGCGGCGTCCTGCACAAGGATGCGCTCGATGCCGATGCAGTTCTGGGAAGCGTTCTGGATGACACCGCGCATGAGCACAGGGATGCACTGCGACATATCAGAGTCGGCAAACACGATAGCGCAATCCTTGCCGCCCAGCTCAAGCGTCACCGGGGTCAGGTTCGAGCTAGCCGACTTCATCACCAACTTGCCGACCTCTGGTGACCCAATAAAGGTAATGTGGTCAATCACGACGACGACGTCAGCGCATTTCCAATGTCGGCAAAACCAGTGACAAACTGGACGAGATCAGGGTTGTGGCCGCACACATTCAGCGCGCGCTTCACTATCTGCTCCCAGTAGGACATGCTCCAGGCAACGTGCTCGCTAGCCTTGATGACAATACCGTTACCCGAAAATATGGCCGAAATGACCGGACCAATGGTGTTGTGGAACGGGTAGTTCCACGAAACCAGGGCGGAAACCACGCCGCGCGGCTGGTAGACCACGCGAGCCCGCTTGTACATCATCATAAAGCCAGGATCGCGCTTGTCGTCCATTAGTGCCTGTTCACCATTCTTCATGTCCATTGTAGCTTGGCCGACGTCGTCAGCACCTCGCCCAGGGTTGCATCAATCATGGTCTTGCCTGAATCGCGGCACGCCACCTGGCAGATCTCGCGTTGGTGGGAGATAATAAAGTCGTTGAGCGTCCGCAGAACCTGCCGCCGCTGCTCAAACGTGGTCAGAGACCAGGTCGCCTGCGCACTGCGAGCGCGCTGCAGCTTATCCGAGAGCTCGTCAGGCGTGGTCACGGGGGCCTGTCCTAGGGAGCGGCCGGTGGCGGGTCGAAACATTGGATCAGATCAGGACGGTCCTTGATGAAAATACTTGGTTCATCCAATATTTCGTTGGCGCGCCATCCGGGGAGGCTCTCGGCCGGCGGCTTGAGTTCAAAGCGGATTGCAGGGAGACTGCGATTGCGGAAGAACAGGATGTAGAGCACGGCGCTGCCGGCAATGACAGCAATGACGATGGGGAGTGAGTCGCACTGCGACAGATGTTGGCGAAGGCAATCCATGCTTTGGGTTTTGGAATTCTATTTTTAATATTAAATGGAATTTAGGTTTATTTTGGAGCGCAAGAAGTTTAAAGGCAGAGAAACAAACAAACAAGAATCGCCAACACGTGTTGAAAATAAATGCGCGCGTGTGTTCCTTGAAATAAAATTTAAGTGTTGGGTGAAACAGTGTCTTTTTTCCCACTGCTAATAATTTTTTTTCCTTCTTTCTTGTTTTAGCAAATTTTTATTATTTTTCTCTCTCAATCGTTATTCTTTTTTATTGGCAATATAAATGGCGCGCAAAAAGAACAAGAAGATAACATTCAAACCGTGGTGCTGGTACTGCGAGCGAGAGTTTGAAGACGAAAAGGTACTGATACAACACCAAAAGGCAAAACACTTCAAATGCCACATTTGTTCCAAGCGCCTCAACACCGCCAACGGCATGGTTATCCACGTCGCGCAGGTGCACAAGGAGAATATAAACATGTTCCGAATGCGATGACCGGACGCGACCTCCCAGACATTGAGATCTTTGGCAGCATGGGGATCCCCGAGGAGGACGTGTTGGATTACGAGAACCGCATGTGCGAGAAGCTCGGCGAGCCAGCAGCAAAGAGGCCGAGGCAGCAGCAGACAGCAGGTGGAAGCAGCTCTAACGGCAGTTACGGTGGTGCGGGATCGGTTAGCGCAATTGATCCGGAAGAGCTCAGACTGCAGCTGGAGCAGCACCGCTTGACGATGCAGAAACAGCAACAGCTCCCGCAGCAGCAGCAACAGCAGCAGATACAGGGCCAGACAATGGGCCAGCTGCATCCGCCGCCGCCAATGCAAATGCCTGTGCAGGGGTATGGGTATCCTGGTTATAATTACGGACCATCACCGCCAATGCCACCGCCACTTCAAGGCTTTGCGCGCCCGCCTATGTCAATGTTGACACCGCCACCCTCAAGGCAGCTCTGCCTCCACAGATGCCGATGCCGATGCCCCACCACCCACCCGCCCCGATGCCGATGCCGCCACCACCACCGCGATGACAATGCCTGCACCGCCTGTGCCGATGCCGATGCCGATCCTCCGCGGCTGCCGCAGCAAATGGGGTTCCGGCCACCGCCAATGCCACCACTGCCGCCTGTGCAATCTCAGATGCGCCCGCCATTGGGCATAGCGCCTCGGCCGCCGCTGCCTATGCCTATGTCTCTGCCGCTTTCGCCTGCTTCTTCGGCGCCAGTTCCGCCGACTCTGGCAGCACCTCTACCTCCACCCCTACGGCCACTACACCCGCCTCGGCCGCCAATGCTTCCCATCCAATCCCAACGCCTCCTGCAGCTCAGCAACAATTCATTGTGCCTGGTAAGCCAAGTATATCGTCTGAATATTCACCGATAGTGAGCCTGTTTCGGCTACCTCCTCTGCTGCTGTACAAACACCAGTGTCTGCTTTATAGATAAAACCCAAACAAAGGCCAAATCCTCACGCCTTGTCTACAGCGATACGACAATGTCTATGGTAAGTATTTTCTTTTCTGTACAGTTGTTTTATGTGTCGTTGTCATTGTTGTTTATCTTGCACATTAGTATGCTAACATATGCTTAACCTCTATAATTTATAATTAAAACAATATAGGAGGAACGCAGGGCATTGCTTCCAAAGTACCGTTTCGCAGTTTAATGCCTTTGCAATTAAAGGTTCAAACATTTTCAATACACTTTAACTTTAAAGGCAAGCAAATCAAATGTCATTCAATATCATTTTTTACAATTATCATTCCCCCAAACAATTCCAGCTTTGTTAGCATGGTAATGTTTTTCTTTTAGATAAATATAATTGATATTTGTGTGGAATTAAATGTGAATAAAAAACGAGTCAAATAAAAAACATATTTAGAAGAAAGCAGCGATGGCAAGATACCAGCAGCGGCAGAGGCAACAACCTTGGCGGCACCGCTGGACGAGGAGTCATGGGCGCTGTGGCTGGAGTTCTTGGAGCCCGACTTGGAGGCGGGCGCGGACTCAGACTCCTCATCAGCGAGGGTGTCGAGCTCGGAGGCGCTGGCGTTACCCGAGGGCTTGGGGACGGGGGTGCTGTTGGTGATGACAACGGGCTCACCACCGATCTCACCGACGTCCTCCGATGAAGAGGACTCTCAGCAGACTCCTCGCTGGAGTTTGCAGCGGACTCCTCAGCGGACTCCTCAGCGGATCCCAGTGGATCTCAGTGGACTCCTCAGTGGACTCGACAGTGGACTCGACAGTGGACTCACAGTGGACTCGACAGTGGACTCCTCAGTAGACTCGACAGTGGAACCCTCGGTGATAGAAGCAATGGGGGCGGGGGCAGTCACGGAGTCTTTGGTGATAACAACTGCCTCCTCGTCAATCTGCTGAGCAACAACAGCGACGGCGACAGCAGTGAGGGCAAGGGCTTGGCGAACTGCATTGTGAAGTAAAGGGGAAAAGGAAAAAGGGAAAAAAGAGGGTAAGAAAAGGGGGCGAGGAAAAGCTGGGCGATGGAGAAAAAGAAAAAAACTAGAATGTTTAAAACTAGAAGAGAGAAAAAAGCAAGGGGAGTATAGAGGAAGTTTATAGGTGGTCTTATATATGTCCAATATTTTGGAACTCGGCTGAGGTTTAGAAAAAAATCTGTTGTTCTTTCAATGTTTATTTTTCCTTATTTTTTTGTTAGTTGTTTGTGTCAAGGTTATGATTTTTATTTTTGCGGTCCTTCGGTCTGCACTAGCTGCAAAGGACCAGCCCAACGCCTCTCTCCTTCCACGCGTGCATGCCCATTCATAGTGCATATACGCAGATCCCAATTATATTTGTTGTTATTTGTTTTTATTTTGAAACTAAAACACTGTGAGAAGGGGGTGTAATATTTCTAGGTATTTATTTTGTCATCCGAGTCCAGTCTCATTCCGCTTCTCTATCTACCATGCACATGTTTTTGTTATGTGCCAATAGTGATACCGTTTTTTGTTTACATCCCTGCCATACGTATGTATGACAGCGAAGGAAAGCCCGCTTTGATATTTCTTGTTCTTTTTTCGGGTGGAATGATGTAGCGTGGGGTGAGAATGGCGAAAACATGCAAAAGTTTATTGTGTATAATTTCTGCAAAGACTGGAAAATCCCTATTTTGATTTTGATTTTTCTTATTCCTCAGTCATCGTTTTTTATTCTGGTGGAAGAAAGAATAATCACGATAGGTTTTTTTACGCTGTGTTAGTTGCCGATCCATGCGTGTTCCTTTCTTGTTGGTTTCTCAAAAGAGAACGTTCACGAAGAAAACGAGATTATTTCCGTTATCCCGTGCCAGGTTTAATTTGCCCGCAACAAAAAAAGAAAATTCAATATCAATTTTGACTATCATCGATGACATCAAATGTGTGTAATGCCATTTTTGTGGGTGTAATCAAATCAGATCACACATGATCACGATTACTTTTACTGATAAGATTCGTTGTTTTTAGTTGGTGAGCCAATCCAGAAAAATGAAGTGGTGTTTGTCAGGCCCATCTATCTAGCAGGTTGGGTTTTTCATATTTCTAGAACAGCTCATGTATACCCATGCCATATAAAACACAAAACGCAAATACGACTTCTTTTTGGTAGATGCAAATGCTTTTTGGTGTCCCATTGCCAAAGCATGCCAAAAAACAAAGTATAAAGAGCACAAAGAAAAAATCCACCAGACCTGTTTTTTTGGCTTTACAAAAAGAGAAACAAAAAAACACTGCATCTTTTTTTTTGCAGGGCATCAAAGACAAATCCTTTTCTCTGTTATCCCCTACTCTCCCTCCTCTTCTTGTCCTCATCTTTTTCTCTTTCCTTTTCTTAATTATTTTTTATTTCCTCTTCTTTATTGTTGACAACACAAACACCATACACTTCTAAACTTATTTATTTGTTTTATTTCCCCCTCACCAATGGATTTCCCAGTTTCCAACGAGCAGTTTAACGAGAATGAGGGTATACAGGAGCCACGCTACGACGAGAACGGGGTTCTGCGCGGCGGGCCAGCCAATTACTTTGGACAAGCAAGCGGTGGTGTAGCGGACCCCGACCGGTACGAGGGCAACTTTGACGCAGCCACCGGTGAGCCTCTCCCGCATATGCGCCGACGCCCCGACGGCATCATCGGGCCAGCACTTATGCTCGTGGATACTGATCTGCAGACAGCCACGTGGCGCGGCAGTGTCCTTGTGCTTACACCACGCAGCTACCCGCCGCCGACAGTCACGCTGAACGACGGCATTGCGCCATCGATGCCATTCCTTGGCGTGCTCCTGGACACCTATAAGATGACAGCCTTCTACCGTATTGATATTGAGGTGCGGTTGGATGTTAATAGGGAGAAGGCGGTGGAGTATAAGGTGAATAATACGGGACCAGTGTATCGGTTCTTTGTGCCCGGGCAGACGACGCCGTGGCGGTTTGCCTTCTGGTCGTGCAACGGGTGGTCCCTATCGGTATCGGACAAGGATAAGCAGGAGCTGGGGGGCGACAACGTTGTCTGGGATGATCTCCTGGCAAAGCATAGTATGGTGCCGTTCCACGCACAGGTGTGCGGCGGCGACCAGCTGTATGCGGACAAGATCTGGCAGTCGAACATCTGGAAACCCTGGCTGGCCATCAAGGACAAGTACGTCCGGCGGGACGCCGAGTTTACGCGCGAAATGGCGGCGTATGCGGATGACTTTTACTTCACACACTATGCAAAGTGTTTCTTCTCGAGCAAGTTTGGCGAGTCCATGACGACGATTCCGATTTCGACGATTGTCGATGATCACGATGTCTGGGATGGTATTGGCTCGTATCCGGACTACCTTCAGAACTCGCAGGTGTTTGTGCAACTCAAAGAGTATGCGTTCAAGTACTGGCGGCTGTACCAGGGGCATACAAACCAGCAGCTATCTAGACAACATGGGTATTTTGGGGAGCGTGGGTACTGCTGGCTCAAGCAATTTGGCCCGTACACGGCGGCATTGGGGCCGGACACGCGGTACGAGCGTACCATACATCAGATCATTACGCCGCCTCCTATGAAATGATCTTTGATCGAATCTACAAGCTGGCGCCGTCAGTAAAGCATCTAGTGGTGTTCCTGGGAGTGCCCATCGTGTATCCGCGGCTGACGTACATTGAGAAGACATTGGCGGGGATCAAGAGCATGGGGTTGACCAAGCTGAGCTTCCTGGCAAAGCAAAAATCCATCGTAAACATCTGGGGCGAGCCCGAACTCTCAGACGACATGAACGATCATTGGACATCCGAGGTACATATGGAGGAGCGCAAGCAATTTGTCCTACGTCTACAGGAATTCGCAAGACAGCGAAATGTACGGGTTACTTTTGTCGGTGGTGATGTGCATTGCTGTGGTGCTGGAAGGTTTGCGTCGTCGAATCCCCAGCTGCCGCCGGAGCGCGATTATAGGTTTATGCCACAGATTATTTCCTCGGCTATTATGAATGTGCCGCCGCCAATATTGTTATTCGCGCGGTGCATTCGTCCGCTAAAACTTATGAGCTAGATAGGAACACGGATGAGATGATGTATAGGTTGTTCGAGCAGGACGTCAATGGAAAGGCGCCGCCGAATAATAATACAAAGTTGCTGGCGAGGCGCAACTTTTCGTCATATGTGGAGAACCTCAGTAACCACTCGATGATTGTCAATATTCACGTGCAGAACGAGACTAATGTCGGTACCAGGGCATACCCGATCAATGTACCAGCATTGGATCCGACAAACAACATTGTTTAAATTAAATACCAATAGATTTTTTTAATATATCTAACAAAAATATTTTCATTAAAAGTTTAATTTGTTTTAGTGGGTTTTTGCAAGACCATCGATGAATGCACGCTTATCGTCCGCGCGCATGAGTGCCTCACCCACAAGCACAGCACGGACGCCGGACTCGGCATAAATGGCAGCGTCTCTCGGGTGCATAATCCCACTCAGCGCAACCAACACGACATCTTTGGGATTCCCCCAGAATCAGCCAGCACTCTGGTGGTATTAATATCGACATCGAACGTGCGCAGGTTGCGATTATTGACGCCAATAACCCGGGCGTCCGCCGCCAGCGCCACATCCATCTCTCTCTTATCGTTAACCTCCACCAACGGCTCCATGCCGAGCTCGCGCGAATACGCTATCAGCGTACCCAGCTGCCCAACGTGAGCATCTTGACGATCAGCAAGACTGAGTCTGCGCCAGCCAGCCGGGCCTCGGCAATCTGGTACGGATCAAAGATAAACTCCTTGCGCAAAACCGCCGGTCTCCTCCCTTCATTATTGTCCTGGCCGCTAGCAAATACATCCATGGCCTGGCGGACATCGCGGAGATCGTCCAGGTGTCCCTTAAACCACGTGGGCTCAGTCAGCACCGAGATCGCCGCCGCGCCGGCACGCGCATACCCCAGGGCATGCTCTGCAGCCACCGCATCAACGCTGATATCGCCCTTGCTCGGCGACGCGCGTTTGATTTCAGCCAACACCGCCAGCCGACTGTCCCCGCGCGTGGCATCAAGCAGGCGCTGGGCAAAGTCCATCGGCGGTGGGCACAGGCCCAGGGAAAGCATCTGCTGAAGGCTGGCCATCGACCGGCCGGGCACAAGCTTCTGCTGCGCGACATCCAGCTGTCTCTGCTTGAAGATCGTCGTCAAGATGTCGTCCTTGGCAGGTGCTGCTGCCGCCGCCGCCGGCAGCTGCTCTGCCACGGAAACTGGCAGCGCAGAGGAGGCCGGGGTCAGTCTGAGGCCTGGATAATGGTTGGCCATGGCCTCGGGGACCCTGTAGCCTGGGTTCTCCTCCCAGGTTCCGCCCTGCAGAGCCAAAAAGTTTCTAAACATCTCCAGCCCATTCTCGCTCAAAATGCTCTCCGGATGGTACTGCACGCCCTCCATAGCATAGACCTTATGCCTGACGCCCATGATAATCCCATTTGGCGTCCAGCTATTAACCTCCAGCAGTCGGGCAAAGTGTCTGGCTCACCGGCCAGCGAATGATACCTGGTGACCGGGAACGCCTGCCCCTTCAGCCCGCGGTACAGCCCCTGAGCGTCATGCGTGATTAGCCCGGTTTTGCCATGCTGGATTTCGCCAGCATACCCGACAGTGCCGCCGTAATGCTCGTACATCATTTGTTGGCCGAGGCAGATGCCTAGGATGGGAATTTTGCCTTGGAAATGGCTGAGAACCTCGTAGCAGATCCCAGGATCTTCGCGTGGGTGGCCGGGCCCCGGTGAGAGAACAATGTTGCGCGGGTTGAGCGCTATGACCTCAGCGAGTGTGATCTTGTCATTGCGGTACACTTGGACGTCGGAGGCACCTGCCTTGCGCAGGTACTGGTAGAGGTTAAACGTGAACGAGTCGTAGGCGTCAAGAAGAATGGTAGCCATCTTTTTCCGGGTAGGTGAAATAAAAGAGTTGGTGGTAATAATGACAATGAAATAAAAAATAAACTTAAAGAAGGGAAGGAGAGAAAGAGGTGAAGAAACAGCGCTGAACATATTTTTTTGTATTTGGGCAGATCAAGGGGGAGGAGGTTTCGATTAGTCACAAAACAACATTGGTCACCAATCGCAAGTGCACAATATTTTTTACTTTGCTGATCATTAAGTGGCTGTTTTTACGCTACACCCACCCAGCAGCCTCCCTCCCCTCCTCCCTTTCTATTGCTTACGCGTTGGCCAGTGCAGAAACAACGTCGGTGTAGAAGCCAATGGCGTCGACAAACTGCTTCTCGGTGACATACTCATTGTGGTCATGCAGCAGAATCGGCGCGTTCACCAGGGGTGTGACGCCTAAGGCCGGCACACCGGCCCTCCTCAAGTACCGCGAGTCAGTGGCGGCCGGGAAAATCTCTCTTGCGAACGGCACCTGGCGCGCCTCCAGCACACGCTCAAAGGCCACCCAGAAGCCGCTCTCCGCGGACGTGTCCGTCATAGTGTTGTCGTCCCAGAACTGCACAAACTCGATCTCCACGCTGTGCTCCGCCGCCAGCTGCTCCATCGACCGGCGGAAGCGCAGGTAGTCCAGCGTGGGCGTCATGCGGATGTCAAAGCCCACAGATGCGCTCTCAGGAACAATGTTGTGCTGGACGCCGGATGCAGCAGCGTCAGGTTGGTTGACGTGACGTCGCCCAGCGTGACGGTGACCCGTCGGCGCGTGGCCGCCGGAACACCTGCAGCTGCTCCGACCGGAACGTCATCATGTGCTCGATGACCGGCAACAGCTTCTCCGCCGCCGTGTCCTCGATGAATTGACTGCCATGCCCAGTGTTTCCGCGCGCGACAAAGCGGATCCAGCAGGGCGCGCGCTCGCCGTAGAACACGCGCAGGGCCTCGTTCGGGTTTGCCATGCCCTCGTCCAGCGCAAACCCAGCGTTCAGCTGGCGGAACTCCGCAGATTCGACGAACTTTGCCATGCCGTCATGCCCGCCAATCTCCTCATCCGGCACAAACACCGCGTGCACTGTGCGCCGCACCGCGCCTTTGAGCTGCCGCATGGCCTCGAGGTACGCCTGGCCGACGATCTTCATATCCTGTGTGCCGCGCGCGTAGATCCGGTGGCCGCCGTCGCCGACGCCACGCGGTGAGCGCCAAACGGGGGGTGCGTCCAGCTGGCCTCGAACACCGGCACAACATCGGTGTGCGAGTTGAGGATGATGCTGGGCAGCGAGGGCGAGGTGCCCGGAGCGTGAGGATGACGACGGGCTTTCCTGGAACAAACTCGATAGCGCGGAACTCGAACCCGGCATCGAGAGCTTGCCGCTGCAGGTAGGCAGTGCAGCTGGCGTAGTCGGGCGTCGGCTGCACGGTCTTGATCTGCAGGTACTCGATGAATCTCTGCACGGATTCGGAATGGAAGTGTCCGCCATTGGCGTAGTTTTTTATTGGAAAGTGGTGGGGGGGGGGTTGTTTAATGTGTGGTGATGGAGGTGATGGAGATGGTGCTGCCGATGAGGAGGAAGAAAAGAAAAAAGAAAGTCAAATGGCGTGGGAGAAAGTACGTTTCTTTTTATATAAAAGCGGGCGCCGCCGCATGGCATGGTTCAATGCGCGCATGACGGGTAACAAAAATAATTAGCGAAACGTTAAAATAATCGAAATAATCAAATAATCAAAAAAAGCTCAGGAACCTGATTCAACCTCCCCCCATACTTTTTGATCGCTCGCCAAAAAAAAGCCATTAAAAAAACCATTGAAAAGGCTATTCGCGCGTTTAGCCCTTGCCATGAATGGCAAGACGAGTTCTTTTCAATTAGCATTTAGCCACCCATCTTCTCTGTTGTTCTCTGTCATCCTTAGTCATCTATCGGCATTTATTTTCTATCTCCTCGATCAACCACCCATTCTAGTACATTTTAACCGCTCCAGAAAGAGGGTAGTTCTGCTTTGAAGGCAAATCTCATGCATCGCCTTGCAACTTTTGCTGCCGGTGCCATTCTGGGCGGCGGAGCCATCTACACGCTGATCAGGCAATCCGCACCCACCACCACGCAACCAATCCCTGCTGCATACCAGCAGCAGCCAGCGGCCGCTCCCAAATACCAGCCGCTGCCCCAGCCCCAGGCTCATGTGCGCGCATTGCCCGATACAGGCGGAGCCTCCGAGTTTCTCAAGTACGGCCATCCAGGGCCTATCTCCGACTTCCTCGTTCGCTCACGTTACGCGGCATCCTACAACCGCGCATTGCGCAACCCCAACTGGGTCGCCGAGCACCTAACCGCAGCCAACCTCAAGGGCACTGCCGACCGGGCCAACTCTGAGTTCAAGGAGGACCAGTCCATCCCGCCCCTGTTCCGCGCCCAGCTCAAGGATTACTTCCGCTCCGGGTATGACCGCGGCCACATGTGTCCGGCGGCTGACGCCAAGAAGGATGGCGAGTCGATGAACGAGACTTTTTTCCTGACCAACATTGCCCCGCAGGTCGGCAAAGGGTTCAACCGCAACTACTGGGCGAGCCTGGAGACTTTTGTGCGCGACCTGACTAAATCCTTCGACGACGTTTATTGCATATCCGGCCCGCTGTACTTGCCCAAGAAGGAGGGCGACAAGTGGGTGGTCAAGTATGAGGTGATTGGTAGTCCGCCGAATGTCGCCGTGCCGACCCATTTCTTCAAGGTTATTCTGGCCTCGCGCAAGGGTGACCCGCTGTGGCACTGGGTGCTTTTGCCATGCCTAATGATGTTATCGATAATGCCACGCCGTTGACTGCCTTTAGCGTGCCGCTGGAGACTGTGGAGAGAGCCGCCGGGCTGCACTTCTTCGATAAGGTCGAGCGCAAGGTCGGATCGGCTGTCCCACTGTGCTCCAAGATTGAATGCAAGCTCAACCATGACTCGTGGAAGAAGAAGTAGTAAATTACTTATTGGATACAAAATAATATTTTTTTATTATAATTAACACTAATTTAAAAAACTGAGCAAAAGTGACAATGGCAGCGAGAGCAGTCATGCTGACAGTCATGCCGGAGGCGCCGCTGGTGGACAAGTCCAGACCATCATCATCATCATCGTTGTTCTTTCCAGCGCTAAAGTCCGACTTGACACGGCTACACCGCTCTCAAAATTATCTCCGACATTCTCAATGCCACTGACAACGCCCTGCGTGGCCTTGGAGAAACCGTCAACAGCACCCTCGGTAACATGGGAGAAACCGTCAACAGCACCCTCAGTAACATGGGAGAAGGCGTCAACAGCACCAGAGGCAATGTTATCACCGAGGTTGGCAACGGCACCGACGCCAGCACCAACACCGCTGATCAGGTTGTCCAGGATGTTCTCGGCGGCAACCAGAGCGGGATAACGGCGAAAAGATCTTGGTCTGCATTATAATTAAAGTTTGTTTGTGCGTGTGTAAAAAAAAGTCCAAAAAAAGATGTTGGTTAAGAGTAAAAGAAAAATATATATAGTGAGTAAAGAGATACGTGAAATATGTTTTTTGGAATGAAGGAATGAATATGACGGGTGTATTGAGTTCCTTTTATCTCTCTTGTGTCGAAATCGCAGAAAATTTTCTTCAAACGGAAAATTTCTTCTTTTCACTCTGATACTATTGCTAGTACTCAAAACACTCTTTCCACTACATAAACCAAGCATGTTTTCATCTCAGGAGGCAAAAGTGTTTCTCATATACCAATACAACAGGCGCACAATATCACTTCTTAAAATAAAACAGGGTACAAGAGAGTGGTATCTTGATTGTTTTTCCATAGACTTCTTTCCCCAACAATAATAGCCTTGATTTTCTCACCAATAGCATTAACCGTCAGCTTATTTTCTGCCACCTCTTGATTTTTGAATAAAATAATAGATAGGGAGACTTGTTCTCACTGGCCAGAAGCTAAAAATAGTTGAATAATGACCCATCTGTTCTCTCAACTTTTCTCTAAGTCTGTTGTTTGGGAACGAGGGTTGGTTGTGTGGATTTGAATATTTCCCTAAATCGCCCAGCCAATTACTTTTTTTTCAAACAAAAAATCAAGAATAATTGAATTTATTTTTTGTTCCACAGGCTAAAAAAACAAATCTCATTGCAATTAATAAATCAAAACAATGCATTGTTAATCTACTTGCGGGAAGCACGGAGACGCTTGGCAGCAAGCTGGTGACGGGTCTGGAAAACAGCGGTGGCACGCTCATCGACAGCCTTCTCGACCTTCTTCTCCTCCTCGGAGACGATGATCTCGATATGGCAAGGGCTGCTCATGTAGGGGTTGCTACGACCGTGAGCGCGGTAAGTACGACGGCGCTGCTTGGGGGCGGCGTTAACGAGGATGTGCTTAATGACAAGCTCCTCGGTGTTAAGACCCTTAGCCTCAGCATTGGCCTGGACCTTCTGCAGAAGCTGCAGCAGGTGCTTGGCGCTCTTGGTAGGCCAGCGACCCAGGGTAGCCTTGAAGGCCTTGGCCTGGGCAGTGCGACCAATACCGCGGTGGAAGCGGCGGAAGGGAACACACTGCTTCTGCTCCTGAACGTCCTTCAGGTAGCCGACAGCGTTGAGAAGCTTGCGGCCCTTGATGGCGTTGGCGGTCTCAACGGTGTTCTTGAAGTGAACACGGAGGTACGCAATGCGGCACTTGGCGGACTTGGCCTCGTTGGCGGGGGTGGCAGAGTAACTCGGCATCGGTATAATACTCCTAAAAACACACAAGCAAAGAGAAAACCAGATCGGGATGGTGTTGCATGTAGCGTAAAATGACAAAAGAAAAAGACAATTTCTGGTTAGTGATATGAATCGTATAAGGGTTGGTTTTAGAGTTGCGGTCAAAATACAGGAAAAGAGCGCGGGTCATTGTAATCCAAAAGGGGGAGAGCGAGAGAGCAATTGTGTTGTTCAAACAGAAAATCCAAAAAACGGGTGTGGCTGCTGCTATTTCTGCTGTGTGTGCTGTCGCTGCTGCTTCCTTCATTTCTTCCAAAAATGTAGTAAACTGAGCTGGGTGCTGCACAAACCAGAAATATCGCATGCAGTGCTAACGCTTCGTAACTGGAATTGAGATCCCAAATCCCTAACGCCATTAGCACTGCAATCCTTTGTTTCAGCTAGATGGCTGTAACAAAAAACATCCCAACACAATCTACTGTTGTTGCTGCTGCTGTTCCATACAAAAGCCACTCAGCACCGCTGCTGACCGAGATTTCAAACGATTGCAGCAGACAGGAAAGAGTGAATGAATTGGGGTGACTCTGCTGGCTTACAGTAACGCCTGCTGCTCTTTCAGAAAAAAGCCAAAATAGACCGGCTCAAGCTGTAACACAGCAAGAAAAAACATTCGGCCAAACACAGCTTCAAAATTCAAAATTTCAAATTCAAATGTGTGCAGGTTCAAATGTCTCCTCCCCGCAGTTAAAAAATCCGCGTGTGTTTGCTCCTCACGCCGCATCCATCAAGCTGTAACTCCAATCCAAACATCCATCGTCTCCTGGAACCAAGACTCTGCATCCATTCCGTGTGTGTGCCGTCTCTCTTTCATACAGAGAAAATTCGCGATGGATCCAATCCCTCTCTCTCCCTTTTCGTCACAAATACGGCTAAAAAATGGACATGATCCGATTTTTACCTGTGATATAAGAAATATGCTAATGAGAGCGAAAAGAGCGAAACTACAGGAGGGCCAGCCTTGGGTGCAGCATCAATAGCAGGCAACAACAGCCCGCATCACTCGCCCTTCTCCAATAGAGGAGTAATTCTGCCTCGAATGCGTATACCCAAAAGCACTGAATCAAATAAAAAGGGGATGTTTCGCAGGCCCAATCACAATTTGTCAAGATCACAAGATTACCCGATCAAATATTTAATGCCCACTCAGCTGAATGAGTCTTGCGCATACACATACTGGCAGGCATAGTGAGCAACGCGCATGTATGATGCGGCAAACTTAATATTGAGTGTTACTTTTTGGCCCCACCAACTTTTAAAATTTCTGTATTTTTTTCCATCTTTATTCACAGCATTCGAATTAGCCAGCATTTTTTATTTACTCGATGGATGGCGTAGGTAACAGCACAAATGAACACACCGATACACAAGTGGGCGCCAACATGACAGGAGCCGAACCACACCCAAACTCCCAACAAGCAGAGCAAACCGCTGCTACAGAGCCGGTGCTTACAAACGAGTTGCGGCAACGGCGACGAATAGCAGGAACAGACTTAGACACAGCCACAGCCACAGCCACAAATACGCCAGAGGATGAAACCTTGGAGGCTTTGGAAACAGCAACCGGACACACGACCGCACGCGAAGAAAATGCAAAAGAGAACAGCAACACATAAGCGACAGCACCATGTCCAACGAAACAATGGCAACGGCAGCAGCGGGGCGAACGAGTTCAGCTGCAACATTTGCTTTGACACGGCGACAGACCCGGTGCTGACCATCTGCGGCCACCTGTTTGCTGGTCCTGCCTGGTGCAATGGCTGGAGCGCAGTGCGACGTGCCCGGTGTGCAAGGCCGGGTGCGACAAGGATAAGGTTATTCCGGTGTATGGCCGTGGGCGAGACGAGAAGGACCCCGGTTGAATCCCAACATGCCTAACCGGCCCGCTGGCCAGCGCCCGCCGCCGCCGCCGCCGCGTCAACCCAGTCAGTTCTTTGGCTTTGATCCGTTTGGAGTTCCCGGCAGCTTCCACTCAATGGGCATGGCGCGCACCAGAGTTGGCGGCGGCGGTGGGACTGTGTTTGTTGGCGGCTTGGGTTTGTTGCCCGCGCTCATGGGCTTTTCGACCTTTTCTGGCGGAACTGCGCCCAGCAACGCAGCGCCCGGAGCAGCAGGTGGCACTACTCAGCCGGCCGGCCAGCAGTCGTTTGCATCGCGTGTGTTCATGATGGTTGCCGCCATGATTCTGATGAGCATTATTTTTTATTGAAACTTTGCGCTCGGCTAAGAAATAAAAGCCATTTCCAGGCATATCTATCTGATGGAGTGCACGTGAGTATAGTGGATTGTTACATCATCGCGCTGTGCACTTTTTTTGGCAAGCCAAATTGCGAATTCCACCTTGCTTTCGTAATTTCAATTTCAATCGCGCTCCTCTTTTTTCGCTTATTGTTTTATTATTTCTATATAGATTCATATTATCCAAATCATTTGTATTTCTTTTTGTTTCCACAATGTCGACAGCCACACGCCCGATGAATGACGAAGAGGTGTATTCGGAGATGAACAAGATGGTCGCGTTCATCAGACAGGAGGCCCAGGAGAAGGCGCTCGAAATCAAGGTCAAGGCTGATGAAGAGTTCAACATCGAAAAGGCCAAACTCGTGCGCCAAGAGTCTATCAATGTCGAGGCGCAGTTCCAGCGTAAGGTCAAGCAGGCCGAGGTCAAGCAGCGCATCATGACCTCTACGCTGATCAACAAGTCACGACTGCAAGTTCTGCAGGCGCGTCAGGAAATGCTCGATACCGTGTTCAGCGACGCCCAGGAGCAGCTGGCCAAGGTTCCCGAGGACGCCGAGAAGTACAAGCAGCTTTTGGCCACCTCTGTGTGCAGGCCTTTGTCCAGCTCAACGACCGTCGGGTTAATGTTCGTGGCCGCAAGGCTGATTTGGAACTAATCAAGGAGGCTGTGGTGCTGGCTGTGGAGGTCTACAAGAAGAGGGGGAAGGATATTGTTGCCACTGTTGTCGAGGACTCGCCATTGTCCGATACTGTGCTCGGTGGCGTGCGTGTTTCGGCCTTTAATGATCGCATTAGCGTGGACAATACGCTTCAGGCGCGCCTGGATCTGTCGTCGGATCATATGCTGCCCCAGTTGCGCGACATCATTTTCGGACAGTCCCCGAACCGCAGGTTCTTCAACTGATTTCGATATCGGGCCGTAGAAGATCATGGGGGCTCCCATATGTTTAGCCGCTTTACCTTTCACTTCTCCATGTCACACACACGCATACCCACACATTTATTCCTTACTAACTCTTTCAATGGCAAAAATAAAACACAATCCCCGTTTTGTGTTTGTCCACCTGACGTTACTGTCTGCCCGAAAAGCACGAGTAACCGATTACTTTTTAGATTTTCGGGTGATTTTTGTTTCGACCCGAATAACTGCAACAAATCTTTTCATTTGTTTGTATTTTGAACCACTCGGCAATTATTTAATTAGAATAACCGGCTTTGGGCCATTTTTTGTTTCAAGAAACAAAAAGAGAGAAGAAAAATGTTTGGCAGCGTTGCAGTAAATTGGCTGCTCATATCGCCAGTTTACGAGCTGTATTACTTTTGTTAGTAGCTTACGTGCTCATTGTTCGTTCGTTCAATGAACCAAGCCGTCTACAATGCATGATTTTGTGTTTGTATGTTGTTGTTTTCGAACAAAATCAGAATAGGGAGTTGCATCCCGAGGAATAAAATGAAATTGTGATTTATTGTGCTCCAAGCGAGCGCAAATTACGTGACTCCCTCTATAGTCATTCATCTTGCCGGGTTTGTCTTCTTTCTCTGGTTTGACATTTGGCTCTCTATCTTAGTTTAGTTTCTCGCTGTGTGTAGACTTTTTGTCTGTTGATGTCATCTTTCATTCTATTTTTCGCTATCCCTACTACTACTTCAAATATCGTCTTCTTTTTTAATAACTACTGCCTCGCGAGTTCAGCTCTACTGGCATTTTTATTGTCTTTTCCCTCCCCCACTCCCTCATCCACTCGCAAAACCGACCAGTGTATTGACTACACTGCAGCCCGTCTTCTTTTTTATTACATCACATACCAAAGCTAGTAGCAGAAAGGCCGGTCCACTCGGTTTATCTTTTCAGTACTTATAAAAACCACGTTACAAGCTCAGGTGAAAAGAGTCGCTCATCTAAACCCCAACTCCATTCTTCATTTTTAACGTAAAAAAACAATATTTTTTATTTTTTATTCTTCATCTTCACACTAATTATTATTTTATACTCAAGCCATGATCCGTCATTTTATGATAGCATTCACGAAACTCCTTGTGCTATGCTTACTCTTGGTTCGCGTCCTTGCCGCCGAATCCAACTCTGACTCGCAGACATTGCAGCTCTACACGCTTTGTTGCATCGATGGCCTCGCCACCGCAGAACCAGCAGAGACGACTAATGTCGTTCCCTTTGATAATCTCGCCCAAAAGCTGCCTGAAGCCTTCAGCGCGCTGGAAAACCAGTTTTCAAACCCCGAGTTCCAGGCCATGCTGACATCGCAGCTCAACAACCCTAATGCCGTGGAAATGTTCCAGTCCCTGATTCACGATCCTAATGCAGTCAACTCCATCTCTTCCCTACTTGAAGACCCCGCAATTAAAAGCTCATTAAGCGCACAGTTTGTCGAGGAGTACCTGTCACCAACAAGGACTGTATTGGCCACTCCCATGCACACTCCTGAGGCTACGGGCGACCTGCTGGGCTCAAAGGTTAAGAATAACTTTGAGTCAGGCTCGTCCAAGCACACCAACGTTGGTGCTACTAGTCGTCCGCGCGCCTTGGTTATTGGGTGCCTTCTCACCCTGCTTTTCAGCGCATTGGCTCCTGTTTAAATGACATATTGACAGGCAGATGACTGTTTTTTATTTACGTTAATGCATTGTGGAGGCTTCTGTATTTTAATAAAATAAAACAAGAAATTATATTTTATTGCTTAAAAGTACGCAAGTCCACAGACGGCAATGGCCAGGGCGCCAATGGATCCTTGGAGCGAAATGTTGGCGGACGCGCCTCTTGCATCGTTGGGCTTGCTGCTAGCGCTGCTGCTCGAGCTGTCACTGGAGCCGCTGATAACGGGCTCCTTTGACTGGGGCACCAAAACTGGCGGCGAGATAGTGCTAGACACTGAAATCGGCACAGAGGATGCTGGTAACTCTGCGATCGAAAATGTTTCGGCCTCTACCGATTTTGCCACCACTGATGAAATCGATGATTCTCCTGCCCCGACAACAGATGTCGCAGCCATTGTGACCATTGCAATTGTGCCAATAATTCTAGCTGAAGACACAGACTTCATTGTATATAATGGTATATGATATAAAGAAATGTTATAAATATGAAATAAAAAACCAAAAGCGAACAATAGCCACGAAATACTTAAGAACCTGTTGTTTTCTCCTTTTAAGCGTTTATCTGCTCTACGAGCGTAAATATATATATATTTATTAAAGCATTTGTAGTTGCCAAATGGCATAATGGTAATACATCCACTTGACGTCAAATAGTAGTATCCACATTCAGGCGCCTAAAAGCCACTGCAGCAATAACTTCAGTACTCAGCAATGAAACTATAGGTGCAAGCGCAGTACTGCACCTTTTTTATATTGCTTTATCCTGGAACTTTCAGTATAATTATAAATTATACAAGCCAAGCCATTTTTTGTGGATGTATTGTGTGATTCTCCAATTAGTTTTTCCTCAACCAAACACACCAAAAACTGCTTGACCAAAGAAAGCCCCAAAGATTATGGGTTTATTTTTACACATGTATAGATATATATATATTTACTTATTAACCAACTGGAATACTAACATTAAACTCTCCAGATTTAGTATTAATTCTTTTGACTAGTCTGTAAGCAGCAGTTTGAACACGTAGGGTGTATATATTACCCTGTTGGTTTTGGGGTTGGCGCTGGTAGTCTGTGGCAAAAGATGCGGTGTCACGTATCGTATTGGCAGACTGTTCACTCGAGTCTTCGGGTGATGGCATTGGCAAATAGTTGCGTATAGCTTGGCTACGCCCCACCAAACAAAATGTGATTAAAAGTAACAGCAGCGCAATATGATTGCCAAACAAATGCATACGCATCGGTGACATACGGATTGTATTTTTTTTTTTGATGAAAAAATGATGATAATATAAAGAAAATAATAACAAATGCTTTAAACCCAAACCTTTTTATAGTTTTTTGTCAACTACTCAGCACTCTCAACCATTTTTATAGAGTCTGGCCGAAAAATGAAGAAAAATTAAATAAGGCTAGATATTTTTGAGCAGTTACAACGCGCTACTGTCAATTTACCACAAGAATGTACGAAAGAGGGGGATGAATGTAAATAACTTTATTGATCATGGCGTCAGCAAGCCTGTCTGCCACTCCTGCAGAATGAAATATTGAATAAAGAATAAAGCATAAATTTCTCATGTAATAAATATTTTAGACAATATAGGAAGCTCTTCGGAGTTTAAATATACGCAGTCAAGCATATACAGGCAACAGTACCGGCTGCAGTTAAAAATTTTGCCGAGCCCCAAAGTATGTTTCTGCTGCTGCTGCCGCCGCTATTAACGCTTTCGGAGTTGTTTTCAATTTTTTTGCTATGGGCTGTATCTCCATTGTTAGCTATATTTGATATCGCGCCGATTGCTAGATTTCCTCCTTGCTCGGCAGCACTGACCAATTCCGGAACTAGGTCCGATACAACGCGGGAATTAATGTTTTTAATAACATCACCAGCGAGAGACTGCATTGGACGCAGCGCGTTGTTCACGTTGCTCACAATATCATTGAGCAGATCTGCCGCTGCCACAGACACGTATAAAACACAGACGGCCACTGGACAAAAATCTTGTGTGGTTTTGCATGCATTATTTTTTGTTCAATATGTAATTGGAATATTTTAGCTGAGAAATAAAAGAGAAAAATAAAAGTAGTTCGAGTCCAGCGCTTGGGTGATTGAATAAAATATTCGATGCTAAAATATTAATTTATTTTTCAGATTCTGGACCACATATATATTAATACTCACCCACAACTAATATATAAAAAATAGTAATAAAAACGATACTAGCATTGCCAAAACCCAAACGTATGCTTGAGTAAATGGATATTAAAGTTACGTAAAAATCGAGAACCGCAGGCTCTAATTTTTTGGTTTCCCACAAGGCCACATGCAAAGACGTGTCATGTCATATTGTTTGGGGTTTTTTTGCGTAGACAGTGTTATATCCAAAAAATAATCAATACCATTTTTGTCTACATTTAAATATTTAAATCCTTATTATATTTTAAAATATCAACCAAAAACAGCAACACAATGGATTACTTTGATCTTGTGGCCACGCGTTCAACTGAAATACTCAGCGCTACTGCCATTGAGTCCGGACTGGAAGAAGCTACCAGGAACCTGGGCCGGCACATAGGTTCCACTCAGCAGGCCCAGCGAGCACACACACTTCTAGACAGATTCGTATACCATGAAACCGACCGACGTACCGCTCGAGCTATAAGCCTTGCACTCAACATACTTGTAGAATTTGGACGTCGTATTGACAACAGCGAGGAGCTAGCGTCAACCAAAGCTACGGAAGGTCTGTTGGGCCTGGCACGCAAAATGCAACAAGATGTCACCAGCACCCCCAAAGACGAGAATGTTCAGAGGGCATGTGAGGAGGCCCTGACATGCGTGGCCAATGCAATGCTGCTACGCCCAGGCTGCAAGGCCCATTTTGCCAAGGCTCGAGGCTTTGCATTGGTTACTGCTATACTCCAGTGCACTGTATTGACGTCGACTGCGACTTTTTTATGCGCAAGGTGTCTGTTCCTGGGATTGACCACCAGCGATGACGCCCAGCACTGTGTGGATGATTTGAATTTGCAGAAAGAGCTGGCTGCTGCAACAAATATATATTTGGACAAGGAGCGCGGTCTGGTTCAAGGCATGGGCGGTGGCAGCAAATGTAGAGATAGGTTTTGCCCACAACAAGTGATTGCCGAGCTGTTGAAGGCCGCAATGAGTTTATGCGTACTATTCCAGCGCAGCTTTGTTTCCAAAAAAACAAATGTAGCCGATGACTTGCTGCCTACAGAGCACGCTGCAAAGTTTACCGAGCTACTGAGCGTGTGCCTGAGCACGCTGCGCGAGATCCCTGTCTCCCCGAATGGTCATCTTGCCGATGCACAGAAGCAGGCCATTAGCGTTGCGCTAGGTTTCTCTACCCTGCATCCCAAGTGCATCCAAGACGCATGGCTGCCGCCGAACGCCAGTCCGCCCACAGATGAGTGGGCAAATGTGGACCGCATATACGATATATTTGAGAAGCTGATCGACCACGCCGTGACCCCAAATGGTAAAGTTGCCGATGACTTGTCAGGGGTGGCTAACGAGTATCAGACAGAGATAGCGCCCCTGGCGCTGGTGCTTGTGCGGCTGATGACGGAGCACATTAAAGTGCGCGAGCACCTTCTCCAAAGGGTGTATCCGCAAAAGGGTGCCTCTGACTTTACAAGGCTTCCCGAAGATCGTCCTGGGATTGCAGGCAAGCTGGTCCGGCTGCTGCGTATTCCGCAGGGCGGCATGCTGCCGAGCGCTGCGGGGAGCTTTATGCTGGCGCTTCTGAGCCATGACGTAAAGCAGTTTGTCATGGCTGTTGGGTATGGTAATGCTGCTGGGTATATGCTTGCCCAGGGCATTGAAATCCCTGCGGACATTTTGGAGCAGGTCAATAGGGAGGTAGCCGAGGATGTGCCTGTAGATCCGGTCACTGGACGTGCGTTCAGTCAGGCCGATGCTGATCGCGAATTGGCAGCTATGACGGACGAGGAGAAGGAGCGTGAGGCCGAGCGCCTGTTTGTGCTCTTTGAGAGACTCAACAAGACCGGCGTGATCCAGGTACAGAATCCGTTCAAAGCTGCTGTTGAGAGCGGCAGATTCGAGGAGCTTTCGGATGAGGACAGCAAATAAATAAGCAGCAGCCAGCAGTGATATTTTTTGTTTAACGATATTGATGACTTTTGCAGCAAAAAAATATACGAAATGAAATAAGAAAAAATGACACATTGCTTTTGCGACTAGTTGGTAGACTGCTCGGCATTCTCGCTCGGATCGACGACAATCTCGCCATCAATAGCCAAGAAGCCACCTTCACCACAGATACCCAACAGGCGCTCGGCCTCAGAGCCGGACACAGTGGCCAGCACCTTGTTGATAGCCTCCAGCGTGCCCACGCGCAGAGAGTCCTTAAAGTCCTCCGGCAGCTGGTCAAACAGCTCCAGGCGCTGGGCATCCTCCTCGTCCTCGCCGGGAACATAGATGCGGATGGGCGCATTAGGGTCGTCGCATTGGAGCTGGATGGACTCGACCTCAGGCTCAGCATCGGCATCATCGGCATCTCTCTCGCTCTTAATGACCTTGCAGCGCTCCTCGATGCGCTCGTAATACGAGGCAACGTCCCTCTCAAAACTGTCCTGGGCCGGGCCCTTGGGCCCCACACGGTTGAAAAATACATTGACGCCCGAGGCGCCCATCTTGAGAATGTATGTGAGGATAAGAGCCTGCTTGACGTACTGGCGGGCAAGCTTCTTTTTGCCGTCGAGCTCCATAGTGAAGGCCTGAGCCATGATCTGGTCACTCTTGCGGTCGCTGATTATAGACAGGTTCTTGCGAATAAAATCGTTGGAATCGGTCAATTTTGAGAGTTTGGCAAAGGCCCGGGCGTCGCTGTCCAGCTCCAGCTCGCCGTTCTCGTCCATACCCTCGATCTCCTCCTCCTCCACAGCCACACCACTGTGCTTGCCCACGCTGCCGGGATTGAGCACCTCGTCAGTCGTCACAGTGGTCTTCTTCGCGCTGATACTGCTTTTGTTGGCATCCGCAGGCTTGGCGGTGCTGACAAACGAGCGATCAAAGCCATCGTGGACAATGGAGTCAGGGGCAACATGCTTGGCCTCCTCCTTCTTCACCTGCTCCAACTCGCGCTCAGCAGTTTGCAAATTCTTACGCAGGTTCTCCACATGCACAGCGAGCTGCTTAGCAAACTCGGCCTGCTTCTCCTCCAGCGAGTCCAGCTTGGCAGCGGCCTTGAGCAGATCATCGCTGATGCGCGCCTTGAGCGCAGCCATCATGTCCTCCTCAGATGGCTGCTCGGGCTGTTTGCCCTGGGAAATAGCCCCGTCGCGCTCCACCTTGTGCTTGTGGGCTTCAGCCACGTCCGTTTGCCATTGTTGCAGGATGGCGTTCATCTTGGGCTCGTCTGCCTCGAGTACTTGGGCGCGCAGCTTGCTGATGCGCTCGATGAGATCCTTGTTCATTGTAATCATGGCTTCGTTGCCTTCGCGCTTGATGCGGCGGTTCTCGCGGTCGTCGCGGATTTTTTTTTGCCGCAAACGCAGGAACGTACCACGCTCGATGTTGGGGTGGATCTCGACGTCGGAGTCGTCGGAGAGCTCGAGGTTGTCCCACTTGCTGTAGTCGATGGGCATTTTTATTTGTATAAAGGAAAATGTATTAAAAAAATTAATGGGAGATTTCGTGCAGATTGAAGTTAAGTTCAAATAGTTTTGGTAAAAGCATACAGCTTTTCACTTGGAGTTTGTTTGGCTTGTCGTTGTCGTTGTTGTTGTCGCTGTTGTCATGATCGGTGGTGGCTGAAAAGAAGGTTCTGGGGGTTAGGGGCCTTTCTTTCATTGTGCGACTCGGCTCAATTGATGCAATGTAATGATTATTTTGTGAGCTGAACCAGATGCCCCCAATATCGATTAAAACCCAGGATTTTAATATTGGGCAAAATTTCTAAAATTAAACTTTGGCCCAAAAAATAAAAATAAATAAAAGAAACACGCCATTGGATGCATCTGCCACTTTTACCCCCTCCCTGCTCTCCCTGCTCTCCCCCAAAATTTAACGTGCAATAGGTATACAATAGAAAAGGCAAGCACAATGACGAATGGAAATGTGATAAAGACGCGGAGAAAATTCTAATGAGTTTTTTCATGGCTTTTCTATTCATTTTTTACGTTCTAAATCTGTGGGAAATGCAGGTTGTCAGTGAGAAAGAAAAAAGTGTCCATGTGCCTTTTTTTCTTCAACTGCAGCTTTCATCTTCCAACAATTAATATCTCTTTCTCTCTCCCTCTCTCTTTCACTCACTAACTTTTCTTTCTCAACAGCTGTTTTTACTTATTTATTTTTGCCAGCTCTATATACTTCTAGGGTTTATTTTTGCGTTTACTCGACTTCATATTGCACACAAAACAATGATTGTTATACTTTTTGTTGTCGTTATATCAGTCTTCGCGATCACTGCAGGTACCATGATCAAGGTGTCCCTCATGAGCTAAAAACACTTGCCGGGAAGAAGAAGATATCGCAAGGAAAGTGGGTTTCATTTGTATTTTTTAAGCAGCCTTTTCTCTCAATGGAATGAACATGAATATACTTTGTATCTGTTCAAAATCCATTATTTTTCTCACTTTCTTTTCATTTTATCGCATTTTATTTGTTGTTGTAAATATATATTTTAAAGTTATTGTCTTTTTTATTCATGACTCTGGAAGATCTTTTTAAATTGTACCAAAAAAAATATGCATATACCCGTTTTTAGGATCTGAAGCAAGGGGCGATTAAAAAAAGGTACAAAGCCACCAAGATCTCTTTATTATAAGCTTTGGCTCTAACTTTCTCTCTCTCTTACTCTCCCTGCAAGAAAAAAAGAGGGAGTGGTGGGAGAGGCGATCCAAAAGATACAAAAATAGGAGCTGAGTTTTTTTATGTTGTGCTTTTGTTCGTTCTTGGATATGGATTGACGAAGAGTATTGTGCTTGAATTGAAAATGCATGAAATTTTTTTCTTTGCATGACCAAAATAACGCATAAGTTTTTTTTCCTTGGAACATCAACAGTTATCGGGTCTGGCCTGTAAAGAGCGTATTCTACAACATATTCTTTAATTTTATTTTTCAGACTTTGTTTTTATTTAGGTTTATATTTTCCTTTATTGATAACGACTTTAGTGCTGAGTCACAAAAAAATCCAAAAAATGGATACGGCTGGATACGTGTCGGACAAGTCAGTAAGCAGCCAGGGGGCAGACTTCGGTGACCTCTCAGACTGCAACCTAGGCCAAAAAAAAATAGCATCAGCATCAGCATCACCAGCAGCAGCACAGCAGCCGACATCTCACTGCCTACGCCATTGTCATCACCAACCACTCCGACGCAGCACAAGCGTGGACGACCGCGAAAACAACCTTTACCAGGCAGCAGCGGCAACATGATAACAACCGGGGCATTCCTAACCCGCACAACGCTCCGCAAACTAGGCATGTCCTCGGGCCACATGGATCTGGACTCCAACACAGGAGGACTTACCATTGGTGATTGCGCCCGGGTGCTTAGCCTGGACCGATCCTGGTACACGGCCATAATACTCGGCGTGGCCGACGGCAAGGCCCTGGTGCATTACCCCGGGTGGGACCATGGGTTTAATGAGTGGATCGCGGTGGATTCGCGAAGACTCCTTTTCAGCGGCAAGTGCGTTGAGGGCGCGGAAGAGCAAATGAGGGCTTTGGAGACGGAAAGGGGCGGTGTTTTGGACGGGTTTGATCTGGATGCGGCTGTTGCCGCGGCGCTGGCGATGCTGCTGATTCGGGCATGGATCTGGAGGAGGAGAACGGCGGATCCGAGGAGGAGCCGGCGGCCGAAGCAGATGCGCCACGCGCGCGCGGGAGGCCTCTAGGAGGCGCAACCGGCGGCGCGTCGGCAGAGTCAAGTACCGAAACCGACGCCCAGCAAAGTGCCCCAAGCCCACCGAGCCCGTGGAAGAGCCCACAGAGTCAGATGCGGCAGAGTCCGGCGCCATGGATATCGCAGAGGGCAGTATGCGGCCGACGCCGAGACCTCGGCATCGTCGCAGCCAGCTGTGCCCAAGGAACTGCAGATCGCGCGTTTGCGGCGGCAGCACAAGATCAGCAACCCCTATGCACGCCCCGGCCAGGCTCGCAACACAGACTCTGACGCCGACTCCGACCACACAATTCCAAGCGCTGCCGCCAAGCGACCGCGCACCTGTCCTCCGTCGCCGCACACAGCAGGCGCTGCCGTCTGGGACATGCTCAGCAACACCGGCAACTACGTGACCACGGGGGCATTCACTACGCGGCGGACGATCAAATGCCTGGCGCACAACGAGTCCATCGGCGGCATCATCCAGGACTACCACGGGTTCTTCCCAGGCCAGCTCGTCGAGGTCCTAAACGCCAACCGCAAATGGTACACTGGGAGGATAATCACATGGGAGGACAGCCGCTTCCTCGTCCACTACATGGGCTGGGGCCATGCGCACAACGAGTGGCTGGCGCTGGGCAGCAAGCGGTTGCGCTCGCTGCCGGACGCGGATGAAAGTGAGGAGGATGCTCGTCGGCAGTGCGCGGTGCTCGTGGACGAATATAACGCGCACATCGATGCGGCCGAGGCCGCTCGCGTAGTCGAGGAGAAGGCAGCCGCCAGCCGCCGCCGCCCCAGGGCAAAGCCTGCGCCGGCGAACGCGCGCATCGCCAAGATCGCCGAAATCGCCGGGATCACCGAGACCCAGCGCGCGCCTGAGGCGCATGCGGGGCCCGCAGAGGATAGCGGCAGCGAGGCCATTGATGAGAGTGTTGAGCCGATTGACGTCGCCAGCGGGTTCGTGGCGGTGCCGCAGCTGCTGCGGGTCAAGGACTACGTTGGATACTACCGTGCCGGAATGCGCGTGGCGGCGCGAGACCGCAATAAGCTGTGGTGGCGGGCCGAGATTGTCGCCGTCAAGACCTTCCGCCTGCGCATCCACTACACTGGCTTTCCGCGCGCCTGGGATGAGTGGATGGAGATGAACACGCAGCGCGTGATGCTCGAGGAAGAGAGAGAGAAGGGCGACGGTGAGGGTGATGAGGCCGAGAGGGGGTCCGAGAGAGCGGCCGGGTGGAGGCCGAACGCAGCACCGAACGCAGCACCGAACGCAGCACCGAACGCAGCACCGAGGAGATGCCCGCGGCCGGTCCCCCGGCCAAGAAGCGCCTGGGCCGGCCGCCGAAACCCAGCTCCGTCGAGCCCATGTCGCTGCGGCTGGCGCTTCGCACGCTGGCCAAGAACAACGCCGGCAGCAGCGCCACGTCACACGTCCCGGCGTCGGCCGAGGTCTTCGAGTTGCCGCGCGAGCACATGACGCTCAAGGACTACGGCGTGTTCCTGCGCGTCGGCGACAAGGTGCAGGTGCGCGGCCACGACAAGCAGTGGCACGAGTGCACGATCGTCGACTTTAAGTATGGGCGCATCCGCGTGTACTTTTCCGGCCACTCGGACGAGTACAACCAATGGGTGGCGGTCAACTCGGACCGCATCCGCGTGCTGCGCCAGACCATTGAGGGCGACGGCCGGCTGGAGCGGCTGGAGCACGAGGCGCAGGCGCCCCTGCGCAGGCGCCGCGAGAAGCTGCGCGAGCAGCGGCGCCGGCGCAAGCAGCTGGCGAGCGCGTCGCTGGTGCGGCTGGCCGAGACGCTCGAGTATGTTGTGGGGGACAGCAGCAGCGACGCCGACGCCGACGCGGCAGAGGACGATATGCCGCTGGTGTTGCGCATGCTGCAGGGCGGCTCGGACGCCGCCGACGCCATGCCGCTGGCCACGCGGCTGCAGCTCAGCAGCCAGCTCGAGAAGATGCAACGGTCTGCGCACCCCGCAGACTCCGACACGTGGTTTGTATACTGCAACCGCTGCAGCATTGTTATCCGCACGTTCCGCTACTACTGCACTGTGTGCGAGCACCCCAGCGACGGGCTTGACTACGAGAGCTTTGACCTGTGCCTTGGCTGCTTCTCCAAGAGCTGCGAGGCGGCTGGGCACGAGCACGAGCACGAGCACCCGCGCACGGCCTTTGCGCGCGCGCCTGTTTGCAGCATCGACAGCATTGTTGCGTTCACCGGACGCATGCTTAGCCGCTGCCAGGACGAGGCCGACGGCAGGGCGGATGCCGAGGCCGAAGAGGAGCTTGGCCACATTGCCAGCCTGGTCTCAGGCGTCCTGTCGATTTACGAGCCAGACACGTTCGACGAGTCCTACGACACGAGCCGGCCGCCGCTGGCCGCTGGGGGCTGCACGGAGCACCAGTCGCTCTGGAACACGCTGGCAGCCGGGCTGCACGGCACAACAACGCAGGCGACAGCCGTAGGCCGCATCAGCGGCGCCATCAGCGGCCGCGCAGCCATTGCGTCGGACTCGCAGCCGCAGTGCGCGTTCTGCGGCAGTGCTGATTCAGCACAGGCTGCGGCGCTAGGCGGGTTCGCGGGAAACCGGCCCTTTGTCCTTACAACAGTGACGGCAGCAGGCGACACCCGGCACCAGCGCTTCTGGGCGCACCACGCCTGCGCGCGCGGGTCCCCCGAGGTGCTCATGTCGCCGAGCAGCGGCCAGTGGTTCAATGTTGCGGCGGCGCTGCGCCGCGGCCGCACAATCACCTGCGCCGCCTGCCACAAGCGTGGAGCCACCGTTGGGTGCTTCCACGAGCGCTGCCAGAAGTCGTACCACGTGGGGTGCACGGATTGGCCGCCGGAGAGCTTCAGCGAGGGCCGGCTGTTCTGGTGCGCAAAGCATGCCAGGGACAGCGGCATCGAGGCCGAGGGCGGGGAGGCCCTGCCGACCTGCGCAGCCTGCGACCGCTCGCTGACCAGCGACCTCATGTGGATGGTCTGCCTGGAGTGTCCAACGCAGCCGCGGCCCTTCAGCATCTGCCTGACGTGCTACGAGACACGCGAGGCCTTGGCCAACCACCCGCATAAGAAGCGTTGCTTCCGCGAGCACCTGGTGCATGCCGGAGGCGTGACCAGCTCCGGCCGGTACTTGAGCTCGGCTGGCCGCGGCAGGGCAGGGGCAGGGGCGGCAAGGGGAGCAGGGGCGGCCGGCGCGGCGTGCAGAGCAACTGCTGCCACTACTGCCGCTCGCGCACGGCCCGGCGCTGGCGCCGTGGCTACGGCGGCGTGATCATGTGCGAGGCGTGCTTCAGTGCCGCGCACAGCCTCGACCAGGACGCGCCAGGCCAAGGCTGCCTGCCCGCCCAGGGCCTGTATGCCCAGGACCTGCCCGTCCAGGATCTGCTCGCGGACCCTGCCGGCTCCGATGCCATGGAGGTTGTGGCGCTGAACCCATTTGGCTCGCAGACGGCGCTTCTGGCCGAAGACTACTCGCAGCGCATCTATTTACGCGCGACTCATGCGTGGCTCCGCAGCGCGCCGAATCTGCCCTGACCCCACAGACCCCGCACAGCCAGCAGCCGCTGGGCCGGCTGGCGTCGTACGGTCCGACGGACAGCATGCTTTTCACACTGATCGTCGACTCAACGTACTTTGACATTCCGGGCCGCGCCCCGCGCTGGGGCTCGCACTCCGGAACGGACTACCACGGCACATGGCTGCCGCAGACCGTGCGCCGCGCGCTCCTGCGCCATACGCGGCGCGGCGACCGTGTGCTTTCGAATTTCCTCGGCCGCGGCACCGATGCCATTGAGAGCTTCCTGCTCAGCCGCAAGTGCTTCGGCGTTGATATTAATCCGTCGGCGGTGGCGCTGTCGCAGCGTAACTGCTCGTTTACCATTGCTCCAGACTCGGGTATGGGGGTGGAGTTCCGGCCGGTGATTATCCAGGGTGATGCGCGCAGCCTGGGCGATGCTGCGTGGCCCGGCCATGAGTACTTTGCCGCGGACGAGTCGTTCGACCATATTCTGTCGCACCCGCCATACAAGGACTGCGTTTTGTACAGCACTAACATTGATGGCGACCTTAGCCGCTTCCCTGGCCCCGATGAGTTCCAGCAGGAGATGCAAAAGGTTATAGAGCAGAGCTGGCGTTTGCTCAAGATGGACCGCCATTTGACTTTGGGTATCGGGGATAACCGCTCGGAATGCTTCTATATCCCTGTGAGCTACCAGCTGATTCGTAGTTATATTGACTGTGGCTTTGAGCTCGACGAGTTGATTGTTAAGCGGCAGCGCTACTGCCAGGCATTTGGCCTGGGGACATACCTATGCGTGCAGTTTGACTTTCTCATGTTTACACACGAGTTTATCGCGACTTTGCGCAAGGTGCCCAAGGAGCAGGTCGACAGGATGCATTTGCCTGAGGCGGAGTATGCCGAGCATCCACAGCTGGCTTCCATTGCTGTGAATTGCAGCAGCCGCAGCCACAGCAGCAAGGCGCTGTAGTTACTGTGAAGGCTCGTGTGTTGAGGCAGGTGCCGGCGTCGCCGATTGAGCGCAAGAGCGTGGTCATGGGCAGCGTGTGGTCATTTGAGAGACACTCCATCCACACATTCCCGCAGATATGCATGTCCCGGATGGTGGAGCGGTTCGGCAGGGACGGGGCAAATTGGGAGCAAATCGACTTGGCCCTCGAAGCACTCCACCCCATTGTGACAACAACAGGGGCGGAGGTGGCTCGCAAAGATAATCGAGACAGGACATTGCAGCAGACCAGGCCAGCAGCGAGGCGGATGATATCAGCGACTCTGATGTGGAGCACCCGGACAACGGGACGCATGCCGGAGCGTACGAGCGCGAACGCCAGCGGCAGATCCAGCAAACCGCGAGCAGCTGCTGAATCTCGGCTTAGTGTCGGAGCTGGGCGAGGACAGCAATGACACGGCGCACTACCGCAAGCTGCTCTCCGTGGTGCCTAACCAAGCGCCGCAGCTCCCACTGGCTCTTGTTGTGGCCCCGCATGTTCCGAATTCGCAGTTTGTCCGGGCACACGTCCCGGCGTATCGCCGCGCCCTGGTGCAAATAGCACACGATGCCAGCCATCGTCTGTGTCCATCGGGAATGCTGATTCTGGGGGTGCAGGATGTGCGCGACGAAATGGGGAAGCTATGGCCGCTCGGCATGCTGGTGCTCGAGGACGTGCAGAGTGCCATTGGGCCGATCCGTTTGCGTCTCAAGGAGTTCATTGTTGTTGTTGAGAACGGGTACGCGAGGAAGCGCGATGATGTTATTAGTCGCGATAGTTTTGTTGACGAAAAGTGCGTCGTTGGGATGAGCGGGCCCGGAATCCATGTGCCGATAGTGCATGCATATTACTTGGTTTTTATGAAATTGAAATAAATAAATAAAAAAGTTAGGCTGATTCAAAGTACATATCTACAAAGTCCTTGCGGATACGCTTGATGAACCCGAAGATGTCTCTGGACATGTTGAGCCACTCGACGTGGCTCTCCACATCCTTAATCTCCGGCTTGCACGCGACTACCCGGTAGTCGCTCTGCGACAAGTCAACGGTGATCGAAAACGGACGCAGCGGCTCCGAAAGGGATATTAATGTGAACACAAAGGTCAGCGAGTCCTTAGACTCACCAGCGACAATAGCCAGGCCCATTTTTTTTCAAAAAAGTCCAGCTCCGGCTGATTCTTCGCAGCCTGCGCCTCCAACACCCTCTTCTTCTCATCAGCCGCCTTCTGCTTCCTCGCTATCTCCATCTCGAGCCTAGCCACCATCCCCGACATCTGGTTAGCCCCCTCCAGCACCTCTCTTTGCTTAACCTGCAGCGCACTAATCTCCCTGCACAATGCCTCCTCCTCGCCGTGCTCATCCTTTAATGCGCGCACTATTTCCTTATTCTCCGCTTCTAGCGCCTCCATATCCCCGACCATCCTCCTCTCCCTCTCCTTCCCCTCATCAATCTGGTGCGCGTAATCTTTGGCGCGCTCGCGAATAAGCCTCTTTAGCTCCTGTACCATTTCGTCAACGCGCCGAGTGAACTCCTGGTTCTGACGCCGGTCCTCGTCCTTCTGGAACCACACACGGGGGGCCTCGTATTCTTCGCTCGTCGATGCTACGGCGTTTGCTGAGAGACCATCGACTATGTGGCCGGGGAGCTCGTCTTCTAGAGACATGGCTCCGCTCGAGAGTCCGCTGTAGGCTGTTTCCAATAGTCGCCCGACTTTGATCGATGCTGGGCTGTTGAAGGAGGGCAGAACGTGGTCACGCCGCCCGGGTGTCATTGGGCGCCGCCGCGGTGTTGTAAACCCCTGAAAAGCTGTCGTGCTCATTGTGTGGAATCAGTAAATACAATACAGGCCGATTTGAAAAATAGAAAATAGAAAAATAAAAAGAAGAATGGTGAGTTTATTAATCGACAATATTTGCTCTGCCATTTAAGAAACATCAAAAAAACAAACACTAAAAAAAATATGATCAACAGAGTCGAGTCGAGTCGAATCACCAACGCATTGGCTGATCGTTTTCTGGCGATCAGCATCATTCCGGTTTTGTGCTGCCTGTCAGCCTGCATTTTTTGTTGTTATTCCCTTTTGCATGCCCTTTGCAACGACATCACAAAAAATTTTTAACCAACACGCAGTCTGCAGAAAAAAAGACTGGAATTTGGGGAACAAAAGAGTGAAGAAAAAAGTGTAGTCTGAAAACTTGTCCAGCGAATGAGAAAAATGCAATTTTTGTTGAGATTCTGGATGCAAACGCATACACCATTTTTTTGTACTCGTGCTGTTTTAGGAAACACAAGAAACCATACCACCTTTTTTTACCCTTTCTTTTTTTTGTGTTACCTTCCTTGTTTTTTTGTTAGCACATAGCGTTTTTCCCTCTTTTGAATTTCACTACTCTAATTGACCAGTTCTTTTTATTTTTTTGTTGCAATTTAATTATTTTATTGTTGCCATTCTTTCATTCTGTTCAATTCAGCTAAACTGTGCCTTTCCCCTCTCTTTCTCCTCCCCCTCACTCTCCCCTCACTCTCCCCCTCACTCACTCACTCTCCTTTATTCTTTCTCGCACACGCATCAAATAAAAAACACGGCCTTCCATTCTGCGCAATTTTTTTTGGGATACTCTTCTCCAGAATTTTCTTATATCTACCGGGAAAATATATAAAGATTAAAGCTGCGCCATGCGGTATGGTGACTTTGCCAGTCTGTGCGAGCGTTCGCCACTTCCAGTCTGCCGAGTCTTTGGAGACGCCGTTCTGCCGACTTGTTTCCCTAAGAGTTATTCGATTGGCGAATCTCGCCTAGTCAATATTCGTAAGTGTCGGAGCTTTTTTCTTTTGCAATACAGAAAAAAATAAGTTGAGGTCTCGTTGGGAGATGCAATACTAATGATGCACTATTTTCCCTGTTTCTGTAGCTGACTTTGCCATGTCTATCATTGCGTTTTTGTTGATGGTCTACATGGGCTTCAAAGCTAATCGCAAGCTGGCCGCTGTTGGTAAGTTTTTTCTTATTTTTTCATTGGCATGCTCACAAATGGTTTCTTTTCGCGTAGCGGTGACTAAATCATTGTAATCGCTGCCAATCGAGTGATAGAGTATCAACATGTAATATTATTTATGCACGCACCCACACACACGCAGGCACACCCTGACACACACACCAATGCACAAATTTTCATGTCGATTACTAAGGGATAGTGCAATAATTCCCTCTGAGCCTATCTGCATGTCCTTTTGGTGCCCTGTCTTTCTTTTTTACTCCTTTTTCCACAGCTGCCGCCAAAGATGATGCCTATTACTGCTCGTATTTTTATTTCTATATAAACTTATATTTTCAAATGGTCTCGATTTTGATATTCTATTTTTATTGCGGCCACCTGCAAATGTGTGTGGGGACCTCAATTAAAAATGGAAGCAGTATAGACCTTACTGCAATAAAGAAACCAATTACTAAAATGATCCCCCTCACCCCCCCCCTTTAAAATATCATTTTTCACTCATTGCATTACCAATAGGTCGGCGAGAAATGGCTCTGCTTCTGTCGCTGTTCTGCATCACCCTGGCTCTCAACCTTGCGGGTGCTGATTTTATTTTTGCATCGTCAAAGGCAAACAAGGTACGACTCACTAAATGAATATTCATCCTGTACAGAGATCATATTTTGTGTGCGCATGTCTATATTGATCGGTTTTAGAAATGCTTTCATTTTTTTGCTAACCATTCGCTTGTCGTTATTGAAATTACCCTATTACCTTATTTTCGAATATGTAGTGGCTCGGAGTTGCAAACACTGCGCTTGAAGTGTCGTTTTTTTGGGCGTTGATGCTGTTTGGTTTTGTTGGTAAGTATTTTTGTCCCTTTTTATTTCTGAGTACGCTGGAGACAAAATATAGAAGAAAAGAGAGTATATAAACTGGGGGGCATGGGGGGATGTTTTTTGCGCATGTGTTTGTTTATAAATGGCGCTATGGCTGGTTAGTCTTAATTAAAGCCCCCTTTTGATTATATTCCCGTCAATGAATACATTGTGTTATTGTTTGTTTGGTTTATATTTTCATATTTTCAATTCGAATATTTTGGTTTTTTTTCTGTATTTGGTGTTTTTATTGCAAAAAAATTTCATTGTCTGTAAATTTCCGCACAACCAGAAAAATAATCGGTTTTTATTTTCAATTATACGCACTTAATTTCGAATTCTGCATTTGTGTATTTTTTGGATATTTACGCATATAGGCTTCCAGATCCTTGATGATGGCTCGTTCGCGTCCATTTTGACCATCATCGTGTCGACCGCTGTTGTTTTATCTCGATCGGTTACATCGCCGCAGATACCGCGTTCGGAATCTCGGGCGGCCTAAAGCCCCCAGCATCCGATCCGCTGTACTCGCCCGGACTCTTCACTGTGTACCTCGTTTTCCCATTGGTCGCTATCTTTATCTACCTGGTCACGCAGTGCATCATTGTTGTCAAGTTCTTGGCAGTGCGCCTTCCGATGATTTGGCTGCTGTGCTCGATCGTGTGCTTTGCCACAGCTCAGATCCTGCTGTTTGTCGCGAGCAAGAAGATTTGCACAGGGTCGGACAACCGGATCGATGGCGCGTTCTTTGCCACCCTACTTAACACTTCCTCGGTGTTCTGCATCTATGGATTCTGGTCGTCGATCACTGGTGATGATAGCGAGGAATATGCTGGCATGTACAAGTTCTGAGTTGACAAGTTATCGAAGTGGGGGGGTTGAGCTCCTTTTTCTTTCTATCTTTTTTTACTTTGCGGACAACTTTTCTCTCTTTTTCCTTCTACAACTGACACCGGCTGTCCTTGCTCATTGTGGATGAGAGCGACTCCCTCCCACTAAATAGCAAACTGCGTTAGGCCAAATAACTATCGGCTCCTTCAGTTATGATAACTTTTCGCATTTTTGTTGCCAGTCCCGTTGGATAAACTCAACCTTTAAATTCTTTTTACTCTATTTGATATGCTCCTCAGTATATTTTACCTTTTCCACCCGCCTACTATCTCTCTCTCTCCCTCCTCTTCCCTTTTTTATTTTCATTTTATCCTCATTCTTTAGCAATTCTTGTCAATTTTTTTTACGTGAGTGGTCGTTTTTTATACATTCGCTCATAGATTTTTTTGCTAGAATTTTGCGTCAAGGAGTTTTTTATCTTTTACTTTTCGTCTTTTAGTTTTGTTTCAGTTTTTTTATTACTCGCCGGTCGCTAATTCAAAATGATATACATCTCAAAATATGCGTAATAACCAGTGGATCAAGTTTTAATATATGAAATAACTTGTGAAATTGCAAATTAACCAAGAGTATATGCTATATTGCAATATCAGACTTCCTATTTTTATTAAAGGATGAATCTGCAGCAGCTCAATTAAATACAGAAATGGTAATTGTCATGATATTGAGAAATTGAAATTGAAATCGAATACTATACTATACTATACAGAAAATTAAAATCAAAAAGTGGGTGCAAAATACAAAATGTCTTCCCAGCGAAGCGCAACAATCAAAGATATCATCTAAGTGGCCTGTCGGTTTATTGTTATATTTCGTTCAAGTGCTGGGGATTTGGCGGAAGAAGTCAGGATCCGAGCACTCCACCTCCATATCATTGACATTCTTATCCGCGTTGAAGCACTTCAGGTTGTTAAAAAGTATCTTCCAAACGCATCCACACCGTTGTTATCGAGCAAAATATACAATTCGGCAACTCGCAGCCCATCCACAGTAGCACCTTCGAGCTCAAACATAAGATGCTTGGACAGGAACATTGCCTGGGCCAGATAAAGTTTGAACTGGATGATCTTGCGGTTACGGCGGCACTTCTGATTGGCAGAAGCTGCATCAGTGCTCGATGAGTCCATTGATTGGTAGTATCTCTTGGCAGAATTCTGGTAGGTGTGCTTGAGGAGGCGGAAGAGGTGTCTGTAGTGTCATGACAGTCTCGGGTGGACTAAAGTATTTGCGGATCCATTCGACGCCAGCGCGGGGACTTCCGGGTCAACATTCACCGCTACCGCCATCTTGTCCTTGACGTTCTTGATGTTGTCGCGAATTTGGACTATCTCAGTCTAGAGTTCGATCTTGTCCTTGGCTGCTTGATTAACTACTATTTGCACCCGGTCTTGGCAACCTGCAGGCCTCTTGCGTGGTTGGCTTCGGCCTCTTGCAGGGCCTTGCGGGACTCCTGGGTAAGAGTTTTCACAGAATCGGCGAGTTCCATCTCGTGGCGCTTCTTGGCTCTGTCCATCGAGCGTTCAAGGTTGGCGGCTATGTTGCGGACCATGTTGGAAAAAGCTTTTGCGGACTGTTGGGCTTCCTCCAGCTGCAGATTCAGGGCAGCAGGATGAGCCTCTTGGACAGCACGGTGCTTTTGACCGGAAATGTAAGCGCGAGCAGTGCAACGAACAAAAGAAGAAAATGTCATTTTAAAATTGGGGATAAATAAAAAATAGCAGGAATTGAGTTGTCCAAACGATGGAACGAAAAGTTATAAAATATAAAGCAAAAAGGAAAAAAAGGAGATAGAACAGTAGCAAACAATGATAATACAGACGTATGAAAACAAGGATGTGTGTGTGATAGAGCAGCAAATTTGGAGAGCAGCAGAGTTGGAGAGCGCCAGAGTTGGAAAGCAGCATAGTAGGAGCGTATGCTATTATAGTGCAAAACTAGCGCAAAGAAAATTTTGTAAAGAAAAAATGCGATGGCTACTCAAGCGCTTGCGCAGTACTTTATAATATATGCATATGGAACATGTTTACAACATACAGCGGCACTATATTACAACTGCAGATTATGAGCTGCATAAGCGTGCATATGCAGTCATTGTTCATCGTATTGCAAGGGTATGGCAAATTATTTTTTGTTAGGGAATGGTATCGGCTTTCTTGAGACATCTGCAAGTATAGTTTTTCTGTTTGAAAGCTGGATTGGTGACAAGGCATTACATTGCATGACATTGTTGCAAAATAACAGACACAACTGTTCGCATGGTACCATTGCTAAAATTAGACAATTAAACTTAGAGGGAATGCTTTCATGTGTTTTGAATATTTTTACGCATCAAATTTGTCGCTTAGACAAAGCTAAATGATAATGCAAATGTGCCCACAGCTCGAATCACACCGCTGCGAACGTCATTTATTTGGATTAAGGACATTTACGCAAACAAAAGGAGGAACAAGGTGACACAAACTGATGCATTATACCCCTTGTCGCGTAGAGTGACTGAATCGTTAAAATGTTGTTTATACCAGCTGCTTAAACCTGTGAAATAGCAAGTGGCCACATGCATTGGTTATTGTGCACCCCCTTCGCTGTAGCACAAGTGTGAAACTGAATTCCTGCTTGATGTAAATAACACGTTTATTTATATGGCAGGCCACCTACGATTTATCGGAAGCAATATTTCTTTTTTATTTTACGTTGCCGATCTAGGTTAGGGTTGCCGTTCAAAAATAACAATACATTTTTCTATATTTGCACTTTGCAATGCCCGTCAACTTCTCTTACGAAGCAACAGTGCGTACAAATTTATTGATGGTGTTGCACAGACTGAAGATATGGAAGTGGATGTTAAGATTGAGAATCGCGAAGCAGATTTCCACCTGCGTGCCGATTGATAGGACACTAATTAGATCATGCAGGCATAAATTAGAGAGGCATTACATTGATGCCCAAACATGCCCCCCATTTTGCAATGCACACGCGTGAGTGCACACACACGAAAACCACAACATTGACTTGCCAAGATACCGGCCTGCTCACAGAAGATCCAGTTCTCATCAACAGAGCGCACAATTGACAATGTGCATAGCAAAGGCGACAAGGCACATATATAAGATGAGGCTGGCCCTGGTAGCATTTTAGAAATGTAGATGTGATTTTATAAAAGGCTTTATTACTGATGTTTCTAACACTAGGTTACTAGTGCTTCTCACACCCCCCTCTTATTATAACAACGGTAGAAAGCCAACAAGGAAGACCCACATAGAGTGGCCTACAAAATTGTTGTTGTGCAAACATCACTTAATTGTCATTTAATGTTTCTATCATGTCGAGTACTTCGGATTAGACATGTATACTTGAACTGTCAAAGTGATGAGCATGTGCGCCATTTAAAGTTAGTTTGGCCCCAGCAATTTATAACGCCATTTATTATTATGCCATTCGTAAACATATTTCTAACCAGAATATTCTATAAAAATAAACAATGCTGCAGCAGTTGGATTAGGAATATTAGAAGGTTCGGCAGAGTGTTTTTGTTGCTGATCAACGAAACTGCTTTTTCAACAACCATATGCACATGTGCAAATTATTTGATATGTTGGTGATTACACGCCTTTTTGACAAATTGTATTTTTTTACTTTTTTCAACCACAAAACGCATAATCGAAAGAGACGCTATGTGTGCCAGGCATTTTAAGAAAAAGGCGTTTGGTTGTGTGGGTTACCAAAAGAACCTTCTCACCAATAAATATTTCCCTGCACCCATTGTTGGGGCCTTGCCAATTTTTTAATTATGGTGATGCCACACCTCATTGTATTCTTTGCCAGGCAGCATCAAAACCTCTTTCTCTTTTTTGGATTGGTCTCGTTTCGCTGAGTCACAGCCAGTGAAGACAGGTTAAATTGAACATCTGCTCATTATATTTTTATGAAACGGCTCATATGCCAACCCCTGCATTCCAAATAAAAACCGCACATTCGCTCACAATACTTCGTATTCAGATACTGACATTATTCCACTTGACTCGTGATTTAAATATGGGCTTGGGACGACAAGTTGAGTAGCACAACCTGTGCATGATATCATCAATAACCTGTTTTTTCGGACACGCTGAACAATCAAGGGGCTCGAGGAATAGTTCTGACATAGCCTGAAGTACGTCTTTTATTTCCAGGGGGTAAAGATTTTCCAATGCGTTTCGGTATTTGAAAGGGCAACTGTTTTACATGCAATAAAATCAGCATCATTGCGTGCTTGTGCTTGTGCTTGTGCTTGTAAATATAACAGACACAAAGCAAAAGATTCAGACCGTGAAAAAATCGAATGTCAGTTTAAAAATGTGAAAGGTAGGTCGACAATCCCACACCTATTTCTTTGTTGACATTTTTTGCAAAGAATAGAGGAAACAAAATGTCTTGCTGAAGTTGTAATGCCTCCCAAGAACCAATTATATATTTTAAACACATTTTTCAATGTAGAAAATAAACCGCCGTTCAAATATAATAGCCGAGAGAATTCAGCATCGGTTTTAGCCTTTTGTTACTATCCCGTCCTCGCCCACCCCAACCTGTCTACTTCTCACTTTCAGCCAGCTGCTAATACACGGTCATCTCTCTATTTGCTCTCACTCCCTGAAAAGGAAATTAAAATGAATGCGATTGACACAATTCTATGTAGTCACCATGAATGGTCATTGAGATCAACCGCCCATCGGGACAAAGTTAGCGCTTTGTTTTGTTTTTCAGTTTTAAAGTGGACCATGAGTTCACATCAAATAAAATAAATTGACGCCGCGGCCAAACACCACAAGAATGCGGCCAACGTGGAGTTTAGCATTATCGATTGCTGATCCAGAATTAATTTCTGAATTGTAAAAAAGCTGAAGGCAGGTGTGTCGCTTGTTTGCAAATCATTGTACTTTTGTAGTCACCCAGAAGTACGCTTTTAGGGTTATCAACAGCCACAAGCACGTACTAAATGTGTCGCTAGAGTGTGCGCGTGCGTAGTAACATTTTTGTATGTAACTTTATTAACACGAGCAAAGCTTTCAATTATAAGCAATTGATGACATTCTACAGACGCAGTCAATAATATTGTAAGCCACATGGGATATTGATGATTTATAATGGTGTATTGTGCGGGGGAGCAAATGTCTCGATGTCTCTAAGCCTCGATGTCTGCAAAGTTCCCGTTAATCATTTTTATGCGTACACATACTTGCACTGGCAATCATAATTACACAGACCGTGTTCTAGGTCTAGACCGAAACCGATCAAACGCCAATATTTGTTTTTTTTTGACTTGCCTCAATAGTGTAATTATTGTGGATACTAATATTCAGAGCTTTATACTTGGTATTTCATTGTTAAGATAAAAATTGCAAGTGCGGCTGCAATACATGTTGGTTCTAATATCAAGTAAAAAGTTAATTTAGCAAACTCTAACTGGCCAAAAAAATTGTGCGACGGAATTCAAGAATTTATTGCGGCGATGGCCGCCAGATAAGAAACTGATTGAAGCAAAAGTCCGGACAAATTCAATCAGATGCGCGGAACTTGGTGTCTTTGGGCATTTTTGAAGTCCGAGTGTTGTCCATGCTATGTATCATTACGACAAATTGTTTCTATTGAATGAGGTGCGCATAGTTTGCTACAGAGGGATGAAGAAATACGTAATTTGTCACACTTTTTATGGAATTTGCAGCAGCATGAGCGTCAAGGAAATTAATGAGTTTATACAATGCAATGTGCTGCTTAAATGACATCTCTCTGCATCGTCTGTTGCAGTCACCATGTATTATTATTTATTCAACTTAAACCTCAGATACTTTTACTCCCAAGTGCCCTTTGTTCAGCTGCGGCGATAGAGCGACATATATGCATACATACAAGCTGCGCAGAGCTCTGCTGACCCGCGCTTTCCACAACCGATCAAGCAAGTGCTTAGACACATGGATCGGTGGCGCCGGGTCATGAGTTCGGGAATCCATATGCCATGCGCCAACCAAGTGTTCAATTGAGCGCAAACTCCGAAGTGTTGCAAATAAAATTGGAAGGGAAAGGCCGGCATTGAGTTTGACCATCTCTGAAGTGCCGCTGTCTCATTGACAAGCCTTGCTTGTCGTTCTTGACCATGGCCGCAATGCTGAGTCCCTTTTTCCGCGCTGGCGTTATTACAGCGGCTGATGATGGCACATATTGTTATCAGTACGGTTGAATTGATGGCTCCCAGTGCAACAAATTAACTGTTAGTTTGCCTTTTGTTGGGGGATCCAAAAAGTGCAGCGTCAATATCTGAAGCGGCGACAAAAGAGGAGTAATAAATTATTTTGTTTTCGTTTGTTTTTGGCATCAACGGACTACGGACCACATAATAAACCTAGGCTCGCAAGTGCAAAAAAACAGCGAAAAAGGAAATCCACCCTTCAGAACGTCTTGAACGCCGAGTTGCACACTCGAAAAATAGTATGCGCACGCTCGATTTGCTATATTTTGTTCTGACCATTGGAATCCGCAAAACGATTGGTTGGAATCTCGCGCCCAACACCCCTTATTTTTCCAAAATTTCTCGATTTTGCCCACACACATGGCTGCCCTCTGCTCATCACCCCTGAGAAGGGGGGCAAGCAGCCCACCCCCATCCACTTTTTTATTGGCTAATTGAACAAAGCACAAGAAGCACCCGAGCGCACAAGAGAGCCGAGCAGCTGTCTGTTTTTTGGGCGCGCTTGGCCGTGGGCAGCAAGACCCAAAAAGCGCAATTCCTATTGCGCTTTTCCTTTATTGCCCGCAGGGGAGGGAAGAGGGAAGAAAGCGGGTTTCCTCGCAAACAGTCACCCTATTGTCGCATTTTTCTTCGCTGGTTAAAGTGCGGGCAAAGGGCAGCGGGCAATGGTGATAGGGTAGGATAACAAACAAAGCCAGCCCAAAAACTCAGTCATCCAGTCCTACACAGCAGCAGCAGAAAAGATCGATTTTGAAACGCCTTTCAAGCCCTCTTTGCGTTCTTTTGTGTGTGTAACAAAGTGAATTGTTTATCGCCCGGAAATCTCGCCGCTTATTTCCAAATGTGCGAAATCGTCAGCCGGGCGATATAAAAGACCGGGCATCTGCTCCAAACCTTTCCGTCCAGCGCCTTTTTCTCAAAATCCACCCTTCCTTTCCTATTATTCATAGAGTTAGTTGTCATTGCGTCGTATATTTTGTTCTTCATATTGACATGACCTTGGTGCTTGCGAGCCTTTTTTAAGCACAAGTAATTACTAGTTTCATCTCTTAGAATTCCAACTCGTCCCCCCCTCTTTCCTTATTATCTTTAGTCTAGCCGCACGCTAATACTTTTTCCCAGTCCCTTTGTTTTTTTTATATTACCTTGTGTGATTTGAAGACTCCAGCCGGATCTTGAGAGTATTTATTTTTTATAGACCGCAGCGCTTGCTCTTTCTTCCCTACGCAACTGCTATTTATTTTTATATATATTTTTACCCACCTTTCTTTTATAGCGACTTGGCACGCCCTTATTTTAATTGCCCTAATTAGACGTCATTTGCTCAAACATGAGTGACGCACCAAAAGAAGTGCCGCCGAGCACAGGCGCTTCCGAAGACGTGACTACCCTCAACGTTGACCCCAACACCCTGACAGTCGCGGATCTCTACGACAAGGAGAAGTTTGACCTCGAGACCATGGACAACCGTCTTGTCTTCCAGCTGCTGCAGTGCAGCCCCGAGGGTCTGTCCCAGAGCGAGGCCGAGCCCGTATCACCAAGGTAAAGTATCACACGAACGTTTTGGTTTTGCCCATGTCCTGTCTTGCCATTTGTAATTCACACATTGTTTTTTTTGCTCACGCGTGGGCTATCTTCGCGGATGCACACAAATCCGATTATCCCGCCTGACTATTTTTCAATGCCCTGCGATTTTCATATGCACTCTGACTTCATTGCTTGAAATGAATTTTTTTTACTCTTTTGGTCCAAAGTGTGCATCTTTCTTTTTTTGCTTCTTTTCCATGCTCGATTGCAAAATCTGACACTTCTAGATTGCTTCTTTTTACGTCGCCTTGTGCAACGCTCTAAGCAAACATAGCAGTAGCAGTGATTGAGATTAATTTAGTATTGCCACAATCTCAGGAATCCTTCTGCTTTACCCTTCTGCAATATTTGGCAAACAATTGTTTAATTCTAGATTTTGCTTTGTTGATGTCCGTATATGTGTTGTGCCACACTTTTGCAGATTTTATGCTCTATTACTCGGGGCTTTTTTCTTGTTACACAAACAAGGCAGTGATGGTGCGACACTATCGTTACCATCATCGGCCATGTCTATTGCGCTATGCACTTGTGCTTATTATGTTCTTCGATGCCAGTGCTGATCTCATTAATCAGTGGCATCGGTCCGGGAAGCTCTTGTACTACACCTGCCCCCTTATTTATTTACTGCACATTATTTATTTGTGAACCATACTGTTATACTGTTGCACACACACCACACACACGCAGCCCTTTTGTCAAGATGCGTCATATGAGTACAGTAATTTTGTACTAAACTTTTTTCCCGCCATGTGTTTTTTATACTTTGCTTCTATAGTTTGGCGAGAACAGACTGCCCCATAAGAAGGTCAGCCCCATCATCCAGTTCCTGTCCTTCATGTGGAACCCCCTATCATGGGTTATGGAGGCCGCCGCCCTTGTTGCTATTGTTCTTAGCAACGGACAGGGCATGCCCCCGGATTGGCAGGATTTTGTTGGTATCGTTCTGCTTTTGATTGGTAACTCTTGCATTGGCTACTACGAGGAGCGCGGTGCCGGTAAGGCTGTCGAGGCCTTGATGGCCGCCCTCGCCCCCCAGTGCACGGTCAAGCGTGACGGCAAGTGGGTCACCATGGAGGCCGCCAACCTTGTCCCCGGAGATATTATCTGCATCGGTATCGGAGACGTCGTCCCCGCTGATTCCCGCATGGTTGTCGCTAACAATGTCAAGATCGATCAGGCTGCTCTCACCGGTGAATCTCTGCCCACCAGCAAAGATGCGGGTGATGAGGTTTTCTCTGGCTCGACTGTCAAGCAGGGCGAGGCCGAGGCCGTCGTCATTGGTACTGGTTTGAACACCTTCTTCGGTCGTGCTGCGTCTCTGGTCGCTGGTGCCAACGAGGGCATGGGCCATCTGCAGCAGGTTCTCGCTCAGATCGGTAACTTCTGCATCTGCTCCATTGCTATCTTCCTGGTCGCCGAGATCTTTGTCATGTATGCCGGCTTCAGATTCCGGTATCGTCGCGGTATGAACAATCTTCTTGTGTTGCTCATTGGTGGTATTCCCATTGCCATGCCCACTGTCCTGTCAGTCACCCTGGCCATTGGTGCCAAGCAGCTCGCTGAACACAAGGCCATTGTCACCCGTATCTCTGCCATCGAGGAGCTTGCCGGTGTTACCATTCTGTGCTCGGACAAGACCGGTACCCTCACTCTCAACGAACTTACCATCAAGACCGAGGCTGTCAGACAGTACTCAGAGATCAGTATCGATGATATCTCCTCTTCTCCGCCTATGCCTCCCGGGTCGAGAACCAGGATGCCATCGACAAGTCGATCGTCGAATCGCTGCACGACACTTCCCTTGCTCGCAAGGGCATTGAGATCCTTGACTTTATTCCGTTCAACCCTGTCGACAAGCGTACCGAGGTCACCTACCGCCGTCTGTCTGACAACACTGTTCACCGCGTGTCCAAGGGTATGAGTCAGATCATCCTTGAGCTTTCTACCCGCGATATGTCTGCTGATGTCAAGGCACAGCTTCACAGGGATGTCGATGAGTTTGCCCAACGTGGTCTGCGTGCCCTGGCTGTCGCCGAGGAGTCTGTCCCCTCCGGCGTTGTGACGGCCCGGGAACTGGCTTCCGTCTTGTCGGTCTTCTGCCCATCTTCGATCCCCCCCGTCACGATACCAAGGAGACCATTGAGCGCGCTATCGGCTCGGTGTCCACGTCAAGATGATCACTGGTGACCAGCTGGCCATTGCCAAGGAGACTGGTCGCGAGCTCGGCATGGGTGACACCATGTACAAGGCCTCGATCCTCAACAAGCCTGATGAGCTCGCTGGTATTGCCAACTCAGTTGATGAGCTGGTCCTGCGCGCCGACGGTTTTGCCGGTGTCTACCCCGAGCACAAGTATGAGATTGTCGAGCGCCTGCAGAACCTTGGCCACATGGTTGCCATGACTGGTGACGGTGTCAACGATGCCCCTGCTCTCGCCAAGGCCAACGTCGGTGTCGCCGTTGCTGACGCATCCGATGCTGCCCGCTCTGCCGCCGATATTGTCCTTACCGAGGCCGGTCTTTCGACCATCATTGAGGCCTTCTGCACTCGCGTATCATTTTCCAGCGCATGCGCAACTACGCCATCTACACCTGCGCCGTCACTGTTCGTATTGTCACCACCTTCTCAATCCTCGTTTTCGCCTTCAAGTTTGACTTCCCCCCGTTCATGGTGCTTATCCTGGCCATCATTAACGACGGAACTATGATGACCATTTCGACCGATAACGTGAGACCCTCCAAGGGCCGAATCATGGAACCTGAAGGAGATTTTCTCTTACGCCATCGTCTACGGCTGCTACCTGACCCTGACCACGCTGATTTCTTTGTTGTCATTGACAAGACCAACTTCTTCCAGCGCCACGGATGCAAGCCCCTCACCAACCACAACGACTTCAGCCTTCACTCGATCATCTACCTGCAGGTCTCGATTCTGTCGCAGGGTCTCATCTTCGTCACCCGTGCCCAGGGATTCTTCTTCACTGAACGTCCCTCGGTCTTCCTCTGCTGCGCCTTTGTCATTGCGCAGTTCGTCGCCACCATAATCACTGTGTACGCCAACTGGGGCTTCACTGAGATCAGAGGTGCCGGATGGCACTGGGCTGGTGCTGTCTGGATCTGGGATATCGTTTGGTTCATTCCCCTTGACTTCATCAAGTTCGGTATGGCCGCTATTCTCGAGCGCTACGCCAAGGCCCACAACCCTCCCGCTCCCGGCATGCCCGTCACCGAGGAGGAGGTCCACCTTGCTCGCCAGCGCACCCGCATGTCCATGGATGCTGCCCAGCACGTCACTCGCATTTCAACCATCCCGTCCCGTGGTGCCTCGTACTATGCTCCTAACTTGCAGGATACCATTTCGGGTCGCCGCAACTTTGGCAGTCGTGTCAAGAACTTGATCACTAAGTCGGGCAAGCACATCGGCATGGACAACCATGAGCTGCGCCGCCTCCAGAGCACCCAGGCTCAGGCTGCTTCTCGGATTCTGACTAGCGACAAGTAATATCGTTTTCTTATTTTTCATTATATTTCTTATCCCTGTTTTTTTCATATTATACTGGTGTAAATGGATTTAGAATTTCCAGACATTTTATAACGAAATTCTAAATTTTTAATGGGGTTTCAAAACCTGTTTTCATCCAGATTTTTTAAAATGCGGGGAAGTATTTAAACTTTGCGTCTGACTCGTGCTTTGGTTATGGGTTAAGCGTGACGATTAATGGTGTAATTATATTTTTGATTTTTGATTTGAAAAAATTTTTTGGAATTTATTTGCATTTACTGAATTAAATAATAATAATAAAATAATAAATAAATTCTAAATAAAATGCAGGCTGCGGATCTGCCAGGCGCACTGGTACCGGAGCCAGCACCCATATAATAACCGGGTTTGCTACGGGTGACCAATGCTAATGCCAGTGGACGTAGCAGATCCAGTTATGATGGGCAATCTTGGTGTAGAGCTCAAGTTAAAGTGGCAGCAGCAAGATGAAGACAAGCGCAAGGCAAAGTGTATGATAAAATAACAGCGGTGAGTCCAAGGCAAAATGCAAGACGGAAAAACAACGGTGGCAGAGAAAAGAGAAAAGATAACAGCGCGAGCATATGGCAGTGAATCAGCGGCAATGATGATAACAAGTACAAATACAAGTAAAAGTACAAAGCCAATTTTGTCTATAATATGAAAATTACAATAAAACTGCTAATATTACTTACTAAACAAAACAACGTCAAATAAGGGTATAAAATTGAAAATTGAAAATGAATGAGGAAGATAAAGCGTGAGAAGCATGTCTTATCTCGTGGGCGCGAATTCTAGTATTTTTACTCTCACAATTTGCATCATTATTGCCATTTTATTTCCCTGCATTCTTTTCAGCAGGCAATTGATCCAATTATTTAACACGTATGTACTAGCTAACAAACAATTTATTCGCAAAGTCAAAGTTAAAGAACAGTAGAAATGAAGGATAATATTTCAATTTATCATTAATTGCTAATGGATATTCTGACTACGGCGCATAGTCGATTGCTTTAAAGGTTATTGCATTTGTTTTATATTTATGTTTGCCTTATTTATTGAGTTAATCAATATTTTATTTATGAAAAGGCATGCAAACTAAACATTTTATTTATTTGATTCGCATTAGGACGCTATTTAACCCGGCATGCCTTAAAATATATTACTAAAAAATAGGAAAGTCATGATCAAATGAGTAATGATTAGCATTGTTGCACAAACTGAAGATATGGAAGTGATGTCGAGGTTGAGAATCGTGAAACAAGTTCCATCTGCATATCGATTGATAGGGAACTAATTGGATATGCAGGCGTAAATTAGGGAGGCATACATTGATGGCCAAACATGCTCCCCATTTTGCAATTCACACGCGTAAGTGAACACACACGAAACTACAACACTGACTTGCCAAGATACCGGTCTGCCCGCAGAAGAACCAGTTCTTGCCAACAGAGTGCACAATTGGCAATGTGCACAACAAAGGCGACGGGCACATATATAAGACGAGGCGGCGCTAGTAGTACTTTAGAAACATTAGTAATAAAAACTTTTATAAATTCATGCCCCACATCTTTAACGCTACTACCGTAGTGCTCCTTACACATACCCCTCTTACATAACAGAATTCTGATTTGCATACATGGTTCTACAGGATTCTATGTTTATCGTTGGGGGTATTTAAACCGCCATCTTGTTCTTCCGAAATAGAATCCGCTTTTCTTAAACCCAATCTTATAGTATAATAAATGTTTTTAGTACTGTTGCTATTTTCCAGTATTTTTTTCATCACCAATTAAGGATGGCGAAAAAGTGCCATCAGGCAGACGGAAGTGGAATCGTGACATGGCTGTAGTGCTGAACTTTTGCATCATACTTAATGCCCTACTTACAGGCAATCGTCCTCCCCGTTTCTTGCGCAAGAATCCACCTGCACCTGCTTCTTCTCTTCAAAAGAAGCAGCAAACTGATTAATATCGTCAGCCATAGTGGTCTATTGCCACTAGTTTCTAAACACCTTTTAGGCTGCTATTCAATCTGTGGGAGGGGTATCGATTTGCAGGATACCTGTAGCTTCATTCTTTTCTTTGGTGTAGTTACTTATTTTTACATAGATTTCCCTATTATCTTTCAACTTACTAAACACGCACAATACCTCAAAAATTACATTTAGAATATTGTGTGTAGTAAGGTGAAATATTCGAAGAACCAACTCGAATAGATTAACAATGAAAATACACTCGATTATGCTGCTGGATACGCTCCACAATGAGGAACCCTATCTTCTAACTTTAATGTGTCCTCTGATATGCTCCCCAAAATTTCCTGTATTATTAGTTTATACAAAAAATTTAGTGTCAAAAAGAGGTGTCGTGAGTGAGTATTTACTGTGCTTGGCCTGGCTGGACCGGTCCCGCTGCATTGTTGCTCTGCTGCATGCGCGCATGATGCTCCAGGACCCGGTGCAGGAGCTGACGGTGTTCTGCGGTCAGCTGTGACTGGGCATTCTGCAACAGATAAATAATCACCTGCAGAGGAAGCAGCGTTGGGTTGATCTGACCGGACGTGATTTGCTGCAGGAGCATTGCTGTGTTGATCTGGGGCGGACGGGGCGCGGCTGCCTGTTGCTGCTGGTGTTGTTGCTGCATCTGTTGCATTCTCTGTAGCAACTCCTGTCGATGCTGGGGGGTCATGTTAGCCAGTGTCGCTTGCTGCAATAAAAGCTGCTGCCCGGCCGAAAGCAAGCCGGGCGCGTTGGCAGGCGCAGGTGTGGGGCTGCCCATCAAAGCTGACATTGGCGCTTGGTGCGCTTGGTGCGCCTGAGTAGCTATGCCGCCGGGCTGCGACGGGAGAGCCATCGGCGACTGCATCGACACAGCGGCAGAGCTTTGAACAGCCATGTTTCCGGATGCTGCCATCGCCATATTCCGCTGCTGCTGTTGAAGTTGTTGCTGCTGCTGGAATAAGTTGACAACAGCCTGCTGGTTGAGCGGCGGCCCTGGGTTCTGCACCTGTCCAGCAGCGGCGTTCTGGTTTATAGCACGCTGCCTTTGCATCATGATCTCGATAAGCCGGGCCTTATCCTGCTGCGACATATTCGCCAAGTCGGGCGGTAACTGCATATTTGCCATTGCCGGAGTCTGACCGGCGGTAATCGCAGCGCCAGGCGGAAGCGAGTTGACTGGCACCGGCGAGTTCTGGCTGAGGCGTTAGCTTGCATTGGCTGCGGCTGATGCGGCATCCCGATATTTACAAGTCCGTTGGGACGGATTTGGCCGGCGCCAGCGGCCATCTGCTGCTGTTGCTGCTGGGCGTTCAAGCCTTGCATCCGCGTCATAATCAGGCTCCTGAGCTCGCCAGACTTGGCCTTAGCCACAAGCACGATCAGCCGTGGGTCCTGGGCACCTAGTATCTGCAGGCCAAACAGGCGACAATACTGCTGGACAAGCAGCATCTCCTCAGGAGTGGCCTGCAGCTGCTGCAAATGCTGAAGCTGCTGCATTTGTTGCCGTTGCTGCTGCTGCTGTTGCTGTTGCTGTTGCAGCAATGCCGCATTTCCATTGAGCGTCGCCGGGCGCACATTCGGGCTGGTCAGCATTGGGTTTGCGTTGGGGGTCTGCACAGGCGTGCCAAGATTTGCAACCGGTGCAGGTGAAGCACCTGCACCCGCAGCCATACCGGTGTTGTTCTGCGTTGTCTGCACCATTTGGGCGGCTGCGGCAGCCATATTAGGAGAAATCCCTGGGCGCACATGTGGGGATCCCATCGGACCCAGATTACCCGCGTTTTGAATGCCTTGCTGCTGCATTCTTTGCTGAACGGCCATTCGAGCTATCTCGTTCCGAAGCATGGTCGTGTACTGAGGATTGGCATGCAGATATTCCTTGGTAAGGAATTCGGGCAGCTCCATCCTAAGCCCGCCGTTCGCCTGCGCCATGCTTGTCAGTCGTGCATTCAGCTGAGCCATAGCGATCTGGGCCATTTGCATAGGCAAACCGCCAGGAGCCGGGCTCTGCAAACCAGGTGGCGACTGCATAATCGGAGGCCCAGCAGCAGCAGTGGCAGAGACAGACACAGGGAGAGGTGTACCTGTGACATGCAACATCGACGGCGATAAAAGCAGGTCTGCACCAGCGCCATTGGCCATGGGTGCCGATCCTGACATCTCCAGGTTCTGAGACAAATTTGCTTCATTCTCAGCGGCGGCATTGGAGTTGAGCCTAGTAAGGTTATTGACACCAACATCAGCGCCAGCGCCAGCGCTGGTGGGGATCAGCGGCTGGCTGGCGGTGGGTGACTGCACCGCCTCGGCGTCCGGCTGCGACGCGGCAGCTGGATTGCTGGCGCCCTTTGCAGCTGCAGTCTTTGGCTTTGCCCGTGACTTCTTCTCCTTGGGGGCCGGCGTCTTGCGCGTGCCCTTTGCGCCTTTCTTTTCTTTCACAGCCAACGCATTTGTCTCTGCAACTGTGGCTGGGTCGGCGAGCGGTTCTTCCGTCTGAGCCGGAGCTGGAGTTGAGGCTGGTACTGGCTCTGGTTCTGGTACCAGTGCTGCAGTTGCAGCAGCCGCCGCAGCAGCCGCCGTCTTTAGTTTGGCTGCCGACTTGCTCCTCGCTGACACCGGCTTGGCTGGCGCAGGCAATGCCTCCTTTATCAATACTGGTTCCAGAATAGGCATTGCGTCCACAACAGGCTCGGACACTTTGTTTTGAATCGGCAGCTCGGGGGTTGGTGACCCCTTGTCAGACACAGCAGATGCCTTTTTCGCTGTCGCTTTGCCCTTCTGACCCGTCTCCTTGGTAGCCCGCTGGACGCCCGCTGCAGGTTTTGCCTTGACAGTCTCAACCTCGGGCTCGACGCTCGCGCTAGCGCTGGCACGATTGCCAACTTTTCTTCCTTTTGGCTGGGGCGAGTTCTTGCGAGAGCCGCGCGCGCTGTTCTTAGCGACCGACTCCTTGGCCTTGGGCAACTCGGCCTTGGCCACAACGGGCGAGACGGGCAGAGTCGAAGCAAGAGTGTTTGCCGTGGTGACAACTGGCGATGTTGCCTCGGACTCGATCGTTGGCGATACCGCGGTGGAGTCGGGAACGGCAACAGACATGTTCGTTGAAGTGGACAGATGGTTCTGAGGAATGCTGGGGGACGTTGTCGAGTCTGGGGGCGGGTCGGCGGTGGGGATGCCGTTCGGGTACACAGAGTCGTAGATCAGTCGGTTGTTCTCGATGCTCAACAGAAGCTTAAAGTTATCGATATGCATGCGCATGATGTCCTCGTTGGGAACGAAAACACCTTACTGCCGCCATTGATTGACGTATCGGGCAGCGTTCCCCAGCGCATGATACCCTGCAGCCCCTTTCCATCCGGGAGCTCGGCGACATGGAACACTGTGTGGGTGGACCGCCCATTGATCGTCTGGACAAAGCGCAGCGTGCGGATGACCTTGCGCCCGTCTGCAAGAAGGGACACCTGACTGCGATTCTTCTTGTTCGACGCCTTCTTTCCTGTCGGGGCCACGGGCACGGCAGCAGGATAGACCTCGGCATCGTTGACATATTTTTTGTGCCGCCAGTCGTTAACCTGTGAGACGCGGTTGAAGCTGGGCTGGAACTCGCGGGTCTTCCTGTCATCCATCAGCGTCAGCAGCTTGAGCTTCTCCTCGCGCTCAGCCTTCTCGGCCTCGATCTCGGCCGAATTAACTTGCGCCGCTTGCGTGGCAGGAGGTGCTCGTACTCGATGTAGCGGATGGCGTTGCTCACGCGGCTGACCTGGAAGTCCGGCTCGAGGTCAAGCGGCTCCTCGACTGCCAGCAATATCATTCCCTCCATCTCCAGCACGTCGTTATGTGACAGCTTTGTCCGGCTGCGCTCGCATGCCAGCTGAATGTCGAGGTTGACGGTCTCGGACGTTGGCCGCATGACCTTTTTGTACACCTTGCGCCATCTGCGCCTTGGGGGCAATCTGCGGTCGTGCCCACGCAATTGTTGGTTGGCAATTCTGCGTGGCTATTGATCCGGGCTCTGGAACCACGTGTGCTGGCAATGAGGTTGGCGAATGCGTCTGTGCGGCCGGCCGCAACGAGTTGAAATTCGGGACTCCGCCAAAAAGCGAGCTTGTAAGGAGTTCTGTGACGCGCTGCTTCTTTGCCTTTGGCTCTAGTGCCGGCCGTCGATGGTCGCGCACCTCGACAATGAGGCAGCCCTCGTAGTACCGGCAGTTGACCTGCGTAAGCACATCGACCAAATCAATCGGTATTTTGCCCTCGTTCAGTGCCTGGAAGAAGAACCGCATCGGCCCGTTGTACAAAAACACGCCCTCCTGCCCCTCAAAGCGAAAGTGCGAGTCGAACAAGTGCAGTGTTAGCGACGGCTGCTCGTCCTTGTACCGCTCTAGCATGTATGTGTCACCAATGTGGACCCGTGTCCGCGCACGCTTTCTTTGCAAGATGCTGGCGCTACTTTCCCTGTTCGGGACTGTGTGCGCGGCTGTGTTAAAGCTGGAACCTCCAAGCCCGGTCTGGATCGCTTCAAAGTCAAATTCGACAGCCTCAAACTCGTCGTCCGAGGCCGAATCATCGTCGATTAGTGTGTTCGTGCCATTTGCCGAGGGGTGTGAGCTAGCTGCGTTGGGATTCTCTGGCGGATCCTCAAAGTCAATATCGAAATCATCGTCGTCGCTATCAGCAGCACTGCCGTCGCCAAAAAGATCAGCGTCGACCCCGTCGTCATCGTCGTCGTCGCTTTCCAAGACTGGATCATCCTCATCGTCATCATCGTCTTCGTCCTCATCGTCGTCGTCGCTGAACTCAGTGACTGCACGGTCGCCGACAGCGCTGGTACCGGTCGCCGATCTGGAGTCGCCAAACAAATCGGAGGCATCGTCGAGCTCGTCGCCAAAAAGGTTATCGATCGAGGCACTCATTTCGTTTTCGAGCTCCTGCTGCAACTCCTCCTCAAAGTCCATTATCGAGTCGTCGTCGTCCATATCGGGCGACACTGACGAGGATCGGGAAGCGGTCATGTGTGATGTGTCTCTTTGGTTGCGATGCGCCTTTATGGATGACCCGCTAACCACACTCGCAGACATTGTCCACCGGATGTGAGCGGATGGGCAAATGTGTGTTTTGTTGGTGCTGATGCTGGCGGTGGTGGGGAGGACCTGGCCCTATGTAGTTGACAATTGAAATATGTATGAACAGAATGCAAGCAATACAAAAATCTGTGGTTATTAGTGATGCTTGTAGTTATCGTAGTTGTGTTATAGGCAATGAGCCATATGTGAACCACTCTTAATACAGATTGGGGGGGGGGCACTGTACTAGTGACTTGGGCGCAAGCAGCAAGTAGCAAAGAAAAATCTGTTAAGGACGGCCCCTGCATAGTTGATAAAAAGGCAAAGTCTAATGCTCCGGCATCAACATGAAGCGTACCTCGTCCGGTGGTGTAAGATATACCGCTGGTAATTTGGATAGAGAGCGAGCTTAAATGCGAAAACCCTGTCCGCGTCCAAAATATGCCTGTAACAATAAGACGAGAAATAAGTATAGCCGTGGTTTTGATAAACTAAGGGCCAATTCGATATTGCGAAATGGTGAGCACGGAGGAAGAGAAAAAACTGCGTGAATGTTCCTCGTGCCAAGCCTTATTGTTAACTTTGGCCGACCAATTGAGCGAGCCAATGAAGCGAATAAAATGAAACAGAATGCTTGACGCGTGACGTGGTCGGTTTTTTAGCGATAAAAAGAAGTATTAAGTGAATGAACAAAAATGAGACTTGATAATATACAAAGAGCGAAAATAATAATAAAGAGGTTGGTTGTCTTTTTACGAAAAAAATGGAAAGGAGAAAATGGTTTACGCGCGTTTCTGACCCCAGGCCAAATGACAAGAATAAATAAAAAGGATTAAATTCAAAGAAAAAAGAACAATAATTGAATTGCAAAATTATATTTTGAATTGTTTTTGGTTTGCCCTAACTGCTAGCCCTCACTTGCTCCAAAGCTGGTTCCGACACAGGTATATTGTGACAAAAAAGGTGGGTTTAATGTAAAAGTGAGCAAAAAAAAAGTGAGCAAAACAATTAAAAAATAAAGTAAAAAATAATGCTATGCACACAAATTTAAAAGAGTGAAGAAAAAGTCAATACCAAAGGGTCGTCTCTTGAAGCAAAAACTGACAAAAATTAATACAACTCAAAAATCCGAAGAGTAAAAAAGGAAAAATGTAAAAATAAAAAAGTCGAAAGCAGGGCCAATTTAAATGCGCGTGCCTACTTTTTTTTTTAATTTTGGTGCTTTTTAACTGTTTTTTTCTGCTTTGGCTTCTAAATCCCCGTCCGCATCTGCGTCTGCCGATTGCCGAGTAAGTTCTTCTGGCATTTTATTTGCGCTGCTGCTGCGAATAAAACTTGTTTTCCAGCGTGGAGGGGAATAAGAATACCAAATGATAATTTACACTTTTGTGATAGTTTGTCCCCTCTCAGCTGGGCGCTCGCATCTTTACACTTTGGTAGCAAGAGTAACTACTGATAGAGGGCAGCTCGCAGTCGACTGATAAATGGAGTGAAATTTATGTAAATATTTTTATATCGCAAAAGGGTGCTGTTGTGTAAAGGCAAAGAGATATATATTTTTTAGATCTTGTGCTTCTTCTCTTCGGCCTTGGCGTAGTCAAGCAGCGAGAGACAGCCCCCTGCACGCTCGAGTGGTGATGGATCTGGAGCCAGTGCAGCTCATACAGACAGGTGGCAAAAGGATTGCACATGTCTGGGTCATCCATCTCCTTCAAGTACAGGCCGCTGCCAGCCTGCTCCTCGGACGAAAACAGCGGTCGAGCGTCGGGTACTTGATAACAGGCGGTGGACAAACTCAATCGCCTTCACCGCGGTCTTGGGCGGCCAGTAGAGCGCGCACTCACAGAGTCGCTTGCAGTAGGACGCCACGCGAATCATAGATGAGACCTTGGTCCGGCCCAGGAACATGAGCTCGAGGCACTCGAACATCAGGTCGGACTCGCTGCGCACAGTCTCCTCCCACATAGCCTCGTCCAACTGGGTGTCAGTTCCGACCGGCGCGACGTTCCCGACTTGGCCTCGCGCTGCAGAACAATGCGCGTCGCGTTGGCGGCGGCAACCTCGGCAGGCGTCAGATACACCGTGTACCGTGTGCCATCGGACATGGTCGACATGCGCGTGGCCTCGATCTGCGGGTTGGTGCCAAGCGGCGGGATCAGCGCGTAGAGCTGGTAGAAGAAGTCCTTGAGATCTAAGTTGAGTGCCTCGCCCTGGCCCGTTAGGATATGCAGCGCCGTGAGGATGCACAGCAGCGATGTGCGCAAGCCGACGCGCGACGACACCAGATCGGAGGCCTCGCTGACAGACTCAGTGACCAGGGCCTCCTCAGCGCCGACGCCGACGCCGTGCTGGCCGCGCATGATCCTCTTGAGCAGATGGAACAAGTCGACAAAGAACTCGACGCTGATCAGGTGCGCGTACTTGGCCAGACCCTCGAGCACGGCGGGAAGCAGACCGCCAATGTTGTCCTTCTGCTTGAGAATGCGGAAGTACGTGATGAATACCTGCTTGAGCGTCTCACCGTACCACCGCTCGCGCTCCTCGCGCGACACCTCGGCCTCAGCCACGCGCATAGACTTCTCGACTTCCTGTTGCACCTTGCGTGCACGCACCTGCTTCTTGGACTCGTGCATCGCGCGCTTGGCCTCTTTGAGTGCGGCGCCACCCTTGTTGCGGCGCATAGCCTTGCGCTTCTCGCGCATATGCTCCTTGCGGCGCAGGTCCTCCTCCTTGCGCTTGCGGTCCTCGGGTTCTCGCGCAGTTCCTCGCGCAGACGCAGGTGCAACCAGGGCCGCAGCGCGCTGGGGTCGACGCGGTACGAGAGACGCTTGATCCGCTTGGACGCCAGGATCACGGCGTTCTGCGAGTACTCGCCAGACACGTCGTCGCGGAACATGCGCAGACGGCCAGGCGTGCTGTCTTGGCCATGGCGTGAATGCCTCAAAGTTGATGCGCGACGACGGCTGCACGTATATGTCCACCAGTGCAGCCATGATATCCTTGCGGAAGTTAAAGTGCGGGTGCGCGTTGGTGAGGTCGCCCAGCGCGCGGGTGGCAATGATGCCGGTCGCGATATCGGCAGTCTCATCGTTGAAGATCTTCATGGCGCGCTTGACGGCTGTGAACAGCTGCTTCAAGTACGCGCTGTAGTTCTTGACGAGGCTCTCCTCGTGGATGCGCTGCTGGCGCACATCGCGCGTCACCTTCATCTGCATCTCCTTCTCGGTCAGCTCGCGAATGCGGTAGTCGGGAAGAATATCGCAGTACACTGCGAGCTGCGTGAGTATACCTAGCTGCTTGACCTTGGGGTCCTCGTCCTCGCTAACCTCGTTGAGCATCCGCAGGGCCTTTGAGCTGCCCTCGGGGTTCTGCATGACAAGGTCGGCGAGTCCAGCCAGCCGGTTCTGCTGCGCGACAATGTACTGCTTGCGCGTCATCAGATCACGATCGGGCGCCTCGCTCAAATCAAGTCTCTCTGCCTCAGCGATTGCCGCAGCACCCATCGAGCTCTTTCTCGACGCGGGCTCCTCGTCAGAGTCGGAGCCGGAGCTAGAACCCAAATCAGAGTCGGACTCAGAGTCGTCATCGTCGGATCCAGCGTCCTTGCCGTCTTGGGCAGTGGCAGCCTCGTCGTCCTCATCGCTTTCATTGCCACTCTTCTTATCTGCAGCCTCGTCGTCATCCGAATCGTCGACGTTGAGCAGGCGACCGTCAGCGGTTTTGATGGGAAGCTTGTCTGATAGCTTGACCTTCTTCTCGAGCAGCCCAAATGACGGGTGTGGCCCTCATAATCCATTGCGCCCTCCATCATGGTTTTGCGCTTCTGTGCGCGGCGCGACTTGCTGTTCTGGAAATCATAATCCTTGGAAGTGTCCTCCAGCTCCTTTTCCTCGCTGTCTTCATCACCGCTATCTGCGTCACTCATGCTTTCAGCCTCAATGTCGTCTTCGTCGTCGTCCTCGGAATCTGTGAGATCCAGGTCTTCCAAAAGGTCCTCAGCGTCATCGTCGCTACTATCAGCCTCTTCGTCCTCGCTAAACACCTCCAGGTCAGAATCGCTGTCCTCGGCCACGAGGCCCATGTCGTCTTCGGATTCCGACAGATCGGTGGGGGCGGGGACATTGGACTTGGACTTGGAGTTTGCGCTGTAAACCTTCTTCTTGACCTCTTTGGTATGTTTGCAAGCTTTTCAGGGTTTAGCGACTTCAAGAAGCTAATGTTTTGGGCGTTCTCTTTCACGAACTCCAAGTCGTCGTCGTCAACCTCCTCGTCAGATGACTGCGCGGGGCAGTCGATGGTAGGCACGATAGGTGCTGATTTGCCGTTCTTCTTTGTCAACAATTGTGACTTGCTGCTGTCCTTAGACTTGGGGTAGACGTGGGGCTTGGCCTGGGGCTTGGCCTTTGCACCCGCGGCAGCTGTGGACTTTCTCTTCACCATGACGGTCTGTATCTGTTATTTTTGACTGCTGCTGCAAAGCGAAAAGTGAATGCTAGGGATAAATAGAATGTATGTGGGATTCGACAAAATAGACAAGTACAACGAGAGAAGAGACACTTGGCGAAATAAAGCTGAAGACTGGGTAAAAGATATGCTAAAAACGCAGTAAATAACGACTATAGTCGGATCATATTTTTTTTGCTTTTGACTGAAGAAAAAAAAAGTCGAATCAACAAATCATCATTCTTGATGATCAGCGCATACTGGCGGGATCCACAAAAATCTCGACGGATTTTTGATCCGTTCTCAGCAAGTAGGTGAGCTGCGCACGATAACGCCAATATACAGCAGTGTGATTTGTGCGTTACAGACTTGGGCCAGCCTGCCAAAAATAAATAAAAATTAAAACTTGCCATTTGTCGCAAAAATGGCTGATAAACACCATAAAGTACCTTTTAATTGCCTTACTGCAATAAAAATAGCAGACAGATTACATGTGTAGTGGTCTACATACCAGAATTATTGATATAGTTCAAAAAATTGCCGGACTGGCGCAATTGGATAGCGCACCAGACTTCTACGCTTAGTGACGCTTTTAAAAAGCGTATTCGCTAACGCGGGTCATCTGGGGGTTGCGGGTTCGAATCCCGCGTTCGGTTATTATTTATTTTTGCATAATAATTAGTGTACGTGTATAGTGAAAATTTTGTTAGCACACAATTGCTTGACATGCGCGATCTACTGTGCTAGTTGCGCGTTTCAACACACATTCTGCCTTCACGTTTTTCTTTTTCCGTCTTTTGCTTATCCAAATATTATTTTTCTTCTCATTTGTCGACATTAACTAAACTTAATTTTATATTTCATTGTTTTTATTCTTTATTTATAAAAATGCAATTGAACACTCGCCTCGACCAGAGCTTGGACGACATTATTAGAGAGAACCGCAAGCAGCAGCCGAAGCCTGCTACGGCCCCTGCCAAGGCTGCGGCCAAGCCCAGGATCAAGAAGGCGACGGGAATAGCGAAGAGGCTTACTGTAACCAGCACAGGAGGTGCAGCAAACAAGCCGACAGTAAGTGATTGTCATAGTGTCAATGTGAATGTTTTATTTATTATTTATTTTTATTTGCATCTAAAATATTTAATTGTTATAATTGCCTCTTTTTTGCATGTCTTACACGCATGGTTCTTTTTATTTGCTAGAGGCGTGTCAATAATAAGGTGGCTGCAATCAAGACGTCTTCGCTGTCAAACAGGGCAAACAAGAGTGGAATAACCTCGCGGCTCGGGACTTCAGCGACGTCGGGCGTCAGAGGCCGGGTGGCATCGGGCAGAATAGGGGCGCAGGCCGGGCGTGTTGGAAAGGCCGGGCGTGTCACCGAGCTGGCCACTCGCGGTAAGGCGCCCGCACTGGACAGAAATAAGTCAGCAGCAGCCATAGCCCTGCGGCAGCGAATTGCCAAGGTGGCCGAGGCGCCCAAGAGGGTAACATTTCGATCAAGGGCGAGGCCGGACCAGCGACTATTTTCATTTCAAACCTTGACACGGAGGCATCGGCGGAGGACGTCAAGACGTGTTTCAAGCAGTTTGGCGCTATTAAGAACAGCACCCTTTTGTACGACCGTAATGGGAAGGCGTCTGGACATGCAGAGGTGACTTTTGCTGCGAAGACGGCGGCTGAGGAGGCGGCGGGGAAGCTCGATAATGTGCTGGCTGATGGCCGCCGGCTGTCTGTTAGGGTGATGCCAGTTGCGGCGACGGCCAGGGTGGGGCGCAGGCGGCTGGTGCGCATACGCATACGAGTGGGAATGCGCAGCTCGGCGGCGGCGCGTCATCTGGGTCTGCTGGTGCTGGCCGCAAGTCTGGCCGCAAGTTCCAGAGGCGGGGCCCCGGCAACAGGATGGATATCGACTGAGTATGTCTGTCGGTTCTTCTGTTTTTTTATCTCTCTCTTCTTTTCTTTTTGCATTCCTGCGAGCATCTGGGAGGCGTGTGCGCACGAAAGTGACAGCTCGGCTAGGATTTCCTTTCTTTCGTATCGAATAAATGTGCTTAACATGGGATCTGATACAAGCCATTGTTGATGCCAGAGTTGATGTTGGTTTCAACGTTGTCCTTGATCTTAAATTTGATTTTAGCTTTTAGTTTTGTAAAACTTTGATATTTTGTATGATTGTGATAGAAATGTGTGGTTGGTGTGTCTGGCGGGTGACAAAGAACGCGCGTACGGAGAAAAACCGCTTGTACTAATATATCCGCCGAATTCAATTTAGCATCTCTTGTCCAGAAAGACGAGACTCACAGAGGCAAAGAGCTTCGCTCCTTACTAGAGTGCTATAATCGTACGCTCCGGTTAAGAAGCGCACGATCGAGTATAATGTTACTGCATTTTCACGTCCGCGCCGAACCGCTTAGTTTCGTCCCAAATTGCGCCCCTGCTCAGTTTCAGGCATGCATCACGTGATATAGGAGTGCGAAAAAAGCACGTAGGCTTGTGTGTGGGAGGGATACAAAAGGCGGCAAAATTGCATATTTAGCTTTTTTTATCGCTCGTCCCTCTTTCGCACTTGCTTTTATAAGCTTTTTCACCATTATTTTTCCCTTTATACTACTATTATTTTTTCTTTTGCATTGGACATGTCTTCAAACACAGTTGACTGCCATTTTTTTATGACCGGCACCTGTCGCAACGGTGACCAATGTCCGTTCAGGCACAGCGAAGGCGCACGCGCCACGCAAGAAATCTGCGCAGCATTCAAGCAAACAGGAAAATGTTCTCAGCCAGACTGCGGCAAACGGCACATAACAGAGCCCAGCGCCCGGCCGGCCAAAACACCGAGCGAAGTGCCGTGCAGATACGAGGAAGCCGGCGGAAAATGTACCCGGACCGATTGCATTTACAAACATGCGGCTAAATTGCCGGCGGCTGGTACGCAGTTGACAAAGGGGGCGCGCGGGGGGTTTACAATGAACGCTGGGGCAAGGTCGTTTGTGCCAAGAGCAAAGACTGTGGTTGTACAGCTGCGGCTGCTGATACACAAGGGAATCGTCGGATATGGAGTGGACGCCGGCTGATACTCCGCCAGCCCAGGCTCAGTTTCGGCCGCAGACACAGCAGCCCAAGTTTGGCAACAAGGAGTGGACTCCCGCAGCCGCTTCTCAGACTCAAATACAGCAACCAAAGTTTGGCAACAAGGAGTGGATTCCGGCTGTTGCTCCTCAAACCCAGACCCAAACTCAAATTCAACTACAGCAGCCCAAATTTGGAAACAAGGAATGGACTCCTGCAGCGGCTTCTCAGACTCAAATACAGCAACCAAAATTTGGAAACAAAGAATGGACTCCCACAACTGCTTCCAAGGCTCAAACCCAGACACAGACATTGGAAACAAAGAGTGGACTCCCGCATCGGCCACAGCTCCAACACCAGTACCGGCACAATCGACCCGAACCGCAGCCAACGCGTTCGCCAACCGCCTAGGGTCATTTTCAAAACCTAGCAACAGCAGAAACAACAGTGTGTTCGGCTCAACCAACGCCTTTGCAAAGGTTAATGCATCCAGCGCCACCAACCCCGCATTCAAATCCACCAGCGCATTTGGCGCAACCAAAACACAACCGCCACCTGCAAACTTTTCCTCAAGCCAAACCACAAGCGTGAATTTTGCACCATCCAACTGCACAAATCAGTCTATGCCATTGCCTGCTTTCCAAAAGACCACTGCGGTGACTAGGCCGTTGGCTGTACCTCGGGCTACGGCTGGGACGTTTATGAGGGCACCGGTGGCGGCCAAGAGGGGCGTTCCTGAGGGCAGGAGACTGCCAACAATGTACGATATTCTTGGGATTGAGCCGCCGAAACCCAAGGAGAGGGACTATGGAGTGCGCAGGAGAACGGTTATCCCCGAGCCAGCCGTATCAGCAGTTGCTTCGGAGCCGTGGCACCTGCGGTGGTGCCGTCGCCGGAGTTTGTACCAATTGCTGTGGCTGCACCGACACCGGCATTTGCGCCATTGCAATCTTTCACACCGATACAAGTCGAACCGACCCCAGTTCCAGTGTCGGTACCAGCACCGGACCCTGTACCAGACTCAGTTCCTATTTCTGTAGCTGAGCCATCGCCGCCATCGCCTCACGAACAACGCTCCGCTTCACCGATCAGCCAACCGACACCTCTCCCAACAATCGCCTCCAGCCAAAATTCTTGCACTCCTTCTTTGTATCCTCCGCTTAGCAAGCCAGCCATCTACACTGGTCCGCACGCCACAACAGCTACAATCACAATACCCTCTACATCGTCCCTGTCACCGCCGCCAGCACAGCCAGCACAGCCAGCACAGCCAGCGGCAACGGCATCGACAGCAGCAGCAATAAATACCTGTCTACCACTCACATCCATCGAAAAGGACCCCAAGGACGCCAAGCGCAAAAAACCACTGAACGAGCCCGCAACCAACCCGGCAGAGAATACGGGAGACCCACCAGTCCCCAAATAATGTCATTCCAGGAAATCATGGAACGCAAACGGCGCAAGAAGGCGGCCGAGGCCGCGGAGGCTGCAGGGGCTGCGGCAACAGCCACCATGTGCGGTTCTATGACACCAGATATGACAAAGACTGTGGCGCCAGACACTCCCGAGCTGCGGCCAGCCAGTGTACCGCCTCCTGTGGCTTCCACAGTGGCACCCATGGTACCTGTGGGATCAGCAGTTACCCCGGTGACTAAGCGGCGGATGAGCTCTGAAATCAGCGATGAATTGCCAAACAAGTGCACAAAGGTTGCTGTGACAGTGGAGCCTATTGACTACCAGGCGTTATTCGAGAGGGAGTTGCAGGATATGGATGCAGTTCTCAGTGGTCCCTTGGAGAACTCGCCCGAGAATGATCGTATTTCTCGCGCAGTCATCAGCGACAAATATGTGTACATGGATATTGCACAGCTCCTAGCAAACTACTAGCCAAAATAAAAAACAACGTAATATTTTAATACATCCAATATATATATATTTTTGATTAAAACTCGTATGCCTTGTTCGTGCGTCCACTCGCCCAGATGCTCTGGCGGGTAGAGTTTTTGACAGACGACGGGGCAGTGCGGATTTGGGTAATGGGGTCGACATCAAAGGCCACAAGCTCCTCGACGATCTCCACGCCAACGGCACCATTGTTATCAATAACGGCAGCCACAAACAGCTGACCGTCCTCGGTGCCCACGCAGATCCGCGGCTCCCCCGCATCCACGCCATAGACCAAGCGGATAGCCGACACAGGAGACGCATTACGCCTGAACGCATACACGGGCTCACCAGCATCCGCAGCCGCCCACACATTCACAGAGCCGTCCGCCATCCCAGTATACAGACGGGAGTTAGCCACGTCATACGCAACCGCCCTCACAGGAACGCCTCCAACATCGCCATACTCTGCACCACCTCCCTGGCCATCAAATCGACGACAACCACGCGTCCATCCTCGCAAGCAGCCACAACAAGCTTTCCATCAATCTCAAGCACATCCTGGGCCTCGAACCGTGCGACAAGATCAATAGAGTTAATTCGCATCCGCGACAGCTCAAATACATGCACAACGGAGGACTCCCCGCAATGCCACAGCCTCAGGGTGCCGTCCGCGGCCGCCGATAAAACCTGGCGGCCTCTCCCGATAATCGCCAGATCCGTGATCGCCGCTGTGTGGCCCACCAGGGTAACCGGGTTAGAGCCGTCCGATGCCGACCATATTTTGATCCGCATATCCGTCGCACCACTCAATACAACTTGCCCAGAGGGGAAGAATCGACAAGCTGTGATGTCTCCCAAATGTCCCTCCAGCTGCACCCTATGCACGCGACCCTCGATCTCATACACACCCATGGCGCCCTCATCGCCACAACCCACCAGTAATCCGCCATACGGACTAATATCGAAGCTCCGCAGCCCCGTTTTGCGCTTAATCTGCGAGCACTCTACCGAACGGTGCGGGGCGGTGTAAAGACGCGGCGCCAGGATATTTTGGGATTCTGGATGGCTGCTGTTGCTGTTGGTGGTGGAGAGCTGGAGATGACGGGTGTCAATGTATTCGGCGGTGATGGATTGCGCGGTAGTTTTAGTGGGCTTGTGGGTGAGTCTGTTTTAGTTATTTGGATGGTGTCGTGGAGCGACTCGGTGCCTTGCTTGTATGCGGATGCCCAGAAGGTGTGGGGGCCCTCGGCACCGCTGAGCGCTTTCTTTACGTCGACTGCCCAGTCGGGCTGCACCGAAATGTATCCGAATGTCTCAACCATTGCTTTTGAGATTGACTTTTGAGTGTGAATTGGTGGTAGTGGTGGTGGTGGTGGTGGTGGGGGGGTGGGGGGGGGGGGGGGGGGGGTTGAAAGTGATTTGAATAAGTGGAATGAAAAAAAGAGGTAAAGGAAAAGAAAAGAAAAAAGCCCCTCCTCATCAATGCCACTTTAAACCTCCAAATATTCACTATTTTTCATTCAGATGACGTGTGCGTGTGTGGGAGGGAGTGTCAATGCAAACAAAAAAAAGTCCCATAAAAAGGTTTATAATTTGATATATTGTTTGAGCCGAATAATTAACCAAGTGGACGGGACAGGCTTACTCCAGGAGCCTTATCGTCAGAACCGTCTGGCATTGTTGGCCGTGAGCTTCTTGTACGCGACAAACAGACCACCGCAGGCACCGCAGCCAGGATCAGTTTAAAGACAACGCCAAAGTACGACGAGCCAGCGGCAGCCTGCTTAAGAGCCGGCAGAGGGATATTCGGCAAAGCGTTAAAGTTCTTAGAGCCTCCGGCCGCATAGTCTCCACACGCACCGAGACAATATCATGGTTATCACTGATGTCGCCGGTAAGCGCGGTAAAGCCCAAGTAGAGTTCTCAGGAAGAGTCACATTTGCAATAGTGAAGCAGTTGATCCACTTTTCCTTGGGCTGCAGCTTCAATGGACGTTGACGAATTGGCCCTTCAGGTACGTGATGGAGCCTTGGAGTTCTGCTTGAGGTTGCGGAAGTAAGCTTCGCACATGCCCAGTCGGTTGGCATCGCCGTCGTGCGCGCCGTCATAGGGTGTCTTGCCATCTCCCACCATGCCCATGACAAACGGAACAGCAAAATCATGCTTGCCATTAGGGTAGGTGTCAAAGAAGACCCCGAGCCCATTGATGTAATCCTGGTTACCAAACACGGGCCCGGCTGGGCGCGCCCCTGCGTGACGAAGAATCCCATTCCGTCGCCGTAGAGGTACCCGCCCTTGCCGCCAATGCGGAAGTCAAAGTCTACCTTCCAGTAATCCGTCGGAAGTGTCGAGGTGCTCCACAATGACCCCATGCGCGAGGGCAGATCGGGTGTCAGCCGGATTCGCTCCATCGTGTTGACAATTGCGTCGCCGCCGAAATCATAGTTGCGCATGTGGAAGCCCTCGTCAATGTACGGCATCTCGAGGGTAAATGCGCGCAGCTGGGTCACGTCCGTGTCAATGTTGTCCTTTTTGGCTGCCGAGACGGAGGTGGTGGCCGCAAGGAGGAGAAGTGAGACTGCTCCACTGGCAACCTTTGCAAGTGAGCCAAACATGTTTTTTTTTAAAGATATCTTGTCTCTTCTTTTGTAAGTTGGTTGGCTGGAGGATTGAAGATGAATACGAATTGGGAAACGTATAGAGAGAACAAATAAAAGAAAGGTGCGAATAAATAGAAAAAAAAGGATTGCGAACGAAATTGGAGATGTTCAATCGAGAGCAAGATTCAAAATCGAAAAAGAAACAAGAAAAACAGAGTACTTTAAATTATTATTATTTTGGCGCTTGCTGTGCGGAATGCCAAAACTCCACGCGGTCTTTTGACTGTGGCCAATCGCGAGCCGCCAAACCCTCCCTTTCCTCAGAGCCAAAATATTTTAACGCCACAAGCACATGGCAAGAAAATAAAGCTACGTGTATTTTTAATTTCGCCTCAAAGGCAATTTCCACACAACGGCAATGGCGCTGGTGCTTTAATTCGGCCCTGCTGCTCAGACTCGAACAGGGTGTCGCCACTGAGCAACGGCGTCTGCTCCTCGCTGGCCGCAGACACCGATCCCGATCCCAATCCCGATCCCGATCCCAATCCCGATCCCGACGCCAATTCCATATTGACATCCAGACTGTCCTCGCCAGGCTGCTCTTCCTCGGGCGTGCCCAGCTTCCAGAACATTGCGTCGCTAGTGGCCAAATACATCTTGTTAATGTACCGGTAAAGCACCAGCTCGCGGCCATCCTCGCAATCCGCGCCAGCCGACAAGTTCAGCCCACCCTCGAGGTGAAGCAGGCGGATGAACGTCGCGCCAGTCATGTACGCGTCATACCCGGCCTCGTGCATATTGCATGACACGTCCCTTGTGAAGTTTGCATGGTTGTGGATCAACGCCCGCTTCCCACTGCCACAGCCAACGTCACTGTCACCGCCACTGCCGCTAGCGCTGCCCGAAGTCAAAGCCGAGGCCAAAGCCTCTTTCTCAAGCACAGGCGCGATCTCGTCCAAATTGGACGTGCCGTACTTGGCCTTGATACCGGGCGTCGACTCGATAATGTACTTGGTGTCAATGAGCACGGGCAAAAACCGCAGCACAGCGCTCTCAAATTCCACGCGCGACTCGGGTAGCTGGCGGTAGAACTTGGAGTACGCGTGCAAGATGTCCAGCGGCATATTATGGCCAACCACAGGCTTGCGCGCAGCCGACAAGAGGTCTATGATAGCGCAAAAGCCGCGGGCCTCCTCAATGCTGGCCGCGAGCTGCTTCAGCTTATGCGCGGTATGCTGCGCCATGGCTTTCTTCGTGCCCTTAAACACCTCAATAAACCCGGGCCGACTGCGCGCACCCAGGGTATCGTGGCTAGCGACAAGCTCGTAGACCAGCTTGCGCTGGTATGAGTTGGCTGTTTCGTGCCTCATGGTTTTCTCGCGCGAAGCCACAAAGGTCTTCAGCACGCGCTCCAAGTCGCGCACAAAAACACGGTGTCGCTCGTCCACTTCGGCGCGCGGCTGCCGGTTGGTCAGCATGCTAGTGCGCTCCGCCTTGAGCTGCCGCGCCTCCTCTGAGCGCATATAGGGGATTCCGCTGTACACCCATTTGTTAAAGTCAAATGAGTTGCGCGCCAAAACTCAAACGCCGTGTTCTTGCACCCAAAGTGCGCCTCCACAGGAATGCCGCTGACGCTAGTGCATGGGAATACGTTGAAGTTGAATGGCCGTGCTTCGTAGAAGCCGCTGGAGCTCTCGTCCTGAGTGTCCACCCACGTGAACAGGCAGATGCCCACTTGGATCACTCCGTATGATTCGACGCTGTGCTTCAGCTTGCTGTATCGCTCGTTTGTTGTGTCCAGCCGGCTGGGCTGCAGCTTCTTGGTCTCGTAGAGGCCTGTCATCTCCATGTCGATCGCCACAAAGTCGCACCCACCGATAGCCTGCCTGAACTCCTCCAAGGCCTTTGCAAAGTTGTCGCGGGTCACATCCATGTTCTTAATATTTCAAAGGTTGGGTTGATAATATTTCTTATATGCCCCAGGGTGCTTTTCTTGTCTTTGAGAAAAGTAACGAGTGTTGAATTATATTGAATTGAGAGGTTGTCTGAAGTATAAAGCGCAGAGTGTCGGAATTTTACTCACACCACCCGCATTTGCGTTGCGCTGTGGACAAAAAAAAAAAGTATAAAAAAGAAAATCAAAAAAAAAAAGTGAAATGCGCTGTTTGGTTGGACGGTACTCTAGCTAGACCAGAGATCGGATTTTATTGCTTTTTTGCTTTTCTTTGTAGCTTAATTTGGAATGCGCCCGTCCCGTATATCCCAAACACCAGTTCCAAATTAACCACTGAGGCTTTGGCAAGGGGATTTATTTGAGCATAAAACCCTCCTCCATTTTAACAACCGAGTAAACTCTAATTTGCAACTTTGCAGTCGTTGCACAAGCCAGCCAGCCAGCTGCATTTGCGGGCAGGATTGGGTCAGACACACACAAAAGCATGGCAAATCAAATGCATATGCGGAATGAGAGCCAGTGAAAACTCGATATCGGCCAAAACCAGAATGGCGGCTAATTCTGCACGATAAGAAAAGCACGGAGGTCACACAAGAAAATTTGGGGGCCAAAGTGCGAAAAAAAGAAGAAAAAAGTGACCATATTTCGCCTGGGAAATTCTCTTCTTTTTCCCCTCTTTTTTTTCCAAATTAGTTTTCCAAACTATTTTTGTATATTATACTCTCGATTCAAATTCAAAACAAGTTTATAGCACCTTTATTTTTCCTTTTCTTTTTCACAAACAACCTTTTTTAATTGTCATTTCACTGATTTACACTTATGAACGGGGTCACTCGCGAGGAGCAAGAGCTCCAGCAGCACATATTTGCCGACAAGTGCCGCCGTCTCCACAGCCACCTCCTAGGCACAAAGAACCTGCTCAGAGATATCGGTGACTACAACCGCACAAAGTGGCCAGTGCACTACCCTCTGGCTCGCATAGCCCGCGCTCGCGAGGCCCAGGCCATAGCCACCTCTTTGAGTGGCGGCCCATCGGGTCTCAGACGCACAAACTCCATGGTGAACTCATCCGAGGCCACACTGATCAACACCAACGGGCCGAATCGCATGCGCCGGTCGATGACCACCGATGACATGTCCGAGTACACCACTGGCCCCAGCAGCAGCGAGCACACCGCCTCCGACTCTGACGATTCTGGCCGCCTGCTGGACCCCAACGACCTAAGCGTGCTCAAGCTGGACCTGCGGCTGTCATACCACGCTGACTCTGACGTGATGGGTTCGCTGGAGGAGTCGAGCATCGCGCGCCTGTTTGACGAGCGCCTGTCGCAGTGCGAGGTGCACATTGACAAGCTCATTGCGCGGGTCACCGACAAGTCATCCAAGATTCTAGTGACGGGTGATCTGAACGCCGGAAAGAGCACGCTGGTCAACGCGCTGATTCGCCACGACATCCTGCCCTTTGACCAGCAACCGTGCACTATGCTGTTCTGCGAGGTGCTTGATGCCTCACTGAACGATGGCGCCGAGGAGATCCACGCGGTGCCCGATATCCAGCTGTACAGCCGCCAGGACCCTGCTACGTATGTGGCTGTCAAGATGAGCGAGCTCGAGGACATTGTCATGGAGAACGACGAGCAGTTCCAGCAGCTCAAGATATACACCAAGGACAAGCGCGACGACCAGGAGAGTCTGCTGCACAACGGCGTCGTCGATGTTGCCCTTATTGACTCGCCCGGACTCAACCGTGACTCGCTCAAGACCACGCAGCTCTTTGCGCGTCAGGAGGAGATCGACGTCGTGGTGTTTGTGGTCAACGCCGAGAACCACTTTACGCTGTCGGGGCAGGACTTTTTGCTCAACGCGGGTAACGAGAAGGCACGCATCTTCATTGTCATCAACCGCTTTGACGCTATCCGCCGCAAGGACCGCTGCGAGCGCATGATTCTCGACCAGATCCGCGACCTGTCGCCGCTGACCTATGCTGAGCGCGACGACCTGGTGCACTTTGTTAGCGCCCACGAGCAGCTCGCCGCCGAGCGCAACGGCACCACTCCTGCTGAGTCCTTTTCGCGTATGGAGAAGTGCCTGCGCTCATTCACACTTGAGCAGCGCTTCAAGTCCAAGCTCGCTCCAGCGCAGCGCTACGCCATGAACGTGCTCTTTGACGTACAGTACTTGGCCGCCGAGAACGTTTCCGCCGCCACCAAGCGCATCCAGGAGATCAACGCGGTGCTGCGCGAGGGCATGCCCAGGTACGAGTCGCTTTTGCAGGAGCGCACGGAGTCGTCGCGCCACGCAGAGACTGTTCTGGACAGCAGCTGTCTGGAAGTCCGCCGCCACACCTCGGCGCATCTCACCAACACTACGGTGCATCTGCAGGACGTAGCCGAGAAGGTTGCATACCCTGGGTTGTTGTCTCTGTGGACGTATGCCGAGAACGTGCTGCTGACTATGGTGCGCCACTTGGAGCATGAGGTGTCGGAGTGCGACCGCTTCACTTGCTTCACCATCCAGCAGGCACGCAGCGAGCTGACCAGGCTCGAGGATCAACGCCGTATGCTTGATCCAGCTGCTGGTTCCAACGCAACCGAGCAGCAGCCGCCCATTCTCGCTGATGGCAGCGACAGTGCTGGTCTTCTGGCAAGTGATACGTTTTCGAGGAGCGTGACTGCTAGCCAGATCGCATCTATCGGCAGCATCTCGAATGCGCTCGATACGGTGCAGCTTGAGCTGGCGGACTTTATCGATCTTGACTTTAGCCATAACCTGGGGACGCTCACCTCGATCTCGGCCTCTGCCTCGCTGACCCTTCTCGCGAGCAAATCAATGGCCGGCAACGTTGTAACAATGCTGCGTCTATCGTCGACCATGGGCACAGGCACCGCACGCCGCCTAATGGTGGGCGCAGCCACGCTCATCGGACTCGGGTCTATTTTATATATGGTCTCCGATATGGACGCCACGGTGCGCCGTAAGCTGTCTACCAGGGTATCTATGATGCTCGAGGAGGAAGCCTTTGTGCAGCATCATGCTGAGAGACTTACGACGGAGACTTCGCGCGCTATTCGTCCGTTTGTCTGGCATCTCCAGCATACTTTCCAGCGCATGGTTGAGGCTGAGGAGCATAAGCGCGCGGATCATTTGCGCCGCAGGCATGTCGCCCAGGACTCGCAGATTTACTTTGATGAGTTGCGCGTTAAGGCCCAGGAGCTGGCTAACGCTGTCCGTGCAGTGAGCTCATCTGAGAACGGAACCATGTGTTGATACTGGTTTTGTTGAACATCTTGCTTTTTTCTTTTCATTTTATCTTTTATTAATTGTTTTATCTTTTTCTATTCTCTCCGTTTAAAAAATATTAACGGTTAAAGTCTCGTTTGTTTTTCATTTTCAGTTTTTTTTTTTTGCGCACAAGAAAAAAACCTGTTAAATTCCCCTCTCATGATATATTTTTTCAACCCATAGAGTGGCAATTAGTGAGGACAGCAGCGCCACGGTATATAAGAAAAACCGATGCTGCAAGTTTTTGTTGGGTAATCTTTAAGGACAAGTACTGTAGCTGAAATTTATTTTGGTCTTGCTTGTCACCGTTCGAGTAGCCACTTGCCCTGCGCAGTGCCTTTAATTAGGTTTTACAATGTGTGCGACTAAAGTTGTCTAGAATTTAATTATTCTTTTCTATTTTTTTCGTTAGGGGAATGTCGGCTTGCTGAGACAGATTTACTGATGACGGTTATAATTTTCGCACAATATTCCTTGAGAAGTGTGAGGTTCGCTCCCGTTGCACATTTTTTATATTATAAAAACAAAGCCCCCCCCTTCCCACAAAAAAAATATATTGCTTCAAAAGTTAAAAACTTAAACCAGTTTGCTTTGGAGATCAAGGTTGTCGTTGTATCCGTGTTTCTTGATGTCTCTCCAGGTCTCTTCGTCGTCTCCAGCGTTAGTCTGCAGGCTGTAGAGTTGAATAAACCCGCCTTTGAGCAAGGATCCATCGTCGGTGCAGTCAAGATTACTGCGAATATCGTTCAAATCAACCGTAGAAAACTAATTTAAAAAACAAGTAAATATAAAAGCGTTAATATAGTTCTTAATATTATATTACAAAGGTGCAACAACCTTCTTTTTTACAGAGATATAAAATAAAATGTGAAATATCATTAACTTACTGGTTCGCCATTAGTGAATGTGGCAAATGCCTGGAGCTCTTGTTCGTTCAATGCTCCGTCCCTGTCCTTGTCGTAGCGATCAAAGATCTCACCCAGAGCAGCCTCGCACTTGGGCGTAAACTCCATATCGTCCTGCAGTAACTCGACAGCCATGGTTAAAATAGTTTTGCAATAAGAGATATAATAAACTATAAGATGGTATCGACTTCCAAGATATTGTAAAAAAAAATTACAACGCAATTATCATTATAGGTACCTGGAGCAAAGTATCTATGGGTCCGTCCACTAATGATTGCAGTGGGGGTATGCACTGTGACTTATTTGCGCTGGACAAATATATTATCCTGAACATAGGATAAGCTTAGTTTGCGTGTTAAATTATTGCTTGGATTTTAACCTATTCAAATTCATGTTGCCACAAACTAAATATTGACTGTTGGGTGTTTATATCACTTGGCAGGCTTAATTTATTAATAGCATGTATTAGGAGTAACTTGATTGCATTGTTTATAACTATGACATCAACTCGCCAACTCATCAAGCCTGTTTTCCTTGTACATGTGGCACTCCGATTACACCCTGTTTAATATAATTTAATGTAGTAGATAAGCAATAATACTAATAAATTTGTTATTGTCAAAATTGTTGAATTGTTAATAGATTGATCAAGTAAAAAATCAAAATAAAGTTAATGTAAATGATTCATTTTGGACCGAGAAACAATAATACACCAGAAAAAAAGGAGTCTGTGTTGTTTTTAGCCTAAAAAGTGCATTCAAGTAGTCATGTTCAAACGCCCTGTTCATTGAAAATAATAGTATTCCAATATGCAGAAACGATGGAGTTAATTAGTCCAAAACCTTTCTGTTCAAAACCAAAAATTAGATAAACCTCCTATTGAACCTTCCCCTCGCTTTTACATGCAATCATCATCTAAAACAATGCCCACTCGCATTGCTTCATCTAGCTCCCAAGCAATTAGTTGGTCAAGATTGTGTGGTGACCACCACACAATAGTATATCCATGCGATCACTTCAGTAGTGGTCATATATCCTTCATTGCTCTAATATTTATTTATAGCTTTTTTTAACCTCTTGATCATACATTTTTTAGTTTTACATGACATTAAACTATGATATTCCTTTTCGAGACTATCGAAAGTTCTTGGCAATTGCTACAATGTTACTTTTAATGTATCCATTTCCATTTTAACAGATATATTAATACATATAAGCTGTAGGCTGAGTGATACTGTGTAAATAAACATTTATAAATTATAGTACAAACAAGCTCATTTTATATATGCCTGGGAAGGCAATTGCCTACGCCGAAAACCCTGAAACGCCTAAAACAATTTTTTGATACACTTTTTAGAGTCGGATGCCCATACTAAAATGTTGTCATGTTAGAAGTAAATATTTGAAATAACGTGAAGGCAAAATATTACCAGTGGCCATTTGTTTTATTCTCTTACTTAACCACAGTTCTCGTGATAATAAAAGGGGGAGAATACTTGCTCTTTGTTCATTTCATTTATCGATTATTCCCTTTTCATAAATAGTGTACAAAAATGCTTTTAAATTGTTGTGTGATAATTTTTCATGGAAATACTTCTAATACTAGAGCATTATATAGTAAGTATTCCATTACAGATACTTTTAAATTGTCGTGTGATAATTGTTTTCATGGAAATACTTCTAATACTAAAGCATTTATAGTAAGTATTCCATCGCAAATACTTCCAAAGTGGAGTATCCACTTGCCACACTGCTGAAGAGACAATATATCATCGACATTGTTATTTATTTTACAGAATAAGTAGTGTGAAGAAGCGCAGCTCTAAACATATATAAAGTCGCCTCGATTCTGAATAATTCTCACTTTTCATACATCCATACAACAGCACTATTAGCATACAATACATTACTACACTATATAAATTACAACAATGAGCTCTGATGAAACATACGAATGCTATTATTGTAAAAATGCTATCCTAGTAAAAACCAGACAACTCATGCGCTCATATGCAAGTTATAAAAAAAACACGGAAAGATTGGTAATGGGCAGCTATGTATTCGCAATAAAAAAAAGAAATAACTGCATACAAGTGATGTGGCTTTGCACACTAAACTTGTAAACCATGTATTATGAACGTACAATGTATTTGGTCCTGATATGCTAATGTACTCTGCGGTCTTTATACCACAAGAGATATTCATTGTTTAGTGCCAAATACTGCCGCGTAGAGTCAACATAGTGCTTTTTTAATAGATATTTTAGCATGATTCCTTTTGCATTTCTAGGAAAAGACTTTGCTCTATTTAACGACTAATCATATATATAAAGTATTGATTATTTTTAAATAAATACATTTTTAACCACAAAAAAATTGTTTGCACTGATTTCAGTGTAACAACTCGAGTAACAGCAAATTATAAGAAGCAAGCTCGGGTTTTGCGTGTTTGGCTAAGACAAGAAGCAGTCTATATTAAATCAGTCCCTGGCGCTTAAGATCAAAGTAGGTTTTTTTGTTAAACACGTTGCCCTCACTGTCCTCGTACTCCTCAAAGGTATCCGTGCTTGCCACAACCTGCTTCTTCTCCTTCTGGATGCGCTCCCACAAGTTCTGGGCCTCGTCAATTGCCGCCACGCCGTGGAACTGTCGCGTATTGGGGATTCCCAGACGCCTCATATTCGTTGCATGGCGCGACTCCTGGAAATGCTTCTCGTAAGCCTTACGGCCACGGTAAATGGCGTTGCCGCAAACCTCGCAGGAGAATTTAACGCCCAATCCATGTAATTTGTACAGCCAGTAGGGAATAGGCTTGCCGTCCCAGCCCATAGGCAGGTTGAACGGGTTATAGATCTCCTCGTCCTTGTCCTCATTGTCCTCTTCAAACTCCGGCTCCTCCTCATCCACTTCCTGCTTGCGCTCCTCCTCGGTCAGCGCTTGTCTGCGCTCGACATTGGATCGCGTGTCGCGGATCTTGTCAGTAAGCACCAAGACGTGTGTGCGAATCAGTGACTCCGACCAGGCAGCCTCGCGCTCCTTTTCTGCTTTCTTGTCGCTCGCCTGTTTCTGTGCATCCTGCTTGTCACTGCTAGCGTTTCCGTCTTCGGAGCGCGCGGCTGCCTTTTGGTGCTTTCGGCTGTTCATGTGCGCGTTAAAGGTGGTCTCCTTTTCAAATTGCTTGTTGCACACTGTGCACAGGAGCTTATGATCATCATCGCTCACCTCCCAGCCTAAGACCGTGCCGGCAGCCCATGCGTCGACAAACTTGTCCTTGGCCTCTGCTGTGGTCTTGGGCAAATCAAACAGCGGCATGGCGCGCGCAAAGAATCCGTCAAAATATCCCCGCAGACTGTTCAAATACGCGGTATATTGCAGGGATGTCTTGAGCTTGCGAGGGTAAAGCTCGAACTTGGTAAACTGGGCCAAATAATCCAAATAGGACAATCGCTGGGCGTCCCTTACGTTGAGATACAGCTCGTGTTGCTCGTTCAGATCCACATACCGGCCCAATCGCTCTTCGCCAGAAAACATGGTGTCCAGCCTATGCTCGTCCTCCTCACTTACAAACGTCTGCTCTGCAGGCAAGTTGTCCTCGACGGAATTTCCAAGGCGTCCTCGCTCATTGCCAGCACATTTTCCCTGGCCATCCGCGCCTTCTGCTGCTCCTCAATCTCTTCGGATTACGCATGTACTTTACGTACTCAATTTCGGGCGGGTGCACGGCGACATCGGGGTTGCGCCGGTTGTGGCTGCGGATGTCGCCAAGGCGGGAGTAGAATTCTGTAAACTGGTGCTCGGCAATGCTGTCCATTTCTACGTGGCGCAGTCCAGATTCGTCCCTGTCGAGGTCCAGTATGAGCTTGCTGCGTGTTTGGATTTGGTCCAGAAGACTGTCTATTTTTTGCTCGCGGACCAGCTTGTACCGGTGCTTCGACAGGTCCTGAAGCATCATGTCGACGATGGCCTGCTCTAGACGCTCAATGTCTTCGTGGGCCTGACGCTGCTGCTCAATAATGCTGTCCATATGATTTAGGGAGGTTATCTGTGGTGTTGTGAAATTTATAAACGAAAAAGAGCAAAAAAAGTTTGATTTTCATTCACTGGAATATTAGTTTTTTTTATTTTATTTTTGATATATACGTTTATACAGGGACCAACAGTGTATGGGCTGAGAGCCGCAAATCAGCTGGCACATAGATCAAACCCCCACCGCCACCTTTAAAACAGCTTATCCATATTTCTTATTACTTATTGTTCACACGTTATCAATATTTATAATTCCAAGAAAAGAAAATACACTCAAGTCCCTACCAGAACATTTCTAGTTGTCCGAGGGCTTGGTGACCGACTCGTACTTCTTCAAAAGACCGTCGATCTCCTCGGACGAGTACTTATGAATGTAAGGCTTTCCATCCTTGAGTGTAATCGTGGAGAACTCAAGCTTCTCGCTAGTCAGCTTAGCAGTGTCGATGGTCTTTGAAAGCACCTGGCAAGTGAGCTTCAGGGCGTCATCCATGGTCATCTTTGTAGCGGCCATACCAACACTCGTCTCCTCCTCGTCATCCTCCTTGTACTCCTGTTTCAAAATACTCTGCGCATTGTTAAAGTTTTCGCCAATACACGCAGCCTTCCAGCTCGAGTAATTGCCGGCGGGATCCGACTGGTACAGTTGGAATCCAAACACCGAGTCCCAGCCAGCACATAGGAACGAAACACCAAAGGGGCGCAGGCCACCAAACTGTGTGTAGCCCTGTTTGAGATCGCACAGCCGGCGCACCAGTTGCTCGACAGGGATGGCGAATCGTACTTTTGCAGGTACTGTTGGGCGACCACCCGCGACTGGTTGATCAAAATGTTTGCATCGGCAGCGAGTCCAGCCACTCCGGCAACAACGTTATCGTTCATTTCGTAAATCTTTTCGCTGTCAATGCTCTGCTCGAGAAGTTTCGAGGCTGCCTGGCGCTCGGCCGCAAGCACAATACCCTCCTTGCTGAGAACGCCGATAACCGTGGTGGCGTGCGAGATGGCCTCCATCGCGTACTCGACCTGGTATAGGCGGCCTACAGAATGAGGTATAAAAACAGATTAAACAAACATTTAAATAATTTTTTTACGAGAAGAGCATGTGTTAGTGCATTAAAAAATAGGAATTGCACTTTTCTGTCTCTGTCAGTCTGCTTGGTTGTATTCCTGTCTCGAATGTCGTTAGAAGGAGTGCTTCCCGTCTTGTTTACAAAGAAAGACCGACGGGTTGGTTCGTACCTTCGGGCGAAAAAATTGTTGTGCGCGAATCGTATCTTCTGGCCATTGTTTCGAATTGCTAATGTAGGTATGCTTGTGATTTGAGTAATAACAAAATAAAATATTAGTGGAAAAAAGAGAGCTTGCTGAAAATTTTCCAATTAAAACGAATGAAGGCTATTTTTTAATGCAGGTTGGCCAAAACAAGAGAACGCGTCACCCATAAGGCGATGTTGATTTAATATTGGCAATCGTGGATTAGCATGGTGGGCTTTGCTGCATGCGTCACACTCGCAATGCGCTTTTAACACTCGCTTTTTTATTACGTACTTGACAAAACAAAATTCATGGATCAGCTGTAAATGTCAAATATAATTTTTTATTTAATAATAATGTTTAAGTGCCTTTGGATAAAACTAACCATCCATTTGCATATTCCGTTTGTTTGTCTGCATATCATGTAATTTTTGTAGAATTGCAAAGTGGATATCAATACAGGGCGAAAGCCTCAGTTTTCTAGAGGATGGGCAACTCAGAGTCGATCTGGGTAAGTTTATAGACAAATGTAAGTATAATGCGCCCCAAGTTTTGATACATGTTTTGTGTGTATATGGTATATGAATGTTTTGCTAATTTTTGCGCAACTATTTGCATGTAGTCGAAGAATGCCTGGATGAGATGTACCAGTGCCTGCGAGGGCTAAATCAAGAATGTCACGCCAGCACTGTCGGTGAATTTGAAAAGGAGCTGCAGCTAAAGGTAGGCAATACAGCCATACACTACATATAACTTTGCTCTTATTTATGAGTTAAACATACGCGCTCTTTTTACTGACAAACCATTATATTCTCGTGCATTTTCCCTTTCAAAAATAAAACGTTAAAATAATTATAGCAGCAGGTTGCACTGCTCTTGGCTGAAGAGTCACCGATATCTTCACAGGCCGAAATGAACATTGCGCTGTGGAAGGCACAGCCCTATGTGCACGCTCAGGTTGCCAAAGGGGTTGGTCCGAACTGATACCTAAACCAGAGGTAGGCAGAGAAGTAGTGGTTGAGAGAAAGAAGAGGGACGAGCATGTGAACAAGACCGTGATCCTGTTCTATTGATCTGTTTTCGGGGCCTCGTGACTGCGATTGATATTTTTTTTCATACTTTTCCATCTTCATATGTAGCATGAGTTGATGACACGAAAATGCCCACGCCTGTATCTTTTGTTTCCCACGCCCAAATACGGCGAGGCAAGGCAGGGCAGGGCAAAGCAGACGAGATAAAAAAAGCGCGCCGCCGCTTGTTCTTTAAGCGAAATATCCTATTTAACGCATACACCCCTTCTTGTTTTTGGTTTGCCGTATTTTATCAATATATATTATCTTACTTTGACAAACTTGTGCTATACAAACACTGTCTTTGGTTATTAACTTTACGACAAGACCCCACCAATAATGCTATCTGTAGTCGTCGTCTGCTGCCAGGAACGACAGCCCATCTCCGCAATCATCTGGCAACCCTGCGCCATTCAGTCTCCATGCACGCCAAGCAGCTGGCCAGCTATACCTCGGCATCATCCAGCGACAAGGAGCCAACCATCGGGTTTATCGGCCTGGTCAAATGGGCTTCCACATGGCCACGCACCTGCAAAGCAAAAGCCATACACGCTTCGTAATCTATGACACCAACCAACAGGCGCTGGTGAATTTCCAAGCGCAAGTACGGGAAGCGCAGAGGCATCCTTGGTAACCATAGCCAGGTCTCCAGTGGATCTTGCCGAGCAATCGACAGTTATTGTCACGGCGCTGCCAGAATCCGCGCATGTCAAGCAGGCATATCTTGGGAGCAAGGGTGTGCTTGAGGGTCTCAGGCCCGATACGCTGTGCATAGACTCGAGCACCATTGATACGACCGTATCGATGGAGGTTTCGCGAAAAATCATTGAGGCTGGGGGACGTGCTGTGGATGCTCCGATTTCAGGAGGGATCATGGGAGCCAAGGCCGGCACACTGACGTTCATGGTGGGCAGCCAGAGTGAGGAGGACTTTGCAAGGGCACAGGTGTATTTGGAGCGCATGGGCAAGAACGTTGTTCGGTGCGGTGATCTGGGCGCAGGCCAGGCTGCCAAGATTTGCAACAATTTGTTGTTGGCCATTAGTATGGTGGGGACGGCGGAGGCTATGAATTTGGGTGTGCGGCTTGGGTTGGATCCCAGTGTGCTGGCGGGAATTGTCAATACGTCTTCAGGAAGATGCTGGTCGTCGGATACGGCTAATCCGGTTCCTAATGTGATTGCTTCAGCGCCGAGCTCTAATGGGTATGAGGGTGGATTCAAGTCGAGGTTGATGTTGAAGGATCTGGGCCTGGTGGCCAATGCGGCTAAAGAATCAAAGACGCCGTTGATGCTCGGCGCATTGGCTGAAAATATTTACCGCCATCTCTCTAACAACTCTGAGATGGCAGAAAAGGACTTTAGCGTGGTGTACAAGTGGTTAGGCGGCCGCAATTAGATCGAGATCGCAATAATTGCAAAACCCAATTTTATATTGATAAAAAAATGCGCAGTCTCTTTGAGAAAACATATCCACCATTTTCATCTCTTTTTTTGCTTCTCTCTTTTCCCTTCTTTAATGCACTTTTTTAGTATTCAAATATTTGTTCCAAAATAAAATGCGCAAATTCACTGCACTCTACACACACCAAAAGACCAAAAAAGCAAAGACATGGCAGGACGGGTTTGCGCATTACAACAGCGAGACAAACGACATTACTGTGTATGACTCCAGCAAGCAGCGCATCGCGAACTACAGGCTGCGCGCAAAGGAGATAATCGAGTTGTCAAACGAGTACGATATAGGGAGATTCCTACTAACTCTAGAAGAGGAAGGTGAAACACCCGCTGCCAGCAGTAGTATCTCTCAGCAGACATCAGTGATATCATCTTTGACACGGCCAGCCGCAAAAGCGCCAAGCGAATTCCTAGTCTGATCAAACCAATAAAGCTTGCCACCAGAGAGCCCGAGCCAAAGACGGAGCCTGCTACAGGCTCAGCTGCGCAACCGCCTAGTGACAACAATGGTCCGACAAAGCCAATTCCAAAGGCGACGAAAACACCGCCAAACAAGAGCTTCCGGACAAAGGGAGCCGAATCAGTAGCGGCGGCAGTATCAGAAAACCCCGTAGAGTACATTATATTGTATACAACCCAAAAGATCAAAAAGATAAAAGCGTGGGCCGACGGAATACTGCTGTTTTACGAGTCCGATAGCCGCATCACACTGAAGGCGAAGACGGGGGCACACTGACTAACATGCATTTTCCACGGTCCAAGAGCATCCAGATCGGCGGCGAGGTGGACATTGGCATGTACCTAGTACAAGTTGAGGGGCTGCACGGAGTCGAGGATGCGGCAGTATCGAAACCGTCCGCGGCGCCATTGCAGGGTGCTCTGAAGCGGCGGTACGCAGCAGTTCAAGAAGGAGCCACGCTGCGATCGCCTTTGGCCGGACTCAAGCGAACCGCACTGCCGAGTGTCAAATTGCAAAAAATGACATCTCATCTGGCTAATCATCCGATGGCAGCACAGCAAAAGTAGTGGCAGCAGAGCTAGTGCCCGTTGCGGCCTCAGATACAGAACAATCAAGGGTGGTTTCCGGCCAAGAAAATGCTGAGTATCAACACAGGGCGCGTGGTATTTGTGCCGCCGACATTACAGGCACCAAGTACCTGCACTTCCCGCGGCGCGGCGAGCTGCTGCAGCACGTCAGCGTGTCCAAGGGGTACAACCTGGGTCCGGCGCGGCAGCTCACGGTGCCATTCGAGTACGCTGAATGGACGCAGTACCGAGACGCGTTTTCCGCACTGCTGCGCGAGAACTGATGGCGGAGCTGTCAGCGCTGGCGATTCGCTACTTTTTTATGGCACGTGAGAAACATGACGGCACCAAGACGCACACCAAACCAGTAGCAACACCAGGCTTAGTAAGCGTGGTAAGGGTAGTGATGGCACGAGGGGGTTCCGAGGAAACACAGGTGGCTTTGCGCAGGTGTGCAAGGGCGTCGGGGTGACTTACTTTGACTCGTGCACGCTGCGGCAGCCGTTCCTCGACGGCGCAGCCTTCCACGCTCAGAGATCAGCAGGCGGCAGCGTGCGCTTCCACAAGGGCGACAGCGTAACGTTGGAGCTGAGCCGGCGCGAGAACTACGTGGGGTACGCACGCGATGACACATGGGTGATCTCTACGTCGGCCGACTTCCCTACCGCAACGACGTTTCTAGCGCGCAGTGTGTTTTTTGGACCGTCGAAAAACAACACCCTGGAGCTAATGCTTATTGGCGAGGAGGACGCACAGGCAGCGTTGCGCGTGTTTGGCGGGGCGGGTGCGGGAAGGGGCGAGCGCACTACGTCTGATATTGTGGCCATAAGATGCCTCGACTCGGCGTCGGACTGGGCAATGCTTGATACAGTCGAGGAGCGCTTGTGCCCGGAGACGCTGCCGCTGCTCCCGCACCTTTTGTGCTCTGCGTTGGAGAATAACCAGTTATCCGACGCGGAAGCAGAGGCAGCGCCGGCGGCAAACGTGGCTGAGGCTGATGCTGATTCCGAAGAGGTGCTGCGACGCGTCCGGGATATTCTAAGGAGAAGAAGCACGAGTTCAAGCTTAACAACGAGCAGCAGGCGGTACTCGAGCAATCGGTTATGTCTGCCGTGTCGATCTACGTACCAGTGGCCGAAGCCAAGCCAGTGACAATCGTGCACGGACCATTCGGCACCGGAAAGAGCTTTTTGGTCGCTGCGCTCGCCATCACGCTAGATACCATTGTCGGCGAGTTCCCAGCAGTGTTCGGGCATGGTAGCAGTGCCAACCAGCATGTGGATCGAGTCCAGGCGCACAACATTGATTTATCTTTATCTCCTCGACTGCCCCCGCTGCGCATTCTGGTAGCGTCGATGACCAACTTTGCGGTGGACAACATGCTGAGCGCGCTACTCAAGCAAGGGTACGACACGTTTCTACGCGTGGGCAATCTTAAGCGCATCAGCAAGCGCATTCTTCCGTACGTCTGCCGCACATCGGCCAGCGCGACGGACGACGCCAAGGAGCTCGAGGCCATGCTGGACGCCGCCACGGGCCCCGACGGCGACAATGACGAGCGCGACGCCATTGCCACGGCGCTACAGCGCGTGCGGCAGCAGAACGGGCAGGATGCGCTGGAGGCGGCATTTGTAGTGGGCACTACATGCTTGTCGGCGGGGGCCGCAGCGTTGCGCGGACTGGCCTTTCCTGTGGTGGTGCTGGACGAAGCATGCCAGATCGTCGAGCCCATGGCGCTCATTGCATTGGCCTCGGCGTCCTGCCGCCGCCTGGTGCTGGTCGGGGACCCACTGCAGCTGCCGCCGACACTGACCACGCGGTGTTCCCGCGAGGCTGACGGCAACGGGCTTGAGCGTGCGCTGTTCAGTCGTTTGGCGCAATTGGGCCACTCACCGTGCATGCTGGCTACACAGTTTCGGTGCCACCCACGCATCGCCACGCTCTGCAGCGCGCTGTTCTATGGCGGGCGTTTGCGCCACGGGGTTACGGCCGGAGAGAGGCCGGCGCTGATCCCGGGTATGCCGCCGCTTGCATTGCTCGATGTTCCCGGTCAGGAAAAGCAGCAGGGCCGGTCACAGTCATTTTTCAATCGTTCCGAGATTGACATGGCTGTTTTACTGGTGCGCCGCTTGCTGCTTGTTGTGCCGCCAGAGTCTATTGGCGTTATTGCGCTGTACAAGACACAGGCGGATATGCTGCGCGATCAACTGGCTGAGGCTACTGCCTCGGAGCAGCAGCGGTCGCGCGTACAGGTCAGTACAGTTGATGCGTACCAGGGGTCCGAGCGCGATATCATTATTATCTCATGTGTGCGTTCGGATAAAATCGGTTTTATTGCAAATCCCAATCGTGTCAATGTTGCGCTTTCTCGTGCTCGCCACCATTGTATTGTGTTGGGTACTCGTGGTCTGCTGGAGACTAACCCAATGTGGCGCAAAATTATCGAGTACTGTCGCAGCGACGCGGACGGGGTGTGCGGCGCGCAGGCGTTTGTTAATCGCACAACGGCGGCTATAGTGGCTGAGAGGCAGGCTCAGGATGATGATGTGTTGGGCCAGTTTCATGACGAGATGCAAGTTGTGTTGGATGCAGAGGAGAGCAAGATCATGGTCGTAGGCCAGAGCGAAGATGTGAAGACGATGACGTTGTTGTGATCAAGGATGGTCGTGTCAGTGCTACTGCTGCTGATAATGATGTGATGTTATGATGCCGATGATGATACTTTTGGAGCCGTCTCTGCTGTCGACGAATATGATCATGACGGTGTTGTCGGTGGCACACTATCACAATGGTCCCTGTCAGCCATGTCCGAGTGCGTATTTGCCAGTGGAGACGAGAGCGATCTGGACTGCCTTGAAGTCGACTTGGACGATATGTGACGGCTCGCAAGGTAAATTGTAAAGTTGGTAGATAGAATATTTTAATAGGTTTAAAAAATGTAAATGAAAACAGGCTATATTTCAAAATTAAAAATAAAATAGGATGGTCACATAAAAAACAAGCATTGCGCCAATTTTTTCTATGCATTAAAGCGGTCCAGGATCAGTTTGCGCACATGCGGGTCCAGCATGCTCATGCTAGCCTCCCACTCGCTGCCAGCCAGCTGCTTGAGGCCAGCAAATGTCTGCACAAACATTTCCATCAACAAGGGATCGGGTGTCTGCCAGTTAAGCGCCGCCTGGCAAAAGAACAAAAAGGCCTTGGAGATACCCTGAGGGTTAGTACCGATCATCGTCATCATCCCGCGGAATGCCGACGACTTCTCCTCGTTGTCCTTGACAGACAAGAGAACCCTGCACCAGCGCTCCGCGAACACCTCGAGGTTTGGCGCAACTATGGCGGGGCACACGAGACCGAGGCGGCCAATAGTGATCGCTGCGTTCTCTGCAAGCGTCACGGGAGTCGCCTCGTTGTTCAGCAAGGGCACGAGCCGCTCAAGCAGCGGGTTGACGTACGCCTGCATGGCCTCTTCGCCAGCCTTTAGCGCAATCTCACCCACCGACCACGTTGCGTTATTGCAGACGTGGATGTGCAGGTAGTTGCGGTCGATCTGCGGAACCAACTGCTGCATGATGGCATCCAGCTGGGGCTGCAGCAGGCCGAAGCAGTGCACGGCCAGGTCGCCCAGAAGGGCAAATGCCGACTGCCGCACGTCAGTCACCGGATCCACCATGCACATGCCGACGAGCTGAAGGGCAACGCCGTTATGGTCCGAGATGAGATGCTGCGCGTCGTCGCCCAGTGCCTGTATAATCGAGCTGATCAAGTCCAAGGACACAATGACAAGGTCGCGGTCAGGTGCCTCGATCGACGGGTCCTGCGCAGCCTGCTGGCACACTTGCAGCGTCTCGCCAACGATATGCACGCAGCGCTTATACACCTCGGGTGCGTAGGGCGCAAAGCCAGGCCGAGCGACAGCGCAATTGCCGAGAGGCACTCGAACAGAGGGAACATGTGCGGGTCGTCAGTGTGCAAGTTCTCCCAGCGCTCGGCCATGTGTGGCATCAGCATCTGGATGAACGCTGGGTGGTTCAGCTCCGACCCGACGGCCTCTGCCATCGTGCCCACGGCGTCGTACAGGATGATGACGTTCTTGCGCTGGTATAAATGGAATGCCCGCATCAGCGTCTCGAGCACCGGCTGGATGTACGGCACCATGTACGGCCCGGCCATCTCCTCGAGGGTTGCAAACGCGCTACACGCGGCCTCTTGCACGCGCTTGTTGTTGTCGACCATGGTCTCCAGCAGACCAGCCAGCAGGGGCTCGAAGTACACTTTGATCGTGTTGGGCTCCGGCCCGAACAGCGCCCACTTGGCGTACCGGCTGGCCGACCAGCAGGCAATCGACCGCACCAGCGCCTTCTCATCCTTGAACCACCGGATCAGGTGCGGCAGAAGGTTGGACAAGTGCGGCTCCATCCCTGTCATGCAGCCCTCAGCAATCGCGCCCAGCGCCAGGATGCCCGCCTCCTTGACGCGCCAGTCGTCGCTCGCCAGCTCCTCGCGCAGCGCCGGCAGGACAAACTCCAGGACATGGTCGCCAAACGCCGTCGACATGACGTCGAGGCTGGCCGCCGAGCACTTTCGCAGGTTCCACTCGCCGTAGATGTCTTCCTCATCATCGTCGCTATCATAGTCGTAGTCATCGTCGTCCTCATCCTCATTCTCGTCCTCGTCGCTGTCGTTGCCCGCGCCGCCGCCATCATGGTGGTCGTGCGTCCGCGCCTTGTGGTGCCGCGGCTTGATGTCCTGGTCCGAGTCGGGGACAACGGCGTCGTCGTCGTCATTGTCGAGCATCATCAGGTCGCGCTCTGTATACACCATTCCGCGCATCAGCGTTGGAATGACGCGGCTGAGGAATGGCCTCAGGCTCTCCACGAGCTCCTCCTGCTCGCAGAACACAAGCCAGAACTCGCAAGCCTCCATGGCAATGTCAGGATCGCTGTGCTGCGTCGTGTAGATCATATAGTTGACGACGTTCTCCAGCTCAGGCATAAGCTTCTCGGGCCGCGTCTCGAGCAGCGAGACCACCGCGCGGCAGACTGCTTTCAGCACGTCGGGGTTCTCGTCGTTGGCCCGCTTGAACAGCTCGACCACAAACGCATCGATCATCGGCTGCATGCACACCGATCGCTTCGATACAAAGATTGTTGTTGTCGTGATTGCATACTCACGCAGGACAGGCAGGTCAGATGCAAAGAACGTGATGAACTTTGGCAGCATGATGTTAAGGGGGAGCGTGCCGTCGTTAAGGGGTTCGTCCAGCTCCAATCCACACTCCTCGCAGATTTTGTGCAGAATGTCCCACGCTCCCTCCACGACTGGGTACTCGCTCGAGTCCAAGAGCTGCATCAGCCGCGGCAGAATCTCGGGCCAGTTGCGGATCTTACCCAGCGCCACGCTCGTCGCAATCACCGTACCCAGCGTGTGGCGCACCAGCGTGTCTGGGTCTCCGATGGCATCAATTGACTTTCGCTTTACGTACTCCAGGACGTGCGGCGGAATGGTGTTGAAGTCCTGCCGCACGCTGTTTTTCAGAAGCAGACCGGCAACCGCGCGTACCGTCGCGCTCTCCTCTTTCATGGCCACTAGCACAAACAGCAAGTAGTTGATAAAGTCAGGCACTTGCCTGAGCTCTTCAAGGCGCTACATGTTGAGAAAAAGGATTTAATACAAATGCATACAAAAATATACCTTGGCTGGTCACTGAAATGCGTGCATTTGCATTTAAATTCACATCCACATCCGCATCCGAATGCATTGCATTTGTGAGTGAGAGAGAAAGGACAGTCTCAATGATAAATCCAATAAATTCCATACCTGATTGTTCTGCTGCTGAACCTCATTGTCGACAGACTGTGTGCTGTTCAAAAGTTGGATAAGCTGTCTGAGGCTCTCTGGCTCCGGCTGCCACTCCATTATACAAGCTGGTTTACAAGTAAAGACACAAAAAAAGAAGGATAAAGTGATAAAAGAAAGGAAACTAAATAGTTGAATATTGTTTCTATGATTTAAATTGAGTTTGCAACAAAAGAAAAATTTAAACAGAGAAACAATGAAAGAATGTAAATGTGGTGGTTGTAACGAAATTTGAATGAACGACAAAATATAATTGAAATGAATTGAAATGCCAAATTTTTGTTTTTGTTTCGTTGTTTGAGAGCTGAACAGCCACAGGCCAAATTTTCAAAGAAGCCTGACGAACTCTGTGCCAGAGCAGCAATGATACTTTGGAAGGCAATATTTCTCTCTCTGTATTGCAAAAACCCCGCACACAACTGCGTGCGCACCTGCAATCAATTTTTGTAAAAAAATCTCTTCCTCTTTGCGATGATTGGCTGGAAAAATTTTACCTGCCGATTCGCAGCGAACGAAGTCAAAACATGACAGCAACCCGTGACTAGAATATTTTTAATCCAGCTAAAAATTACAATTACATCAAGATTAAAACATTGGTCGCACGTGATATAACCGTTTTGAAAATGTTCATTGAAAAATTAAATCGATTCATCCTGAGTTCCCGATTCAAGCGCAACGAACGACGCTGGTCCGTCGGGAGTCCTAGAACCGGGGTTGTTGAGCGGATGGCAGTACACTGCTTTTGGACCAGGCTTAAACTCAACTTTTGGCGGGTGATTCTGGTCTGAGAACGGTGCATCGTGCGGAAAATAAACAGGCTGTCTCAGCTGGTCCCGTGTAGCTATATCATAGGACACTTTGACCCTGGGAACAACCACTGCGCGTTTGTACCCAGCTGCCCACAAATCGTTGCATAGCAAGGAGCACTCTGAAGCCGAGCACTCCTTAGGTGCACTGCGCCGGAACCTGATGGCAGCCGGTCCCTCGAAAACACGTGCGTCTATAACAGCCAGGCCATTCCAGCAGCACTGTACCTGGAACGGCCGGTTGTACAACTGAGAAACCAATGCATTGCCGTCTTGAGCTATCTCCTGGTACCTGCTCTTGAATGCGTGCCCAAGGATATCGCGCGAAACCCATGTATCGTAGAATGCTAGCGCGCCATGTTGTATTTCAAAGTCTTCGGCGCATGTCAGGTGGGCGCTGTGCACCCGCGATTGGTGCAGCAGCTCAAAGATATCCGGTAGGCAAAAAAAAATGTCATTGAGAAATACCACCCGATTGTACCGAAGGGCTTGTGGTACAGTGGATCCAGTGCTCGGTTGCGCAACTCAGCCATATACTCGATCCGGTGGTTCGACGTCTTGCGTGGCTTGCTGTCAGTCACGATTTTGTGCGGAATCGCAAGAATGCCCAGCATATTTCTGAACTTAGCAAGATATCTTTGGTTTTGTCCGTGGATCCGTTTTCGTAAATTGATATAAACACGCGGTCGCTGCCCATAATATCCGCCAACACGAGAAGCTGCGCCGCCATGTTTGCCAGCACTCGCTCGCTGTTGTAAAGATTCGCAGCCACAAATATCCGACCAGTACCGCTTGTAATATTGGAGTATCGCTGTCAGCAGTTTTGATAAACGCACTGTCAAAGTTGTTGCTCCCACAAAACGCATGCAAGCTTTCGCTATTTACGTCTTGATGAATCTGTTGTAGATACGCATCAAAACGGGTTCTTGTTGCTGCTACCTGTTGTGGATATATACTGGCGTGGCTGTGTGGGCTGAGACTGGAAAGCGCCCACAAACTTGCATTTTGTTTTTTGGCACACTGCCTGCGTCTACAGCATCTGGGCTGAAACAATAGAGTGCGATACTGCTCACAGCCATTATTATTACCAGTGCTGAAAGCAGACTGGCTGCAGATATGTGCTGGTGCAAGATAACCATGATGGTGGGTGATTTGCGAGATTGGTGAGAAAAATGACAATGCAACATGAAGCATACAACAGGAAGTGGAGAGTCAAGGGTATTTATGTGATAATGGCTCCATGCCTAAATATTTAGTCGATAATTCAAAACAAGCAAAGAGAACCGGGTCAGCTTAAAAGCTTTTTTTTACCTGTATGAACAATACTAAGTAAATGTTGTCGAGTAAACAAGCAAAACTTGCATTATTGTTTCCATCAGGCCGATCTTCACTCCACTCACTCATGATATCAGAAATTTTGGCATAATGACGGAGGTAGCAATTATTATATAAATAGATCTCTGGGGACAATTGGCTTTTCTTTTCCTACAAAGTTGAGAATGATCTTTGCAATAGAGCTAGTTTTATACTTTCTAATAAAGTGGTTTCTTGCCTTATTAAATAGGTTGTAAAATTAAAAAAGGTTACTCCAAAAATCAAAACAACCAGCATTCAACATATCACGAAGTAACCAAACTATATTGCGCCAGTAAAATTTTGAGAATGCGAGAACATGAGCACCTGCGCATATATGCAAAAAAAACACAGGCATTGCAAAGAGTAATACATGAACATTTTAAGTACAATTGATATGTTGACCAGTGAGACAGTTTATGCCAAAGTGGCTGAACCGATCAACGCGGCGTATTGTAGAATTACTACGCTGTGATCTGATTAACAAAAATCTTGAAAATTCTCCAATTTATAAATGTTTTTGCACTGTTAAGCATCAGGACATTATTTTTTTAAAGTTGGCATCGACACAATTTTCTTCTTTTCTTTGGCGCTTAAATATTCAAATAAAAAACACTCAATTCAAAGCCATTTATTAACTCAACCATGCCCCCGAAGCGTAGCAGACACCAGGGGAACACAGAGATGCCGGCCTCCCTGGCCAAAAAGCTCGATCGCAACGCAGCGGCGGCCGAGTCCAAGGGCGCTACCGACGACGGGCGGTTCACAAAAAAGTTTAAAGTCAACGCCAAGACGCGCAAGGATGTGCGCAAACAGGCCCGCAACGACAAAAAGCAGCGCAAAAACGAGTCTCACGCCGAGCGCGCGGATTCGCCACCACGCCCACGCCAAAGTCCAACCCCAAGCAGACAAAGGTCAAGCCGGCAGCAGACTCCAATACTGCGAAGAAGCAAAAGCCGGAAGTTGCTAAAAAGCCCGCGGGGAACACCGAGGAGGAGGAGCGGGCCAGGTTGACGCGGTTTGCTAAGCGCAATGAGGGCATGTATCAGCTGCTTAGGGACTCGAATTTGATCGCCAATGTTGATGAGGAGGCGGGCGTGCGCTCAAAGGCAGATGGCACGGATGATATGGAGGACCGGGAGATGCGGCGACTGGAGCGCAACCTGGGAATCAAATCGAATCAGAAGCTGGCTGGTGCTTTCTTTGAAGAGGGACTGGGTGATCTTTTCGAGGGCATAGAGTTTGGCTCGAAGAGTGTGCGCACTGCCAAGACAGAGGCGGCTATAGTGGCGACGAAGACAGCTGTGCCGGCAGCAAAGCGCGCAGTTGCTGACAAGCAGGCACGGCAAGCTAGCCCCCTTGTTTCAGAAGACGAGGACAGCTTTGGAGACGATGACGACATTGAAATGGCCTCTAGCAGCGGCTCGGAAGAAGAGGACGATGATGAGAGCGATGACAATGATGAGGATGAGAGCGAGGGTGAGAGCGAGGACGATGAGAACGTCAAATTCGGAGTCGCAGAGGATGATGACGACGACGACATGTTTGGGCTCAACGACTTTGGTTCAGATGCTAACGACGATGGGTCGGACTCGGAGGACAGCGACATTGCCGAGATGTACCGGAGTCAGGGCGTTGACATCAACCCTGATCTTTCTGCTGGCTCGGATATGGGCACCGATGCCGATAGCGACAGCGACATTGGGAGTGACGAGGACGACATTGGCAGCGGTGGCGACTTGGAGTCTGAGAGCGATGAGGACAGTGCATCCGAGGCTCCTGCGCCAAGTGCTAAGGCAGTCGATGTCAGCGCCGCCGTGAGCAAATACATCCCGCCCAGCCTGCGCCGGAAGGAGGCCGAGGCCGAGGATGAGCGCATTGCTGCCATTCGCAAGGCCCTGCAAGGTCAGCTCAACAGGCTCAGCGAGAGCAACATCGAGGGCATTATTACGCAGGTCGAGGCGCTGTACCAAAAATACCCTCGCCACCACGTCACCGATGTGCTGGGAGACCTGATTCTGCAGGCGATTCGCTCGCGCACCCACATGCTGGACTCATTTTTGTACGTCAACGCTGCGTTGGTAGGCGCGGTCTATAGGGCGGTTGGGCTGGAGCCCATCGCACACATGGTGCAGAAGCTGATGGAGGAGTTTGAAAAGTACTTTTCCCAGGGCCAAGCCGACTTTATCGCATCCAAAGAGAAGGAGACTTCAGGCGAGGACGAGGGCGGCGAGTTCTCAACAGGCAAGGAGTGCCAGAACCTTAGCGTTTTCATTGCTGAGCTGTACAACTTCCAGGTTATCTCATGCCAGCTGGTGTATGATGTGATCCGCATGTGCATCACGGACATTAACGAGTTCACAGCCGAGCTTCTTCTCAAGGTCATCCGCATCTCGGGAGTACAGCTGCGCCGCGACGATCCCTTGGCGCTTAAGGAGATTGTTCATCAGGTCACGGATACCGTGGGCAAGGCCGGCACGGGCGCGTTTTCAGTGAGGTGCCAGTTTATGGTCGAGAGCCTGACGCACCTGAAGGACAATCGCATGCGCAACACCATGTCGCAGAATGCGGAGAACGTCGTGCGGCTGAAAAAGTTTCTGGGCAACATGGACAAGCGGCGGTCGGTTACGTCGACAGAGCCGATCAACATAGGCCTGCAGGACATCCGCGACATTGGGACCAAGGGCAAGTGGTGGCTGGTCGGAGCATCCTGGATTGGCAACCAGCACGACGGTGAGCAGCAGAACGACTCGCTGGCAGCGCGCGAGGCTCTGCGCAAGATGAAGGAACAGACGGGTGACAGTGAGATGGACCGTCTTTTGCGTCTGGCGCGCGAGCAGCACATGAACACGGATATCCGGCGCAGCATTTTGTCACTCTGCTGAGCAGCGAGACTACGCCGATGCGTTCGAGCGACTGCTCAAGCTGGATCTGAAGAAGGCCCAGATCCGCGAGGTCGTGCGCGTCGTGATGCACTGCTGCGGACAGGAGGCCGCGTATAACCCTACTACACGCTGGTAGCCTTCAAGCTGTGCTGCTACCACAACACGTACCGCTTGACCATGCAGTACGCGTTGTGGGACTTTTTGCGCGAGATGGGCGAGACCGACGTGGGCGGCCTCGGTAGAATCGGGCAAGAGGACGATAACGACATCTCGAACGTGCCTCTGCGCCGCATTGTCAACCTGGCCAAGCTGTACGCGTGGCTCGTCGACAAGCAGGTGCTGTCGCTGATGATCCTCAAGACCGTGACGTTTGCCAAGGCCGGCAGCAGGCGCGGATTTTCTTCCAGGTATGTTCTCAACAATCTTCTTGCAGCACAAGAGCAGAGCAGCAAGGACGAGATAGCGCTGTATGAGATCTTCCAAAAGGCCACGGCCAACCCGACCATGTGCCACGGCATCTTGTTCTTCTTCCACCACTTTGTAAAAAACTGCGAGCTCGTGACAGAAGAGGAGAGGCCCCTGATGAAGTGGGGATGCAAGGTCGCCAAGCAGGTCTTCCGCAACGCTGCAGGATCCGACATGCGCGACGAAACTTTTTGAGTAATAACCACCGCGTGGGTCAGACGAAACAGGACCAATTGTGGCCTGCCAAAACAAAGCAATGTGGCCACGCAACAAAATGAAAGCCTTTAGCAATTTTTATTTCTTTTATTTTGTTTACTTTTTTTAGCTGTTTATATAAAGCAATGTAGATCTGTTTTACTTTTTCAGACGCTGCTGCCAACGAGGACGTTGTAAGAGGGCATCTGCCGATTGTCGGGAACTTGTGGAAAAAAATATGTGGGCGGCAGTGGTTATAACCTTGCAGCAACAGTCGAGCTTTTGTGCAAATCGAAAACAACACCTTCAACATACCAAAACAAAAGACGCGTGGTGCGGGCTGTGGGCTGTGGGCGCATCACATTCGCATCTGTATATTGGGCGAAGGGCGCCACTTATCAATATACTCTTTAAGGCCCACGTATCTTGCGTGCTGCCTGGTTGTGTTCCTGTTTCGTATCTTTCTTCTTTATTTTATTTTTTGTCCTGCACAGCTAACTGTACCCATTTGGTTACAACAACTACTACTATTACTACTGCTGCTGATTTTTCACTCTTCAAGTCCTCTTTCACCCCCCCACATCTACTTGTTACCGTTATCGGGTAAACACCTCCATCCCCACACAAACAAACACACTCACATACACCATGCCTGAGCTTCCAGAGGTCGAGCGCGCGCGGCGACTGCTGCACTCGCGATGCATCAACAAAGAGATAACCTGGGTGCGCGCAACTGACGACACCATGGTATTTCCCGAAAAGCGTGGGCACTCGCTCTCCCTAATGCTGAAAGGCCGGCGCGTCATCGACACCGGGCGACGGGGCAAGCATTCTGGCTAGTTCTTTCCGGAGGAATCAGTCTGATGATGCACTTTGGCATGACGGGGGATATCCACATGAGCGACGAGGCCGATAGCCGTTACCGCAAGATGGGTGTTGACGTTGGAGGGGCGTGGCCGCCGCTGTATACCAAGCTGGAGATGGAGTTTGGCAAGGAACTGGCGGTTGCGTTTACTGATCCCCGGAGGCTCAGCAAGATTCGCATATTTGACGGCAATGCGGTGGACAGCCCGCTAGTGAAGAGGCTCGGGTTTGATCCGATTCTGGACCCTCCTGGGTTCGAGGACTTTAAGGGTGCCCTGGCGAAAAGGCGCGCGGCAATCAAGGCATTGCTTCTTAAGCAGGAGTTCTCCGCCGGTATCGGCAACTGGATTGCGGACGAGGTTCTGTACCAAAGCAAAGTGCATCCGTCACAGCCGGCTTGCTCACTGACGGATACCCAGGCAAGGATGCTTCTGGAGCAAATACGCTCGGTGTGTATTACGGCGGTTGAGGCAAATGCTGACAGCAACTTGTTCCCACCAAACTGGCTGTTCCATCATCGCTGGGCAAAGGGAACGATTAAACCGAGGCAGCCTAAGATGCCTAATGGACAGGGCATTGAGTTTGTGACTGTCGCTGGTCGAACATCGGCGTTTGTGCCTGAGATACAGGTCCTGTTGGAAACAGACATTACTGCCAGCGATACGGAGGATGACGGAGATGAGGATGATGAGGAGTCGTACGAGCGCTTGCAGCCGCCGCCTTCTGAGCCTTCTAAGCCACGGAGAAAATTCCGGCTAGGCCGCGCAGTCGAGTAAACGAAGAGAAGTAATTTTTTCTTCGTATTTTAACATTTGGGAAAAAGTGAATGCAATTGCAATAAACAATTTTTTTACATTATATCATGCAGCTGCTGTGCCGCTCAACACTTTGAATGAATCAGGTTTCCCCCAACGTACACACGAGAGATATTGCGGTCATCCGCAAGGAAGACAAACTGCTCCAAGCGCAGCCTCCACGCCTCTATTGGATCAAAGAGACACGAAATGGCAAATGTACTCTCGACCGACGGCACAGGAGAGGCATGCGCAGACAGGTCGATGACCAGGGCGTCAAAGAGCTTGCCAGCATCGAGGCTGCCGAGACTCTCAGCCATGCCCATCACGCGGGCTCCACCTTGCGTGGCCAAAAAGAACATCTCTGCAGCCTCCAACGGAACGTCATATCTACCTGAAAGATCCTCCCCGCTCAAGCGCTTGCTGGCAATCAGTGCCGGTTGGTAGCAGCAGCCATCCGCATGGCGTCGAGGATCGAAGGCGTGTATCCGCCACCGACATCGGTGCCCAGGCCGACAGGGATGCCCTGGGCGACAAAGCGCCTGACGTCGGCGAGCCCACTGCCCAGCGTAAAGTTCGATGTTGGGCAGTGGCTGATCCCGGTACCTGTGTCGCGCATGATTGCGAGTTCTTCTGCGGTCATGTGCACGCAGTGCGCCATGATGGTGCGGTTGCCAAGCAGACCATGCTTGTGATAGATCTCGGTGTAGCTAGTGCACTCGGGGAAGCACTGTCGTGCAAACTCGATTTCTGAAGGGTTTTCGCACAGGTGCGACTGGATCGGTAGCTGGTACCGCTTGGCCAGCTCGCCCAAGGCGCCTAGACACTCGGACGAGCACGACGGGGCAAATCGCGGCGTAATAATGGGCGTCACCAGTCGGGTGTCTGCGGGACAATTGCCTTGACCGCCCAGCACCTGCTTAATAAACTCCTGCGTCTGCTCGATGCTTTCAGCAGTCGATTCGGAGTAGTAGTCCGGCGAGTTGGCGTCCATGCATACTTTGCCGACAAATGCACGCTGTCCGGCATTACGGATTGTGTCTGCCAAAATGCGGTTGGCTTCGAGGTGGATAGTGCCATAATACGCCGCGAATGTGACGCCGTTTCTAATCACCCGGTCTATTGCGCCCTTATAGAACTTCCTGGCAAGCTCCGGGTCCTTGAACTCGCTTTCGTGCTTGAACGTGTACTTGTTCAGCCAGTCCATCAGCGGCAGGTCGTGTCCGATGCCTAGAACGAGAATTGTGGCGCGTGCGTGTGCGTGTCGATAAAGCCGGGCATCAGGAACTGGTCTGCAAGGAGCCGCGTTGTCTCAATATCCGCCTCACTAACCTGCTGTCCTGTCCACTGCTCAAATAGCTCTTTGGCAGGTGTGCCTGAGCTTTCGCTGGTTCCTACAATACGACCTGTGCTGCGATCGATGCCCAGCGCGCCGTTGACGAGAATGCGCAGCTCGCCCATGACCGGAGTGTCAACAATGCAGCCAGTAAACAGGCTGAACTTTGCATGAGCCATTGGTAAATCCAAAAAGGTTAATAAAGGTGGTGTGAAATATGTAAAAAATAAAATAAAATGAAGCAAATGGAAAAAAAGAATGAAAAGAAGAAAGGCAGAAATAATGGTTTTGAAAAGACGGACTGTCAAAGGCAATTTGCAAGCAGTGTGTCGATGCGATTTGTGCTTACTTTCTTTTTTAAAAAATTACCTATTTGCACCTTCTTTCCGATAGCAAGTAATCACTGGACATGTGATGCAACACCCGATTAAGAATACAAAATAAAATAAATAAATTATTCATCCAAGGTCACAGTCGGTTTTCAATTTATGCATTATTGTTGTGCATTTATTTTTTGGAAAAGGAACCGCACATAATTAAATCCAATCCAAAAAATGCACAAGCTAGCAGATGACGTATCCCTATTTCTTTTTTTACTTTTTGAAAAAGCTCCCATGAAATAAGGCACAGGTTGATAGCAGCCGCAAGACGGCTCAACTTTTTTAATTAATTTCTGGAAGACACAGTCGATTCGTACGTCTAATTTTTGGGAGATCTGCTAATATTAAAATTAATATAAAATGTATAGGTCTAGTCACAGTACGGTATTTGATTTACTTGTGCTTCTCATTCAGCCAGTTTAATGATTATCCGCCGTGCGCAAAACAGATCGATGCGCCGTGTTGTGCCTGCATTGCATTGAGTTGGGTTGCATATCTTTTTTATATATCCATTTGTCAAAAAAATACAAAGTAAAAGTCAAAATTATCCACTCATTTGAATTGTTCAGCACGCATATCACTTGCAGATCAGCTCAATGTAAAAAATGGACGAGCGTGGAGGGGGGATTGGAGAGTGATGAAAAAAACGTTTTCAATTCTTACATATATATTTTTACTTGGGCACAAATTAGGAAGTTGACTGAATCTCATTCACCAATGCTTCGGAAATATATGATCAGTGGACATTTTGTCACTAAATCTAGAACGAAAGCAATTGCACGAATGCCCCCGTGCTTAGAAATTTTTTAGCCACATCACCCGCTTGTTCCATTCACAAATGCCTGTTACAATACTAATAAAAAACTATGCGACTCTCCACAGTGCGAGACTAAAAAGATGATTAAATCTATATATATGAAGGGAGAGTAGCCCAAGGCATCGAAAATAACTAAAAAAGAACAATTCCATCATTTTCAATATTCATTTTTTTTTTCTACTTTGGTATAAAAAATTCATTTTTCAGCAGCGCTACACACCTGCATACATTCACATATTATCTATAAAAACTTTATGTTTCTTCCGAGTGTTCGTATTTTCACGCTTGGCGATATCGTTTTGCAAGGGGCACCGTCAGAGTCGCCTGCGTACATATTCAGCGGCCGCGTCATGGTCAAAATCAACGTACCCACGAGCGTCCGCTTGCTAGAGGTTGTTTTCCAGTCAGAACAAGGTACTTAAGAAATATATTGAATGGATATCTATTGATTTAAAGATGCTATGCGGAAAAAAGCATACTGGTTTCCAAGAATAGTTCACAGATTAAAAACGATATGTATACACGCAACTACACACGTCACATTTGCCATTTTTTATTAGGCAGTCGGTGGCTTCAGCTGACGCGAACGGCGCCTAGAAACGTCAACCAAAACGTGTTGTACCGAGACGTGCTGTACACCGGGGACAGCCCGAGTCCAGCGCAGTGTGGAATAAGGGTTCGTACGAGTTTTATTTCCAGATGATCATCCCCGGGCACCTGTGCGAGACCATGTACACAGAGCACAAGCGCGTAGCCTACGAGGTACGAGCAACATTGGTGGCTGGCAACACTCTGGCTGGGGCCCGACGAACAACAACAATGCCAATTGCTGTCAAGCGGGTGCCATACTTTGGTGCTGTTTGGGAATCCATAGCCAACGACGTTGTTCATGTATCGGCGACATGGCGCAATAAGATCGAAATGTGCGCGTTGGGGTGCAGTCGGGTGCAGCGTGACAACCAGCCGCTGCGTGTCAAGGGCGTTATTCGAGCGCTGGAGAAGGGATTCAAGCTGACGCGTGTTGGGTTCATTCTTGAAGAGCGCACTCGCAGTAGGCTTCCAGGCGCTATCGGTGGCGTGAAGTGCTCGTCGAGCATTGCTGCGTGTAAGTACCTGCGGGCCAAGGACGGGGGCGAGCATGCTGACTGGCACGACAGCTTTATTGTCGATCAAATGTCCTTTGAGATGGAGTTAGACATACCCAAGGCCTATGGAAAAATACAGTACGACATAAAGCATGGTCCTGTCACTGTCAGCCACCGGCTGGCGTTTGTGGTTGCTGTTGTCGACAAGCTGGGTCGTGGAACCAGCTTGCGTCTGTTTACTCCGCTGCACATCATGCCTCACGACTGGGTTGATACTGGCAACGAGCTCCCTCGTACGTCAACTCTTTTTCCGACAGGGTTCTTCTGAAATCAAACGCGCAACAGAATCCCAATTGGAGAGCTGAATTTAGGCATTCTGCTGTCCCTGCTTCTGGGATGGCAGCATCAGCTACAGTCTCTTATCCCGTATTGACTATATTTCGCGACGATAGCGCCAGTCTGAACGAAGGCATTCAAAGCAACGTTTTTGATGGAGGTGAATACGGGGATAGCTCTTTTGTTCGGCCAAGTCACGACATTGTGTCATTAAATCTGGAACGGAGTTTGGAGACATTTTGACAATTGCAACCCTCGCTTACTGTAGATCCGGATAATAAAAAGTAGGCAAAAAATACGGATACCGGGGTAACTAAAAAAGAGATGCAATGGTAATAAAGCGGCCGGTTGCAGATATATTCCCTTTTTGGCATATATTAAATATTAGATATAAAACATAGTGCCTTTTTGGGTGTGCATGCATGTATGCATGCGTAAGAGGGAGATAGAGAGGCAGTGCAAAAATATTGACAAATAAAAAATGTAATCAAAAAAGAAATGAATGTTGCCAAACGCTGACAATACCACCTTTTCTTCGACACTGAGTTCTGCTAGTATCTCTGGTTGCCAATTTTTATATCTTTTAGTAGACGGATTTGTGTTTATTAGCCTAGCAGCAAAATATTCTAAGAAAAAGCTTTAGAAACGAATGCGCGTATCCAACCTCACGCATTTATATTTTCTGCCAAAGGCAAGTGCGACACACTGCTTCTACACATTGATGTTGCCTTCGGGTCCCTTTTTTATATCATATGCATTTTCTGATACACATCCATTGTTTACACTTTTATAATATTTTTTTGCCTGCGCATTCCCCATACGATGGTGACCACTCGCACCATTTTTAGTACTTTTAAAAATACGACTAGGGGTCCGAAGAAGGCTTTTAAATCATTTTCGCGTTTTCGATTTTTAACTACATGCCAACTCGTCTTGTGTATGTAAAAAATTGGATTAAAAGAGCCTTGTATTATTCTTTTTTCTTTATCTTTATATTCTTTTCCATTTACCTATCTATCCACACAAGTATTCATTGTTTCCAATAACTACGCTACTACTAAAACTGCCTCCTCTTGCTTTGATAAATACACCACTCGCCGCGCTCCAGTGCTTCTGGGCACTCTCCTGTTTACAGCGGTACTAGCAACTCTGAAAGTTCTGATCCGTCTGGCCCGGCTAGTCCTTCTAGCCTTTTCTTATTCCCGGCATGGGCGGGCTTCCGCGTAATTCTGGAGCCACTCGCTCGCCGAGTCTCCGCCATACTCCTGGGACTTCTGGCATTCTGTCCGCTCCACGCGTGTCTGGACTTCTCAGTTCTGCTGGGAAAAACGGCGCCACGAAGAGACAATCGATGCGTGAGACGGGGATAAGCTCGCTACCCAAAGTCGCTGCACAATGCCTCCGGAATTACAACCACACCGCTTTTGTCTTCTTTTGCTGTAAATATTACACGCACAGGCACAGCACCCTCGTCACGCAGCCAGAATGTAACTTCACTAAAAACTTTGAGAAGCAGCATTCAATAAGCGGTGCCATGGCGAATAGTTGATAACCAGGATGCAGATGAGCATATGGCCCAACGCTGTCGCCGCTTGGAGCCACAGCCACAGCCGAAGCCAGATCTGGAGCCGGAGCCACAGCTCAAGAAAGACCTGGAGTAGCAGTTGGAGTTAGAGCCCGAACAGGGTTTAAAGCAGGACTCGAATAGGAGTCTGAGCAGGAAAAGGAGCAAGACCAGAAACATAAGTCAGATTCAGAGCAGGATTCCGACTCGGAGGCTGACGACTTTGTTGTGTCATCGAAGTCGTCAAAAACGCAAGGGCGAAAGCAGAATTAAGCTTAACGGCTGCGCATAATACATGGACAACAAAGGGGTATCTATCAGCACGAGATGCAACACAGCCTCAAAATGCTGTGCTGCATAAAGCTTCTGCCGATTCGGGACTTCATGTTTTGAAAGTGAAGCAGCTAGTTTGTAATAATATTTCTATTTTTTCCTTAAGATCAACAACATTTCTGCTTTGCGGCGGTATTGATTGATTTTGTATTAAATATATAAATTGACTTTCAATATTATTTCTTAGATTACTCATGCGTTTTTTATATAAAAAAAGTAAAACGAGGTAAAATAATACCAACGCAATAGCTATGCGCATTAGCAGGTCCGCGCAATTATATGCGATATGAGTATATGCGCCCAATATTTGTGCCGCATACAATAACCGCTGTATTTAGTATTTATTGAACTTGAATTAATAACGGATAGTGGGCAGTAGTGTATATGGAAATAGAGCGCCTCGCACTCAAGCTTTACAATTCATTTAATATGGTGAATACAGCCGTAGACATATGCTTTTTACGTGTTGTTACTGATATTTCTTTCTTCCTTTCTTGTCCTCACGTTTTTGTAGCGGTATAATCCTTTTTATGCTCTCAACACACGCTCTATCCTCAAGGTCGCGCTTTTGACTCAAAGTTGACTGACAGCATTAACATAATCTTTACACAAGTTGCTTGTATTATTTTATAATTCTGTAACAAGGAATCTGTTAGAGCCGTATAATGATGTATGCGCAGAACAAGTCGTCCAAGCCCAATGTGCTTGCCAGTTTCTGACCCTGGTAACGAGTATTTATTTACGAGTAATTGCACTGCCGCGGGCCATGGTGGACTTTGCTTTGCACATTATACAGTTATTTGAGAGCTTTATGTTGTCGATCGTGTGGGAGTACCGGGGCGACAACATTTTACAGTTTGTGCTTAGGCATCAGTTTATTCAGTCCAACGTAGTTGTAATTACGGAAAGCTACAATATCAGCGTAGCAGCGGGTGCCAAAAAGCTGGCAGTATCAGATCGCAAGGTGTGCAAACTGATGACAGCGAGAACTCTGGCGTGTTTATTGACACAAATCAACAAAACATTACAAGCTACCGTCAAATGAGGAAGAGGCTAATAAAAATAATTCCAAGCCAGGAATTACACCTGAGCTGCAATTCCTGACAACAGGGCTCAACACTGTAGACAACAAATGATACACACGCTGGGGCTGCTTGATGGGGCAGTTCTGATATTGGCAGCGCTGAAAAAGTACCTGCTCTGTCTGAAGACGGACTAGACGCAGCAAACGACATGTTTGAAGGTGACAGCTTGCCTTATACAATCGAAAATCAGGGACTGACAGACATTAACACTGTGCTGGCGGAAACAACGATCCATTCACAGCTATTGTCAAGCACGATGCAGACGCAGGCGTTATGATCAGCAGTTTGGCTGTGGAATACAACAACAGCGTATTCTCTGACTTTGAGACCAAGCTAACCACTCCGGCAGACCAGGAGTTGTCTCTTGACGAAAAAAGAAGCATTTCAATTGATGAGAATAAATTTGGGAGCTGCGAAATCGTAGCCATGACAGAGACATCAATACCGAACAGGGAATTGTAGAAAATTACATTGGCAGTTCCGGCTCCAGCGCCAGTCATGTCACAATGACGATTGCTGACAAGGTATCCAGCGACACAACACTAAAGCATGTGCATTACTTGGATTTAGTTGTTGATGGCCCACAACCAAAGTCAGAAAATGTAGATGCAAGCGCTGAGTCAGCTACAAATGCAATAGGCGCTCGCTCGCGCAAATTTAGTCTTAAAAAAGAAATCAAGCGGCGCTCGTGGTTTGGAAAAAAAGCTGCTCTCAAATAAATTTCTCAAATTATTTATACATAAATTTGTTTATTTTTAACTTTTATATTATTATTCATTACCCACACATATTTCAACTGCATTATTACTCGAGACACATTGTAGCGCTGGTATTTTGAAATTATCAAAAATAAATTATTTTGAACATGAACACGTGAAAATTGCTGTGCCCAGTGGCTTTGCTTTGAACATATCTAGCCCTCCCTTATTCCCCACATTTAATCGCGTCAGTGCAATGCAATGTAATGTCACTTAAAAACTAGCGAATCAGTTCATGTTTCTGAATTGCAAAACCCTGAAAAATCCTATTTGCATGTGAATGCTCAAATCGAAATAGTGATATGGCAATCTTTCTTTAGAATTTAGTGCGTTGGGGTAGTTTATTTTTGTCAATTTCACATGTTTTAACATAAAAACACATGAACTGATATTTTGCAAATTGGCCAGGTACATATAAATAGAAGCTTCCGATGCCGAATCAATAAGCTATCTGTTTTCTTTTATTTTGTCTTTCTCAATGTGCCACGCAATATATGCAAACTCGTGATTATTTTACTCCCCAAAAACATATTCTTATTTTGGTCAGCTTTTCATAAATATTAAACCGGCACCGCTGCTATGAATAATCTGCTCTCTATTATTTCTCACTTCTACTGTTTAAAGGCATTAGTTCAATTCATATTTTTGATGTCATACTCATGTTTTATATACAAGCAAGATTGTGCCTGATACCTCATTTGTTGTGCTGCAAGGTTTGCCGTCTGAGGCGCCAAGCAAAAATCTGGCTGGCCGTGTGCTGATTCGCCTTAATCGCCCGCTCAAAGTGAAGCGCATTTCCATATACTTTCAGTCAGTCGGCGCTAAGAAAGGATACTTGCGGGGGTACCCCGATTTCATCAACCACCGCTGCAAGACCATTGAGCGCGAGCTGTTTGCAGCAACAGATATTCCTCTTAGATACGCATCTGGGATGCAAACAACGGGATACCCTATGAATTTCCATTTTCATTTTCAATTCCTGGGCACTTTCATGAATCAGCGCACACTGAATTTGGACGCATAGATTATGGCTCAAAGTTGCCATTCACTACAGCGGCTTTGGATTTAACACATGGACGCGGTCGCTGCCCATCCATATCTTCCGAGTTCCTGAGCAAGGCTCGGCTAGAGACATTGCATTGACTAGCTCTTTCCGTATGCAGCTGGACTGGTTCGACGCAATCAGGCTGGACGTGCTAAGCGATACTATGGCCATCGCCGCCAATTCTAAACTGCACGTACAAACAATTGTTCGGCCTCTGCAAAAGGGACAGATGCTTGCAAACGTCGAGATACGGATATATGAGAAGACCCGTGTCAAATGTGCAGTTGACAGATTTGGAGATCCGCACGAAGGCAAGCATATTATTTGCCAGAGTCAGCAGCCGATAGACACCCCGATGGAGTGATGCACGCGCTGCCCTTGCACCAAGAGCACTGCCTCAATCTGACGCTCAGCATTCCAAAGGCATTTTACGGTGTCCAGTACGATGTGGAAACTACCAGCCTGAGATTAAGCACGAGTTGGTACTCACAGCAACTGTTTTGGACGATTTACAGCGGCCTCATTATTTGAAGATATCTTCCCCGGTCCTGGTTGCCCCAATGCTGCTCTGGAGTTATCGTTTGTCGAGCTGCCAACTTACAAAAATTCTACCTTTGACCGCTGGTTTTGGCAAACGCCACAACAGCTTGCACAATCCGCCGAATTACCACAGCATCCTCCGAGCTATCACAGCAAAATCACAGTCTAGGTCCTAAATCAAGGTCCATATACAGGCGTTTTTTCTGGCTTTAAATACCAATTCAAGTACTCTATCCTAACAAATAAAAACAAACAAACAGAGGATACTTCTGAACTCTTGCTTATAAATTGGAAAAATTGCGCAAATATTCAATGGCACTGGGTTTTAGGGATGCTAGTAGCTGTTATTATATAAAATATATTTTACTTTTTTCTAAAGTTAAACAATGAATAAAAGCGATATTGAACATTAAATATTCATAATTCCAATTAATTGGTGGCGACGCGTTTTGCCCATCTAGTTGCACGCGGGAACGTTGGCAGGACGGCCATCACCAGGCAGAGAGTAGAATGATTGTGTGTAGTAGTTTCCGGCTCTTCCGGCGCCAAAGTACGCCATGTTCGGGCTGACCATGTTGGCCAGATGGCCAGAGCTGTTCTCAAGCGTCTGCTGTGCCTGCTCGGGGGTCTCCATGCCGGCGGCGACGTTCTCAGCAGCATTGTCCCAGCTAATGCCAGCGTTTCTCAGACGATCGCCGATTCCACCCTCCGGGTCATTGTGGGTCATTTGCTGAGTGCTATATTGGTAGTCCGAGTGCTTCTGAGAGACTGAGATGGCCTCGGGCGAAAGACCAAGCGGCTGGAGGCCACGTTGGGTACGAATATAATTAATGCGGCAGACCATAGTAGTGATCCAGTCGGGATCACTGTTACCAGAGTCCGTGGGAGATGGAGTAGCAGAAGACAAAGACGAAGACGGGGATTCGGCAGCCTCTGACGTGTCAGCATCCGAAGAAGAGGAAAGGACAGGGTCGATCTCATCTGCGCTCGAAGCTGATGTTCCTTCCGACAAGTCCGAAGACGAGGGGGCATCTTCGGTTGAAGACTTTTCAATGCTGTTGGTCGGAGCAAATGAAGTCTTGGTAGCATGGTGAACATGAGTGACGCTGACCACGGTGTTGACGACACTCTCGGCGTCCTAATGACTGTGACAACACGGGGGGATGCCTGGACGGTGACAGCGGCGAGCGTGATGGCAGTGACAATGCTGGTAAACCTCATCGTGTTAATTGAAAGCTTGAAACCAGTATAAATATAAAACAAAAGATAATTTAATGTAATTAGCACTAGGCGAGAGAGGATATACGAATGAAAGCAATTTCGCTCTGCTTTTATAACTGCCATCTCTTCAGAAAAGAGTCGCTTCTAATGTTTTCATTTCTTGTTCAAATTCGCATAGATCCCGCCTACCGATCGGTATTGGTGTGCCTCCTTTAATTTAGGTTAGAGTTACACCATTTTCATTTTGCTAGTTTAATATTTCCCTCAGTGCACAATTTCGCACATGTGTAGCATATGCATTAGCTATATTGTTTGTTTGGTGTGTTTGTTTGTAGTTTTGTGATTGGCCTATTTTTATTTGCCATCGAGAGGTTGGCTCCACAATTTGTAAATGTAAATGTAAATGTAAATCTTAGTCTTGTCTTTTATTTATTGGGTTGTAGATAGATGTGCACCTCCCCTTTTAAAAAACAAACACTGAGTGCGGGCGCTACAAACTCTGTATTTTCTTTGGCTGCTGATACCAATGTGTACAAAGAAACGGTTTGCTATGATTGCGCAAACAGGCGTAAAAAGAAAAGAAAAGAAACATCATTCCCATATCTATGACCAGGCCTCCAATCGTTACTTCGACTCGGGATTAAGCTCGACATAATTCTCGGGAATCAGCCCAACCTGGTTGCCCTTGTATCCGACCAGCCATCCGTCACACTGCTTGTATGTAATGTGCAGTATGTCATTTTCGAAAAAGCCAGCTCGGTCGGGTTCTCCGCTATAAAGTCGTAAAGCGCCCTCGCCGTGCGCGAAGGTGTTGCGCCAATCTCGGGAGCATCGTCGGACTGGATATTGGGTCCTCCAGAAACAAACGAAGACCATGGGTCAGATTCCTCTCCTGAGTCGGCGTCGTCCTCAACCTCGATTTCTTTGTGGTGGCCCTCATAGCGCGGGTCGCCTTTGGAGTACGCAAAGTCGCGAATGACAGAGTCTAGCATAGAAAGTGCAGCAAATAAGCGTGTGGTTTATATCAGAGCCAAGCTTTTAGACAATTTCAATTCTGGGCTGGCTCTGCTTGCAAGCATGTTGCCACCGACCCTGCCAGCAAGGCAATATCACAAATGCACATGCAAATTCTGGCTTATTACCTTTGGATATGCTAATCGTCATGATGTAATTCTGTATTTCGGATATATTACGCAGCTCAAGTTGCGAGGGCAATTCGTATCAGGGGGAAGGTGCTGTCGTAAATGATGAAAATAAGTATAAAAAGAAAGTGTGTGCAGAGGATAGATGGCGTGTTGTTCAAGTGGTGAGTTTGCAATAAAGCCATCCGGCCTGCGCGCACAATGCAGTGCCTTGGCCTCTTTTTATTTCATAATTTGCGTATGGGCAAGTACACACGTGATTGATCCTGTGCCTGTATGTGACATTCAACAGCTATTTTGGCAGTCGCATTCGCATTTGCCATCGACGTTCCGGTGAACATTTAAAGCTTTTTGTTGAGTAGTAGCCATACAAAGCAGACAATTATAACGCCAATTTTCGATTTCCAAACTACTCCAGCTAACATTCCTGACAATATTTCAATTTTATTCCCAACTACTCTTGTGCAGTATTTTCATCACTCGAGCAAAAATCTCCGGCCACTTCGGGCAATTCCAAAAGACCCAATACTTTGTTTCTTTTAGAATCGACTTTGCCTATTAAAAATTGAGCGGAGAGCTACAATGGAAGCCTAAAAAGACGAGCAGTCCGCCCCCTCCCTTGCATGAATTCAGCGGCGGCAGCTGATATTCAACGCCTTCAAAGAAAATCAATCCTTTTTATGAATTTCGACTGAAGAATTACGAGGTTTACTCCCTTACCGAAACCGCTGCAAGAAAAAAGGCTAACCATTAAAAATAGGCTCAAACTTCATATATAAAATATGTCTGATGTCCGCCATTTTATTATTCTTTGTCCAGAATTATTTTTTATGTATAAATATTTCACACGTGCCCGTTAGTACACACACCTCTCTCTCTCCATTTCCATTGTTGTATTTTTATTAAAGTGATGGATTCAGCCAGAGCAAGTATGGACAATTCTTCACCAAGCGGCAGCAGCATAATCGGCAGCACAAAAAACATAGTGACTATCAAGCGCCTATTCTCCATAAACGACTGGCCGGTAGAAAGTTACAGCGAGCCCATTATTTTTGAAAAGCCTGAGTGCATGGTCTTAAAAACATTAAGCGATTTAATCCAAGACACATGGCGCATAGCTCCCAAGTACCAAGTTTTTGTAACATTAAATGAAGGCGGCAACTATATAACTGAAAAATGCAACTGCCCTTACACTGATGATGAGGACAATGACAAAAATAGTTACCACAAACACAGCAGCTTGACAAGGCTGAGAATATGCAGAGAAACTAAAACAAACAAACTTTGGGCGCGCGATATTATATACGTCTACAACAGCAAGTATTTTGAGGAGCAGGACGGCAAGCTGCTGACAAAACCAATACCTGACGAATCTGACATGGTTGACATTATAATGGTAAGTTTGAGCTAATTGAACTGCAGGGCAGCTATTGCTGGGCAGCCGAGGACATGGAAGTGGATGTTGAGGTTGAGAATCATAAAATAAGTTTACGTCCGCATGCCGATTAATAGGGCACAGACTGGACCATGGATCAAATCAGGGGACTAAATAATGACATCCGGATATGCTCCCTGTTTTATAACGCACACGCACGAGCGCGCATACGCGAGGACCACAAAATTGACATGCCAGGATACTGGGCTGCTCACAGAAAACCAGTTCTCATTAATAGAGTGCACAGCTGGCGGGGTTCACAACAAAGGCAATGAGACACATAAGACGAGGTCGGCACTGGTAGCACTTTGGAAACATTAGTATTAAAAATCATTTATAAAAACATCCTATCTTTCTAACACTACCACAATAGTGCTCCCTCACCCCCACCCCCCTCTCATAAAATATACTAAAAATGGGTATGTTTTTTGTTCGTCAGTATGCACAAATTTATTTATTAATAATAGAATAGAATATAAAAAGGTCAAATAAAATATAGGCTGACATGTAAAGAAAAAATACCAGTATTGTTTTATTTTTGGCTTTCTCGGTTTACTTTTAATTAAAAAAATTGAGTGGGGTAATTTGTATTTTAGGCTTTAAAAAAAAAACAAATGAAAAAACAGCTAACACTCGACTGCTGAAAACAGAGGTACCTCATTACATAAGTATCATTTTACTCTTTCTCCTTGCAACCCAGTCAGTCCAAAAAAACCTGTTAATGGGTTAAAAGTGAAAATTTTGTGGAAAAAACAAGTCAAATAAAATATAAAATAAAATTCTGAGACCAGATGCTCACCACGTGTAGTCAAAGCGCTCCATCACCTTTGCGTGCTCTTCGGCATCCTTCTGGCTCTTCTTGCGCATGTAAATGATCGGGCAATCGCGGTTAGTGCACACAACCTCGCGGTTGATCGAGCCCTGGCACCGCTGGCACTCCGTCCATAACCGCGCATAGCGAACCTCGAGCTCCCGCATAACATCCATGTTGCGCATGTAAATCTCGGGAAGCTTGGACTCGCAGTGCTTGCACACGGCCCTGTGCTGGTACTCTCCCTTCAGCGGTGTCTTGCACGACAGGCATGTAGTGGTTTTAAGCATAAACCGCGCCATTGCTCCCGAGGTGGGCGCAGCCACATGGATCGTCCGGGTGTGCTGGCCCTTGAACAGCGTAGTGACCTTGCTCCCGAGAACAGGCTCGAAGATGCGCGTTAGTGGGTTGGTCAGCTGGTGCTCGACGTAGTGGTTAGTATCGATGGGGAGATTGTTGTCCAGAACGTAGATCGGATCCTCAGCCTTCTCGTAGGCCTTGGCGTTCTTTGTGCCCTTGATGATGACGTAGGGCACTCGGTCGCCGAGCTGCGGTGCGGATCCGGCGTCGCGCTTGCGCATGCGCTCTGCGAGCTCCACATGCGCCTGCTTGCCAGCGTAGTCGGTCTTGGACAGCTGCTTGGTAATGACCAGCATCGAGAGATCAATCTTGTTTTGCAAAAGGTCCGCGATGACGCTCTTCGCATACTCGACAGCACCGTCAACGTTGTGGTCGATCAACATCATCTTCAGGCATGTGTCGAGAACCAGCGGGACCAGCTGGCAGTTGTCGCGGCGCACGGTCTCCAGGCCCTTTGTGTCGAGCTTGTCGTACTTTTCGGGCTTAGTCCAGTACAGTCCGGCATACCGCTTCTTGTTGATCAGTAGGTAGGGAAAGTACACCTTTTCAAACTCGAGCTTGATCGGGTTGACAAACTTTGATGTGACATAGGCCGCTGCCTCTCGGCCGAGCCGCATGGTCTCCTCAAGCGTGCTGGCGCCGAATTTGACCATGACTGAATCGGTATCACCGTAAATGACGTCAGCGTCATGTTCGTAGCCGTTCGCGACAGTGTACTCCTTCTGGACCTCACTGACTGTCTCGTGAATCATGTCGCGTCCAAATGCAGTCACCGAGGCCGAGATCTGCAAACAAGGCAGGCGTCCGTTGAGGGCGCCAGTAAAGCCATACACCGAGTTAGCGCTGATCTTGAGGGCCAGCTGGCGACCATTGAGCACCTGGATCTTGAATGGGTCGGTCTCGTTCTTCATCTCGTTTTTGGCCTGCTTGCGCGCCGACAACAATTCTTTGAGAATATGAGGCAACAGGCCGACACGCTTGGTGGACTTGACAAAGCAGTCGTTCGTGGGCGTCATGACATAGTCGACATCTTTAACGAGCCCCAGCCGCTCGATCGTCTGGCGGTTGAGCAGAGTCGTGTAGCAGAGATTGTGGGCCATCATGATCGACGGATACAGCGAGGCAAAATCGAGAGTAGCAATGGGGGTGTCATAATAGCCGCGCTTGGGCTCAATGACAGTCGCTCCCTCGTACTGGTCGCTGCTGCCCTGGGACTCGATGACTGGAACTACCAGATCTTGGCGCGACGAGTGGCGGAACAGCTGACTGACAACCTTGATCTGCTGGCCGCGCGTAATCAGATAGTTAAAGGGAACGCCCGTCACACGCGCCATCTCCATCGAGTTGACCAGGAACATGAGCTTGTCCACCAGGCGCTGCGGCAAAAACGCATCCTTCAAACAGTAGACAGCCAGCCGCCTGCGCGTCTCGGGGCTCTCGTTCTGAAGGTCAGTAATGATCGAGTACGGCACGTCCTCCTTCTGCTCTCCCAGGAACTTGGCCGACACCGCGTTCAGCGAAAATGAACGCAGCTTGTACTCGCGACGCATGGCCGCTAGCACATCAAACTGGACGCGGCCCTCCAAGTTGATAGACTTTGAGTCGCGCGACCCAAACGCCTTGCTCGAAAAGTGTGATGAGCCGACTTTGGTCGACACGTCCCGCATCCGCCCGAGGAACGGGAAACTGTTAGCCTTGAGCGCCTCTGCACGGTCAAGGAGGTACGGCAGATCAAAGTCGGTCGTGTTATAGCCAATCACAATGTCTGGATCGCAGGTCTGCACGAACTGTGCCCATTGCACAAGCATATCGGCCTCGTTCTGGAAGCTCATGATGTGGACGCCCGGGATCGGCGCGCATGTATCTAGTGTGAGCACATTACGGATGAATGGATGCTTCTGGCCCTGGAGAGTGACCACGCTGGCGATCTGGATGACCGGGTCGAGCTTGGCTTCGGGGAAGATCCCCGCCCGCCCGGCGCACTCGATATCCACGCTGAGGATGCGCAGCGGCGCTGTCTTTGACCATTCGCCGACAGGCTCATGAGATATAAGGTCCTTATAGTGGATGTCAACTTCGTACTGGCAAAATGTCGTGTTGTGTGAGCGAACAGAGTATTTGCCAGCAGGCAGTTCAACCCAGCTGGCGCCCACAATGTCGGTGTCGACCATGAAGCGGATGGTATATTCGAGATTGCTCTCGTACGGCATGCCAGCGTACTGCCCAACGCCATGCACGTTGAATCCACGCTTGACAACCTGGCTCATCGGCCTGACCAGCTTGGGGTTGCGCACAATTATTTTGAAAAAGGGCGCCTTGACGTTATCGTGAAACCCAAAAAGCGGCTCCTTCATACACATCTCAATGTTCACAATGGCGCCCAGGCCATTTGAATTGCCGCCGCCACCCGGGCCATTCTGCTGCGCCAAGCGGTTGAGCTCGGCAATCACCTCAGGTATGTTCTCCTCCTTGAAGCCATTGGGCGCTGGACAGTAGAAGTACGGATAGAACCCCTGCACAAAGCAGACCACAGAGTGGCCTTCGTCGGTGACTCCAAACAAGCGCGCAACAACAGCATTCTGGCTGGGTACAAACTCCTCGTCAATCTCCATCTGCTGAAACATGAGCTTGGTTCTTTTTGTATCGAGCTTTGGGGCCTCCGGACGCGGCCATGTTGTTTTCGGGTCGGCAATATGCGTCTCTGTGCAGTGGAGCTTCTCGAGCACCTTCGAAAAGTCTTCGGGCAGCTGCATGTTGAGGATGTCGCCCATGACAATGTCGCCGGCTTGCATCTTTGCTCTGTTCAGCTTGGCGCGTTTGTTTTGCATGGCCTGCGTCGACGGTGCCTGCGAAGAGACGTTGAACTCGTTGCTTCGCTTCTGTGAGATCTGGCTGGTGCTGCCGCAGCCCGCGCCGTCGTTGTCTGCAGAGCTCATTGTGTCAAAAATGCTGAATTTATGCGTGAGCAAAAAAATAATAAATAGGAAAAATAAAGTGTTGAGAAAAAATTGGGAAAAGAGAAATGAAATGAGCTAAAATTAACCCCAATAAAATAATCTCGGCGTGTACCGTTTGAATAAAGATGAGATGGCCCAATAGTAAAAATGCGAGTACAAAAAAGCGTTGCGTTTTCGCGTTCTGACGCAGCTCATTCGTGCCTCCTTTTTCTTTGCTGCTTTGATCAAATCTGTTGCTAAAAATTACAGTCATGATCAAATCAGTAATGGTCAGGCAGCGTTCTGATTTGCATATACGCTTTTATTGGATTCTATGTCCATCGTAGGTATTTATATTGCCATCTTGTTCTTCCGAATAGAATCCTCCTCTTTTCTTAAAACCAATTTTATAGGGAAATAAATAAATAAAATTTAATACTGCTGCTGTTTTCTAATATTGTTATTGTATTGCAAAATTACTTGTTAAATGAAATAAAATTACTTGCCGTGCACAGCCCCTGCCACGGCCACTTCACCACCACATCCGCCAGCACCACCATCTGTCATTGCCGGTTATCGTCACAACAGCAATAATATCAGAAACAGAAACAGCAGTAATGGTGTTTGTGCACACACTGTACGAGAAGCAGAACCACCAATTTTTTTAATGCTACTTGCCACTCCTGGGCATTACCATGAGCGAGCAGTTTTTGCAGGCCATCATCTGCCACCTCGCCGACTGCACATGTGATAAAGACTACCTGGCTGACGTTGTAAGGGATATAAATGAATGCTGCCAAGTGGGCAGTAATTGGCAAATATTTTTTTAACTGATATGTAAATAAATAAAAGGGCATAGGCCTATTTTCCGTTATTAGAATATCTTGGCGCTAGAGCGCAAAGAGCTACCTTTTTTATCCGCAGCCTTATGCTTTGCTTTTGTGGCGTTATACATTTGGAAAGGGTGTGGAAGCTGTGCAAAAATAATAACTTTGGATTTTTTTGTAACCTGGGGTTTTTTTAACAATTTTATGAAGCTTAAATTTTACAAAGTGCACCCAGATGCTTTTACACGAAATGATTATTTGTAACTCAAAAAGCTTGGTTTTACGTGAAAGGTGTGCGAAGACATTAATGCTGACTTTATAAATAACAAATTATCTATTTTTAATTTTGTTGTGATTTGAGCGGAGCACTAGTCACCTAGTGTTAAAAGTATGTTTGGGTTTTGTTATAGTTTTTATTATCAAGGGAATCAAAGTAGAACTAGGGCCGGTCTCGTCTTATATATGTATCTCGTTGCCTTTGTTGTGCACTTTGCAGTTGTGCACTCCATTGGCGAGAACTGGTTCTTCTGCGAGCAGACCGGTATCTTGGCATATCAATGTTGTGATCTTCGCATGTGGCACCCATGCATACACATTATCAAATGGGGGCATATCAGGATGCAATATTATGCCCCTGATTTAATCCTACATGGTACCACCTATGGCCTGTCAATTTGCATGCAGGTGGAGGCTTGTTTCACGATTCTCGACCTCGATATCCACTTCCATATCATCAGTCTGCTCAACATTGTTAAAGAAATAAAGGCAAAAAGCCAAGTAGTTATTTTTTTAAAAATAACATGTAAAACTAAAATATCTACAGAAGAATTTGATTTACAAATGAAATGCAAATATATATAAGAATATAGTAGCATTACATATTATTAGAAGCAGTTTTATATTTTACATTTTCCACACTATTTTCAAATCAACTCATTCAATTTTTTATGCCCATCAGTGTAGAGGCCTTACTCGGCCGCTGCAAAATACATTGACCCTATTTTCTGTCAGTTCTGCGTGAGCATGTTCTCACTGTCCATCGTGTTACAACAGCCACATACGAGCTCGCGCAGTATATCTTCTTACAAGAGCTGGATAATGAGGGCTATAGTATTGTTAACCATCTAAATCAAGGTTTTTAAGGAATGTTTCATCGCCCTTTGCATCGGAGATAAAAACAAACCATGCAGCAACAACCTGAAAATGCAAACAGCAAACTCGTCAATAAGCATAGGTACACGTTCGTCGAGACCAAGTTTGAGTGCCCACATCTGACTGGTGCAGCCAATGTTGCTAATTACGAGGGTACGACAATCCTTGCACCATATAAATCCCATGTGTCTCAGTGCTTTAACAAGCAGTTGAAACATATGGTCGACATAACACTTGACGTAAAGAAAGGAACGGTAATACAAGACACTTACGAAGAAGGGCAGTCATACCAAAAAATAAATACAACAGTGGATTAGCAAAGCAATCAGAATTCCAGTGGGCACAATGAAGAAATCTACTGTCTGCTAAGAACATCAAAGCCGGAAAGTAGATCGACACCAAGCAGATTTTCGACCCTATTCTCTGCGACAGAATGGACCATTTAATTGAGAGGATTTTTGGCACCTTCCCTGAGGACTACAGCTTCAGGGACAAGGGACTCCAGTATGACTTTGTGACCAAGAGAGTGAACCATTTTGGGGCTTTTGTTGAGATTTTCCGGGTTTTAAATCTCAACAAAGGTGTGAGGATGATTTCCCCTTTTCCGATGAGGATGTCCATTGTACCAGGGTTTACTGCAATCGACAAGACTATCCTTGCACGGTGCATTTTGTCTATCGCAAGGAGCCAACTCAGAGCACTGCACAAGGATAGTCTTTACCTGGATATTAGGATCCCTAAGATTCCGCCTATGAGGGAGCTTTTAGTCAAGTGCCAGAGGAAATTTGGTTTCTATTTTGTGATATATCTTGGCCGTTTTTGCTCGATTCTCAAAATGACAAAAAAACTGCACAGGTTCGGTGCATTATCTGTACTTATGGCATTGCAAGTATGTATTACTAGACTCACCCGCAAACATACAGAGGAAGAGGATCAAGGCCGAGAAGATTTCACAGTCTCAAAAGGTTCTGGCAATGCTGATAATAACAGCAACAGTAACGACAACAACGGTAACAGCAATGACGACTGCAACGGCAACAGCAAAACAGAAACAGCAATGGTGTACCCCGCAGTAATAATGCTTCTCCTCCCGAATACATTGATGATTTGTCAAAAATGACATTCATGATATTGTTGGTAAATTAATTCTTTGTGACACAGATCGACGGGATATGTTATATTGTCTGGGGTATAACAATTACAAAAAGGGTGAGAGAAATATTTTCTGCCACACCAAAAATTCTGAGGCTAATAAGCGTGATGAACGCGTGTTTCGTCGGACCCCTGAAACCAAATAAGGTATTCCAGCTTGACCCCGCAAAGCTCACTAAGGTGGAAACAAATGGTTGTATACGTCCTTGAGGATACCGAGCGCGCGCCCAACCACCCTGGCTCCAACACACTTGATTGCAAGTTGTATGCCGAATACTCTTTGAGCACCGTAAAGGGATATTTTCTTTTGGAAGAACATCATCACAACACGCTAGACCCTTGGCAAGAGTCGGAAACATGGCAGCAGCAGCTCAACTGACCCCTTGCACCGCAAGCTCCACTATCTTTCCTCTGTTAACAGAAAATGCGCCGATGTCAAACTTGCAAAATCCTTACGTGCAAAATTTGGACCAGATCCGGGCCCAATTATTGGTAATTGGACCCCAGGCATGACCCGTCACCATGTGTCAATTCGTGGCAAGAGGCTGCGGGAGTGCTAATAGCTCAGGGATTCACTGTTTATTGATCAACGAGTATTGCACCTCAACGTTTTGCCTGGCGTGCGAGAGCAGGATGGAGAAATTCCACAAAATTGATGATCCTCGTCTGAAGAATCCCAAGCACAAATACCACATCACAATGGCAGCAGCAGCATTTAATTTCGTCGCAGCAGCAGCTACCACCGTTTCTGTTGCAACCACAACTTCCCCGACGCCGCATCTATTATTGACAGTGTACAGCAGAGTCGCGACCAGTGGATACCTATTCGCCCACAATCTGTCGATATCATCTGGTAGATAGGAGAGGAAAAGGGCTGCCCTAAGGGCAAAGTTTCCCGCAAAATTAAGCAGCAGCTGCGGGATGAGCTGGCTGAGTGAAATTGGGAGCAGTACATCAATATCCAGCCTGCCGATAATCTCAAGCGCATTGTCAGGCTGAGCAGCTGGTCGCAAGGCAAAATTGAGCGCAAAATCAGACAGAGGGTACGCAATGAGTTGGCTGCGCAGCAGTAGCAGTAGCAGCAGCAGCAGCCAGCAGGTAGCCGCAACAGGCATAAATACGATTCCGGCGGTAGAAAAATCTCGCCAAATTGTATGCCACGGCTTGCTCCAGTGCACAATGAAAAAGTGCCTGCAAATCTTCAGGGCCGATGGAACCAAGATCAAGGATGGCGAAAAAGTGCCATCAAGCAGACGGAGGTAGAATTGTGACATGGCTGCAGTGTTAAACTTTCGCATCGGTCTTAATGCCCTGCTTAAAGGCAATCGTCCTCCCCGTTTCTTGCGCAAAAAGGCATCGTTAGGGTCGACTGAAGCCGAGTCTACAGCGACGCTCAAGCCAAAGCCCAAGACTAAGCGTGTGCGTAAGAATCCATCTTCCCCTGCTTCTTCTCTCCAAAAGAAGCAGCGAACTGGATAATATCATCAACCATAGTGGTCTATTGCCACTGGTTTCTAAATACTTTGGTTTGCAGGATATTTGTAGCCTCATTATTTTCTTAAAATGTGATCAAATCTGTTAAACTATATTGTTAAAAGTGAATTATTATTTTTTTTGGGGGGGGAGGTATGCTGTTGTCCCAGTGAGTTGGCCAAATTGCTTTCGTCTTTTGGCACTCTTCCTTCTCATTCAAACAACCAATTGCGCCCTTTCTAACAATATTACTTATAATCCTCTCTGTCTCACACACATAATGGCAGTCAAGCGGAAACTCGACAGCGACGACGAGTGCGAACTCGACGACGAACCATGTCCGATGCAGACCATAAAAACAAAAGCAGTTAACACTGGCAGACAGATTGACGTGGCCAGCAAAACGCAGATGCTACTGCTCTTTGGGCAGCAGCTTCAGTCAAAGCAAGCAAAGGCGAACAGACAGCAAGCGCAAGAGCAATTGACACAGCAGAGTGTCAACTGCTCGCAGTGCTCAAGGACTTACAGCAAAGCCGACATTAAAATGTGCATTCACTGTGCCAAATACCAGTGCGCCGGGTGCACGGAACAATGCTACTACTGCGGAAACCCGTTTTGCACAAAATGCTCCATATACGACTACTCAGAGTATGAGACGCGCTCAGTGTGCTTCGACTGCAGCAATTGAGCGCTCGATAGGGGCGAGCGTTTATTTTTTTACCATTTTCCGGCGTGTATTTTATCTCTTCGCCTCCGTCCATGACCATCTCCGTTTATCCATTTCATTTGCATTAAAGCTCACATTTAGAATACACTAGCATTTTTATATTTTCAAAAGCGACAGAGAAAAAAGATGAAAAAGCACAAAAGTTGCAGCCCTGCGCGCTCATCATGCGCGAAAAAAACATGGCGCTGGAGGTGCGTTTGACCGTCTTAGACGGCGATATCGGCCTGCTGTGTGGGGAGGATTCCAAAACGACGCTTCAGGGTAACGCGCTGCCGGGAGTACTTGTCGTCGGGCGAGAAGCGAGCGGGATGCGCAGACTTTGTGATCTCGCCGGTAGTGGTGGCCTTCTACAAGCGTACTTAAAACAAAACGTTATTTGGGTCAGCTGGTTAGTGTAGTGTTTATCACATATTGATTCATATTGCTTTCATGGCATAGTCAAGGCAGACAATATTGTGGCTTTTAGCTTAGCAGCTGTCCTTATATATTTTTTCACTGTTGTTGCTGAACTGCGCTCGCAACTGAGTAATATGTGTGCTGATGGGCAATGTTATTTACCTTCAGGGTGTAGGAGCGCTTGCCGCTGGCGTCCAAGGTGTACATAAGATGCATTTTGAGAAGAAGAATGTGTTAATTTAAAATGACAAAAAAGTAAAGAGTGCGAAAATGAACAACAAAAAACTTCAAAATTCGAGAAAAGCAGGGAAAATGGATCAATTGTTTTTTGCAGTGTCAAAGAGCCCAGCCAGCAGAAAAAAAAAAGAAAAAAGAGAAATTTGATCTCGCATTGAGTGGTGAACGCCTAAAAAAATTCATGATTAGTATATCTTAATCGATCAGCCGAGATTACCTTTAGTTACGCATATACGATAGCTTCGCTGTTTTTAAGACAGACAAACGGACGGAGGGCAAGCTGATAATAAGCTCGAAATATAACATTATAGCATTTAGCCGACACGTATGAAGACAAAACAAAGGTAGAAAATAAATATGTGGAGGTATTATGTTGTCTTTTTCAACCTTAATAGCATTATTATCTCACACCTTTCTTGTAAAAAAAGACATAAAATAACCATGCAAAAGTCTTTTCTTGACAACTTTTCGATCAAGAGCCCATGGATGAGCTCAAACATGTCGACCCAGCAGTCAAACAACGACTCACAGAACGACACATTGGTAAGCTAAGCAGGTTTCCCCATGTTACATAGTTTTTTATTACTACTGTTCGAAAACCGTGCTTATTTCACATTTAAAATACATTTCGTCTGGATATAACCATGTAGTTCGAGTCCCAGATGACAGGCTTCACAGATGCACCTATGCTGCCTCACTTAAGATCCAATGGTACGTGTGTATGCAAACTGTATTTTGTATGCTTTCTGCTGCAAATATTTTATTTTCGCATCGCTAAACTTGCCATGTTCATTTAGCATCGTCGCAGTCCGAGGAGAACAGACGCCTGCATCAGGATCACAAGACAATCAAGCGCGCCATCGACCGAATCAACCAAGAATCATCCTCTGCATTTGCCTCGCTGCACGAGAAAACGAGCAAGTTGAACCTCAGTGTCAGCGATGTGCACTCGGACCTGAAAAAGTTAGAGCGAGCTGTCATTTTCGAAAATGACTCCATGCGTCCGAGCACGGTGGACATGGAAATAAAGCTGGGAAATATCGGTAAGTTGGCTTGTTTTTGTCAATTGGTCAGAATCTGAATCAATGTACATACACGTATGCAAACGAGATTGACATTGCTGCTTCCGTGTGTAGCCCGAGGACTGGAGACAAAGCTGCTTTCCGGGTTATCCCAACAGATTTCGAGCGCAATTGACGGCAAGCTAAAGAACTTGTTTGCTAGCCTAGAAAATAAGCTGTTGAAACAAAATTCAAGCAACCGCCGAGAGCAAGAAAACATATGCAGCGTCCGGACATCTGTCGAAGAGCTCAAATCTATAATTGAAGGGGTTCAAAGAGATATCAGCGAGCTCTGCGAGACCGTTGAGGCTGTCAAACAAAATACTCAGGTAAGATTTTTGTTGGTACATCATATCTTTTTTGCATGCGAGTGTCCGAAAAGCAAAAAAAATTTACATGAGTGAACCGCCATATACCCCCCACACGATTATCTATTTTGTGTAGAGGCCTCCTCTGCCATTGACCTTTCAGGACACCGAGTCAAGAGGTCGCGACAGCATTGCAATGGATATCAACCAACTGGTTCCTATGGATCTCGGGAACCAGCTTCAACTGCCGCTGCCTCTTTTGAAGGAAACATGCTTCAGCGCATGAATATTCCTGAAATGACATCAGTCGATAAGAATGAAAGTATCCCAAGCAACTTGTGCGTCACCATCTGGAGTAGTGTCAACGAGATGCGTACGTCTTGCGGAAATGCGTTTTTCATTGCCGATGCAATGAGGAGCGTTGACAGACAGTGGTCGTACGCGCTAGTCGACGGCTGGCCCACCGCGTCAGAGAACGTAGCGAGTGAGACGTCATCGTCTGCATCCAAGCGCAAAAAGATTTAGAGATAGCTCACGGTCCAATCGCAATGGATAATGTTTTCAAAATCCACCTGACCTTTAGCATCCACGAAATCCTCTTCGCAACAAAATCGACCAGTCTTTTCCTTTTTTACCTTTATTAACTTTTATCTCATTCATTTTTCTTTAGTTGCAGCAAAAAAAATTTAGTTTTCGAAATGCACGTTTTGTCCTCAATCTCATGCACGCGTCTGCTGTCCCCTTGCCGCCAGGCTACTCGGCGTAGTTTCAGCACAGCTTTGCGTTTGCGGCAGAACGACGAGAGTGGCGGCACAAAGGCGCCCTTTGCACACGCACCAGGCCCTATGCCGCTAGGTGACTCCAAGGAGCAGAAGCGCATTGCGGATCTTATCAACAAGATTACCAAGGAGAACACACCGCCGCCTGGCCTAAGCCCAGAGGAACTGGAAAAGTTTTACGAGCCAGTCAAGAATGGCGACGATCCGCTCAAGCCATTCCCAACAACACAAACCCAACAACCGGCGAAGTCAATGGGCCGCGCGGACCCGAACCAACGCGTTTTGGTGACTGGGAGCGCAAAGGACGTGTGTCAGACTTTTGAGCTCGGTTGAGAAAAAAGGAATGTATTTACAAATATAATGCAACTAAAAGATATAGCTGCAGTCGAGACGGGCCCAGTCATGATTCACTCTCTTGGTAGAGGCACTTGTTTACCAATGAGATAGGGAGGTCGCTGACTGGCGGAATGCCTCCAATTTCAGAACTATAGAACTCACCCGCCTTTGACATGTCCTTGGGCATATTGGAGTACGAATCGGTGATGTTGTCTATCGAATTAAGCAGCGGCGTGTTGTACATGTTGGCGGCCATATTGAAGAGATACACGAATGCCACAGCAGTCATCCACCACGCAGGCAGAGCCAGCGCCCAGTAGCGATCTGGGTAGTAAGTGATGCCGATGGCTTCTAAAACATTGTCTGGCAGATACGCCCACATCAAGTACACAAAGAATGCCGCCAGAGACACCAGATAAACAACAAAACCGTAGTACTCAAATGTCGGCGTCTTTGCTACCATCGCATTGTCGTTTGCCGATGACATGGAGCTTGGCCGAGACTCCAGAATGCCGACCGACTCTTGGTCCTGCCGAGCCGACGCCATAGTTGCAAATTCGGGGCTGAGTTGTTGTTACTGTTGGTTTCAGAGCCAGATATGTGGTATGCTTCTGGCAGGGGATAGCTGCTGTTGCTGTTGCTAAATGTGTTTTGGTCGAGCAGAGTCCGTCCGCGGAGCATACCGCTGTGGCTGTAGGTATGGCTGTAGCTGTGGCCAGTGATATTCTTGCTGGCAGCTGCAGTGCCTCCTTCGTGCGCGCTGGCGTCGTCGTCCCCCTTTGCGCCTTGCCACTACTGCCTCCCCGGTCAGTGTTTGCGCCTTTGCGCAGCATCAAGCTCTGGTAGTGTCGAAGCGGCGTGTACATGCTATCCTCATATAACCGCAAGAAGAACAGGGCGAAAACCAATTAGAAAAAAGGTCAAGTGGAATTACAAGAAAAAAAAAGAAGAAAGGTAGAGAAATTAATCTTGAAGAAAAATGAAAAAAGTTGATACATCACCATTTTTCGCGCCAGCCAGAAAAAAAACCCCACCCAATGGGGCGTTCAGACGTGTAAATCGTTGCTACTTTCATGCTGTTACTTTCAGTAGCGACAGTAATTTTACCACTTTGTCGGGCGCTTGAGAGCAAAAATTCACTTTTGGACTTATTTTTCATTTGACATATTTGTTCAACCCATTTTTCTACATTTCAAATTAAAGAGCAGCCCGCATTTTTACACACATACACACTATGGAATTCATGGCGCAGGCGAATAAGAAGTTTGGCGTTCGGTCGGTAAGTGGTCTTGGGATACAGAAGGGGTGCACATTCCATTTTAACGCAGGAAGCAGTCAACTTCAACCAGTTCAATTCGCACACCCTTGCTAAATGCGCAAATCTCATCTTGCTTGTCTCTTTTCCGCTCCCTTTTTTTGGCTCTGTGTAGCTTTTGGTCCAAGGACTGACGTTTCTCAGCGTGCTGACTTCGGCGTTTATGATATGGAAGGGTCTGTCCTTGTTCACTAACAGCGAAAGCCCTGTTGTGGTAGTGCTTTCGGGTAGCATGGAGCCAGCGTACTATCGCGGAGACATTCTCTTTTTGCACAACGGATACAGCCCTATTGAAATCGGCGAAGTCGTGGTGTACAAGGTGAAAGAAAAGTCCATTCCCATTGTGCATCGGGTGCTGAAGGTGCACAACGATAACACGTCTGGGAAGCAGTTCCTTTTGACCAAGGGCGACAACAACAATGAGGCTGACGACCGTGGTATTTATAACCCTGGGCAAAAGTGGATTAGTCGCGATGACATTATTGGCTGCGTAAGGGGATTCGTACCCTATGCCGGCATGGGAACTATTTGGATGAACGACTACCCTCAGCTCAAGATGATTCTTTTGGCCACGCTCTGTGTACTCTCTTTGTTCACCAACGAGTGAAAGGTGGACAAAGCGTGCCTTTTTGGTGGTGGAGGTGAAGGAGGATGAGGCCGTTCTCACATAGTCCGTTATTAATTTTTTTACGCGGCACTTGCCGAATGTTAAAGTCACTCTACATAACACAATGCAAACAATGCAAAATAAGAGCGAGGAAAGGATATGTTACGGAAAAGTATACGGTTCCCTCAGCGGCGGTAGATGTGGTCAGAGACGCGAGCCACGTCGACCATCTCCGCCACATCATGCACGCGCACAATCGACGCGCCTCCCTGGACCGCGGCCGTGATTGTGGCTGCTGTCCCCCACACGCGGTCCTTGGCATCGGTCTTGCCTGTGGCACTGCCAATAAAGCGCTTGCGCGAGCTGCCGACCAAGACTGGATAGTTGACGAGCTCGGTCGCCAGATCCTCGTCAATAAACCCTTCCTCGCCCTCACCGGCATCGCCTCCGCCGCCACTCTTGGCCAGCTGGGCCGCCCGCTTATGGGTGGTGTCGGAGGCAGCTACGGCGCGGATGTTGCGTGCGGTGAGCTCGGGCAGCCTGCGCAGGACCTCAAGTTCTGCGCACCCTCCTTGGCAAAGCCGATTCCTGGATCCAGAATGATGTTCCACCGGGCAACGCCCTGGTCGAGTGCCGCGCGCACGCGCTGGGAGAGCTCAAAGCGGGTGCCGCGGATGACGTCGCCACCGTAGTCGCTGTAGTCGTTAAGCTGCGTCATGGTCGACGGGTCGCCGCGCATGTGCATCAGGATGTACGGGCACTGTCGCTGGGCGACAAGCGGCAGCATGCCGGCGTCAAAGCACCCGCCTGTCACGTCATTGACAATATCCGCGCCGGCATCCAGCGCGGCCGCCGCGACGGCGGCAGAAAAGGTGTCGATGGAGATCGGGACATCTACGCCCTGCTCTCTGACACGCTGGATGACCGGGACGACGCGGCGGATCTCCTCGGCTGTGCCCACCTGTGTCGCGCCGGGCCGAGTCGATTGCCCGCCAATGTCAATAATGTCTGCGCCAGCCTTGATGAGCTCCAGAACATGCCCAACGGCCCTGTCTACGGAGTCGTAGTCGCCGCCGTCGCTGAAGCTGTCAGGCGTGCAGTTCAGGATGCCCATGAACACTGTCTCCTTCTGCGTGTCGGGCGTCAGCGCCCTGAGCACGCACCCGCTGCCGTCGGAAGCACCGCTTGGATCAGAGCTGCCAACGTGGCTGCGGGTTTTGAGCGGCGTCACTCTGACTATGTCGTTGGGGACATCGCTGTGCGTCGTCAGATGGCGGTACAGCGCGCCCGCCGTCTTCCCCAGCCGATGGTGCATCAGGTCTCTGTCAATATCGCACAATGGGCCCAACTGGAACCGGCGCTCATGCAGCAGCAGGTGCGGGACAGTCAACCGCTCTGTTTTCAGGACGGCCTCGTCGTAGAACAGAATATCCAGGTCGATCACTCGCGGCCCATTGCGGTACATGCTGTAGTCGCGGCCCATCTTGGCCTCAATGCGCTGGAGCTCATCTAGGAGCTGGAGTGGCTCGAGCTCGGTCTTGACCAGGCATGCGGCGTTGAGGAACGCCGGTTGGTCGGTCACGTACATGGGCGCGGTCTCGTACAGGAAGCTGGTCTCAGCAACGTGTGACATGGGGAGATCAGCGTTGAGGTACGCCAGTGCCTTGTGCAGGTTGGCCAACCGGTCTCCGACGTTTGTGCCCAGGGCAATGAATGCCGAGTGCAATACGGGCGAGGCCTGTGTGCTAGCTGCTGTGGCTGCGTCAAACCCGCCGATGCTAGGAGAATCAATAGCGGGCGTGGCGGCACGCACGGGCGTAGGAGAACCAATCGGAGTGTTCCTGGAATCTGGAGCCGTGGGGAAGTCGTCGACCGAGCGTGTGATCTCGACAGCCGAGCATGCAGCAAAGACTAGAGCGTTGGGCTTCTCCACGCGAACCGTGATCTTTGGCACTTTGCACTGCTTGATGGCCGTCCGCGCTATGGCGGTGGCTAGCGCCTCAACCGTGCGGTACGAGCTCTTCTCTACGAGCTCCGTGACAACGTCCACGACAGTGCGAAAGTTGCGGTACCGAGGAACCGTGTCGCTGACAGCTGCCCCCAGCACGGCCGGCTTTTCCGAGTGCAGAACCAAGTCAAAATTCACCACCTGCTTGTAGTGCCTCTCCCACAGATTCACCCCAATGACTGTGCTCAGCGACAGCGTCTTGACAATAATGCGATCCTCTTTGGCCAGCCGTCCGGCGGAATTCTCTGCATCCACGCGCTCTGCCGCGACAAAGGCCGAGCGCCGGGCAAATGCATCCGAGCTCTCGTCACTCTCCGGTACGAGATCGTCGCCCCAGCTACCCAGCAGCTCTTTGCGCGTGCGGAAGATCTCGACTCCAGCGTATTCGGCGTGTAGCAGGGCCCGCGGCTTGTTGACAATGACGTGGACAGCTAGGGCACGGGTGGTGACGCCAAGGCAGGCGTGCGCAACGCCCTCGGCAAAGGCCTCGAGCGACTGCAGCTTGTGCTCGCTCTCTGCAAATGATGTTGCCCGCTTGCAAGCAATGCCATAGTGCACGCTCTCCGTCACTTTGTCTGTCTTGCCGGCCGATGTTATTGACGTGTGAATTTCAACGGTGATTAGCAGTGGCTGCGGCTTTTTGCGCTCCCAGGCATCGCTTCCGAGTACAGTGCGCACTTCGAGGTCGCGAAATATAATTTTGTCGGCCATTTTCTATAAATTTGCAGGGTGTCAAAAAAAGAACAATTTGAGTCAAAAAAAGCAAAAAAAATAATTTGGGTGAGCAAACAAAGCAAAAAATAATAATACAGGGAGCAGCTGGTAGCACACAAAAGATAACAGGATCGTTGTGAACGCTCACACTATTGTGCAAATCGCAACTTTAAAAACCTGTGATCAAACCAAAATCACCGCAAGCCATAATAGCGGCGTGTGCTACATGGCAGAGTCGCCATCCAATAATTCCACACAGCCGCTCTGTAATTTTTACAATACGAAGCATCTCTTTATCCTACCAAGCTTCCCCCTTTGCGCTTTCTTTGTTTTGTTTGGGCAACCCAATCATGTACCGTCGCCTTGGCAGCATTGTTCGTTTGGGCTCGAGTTCAGTTGTGGCCAGCAGTTTACCCTTGCACCAGCACAGAAACAGATTTGCATTTAATAAAGCAACCCACGCGAGGCTTGTTCATGACACGCGCTCAACACGTTTTCTGCGCGACGCACTGAAAAAGTATGTAAGCGCGCTCACTTTTTTGCTCATTACAAATCCAGTGCGTATGATTAGCTGTATTCTAAATATCTTGGAGTTTAAATCACGATTTAACCTTTATTGTTTAGGTTTCGAGTCGACGCAGTTTCTCCGCCGGTAGCAGCGCAGGGATCTGTAAATTTCAGCAAAACATGGCATGGTCGGTTGCGCACAGACGAATATGCATGGATGCAGCTCCCAGAGCATGAACCAGCACTGAGGAAATATCTAGAGGAGGAGAACAAGTACGCGCGACAGGTGATGAGGGGCACAGCCAGGCTGCAGCGACAGATCGCAAAGGTATGCAATAAAATGTGCTTTCCATTAGATGAATCGATAGTGGGTGGGTTTTTTTGCATAGACGTCGGATTAACTTGTATTCTTATGCCATGCTTAGGAGCTTCGTCAGGCAACGGAGGTGGATCAAGTTCCGCCGCCGATCGAAACCAGAAGCGGAGATTTTATTTACTACACCAGGCAAAGCGACAGCGGTTGTGTCGTGTATTGCCGCCGCCCCGTTCAAAACGCAAGTGCAGCTGTGTCTGGAGACTGTAAGGAGCAGGTTCTGATGGACTCTGAAAAGCTGGCAAAAAAGTTTGGCTATGAGCTGCGCAATCTGCTTGTATCGGACGATCACAAGACTGTAGCTTGTCTGGCCACCAAACACGATGGTGGGCATTCCAGCAATTCCGAATCCAGCAGCCTTCTGATATTTTCACTGGGCGGCAATGGTGAAATCAGCGTAAGTTCAGGAAGATACCAAGCGATGCACGCTTTTTGATTCACGCTTTGAAATATTGGTCCCGCGATATTTAAACTAAAGCCTGCTGTCTTTTAATCGATACCCTGTAGTTGCTAGAGGTGCTTGAGGATATATTCAACTTTGTCTTTGGTTTGAAAGATACTTTGTTTTACACTGTGCTCGACAGCAAGCTGCGCGCACACAAGGTGCTTGGTCATCGCATTGGATGCCCGCAGTCAGAGGATGTTTCCGTTTACGCCGAGTCAAACGACGAGTGTTTTGTCGATATTACTCGCACAAAGGACAAAAAGTTTCACATTGTCAACAGCAGCACCCTGGACTCGTCGGAATTGCAAATTTTTCCATCCAGCCATGACTTTTGGCAGATGCGCGGAACAGGCAAGAGTGGCAACAGCCCGCTGCATTTGATCCGCCCTCGGCAAAGAGGGATAGAGTACTTTGTTGACCACCATGATGGCGAGTTTATCGTGCTCACTAATTCGCCGACGGATGATAACTCGAAAGCTCCGGTTTTGCAGCCCCTGCCATTTAGACTAGTGCGGTCCCCAACTGCCCGTCCGTCGTCTCAAAATTGGACAGAGCTGTTCAATGTGGCCGATAACGAGCGCATCGATGACGTGGAGATTTTCCAAAAGTACATTGTCGTCAGCATCAAAAGGCAGGGCCGCCCAGCCGTATTGGTGTATAACAGAATATTGGACAGCCGCTCGGAACTCTCGCTTCCATACGATGGCAACTGCACCGTGCGTCCAACACCAAGCCCGCAGTTTGACGCATCCACAGTCCGGCTTTGCTTCAGCTCCCCCGTGCATTTAGACTCTGTTGTCGAATACAACATGAGCACTCTAGCAAAATGTAATTCATGGACCACTACGCCACTACATATGATCCCCAGCGAGTATATGGTTCGCCGAGTAACCGTGTCAAGCAGCGGTGGCCAGGATGTACCAATGACGCTGATTCACCACGAATCGGCGCTTTTGTCCCAAAAATCGTAAGTCGTCATATTGGTTTTTCTAGCCTTATTGTTTGCTTGTGTTCGTTTTACTGACCATGGGAATTCTTCTTTTTATTGTCACAATTATATATGTGTAGGTCACCGGCACTGATTCGCGTGTATGGTGCTTACGGCGTACCTTTAGAACCCGAGTTTCGATTGGAGGATATTCCGCTGTTGCGAAGAGGATGGACAATTGCATTGGCACATGTCAGGTAAGTTCTTTGCAATAATTATTATGATCAAGTGGTTATTCTGCAAAGCTTTCCTTTTGACCTTTTTTAAAACACCGTGGTATATTGATGTTTGTAGAGGCGGCGGCGAATTGGGAAGAGAATGGTATTCCAGTGGCAGGGGCCAGAATAAGGTCAACTCAGTCAATGATCTGATTGCATGCGCGCAATATCTGCTGGACAAGGGCTGGTCGAGTGAAAACCAGCTTGCAATTACTGGTGTCTCAGCAGGGGGGCTTGTTATTGGCGCAGCACTGAACGCGCAGCCAACGTACTTTCGCGCAGCCGCTCTCCATGTTCCTTTTGTGGATCCACTCTCAGCCATGCTTAGCCCCGATCTGCCATTGACCAGCGTTGAGACGACCGAATGGGGGAACCCTCTGACTACCATGGCTGATTACACTTGCATAGCTCAGTACGCGCCGTATGACAACATCAAGAACATTGTTGTCGGAAACAAAAGGTCACCGTCGATTTTAGTTACAGCTGGCGGCCAGGACCAGCGTGTTTCTGCATGGCAACCTGCAAAGTGGGTGGCACGGCTGCGCAGCCGTGGTGGATATTCCGAGCCTGTTAGCCGCTCGGACTGCTCGGCATCAAAGCTCATATTTTCTGCGGCAATGGGGGCAGGGCATTTCCATTCTGCCAGAGACAATGGCGACCAAGGTGAGCACAACGACGATGGCAGCTACATTAACACACATGCCTTGCGCAATGCATTCTTAATTTCTGAGACTAGTAATTAAACGACAGTCAAATTTACTTTAAAAATATTCAATAAATTAAGATATTACACGTCCCTTTACTCGTTATTGAACACAGGAACAGCACTAAATGCAATTTTAATATCGCTTCAAGAAAACTGAAGATTGTGCTCGGGTGAAATAATTACCAAATTTAAAACTCTAGCACTTCATTATCATGACTACTTGCGTTTGAGCTTTTTGTATATAATTTATTTTACACTCTGGCGACCCAGAATAGGCGCAAACAGGGCACACCAAGTTTTAAAGCGATAGTCGTTAATGTATGTAGTTTACAGTTAATGTTTGGTTAGTAGCATATGGGGAATTATGCCTGCATTGTGGCAATCTTGTTCTAGAATTTCAAAGCCCATTATTATCACTACATTAATAGGTTTAGTTGTAGCTTAATATTTAATGCAAAATTTACAGATGTTCCTTGCACAACGGGTTTTCTATAATCCGAGCTAGGTTTCTTGGTATATCTATGTTTTCCAGCTTCAAGTGAATTATGAATTGCTCTCATTTTTAATAATATCAATAAAATTAAGTGATAGAGTAAATGTATAAATAAGATAGATGAATAAGAAAATATAATTGTACTGGATTTGATTGACGCTTTATATGCTTATTTTAATGCTTCAATACAAAAAATGACAAACATAAAAATACGGAATTGTCTCCAACTGTTTGGCAAGATGTATCATAATAGCATTTTCTTTTCTTTTCTTTATACATACTGCCTGGGCACACGCTTGATCATTGCGAGGTGGACTTTCATACATTCTTCATCCTTTATTCGCTGCTATTAACCCCAATATTTTTAACACCATTTAAATGCTATGCAAATTATTATTCACTGCTTCACAGGGAATTATTTGTAGGCATTTTATAAAGAAATATTTCTGCAAAATAGGAGTGAGGAGTAGAGAATGATTGCAAGATGTATAATAATATTAAAGTGCAACCTTACCTCTTCTTTTGTCACAGGAATAGAAAGGCTGACTGCTGCAATTAAATAGCTGTGGAATGAATCCGACATTATGCCACTGAAGTATTTAGATTGTTGATGCACACATTTAAGCAATAACAATTATATGTGTACATCTCTTGAGCATATCAAATAACTCGGTTCAGTCAAACATTATATTTAGCATTATTTTATTTGTATTGGTAACCTTGAAAGCATTTATTTGGAATACAGTTTGTAGTGCTTCAATTTTCATAATGTTTGAAACAAAATCCAACAAGGAGAAGTTGTTACTTTAACAGCAATAAGCATACATTTAGCAATGTGAAGGCAAAAAACTATCAGTGGCCATTTGTTTTATTTTCCCCACCCAACCACTTTTTCGTGACAATAAAAGGGGGAGATACTTACTCATTCTTTGTTTATTTCATTTACCGATTATTCCCTTTTATAAATAATGTACAGAAATGGCTTTTAAATTGTTGTGATAATTATTTTCATGGAAATACTTACTATAAAATGCTCTATTACTAGAAGTATTACATTGCTGAGCAGTCTGATGATATGGGAGTAGATGTCGAGGTTGAGAATCGTGAAACAGATTTCATCAACATGCCGATTAAAGGGCATAGATGGTACCATGTAAGATCAAATCAGGGGACATAATGTTGGCACCCTGATATGCCCCCCATTGATAATGTATATGCTTGGATGTGCACATACAAAGGTCACAGCATTGTCATGCCAAAACACCGGTTTGCTCGCAGAAGAACCAGTTCTTGCCAACGGGTGCACAACTGGCAAAGTACACAACAAAGGCAACGAGATATATATATAAGACGAAACTGGCCCTAGTTCTACTTTTAATTCCATTAATAATAAAAGCTCTATAAACTGACACCCCATCTTTTAACACTACATCATAGTGCTCCATACACCCCCTCTTATTGTAAAAATGGTTCCTTTTGTATTTCTAAATAAAGCCTTTGCTCTATTTAACGACTATGCATTTTAAGCATTATTTATTAAATAAATATAATATATAATATATAATGGTGTTATATAAGAGGGGGTGGGGAGCACTACTGTGATAATGTTAGAAGAATGGGGGTAAACTTATAAAGGTTTTTATTACTAATGTTTCTAAAGTACTATTATTGCCGGCCTCGCCTTATATATATCTCGTTGTCTTTGTGGCACTCACTGGCAGTTGTTGCTCCGTTAGCGAGAACTGGTCCTTATAAAGTAACCCGGGTCTCTGATATGGCATAATTTGCATGTCTGTATTCTTGCGCCGGCACTCCATTTCGGGACAGGCAGTATGTCCGGATGTCAATTGTGGCGCCTGATTTGATCTCCTGTAATTTGGCCCATATCAGATCCATCTGTGAGCTGACGAGAAGCTGTCTCGTGATTTTCGCCCTCAGCGTCTACCTCCATATCCTCGGGCTGCGTAGGAATGGAAAAGTAACTAAAAGCTGCTGTTTTTATTTTTAGCATGTTGGCTGCAAAATTCTCAAATTACCTAGTAATTTGAAATTTTATATTGTATGTAAATAATATACTATTTTGCTCTTATTATTTGCATGGCATTAACTTGCCAACTGCTCAAGTTTTTTCTGGCTGTACATACGGCATTTTGTTTAACAAAACTTTTTTGTATAATATAATCAATGCTATAAATAAACTTTGTTAAATAGTGATGTATTTATAAGCAAATAACTAATTAATAATAATAACAATAATAACCTAATGATAGTGTAAATGATTCACTACTTAGACCAAGAAACAAGACCATTAGAAAAACAAGTGCATACTGTTTTTAGCGCGCAGTACGTTTTAGCAAACAATTTTCAAAAATGTTACACGTTCAAAGCAATTGTATTACATTTAGTAGTCATGTAAACCTACACCAGAAGCATATTATTGTTATGTATGGTATCGTTGTAGCTTGGTTTCCTTATTTAATATTACCAGTTGTGTTAACCCTTATAGCTTTTTTAATCCATACCCTACAGATACCACAAAAAGTATCTTGCAAAAGGGGTCTATAGCTTGGGTTAGATATAAAAACAAATTTCACGTGGAACAATCGAGAGTAGCCGTTGATTGCAAGTTGGATTTTTATTTTGAAAATTGCAAAATTTCCACTGCCACATCATTTTGTCTATTGCAATTATAAATCGGCTCGACTCGGCTCAGTCCAACTTTTAGCAGTTTGATAAAATTACTGCGTTATCGCAGGGGAAAATATCAAATTGGCAACTTTTTTTAATTTCTGTTCTTCTTCCAATTCAATTTAGTTCAATTTGCTTTCGGTATATATTATTTCGCTTCATTTTCTCCCGTCTCTTATTATCTTGGAGTTTATAAAGCAAAACCAACTAAGGACGAGCCTCAACAAACAAATAGACAATGTTTGGACAGTTCGGCGCAATCACACGGCAGCTCTCGACACGCCGCTTGGCACAGAACAGCAGTTTTGTCAGCCGCGGTTTCGAGGAGTTTTTTGAAAAGGGACAGCGGTTGCCCACCGGCAGAGATCAGACAGGTCGCTCGTGGGCGGCCAGCGAGTTGAGACAAAAGAGCTGGGAGGATCTGCAGAAGCTATGGTATGTAGTTCTCAAGGAGCGCAACATGCTGGCCAGCCAGAAGGAGGAGAGCCGGCGGCTGGGTGTTCACGGCCAGTTCTTTAGCAATAAGAGTCGGATAATCAAGTGCAAACAGACCATGGCTCGCATAAAGTCAGTTTTGGGTGAGCGCGAGATCGCTTGGAAGAAGGCGCAGGAGGAGCTTGCCGCACAGGCGGTTCAGCAGAAGGGCGCGATCGTTGCCGGAAAGACAGCATCGGCCACAGAATCGACGACCGTGGGAGCCACAGAGGTCCGTGTCCCCGAGGCCACAGCCGCGTGAAAACGCTCACAACGTATTTTCTAGAGTAATTAAAAAAATTCAGCAACCATCGTGTTCGACAGGACAAGGAACAAAATGAGTGGAGATGTAAAATTAAACAAAAATGAAACTGGTAATTCAAAAATGGTGCAGGCCGATCAAATCAAGCGCGGTTCTGCTTGTAGTAGTTGATCAGGCCGTTGGTCGACGAGTCGTGCGACTCGATTCTGCCCTGCGCCTTGAGCTCAGAGAGAATGGCCTTGGCCAGGCGCTTGCCCTCTTCGACGCCCTCCTGCGAGAAGGTGTTGACGCTCCAGATGGCGCCCTGGGTGAAGATCTTGTGCTCGTAGAGCGCAATGAGCGCGCCGAGGGCAAACGGATCGATAACCTTGTTGACCAGGATCGAGTTGGTCGGACGGTTGCCCTTGAAGCTCTTGTGGGGCGCAAGGGCGTCAATCTCGCTCTGGCTGGTGAGCTTGCCCTCCTTAAGGATCTCGGCGCGCGCGACCTCGACAGACTTTCCGTTCATCAGGGCCTCGGGCTGGGCAAAGAAGTTGGACAGCAGGATGTCGTGGTGGACGCCGCCGCCAATTGGGTTCAGCGTGTGAGTGGGTGCAATAAAGTCGCAGGGGATGAGCTTGGTTCCCTGGTGGATCAGCTGGTAGAAGGCATGCTGGCCGTTCGTGCCGGGCTCGCCCCAGATGATAGGGCCAGTCTGGTAGTTGACCTCGCGGCTGTCGCGCGAGATGAACTTGCCGTTGGACTCCATGTCGCCCTGCTGGAAGTACGCGAGAAGCGATGCAAGTACTGGTCGTAGGGCAGCAGTGCCTGTGTCTCAGCGCCGTAAAAGTTGTTATACAGGATGCCGACCAGGCCGAGGATGACTGGCATGTTCTCCTCGAGCGGGGCTGTGCGGAAGTGACGGTCCATGGCGTGGCCGCCCTCGAGCAGCGCGTGGAAGTTGTCGAAGCCGATGAAGATGGCGATGGACAGGCCAATGGCTGACCACAGCGAGTAGCGCCCGCCAACCCAGTCCCAGAACTGGAACATGTTCTTGGTGTCGATGCCAAAGGCGGCAACACCCTCACTGTTGGTCGAAAGAGCGACAAAGTGCTTGGCCACGTGAGACTCATCCTTTGCAGTGGCCAGGAACCACTCCTTGGCCGACTGCGCGTTGGTCAGGGTCTCCTGCGTGGTGAAAGTCTTTGAGGCAATGATAAAAAGGTCTTGCAGGGTCGAGATTCTTGACAGCCTCGGCCAAGTGCGTGCCGTCAACGTTGCTGACAAATGCACGTTCAAGCCAGCTTGGCTGTATTTCTTCAGGGCATCAGTGACCATGACAGGGCCCAGATCAGAGCCACCAATACCGACATTGACCACATCAGTGATGCGCTCGCCAGTATAGCCCTTCCAGGCGCCCGAGCGGATCTCCTCAGAGAACTCCTTCATGTGGTCCAGGACGGCGTTGACATCGGGCATCACGTCCTTGCCGCTCTCGTATATCGGGGCGTTGCCAACGTTACGCAGGGCAACATGCAGAACGGCGCGGTCCTCGGTCACGTTGATGTGCTCGCCAGTGAACATCTTCTCGCGATACTCCTCAAGCTTGGCCTCCCTGGCCAGGGAAAGAAGCAGCTCAAAGGTCTTGTCGTCGATGCAGTTCTTCGAGTAATCAATCAGCAGCTCCGTCGAGTGCTTGCCGTCGAGTGAGCTGAGCTTCAGCGCGTTGGAATACTTGGAGAAGCGGCCGCTGTCCTCCTTGAACAGCTGGCGCATGTCGATATCCTTGCCCGCTGCATTGTAGTAGGCCTGGAGCTGCTGGTAGGCTTGAGTTCGGTCGCGAGAACCATGTTTTATTTTTAAAAGCTAGTGCTGTTGCCGCGTTGGTGATAGACGCTGGGAAAAAATGGTGAGTGCTAAAAGCAAAATGTAAACGAAAAAGGCGGAGAAGAAACGCACTTGCCAACTCGACTTTTTTATACTGCCAACATTCCCCACCCTCTCCGTGCAACAACCTCTTTTTTGTTACTATTATTCTGTTTGACAGTAAAATTCATCAAACCGTACACACGCGCTCACATGTGCGTGTTTTAAGCACTGGGTGGGCCGCTGTTGCATAGGAAAGTTGAATTGCCATCACCTCAACCGTGCGCTTTGGTATCTCTCCCTTCACCCCTCATCCCAGAAAGTTTTGCGAGATCAAGCGATCCGGGAGTATATTGCCCAATTGCGCGCTGGGATCGGCGCACGAGGCACATTGGCAAACGTATTTTTAAGCGGCACGGTGGTCCGGACTTTGCAGTCCGCTGGAATCACGCAACCGAACAAACGGACTTTAGTCATCGATTTTTTTGGACCCGCAAAATGCCAACGTAAATGGGCCGAGATTACGAAGAAGGCGGGTAAAAAATATTCATGTAAAAAATCAAATTAAAAATATATATGGTAATTTGCGCCCGATGCTGTAGTTACCGGATATGCCGATCTAGTCCATCAGCGAGCTGTGATTGCCGCCATAGCCATGGTGGTAAGGTTGTTGCTGTTGCTGTTGCTGCTGTGGGACCTGATGAGTTGGATGCGGCAAGTAGCTGGGCTGCTGCTGCTGGGCATAGGCTGCCGGTGTGGCCAAGGGCTGGCCCGTCTGCCAGTCCGACAACGGCTGCGATGTCTGCACGAATCCACCGTAAGGGCCAGCCGCGGAGGGAGTCGGCTGTTGCTGCTGCTGCTGCTGAGGGGGCGGCTGCTGCTGTTGCTGAGAATTCGAGTACTGGTACCCGTAGCCATGGTGTAGCGACGGTTGCTGCTGCTGCTGTGGATATCCGGTGGGCGGATGGACTCCATATTGCTGTGGAGGTTGTTGCTGCTGCTGCTGCTGGAGATACGAAGGGTGCTGGTAGCTCAGCGATGTTGGTACCGCATTTGAATACGCTGACAGGCTATGAATGTTCTGAGCAATTGCCTGTTGCTGAGGAGGAGGGTGCCCGCTGAGCTGGGAATAATCCTGCTGGTAGGACGGCGTAGCAAGAGGCTGCTGCTGCTGCTGGGACTGCGAAAGATACTGCTGATGCTGTTGTATTCTCGGCTGCTGATGCTGTTGTGAGGTTGCTGCTGCTGCTGAGCTGGCGGCGTATGATAGAGCGGCATCTGGGGCTGTCCTGCATTGCTAGCAACAGTGCTTCCGTAGCTTGTAGGCGGCTGGTGGTGATGCTGCGGCTGGTGCAAGTGGTGTTTTGGGCCTGGGGGGTGGCGGGAAGCTGGGCGGAGAGTAGATGTTTGGCGTATGCTGCTGCTGTTGCTGCAAAGTGGACACAGTTGAGTGTAGCATGGGGGCAGAAACCATGATCGCAGCTGGCGGCTCGCTGTAGCTTCCATATATCGGCTGCTGCGGCTGTTGCGGCTGCGGCTGCGGGGGCTGATGGAAGGCAGTGGGATGTGGTGCTGGTGCATAGCTGGCGCTGTTCGCCGACGGTCCTGAGACTCCAGGCCCAGGCACATAGCCAGGGTTGGGGTTTCCATATCCAGTAATAGGGCCACCCGATGCCTGGATGGGCGCAGCTGTGGTCGTGTATCCGCCATAACCCGGCTTGTAGCTGGGATTAGTGGGGTTGGTCAGACCGCTGGGCTCCAGGGCAGTGGACCGCCTCACAGCTGCCGAGTACGGGTCCGATGTTGCGTCCGGAATTCCAATTGGCATAACGCCATATTGGCCAATGTTCTGCTGGGCTTGCTGCTGGTACCCGTACAACTGCTGGGACTGCTGAGGTTGCGGTTGTTGTTGAACCTGAGGTTGCTGCTGCTGCTGGACCTGAGGCTGGCTGAGGCTGCTGCGGCATGTAGCTGGGATGCTGCATCATTTGCGGCGGTGGCGGCGCGCTGGGCTGGTACTGGGGTGCATTGGCCCGTTAGGAGAATAAGGAGGCTGCATCTGATGAACCTGCTGCAGCTGCTGCTGCTGAACCTGTTGCTGGGTTGGGGGCAAAGTGGCGGCATTCCAGTAGGCGAGTGCAAGGTCATCTGAGCAGCCTGGTTTGCCAAGTATCCCATATCAAACGCCTGCGCACTGTGTACAGAGGGCGACTGGGCAGGGCCGTGCTGCGGCGAGTACGCATTCTGCACAGTCGACTGGTACGCACGCTGCGGCTGGGCCTGGGTTTGCTGGGCCTGGGAGTATGCTGGAACGGCATACTGGTTGAGTCGCTCCTTAAGTGCAGCCTGGCTACGCGCTGCCGAGTCCTGCAGAACCTGCTTGACAAGTTGCTCGCGCTGGCGGCCCTCGACACTACAAACTCCTTGAGCTGTCGGCGCAGCGCACTCAGCGAGTCAAGCAGCAGCGTGTAGAACGTGTCGCCTTGTCCAACCCATCGCTCACATGCCTGTATACCTGCGAGGCCTCGAGAATCTGCGCCTCGACAGCCGCCTTCTTGCCCTCGGCCATGTCCCACTTGTCGTTAATTACGCGCGCCTGTGGTAGCTCCATCATGCACCTGAACTCCTCGGAAATGCGCTTGACCAGCTGGCCCTGCTTGGCCGACACTGCTTGCAGGCGCTGCGTATGCACGTCGTATTTTCTTAGCTCGCGGGCAAACAGCGGCTGCAAGTCCTTTGCGCTTGTGGCTTTTATCAACGCGCTGGAGATATCATCGTTCTGTGCGGACGCCTTGAGTTCTCCCAGGGCCGTGCGGCGGATCTTGCGCAGTTCCAGCAACTGTTCGTAAATATCCTTGATTGCCTGCAAGTGGCCGGCAAGTCCGACGGGCTCGTCCTGGCCAACATCCACAAGGCTCTCCCCGCCTGCCGCCTGGGGGTCAGTAGCCTCCTCAAAGTGAACCTCCCTGAGGTGCTCGAGCATCACGCTGACCACGCCGTCAACGCCGCCGTGCAAAGTCGGCAGCCAGGGGGCAACGGCCGACTGGTAGTCGTTAAGGATCGAGCTGTCCAGACCCGCGGCATCCTCAAGCTTCTTCTGGTTCTCGGAGAGCTGCTCGCGATAGTATGCGGCGGCGCGGGACGACGGCTGGTAGCTAACAAACAGGGGTTCAGAGGCATGCTCGCTCAACACCCCCTCGCTGGCATGCTGCTCTTCGTCCAGCATGCGGCTGAGGTCGTTGAGCTCGTCGCTAGCGCCCATGCGCTGGCCCTCAAGCCGCGCGCGCATCTCGGCAAGCGGGTTCGAGCGCTCACCTATTTGCACTGAGCCGGCGGCCTCGCGCACTGCGCGGCTGGGCTCTGCAAGCTCGGCAATAATTGAACTGGCGCCCGAGCGGCCATCAGCGCCAGCGGGCAAAAGCGGCCGCTCGAAGCGCTTTAGGCTGCTGGGCATCTTCATGAAAGACAACGCGTCCTCCAGCTCGCCATCGGCGAGATTGACCTTGTCCTCTTCATCACGCAGCATCTTTGCCAGCTCCTCGCTGTAGAGGCTCGAGCTCTCATGCACGGCCATTGGAATCAGGCGCGAGAATAGCTCTCCACCGACCACGTTGCTGCGCTCCTCTGAAGCGTAGAATTTGTTGATGTCAAAGTTGGATACAACGCTGGCAGCATCCAGGGTTGGAGCGTGCTGATGTTGGGCACGGCCTCGTTGTAAATGACGTCGTTGTCGTGGTTCGCCTTGCCAGTTCCTCAGTGATCTTGGCGGCCAGATTTGTGATGAGCTCTTGGAGCCCCTGAACTGTCTCTGGGTACAGGTCTCAGCGAGGTTGGCTGTGGAGAAAAAGCCCTCGGCAAACTGGCCCACAAGCTTGGAGGCCTCGCGGGCGTGCTGTTCGGCCAGCGAGTAGCGGGCGATGGACATGCCGTACCGGCCCTTACTCTCGTCGGCGTGGGCCTCGTGGTATTGCGCCATGGCCTGATAGTAGCGCAGCTTTGTCTCAACAAGCTGCAGCCAGCCGCGGGGCAGCTGGTGGCTGTCAACGATGGCCTTTAGGTTGTCGACAACATTCGAGTACATAAGCGCAGCCTGCTGTGCGAGTTTGGACAATGTCGCGTCCTTTTTCTTTTCGAGCCGTGACTTTATTAGGGCACACTCCTGGGCCTGGGCCATCATTATGCCGTTGAGCACATTGACCGTCTCCTGCTGGAGGTCGAGTGATGGCGCGTGCAGAAAGTTTTCGTTGAGGTAGTGGAAGCGGTCGGCCGCAACTTGGAAGTATATTCCGGCCATATGAACGGTGGTCAGCTCCATTTCGGACGACGAGTCGGAAAACAGGCTGGCGCCGTGCATGCCAAAGGCTACGGCCAGGTTGAACAGCACGCCGGCCTTTTCGAAGGCCAGCGAGTGCTGCTGCGTGCTGTCGCTGCTGAAAGCGTCTGACCTACATTTTATTGTTCGAGATTGGGGGGAGGGGTGCTTTGGATGTTTTTGATTGAGTGCCAGATACAAGAATAAAATACGGCAGCGGCACTGGATGAGCAATACGCCGATTTGCATGAGCGGCAGACAATTGGCAGGCAAAGCATGGCTTGAGCAGTTGAGCGGGTGGGGGCAAAGGCGGGTGGGTGTGCGGCGGTAATGTCATGCCGCGTCCCACATGACCCGCGTAGTCTAAAATGCCGCCCCTAATTCTAAACATGTTTTATGATGCAAAAAACACGCTATTATCCTCCCTTTTTCATCAAGTGAGCGTTGCCTCCAAAAATACACAATTGACAACCTTTATAGGCGTGGCAACACACGCTATGTGGCCTCCGGCATCCTGGAGCACTGAATAATAAGAACAATACGACAAATCCCACTGTTTTTGTCAGCTCTATTTTTTTTGCAACGAACATTGCAACAAAGACAGTTGGATAAAATAGAGTGGGCAACCCAAGAGAAAAAACAGCTTTTATTTTGTTGGTTGGCTAGGATCAAAATGGCGGGGAAAGGGGAGAGGGAAAGAGAGACAAGCTAGAATTAAAATAAAAGGCGGATGACAGTTACTGCTATAATTCCATTCTTGGAGAATAGGGTATTTCCAGGGTCTATCCGCCAACACAGACACAAACAAAAGTGGAAAAAGCAAATAAAAATAAAACAACACAAAATAAACGCTTACCAAAGAAAAGTAACTTTGACGCCCTGCTCATTAATCCTAAAGCGCGGCTCCAAGGCCTCGAGGTGGCTATAATAGCGAAAAACAAGGTCTCGTCCGGTCTCGTCCGCGTTGGCGCCGCGCATGTCCTGGCGCATACGGTTGAGAGTCTGACAATCGTCGGTGTATACATCGGGGTCTTCCTGGTACGCTCTGGCAATGTACTGTCTCAACGGCCGGACCCAGTCAAGTTCAGCCGTCTTTTTGAACGGAATTGAGATGCACGGCGGTCTCGGCATTGTTCGAATGCGCTAGTTTGGAAATGTAAAGTGTAAAGTGAAAGAATAAAAGAAGAGAAAAGAAAAGAAATAATAATAAATAAAAATGACAAGACCCAAGATGTGACAGGTGGTGGAATTTATGATTTATTTTTTGTGTAAAAGCTAATTAGAATGCGTCTTTTAGCAAGGAAGAAAGAGAAAAAGAAAAAAAGGCATAAATCAATGCGTTGGAGTGAATGAGGCGGATGTTGAACTCATTTTTTACTTTCTTCTCTGCTCAAGCACAAGGCCAAATTTGGCAAGTGGGATTCTCGCTCCTTTTTCATCTACTCTATCACATGATAGTTGGTAAGGGCGCGTGGGTGTATGCGTGCATGTGCGCGAGCGCGTGAGTGTGCGAGAACCAGGTTTGCTGGACTTGGATGGTTGTACTTTTTTGGGAGAAAAAACTTAAATAGTATTAAAGAAGCGCACACATATTCAATATTCAATATTCAATAAATAAATTTTTTTTAGCTCAAAGCATTAAAGTTTCAGAGCTTGTAACCTTAGCCGCGTTTCTGTTAATATTGCAGCTACTGCTTTACGGAAAACTGCTGCCACTTGGCTGCCAAAGTCATATATGTTTTGAAATAGAAATGCGACGATTATTAATGCGAGCAACACAACAAATAAATAAAAAATAAAAACTACTGTATACACAAAAGGCAGCTGATGCAATTTTCCACGTATCAATAAATGTGAATAAGTAATGTGGATGCTATTAATCACAAAATAAAATTATTGTCGGGTGCGTCCCATCCTTAGGGAGTTACAAAAATTAAAAAAACATGAGTTTTCAATTATCTTGACCATTCAAATTTTGATCAGTACCAAGTCAGAAAATTTTTAAACCCCACTTTTCGGTGTGCATGTATATGTGTATGTGTATGTGGTTGTATGTGTATGTGTGATAATGTTTATTAGTTTCTCATTTCTCATTTCTCGCGTCGTAAAGCTATGCCATGGATGCGGCAGCCACGTCCTCAGCAACGTTAGCTGGCGTTGACTGCTGCTGCTGTTGCTGCGACACAGAAGACGCTGGCTCCATATGCTGCTGCTGCTGCGACGCCATACCATGGACACTGGCCGCAGCATTGTACATTGCCGCCGAGCTCAAATCAGCCATATGCGCGTTGGAATACGCCAGCTGACCAGACATGCCTCGGCCAGAAGCCTGCATATTCTCCTGCATCTGGCGCTGACGCATCATCATTAACTGCTGCTGTTGCTGCTGCTGTTGCTGCGAGGTATTGGCGTTACTTAAGCGAAGCAGGTTTTGCATCTGTGCCTGAGCAGCCGCAGCGGAAGATCCGTCCTGATCAATGCTGGTGGAATTCATTCCCATTCCCATTCCTTGCTGCTGCTGCAACGAGGGCGGGACTGACTGCGCGCCTCCCCGGAATGCGCTGGCAGACTCTGCAGCGGTGGTAGCGCTCAGGGGTGTGCGCTCCTCAAGCATATCGTAAATGACCATGTACTCCTTCTTAACCTTCTGCCAGACGCCAGGATCAAAAAAGATAAACACGCTTTGCTCGCCGCGCGGCGAGCGTGCAGTTGATGGCGAGTCGGGGTCCTTAGTCAACCATAACCGCAACTCCTTGTGGTACCGCCACTGCCTCCGGTACAGCTCCTCGGCGGCGACCAGCTGCATTTCGCTGCGGGGCATTGTGTAGAAAACGTAAAACAGCGTTTCGTCCATGAATGATGTGATTTTGGTCTTGGCCGGCTGCGGGCGGCTGGCGTTGTAGCAAGCAGGCAGCTTAAAGTCAGGTTCAATAAGGCCGTATGCCTGGCTCTGGTCCGTCCATGGCGAGCCGAATGTCGGGTATAAAAGCCCGGCTGAGGGCAGAGGGAGCCCAAATTTGGCCACGTCGAAGCCGTAGTCGTTGGTCGTTAAAATGCCGAGCATGCCAAAGCGATCGGCCGCTCCGATCGAGCCCTGGGCACCCACGCTGCCGGCAACCTTGGCCAGGTTAGCCGTCGGCGGCTTGTACGACGAGGTCGTTTCCAGGCCGTTCGTCGATACCGCCGCTGTTGCTGTCTGGCCGGAACTCAAAGCCTGCGACGACCCCTGATCGATGGCGCCGGCGCCCGGAGCAAGGTCTGCCAAACTTCCAGGCCCAAGACCGGTTGCAGATCCTGGAGCCACACCAAAACCCACAGCGCCGTGGTCGTTGGGGCCCGAAAGCGCAGGGAAATCGTCAGGGGTCAAGTTCGGGCGGGGCGTCTGGCCAGATGAACGGTCGGATCGAGCGCCGGCAATTGTGCGGTACAGCTGGGCGGCTTGGTGCTGCTGCTGGGCAGCAGTCATATTTGTGAGTCCCGGCGGGTTTCCTAGTGATGGGAATTCCGACATGTCTGGCCGAGCCTGCTGTTGTTGTTGCTGGTGAAGATGTTGCTGTTGTTCGTGTTCAAGCTGTTCTTGCTGTTGCCGCAAGTGCTGCTGCTGTTGCAAATAGGCGGCAGCAACTGACTGCTGCTGCTGCTGAAGATTTGCGAATTGCTGTGACTGAAACCCGGAAAAGGAATTAGAAACGTTGTTCGATGGAGTCGTCCGGCCGTAGCTCATCGAACTCCGACCACTCGTTTGGTTGACAGTGGGAGAGCCTGCAGCGGCTGCGGCGGCAGCCATTGCCCAGGCATCTACAACAAAATGAGAAAATTGTCAATTTAATGTCTATGTTTTAGTTGCTGTCTGCCTTGAAAAGGGTGAGAGAGGCGGTGTCGATTTGTGCAAAATGCATGTAAACTGGTTTGTTGTACCTTGTCGTCCGCTCATTAATAACAAAGTCTTGATGGGTGCTATAAATGCGGCGACGCGTGTACTCGGTTATTTTTAATATTAAATCTGAATTGAGACAAGAAAAAGGAATTTGCGAAAAAAGAAAGGTGTCAAAATTCAAAACCTCAAAAAAGAAAAAGAATAAACTTGAATTTTTCAATTTTTTTCGTTGCTATATCCTTTCCACAGCTCGAACTGACGACTCGTGCCCAATAAACTAAAAAGTCCAGTATTTTTCTCTAATTTTATTTGGCAGGGGGGTGCCGAAGAATGATGACTATTTGAATTTTTTTAGATATTTAAAGTCTCATTCTTTTCTTCAGCATGGCCAGGCGAGAGTAGGAGTACCCAGAAATATATAGGCTGCATATGGACCGGTCAGTAGCAGAATGGAAATTGGAAAGGTTTGAGGGATGGATGGATGGATGGGTCTTTTTCTATTTTTTGGCCAGTCGGCTGGGTGGTAGAGTGGGAAAAGTAATTTTTCTCGCCACCCCCTTGTTAAATCTGGCTGGGTAATTTCTCTCTTGGCGATGGACATTTGGCGTGTCCATAGCATTTATTTTTCCCAGCCGAGCAACGCTTCTCTTTTTTAATCAGTGGTTTGTTTGTTTTTTTCGTATCTTGTTCTTTTTTCTTTACATTAATTTATATTCGTCACATTATCACTCTGATTTTCTTTTTGAACAGGAACCCACTGTTTCGATAATCCTTTTTTTACGCAGCAGAAGCAACACTGTAGTATTGTAGCATTTTGGCGTATTTCACACGCAGAGAAGCAGATGTTATCAAGGATGGATATCGACACCAAAGATCCGTCGGCTCGGGAACCAAAGGCACCAAAGCAACCACAGCTTACACAGAGAAAGGTCAATTTGAACGAGAGCGAGCAAAAGACGTTTGTGCGAGTGACTGACCCGCTGTTCGACAAAGTGGTGTACTGGATCAACCCAGTGATCAGCGAAGAGAAGCGCGAATCGGTAAGAATCGGGACCAAGCATGCTCCAAACAAGTGAATACTTCAAACTGCTTTTGCTTTGAGGACAGCCAAACGAAGCTAAAAAATAGGTGGAAACTAACCTTGTTGGCCATTCTAATGGGGGGTTTCATATATATATATATCTTTAGCTTGTGCGCGCCCTGGAGCGAGGCGGGGCCGTGGCGGCGACAGCGCGGCTGCACAGTCCAAGCACAGCGCAACTGCCGATACGACAAGCTGAACGGCGTGATAGTAAACGGACTGCCGCAAATGGCCAGCCACATCTCGCGATTCCACCTGGCGTGGCCAAAGCACAGGCAGGAGGCGCGGCGCACAGACACAGAGATTCGGGAGCAACGCACGTGATAACACCCGACACGCACTTTGGCGAGTACGCAGCGTGCCTCAAGGCCGGCGTGCGGGTAGTGACGCCGCAGTGGGTAGAGCAGTCGGTGCTGTCGGGTGGCAGTACCGCGAGCGGTTCTTCTCGGCCAGCGAAAAGATGCTTTTTTCGGGTATGGTTGTGATGGTGACACAGATGCCGTCGGCGGACAAGAAGGCGCTGCTGACGTCAATTGTGGCACTGGGCGGCCAGTGGCGCGACAGGCTGCGGCCGGACGTCACGCATCTTGTGCTTGTGCAAGCCGAGGGCGACAAATATGGGTATGCGCAAAATAACCCGCAGCTGAACATTGTGTCGGTTTTGCCGCATTGGTTCCAGGAGTCGCTCAGCGTTCTGTACCGCGTGCCGATAACACCATACGTGTTTCCCAACCCACCGGTACTGCGCGGCGAGATGGGCATCAATGATGGGCCCGCGGGTACAAGCGCGCTGGCCATGCCGGCCGGGGTAGAGAACAGTGGCAGTGGCGGCGGCGGCGCGTATGAGTTGCCCAAGCCACGGAGTGCGTTCATGGCTGGATGTGTCGTGGCCATCGGCACGCAGTTGCGGCACTCGCTGAGCGAAGGCGCTGTGGCGCGGCTGACCCACGGCTGACCGAGGCCGGCGCGCGCGTGTGCGAGCCTCGGGCAGCCCAGGGCTTGCAGCAGGATTACGGCACGCAGGCATTGTTGGAAGAGTCGCTGATCAGCGACTGGGAGGAGGTCGACGTACTCGTGTGCCAGCACCGCGAGGGCTACGAATACTCGAAGGCGGCGCGGCTGGGAAAGGTCATTGGCACATTGGTGTGGCTCTACCAGGTGTTCCTGACTGAGACGCTGACGGCGCCGACGCGGCGGCTGCTGCACTACCCGCTGCCGCCGACGGCGGTTCCCGGCATGGAGCGGCTGGTGGTGTCGGTCAGCAACTACACAGGCGCGGCGCGCGACTACATTCGCATGTTGGTGGTGGCCATGGGTGGGCAGTACACAGGGCAGCTGACGCGCGCCAACACGACGCTGGTAACGGCGTGCGCGCAAGGGGCCAAGTACGAGGCGGCGACGCGCAGCAGCACTATTGATGTTGTCAACCACCTGTGGGTTGAGCAGTGCTGTCGCCGATGGAAGATGCTGTCGACCAGTCACCCGAGCTTCGTGCACCTGCCGATGCTGCCGCTGCTGAACGGCACCGTGGGCGAGGCCGGCGTCGATGTGCCGCGGCTGCGCAGCTGGGTGGATGTGCCGCAGGGCAATGCCCTTGCGGAGTGGTCCGATATGGATGTTCTGAGCGACAGTGATCTGAACGCCGACGGCATCGATACCATGGCTGTGCGCCCCGGTGCCGGTAATATCTGCGGCATGCACGCTCAGCTGGGCGCTGACGGTGCCGCTACCGTTGCTGATGGTATTTCTGGTGGCGCTGCTGCCGCTGAAGGCGAAGACGAGGACGGTGATGACGATGATGACGATGATGACGAGGTGCGGAGCGTGGCTGAGTCCAGTACCGGCGACCAGACGGACGTGAAGGATGAGCAGCAGACTGCGGCGCGGCATACCTCGCGCGCAGCAGCTATGGCAGCCACAAAGTCGCTGGGTGAGATGATGCGCGCGGCCAATATTTTTGAGTGTGAGATGCGCAAAGAACGGCTGTACAAGTACCGCCGCGCGGCGACCGGCAGCGGGAGGACAGCAGCAGTCCCCGGTGAAGATCCAGAGGCTGATGCTGAGCCTCAGCAGCAGCAGCAGCAGTTGAATTTGGGCGTCAAGCGGCGGCGCGTTGACGGGTCAATGGGCAAGGGGGCGGTGCTCCGGTGCGCATTATGTTAACCCAGGTGCGGCTGTCGGCGAATGAGCAGCTGCAAATTACGGCGCTGGGCGGCAGTATCGTTGACAGTGCCAGTGATGCCACGCATCTGATTGGAACCAAGATCAAGCGGACATTCAAGATGCTCATGGCACTGGCCAGCGGCCGCATACACATTGTGCAGCGCAGCTGGCTTGATGACTCGCTGGCCAGGGGGGCGTGGATCCCAATCAGCGACTCACTGGGGGATGAGGAGGAGGATGATGATGAGAAGGGTGCCGCAGCGTCACAATATCTCCTGACAGATCCCGAGACGGAGCTCCGCTGGGGATTTGAGCTGAAGGAGTCTATGCGGCGCGCGCGTTGTCGGCGGCTGCTGGCCGGGGTCACGGTGCTGGTGACGCCGAGCACGGATCCCGGGCTCGAAACACTGCGCGCCCTGGTTGAGATTGCGGGTGGCAGGGCAGTGGGCGAGTTGCCGGACAGGAGGCTGCGGGCAATGCTGGCATCCAACGAGAGTGCGTTGCGGAAGGCGCGTGTCCAGGGAAGAGAACTGGCAGACTTGGTGGTGCCGCCGCTGCTGGTTGTGTCGTGTAAGGAGGACTCTGGGATGTGGCCAAGATTCCAGCCTGCTGCGAGCGGCGGCGGCGGCAGTCATGCAATGGTATTTAACGTGGAGCTGCTGTTGACGGGCTTGCTTCGACAGAAAATCGAGGTGCATAGTGAGGAGTTTTTGTTGGTCGAGTGAGTTAAAATAATTCTATATCCGATTCAAATGTTCTCACAGGGGGGTTAGAGGTATATGCATTGTTGTTGTCCTGCTGGTGGTGGTGGTGATGTCTACGCACAGGCCACATGCAACAGACGCGCAAAATGTTTGGGCATTGTTTTACTTTTTTTATTGGAATTCCTGTATTTTTTGAATTTCTTGTATTTTTGGACAATTGTTGAGGCGAATGTCGTGCTTAATTGGCTGAATGGTGGAAATTCCGATGCAGTATCTGTCATAAGTTTTTTTTTACTAAAAAAAAACTTAAGGCCCCCACCACACATTGCATGAGCTGCAATTGAAATATTTTAAAATCGTCATCTCTGCGTTCGTTTGGGCAATTTCCCCGAGTGGAAAAAAAACATACGAAACAGGTATTGTGCAATTTTGGCAGGATTCTATTGGGCAATAGAAAGCACAAGCATAGCACAACACAGCAATGCAAAGAAAGAAGGAATGTTCCAGGTTAAAAAAGGGGAGGCAACCTCCAATGTAAATGGTCAGTGCGGTGCGGCGTAGAGGGTGAGTGGCTGACCAATTCCCGACCAACCATGGGCGTTGCTGGGCGGCCCGTGCTCAGCATGACAATTCGGGTGGGAAAAGAAGGGGGCGGCCATTTATTTTACTCCTATTTTTACGTTTTGCTCAGGGCGGGCGCATCTGACGGTATCATCATTCAATTTTTTTGTTGTTGTTGTTGGCGTTCCACAAGGAGACTCCATGCCGTCGCCATATATAAAGCGCGGGGCGGGGGCGGGGCGGCAAACTCTAAGAAAAATGAAAAATGAAAAAGGGCAACAAACAACACTTATTACACCAAACACCTAATTCCAATCCATTTGCTCGCGTATATTATTCATATTCCATTGACAAACACATATCTACATCTACATCTACATCTACATCTACATCTACATCTACATCTACATACACACAACACCAAACACCCATACAATACACACAACCATACCATATCCATATCATACTCATATTCATATCCACATATTTACACATCCTCCATCACAATGAGCTCACAAACATCATACCCACAGGCCTACGGCGGCAGCCCCACACTTACATCTCGCTTCCGTTCGAGCTGCTCGAGGCTGTGTGCGCGCGGATACCGCAGTGCGGGTGCGAGTCCACGGCATCTCCGCACCGTCGATAGCGCAGGGCTGCACAGGCAACCACGCGCCGGGGGCATTCGGCGCAGCAGCATCCAACGCGCTCAGCGCCCTACGGCAGACCAACCAGCAATGGCGCTCAGCAGCACTGCAGCGCGGCGCCACGCAGGTGGTGGGCAGCAGCCGGTGGGCGCGGCGCAACGGACAACTAGCGCAGCTGCACGCGCTGCACGGCCACCGCGTGCGGCGGCTGGTATTCCGCGCGGCGGATTATTTCCGCGAGGGGCGCAGCGACAGCGCAGCGCTGCTGGCGGCGCTGGACGCGTTTCTGGCGCTCGGGTGGCCGGCTGCCGACGCCGTGGCCGTCGAGTGGTTCAGCGGGCTGGACGCCGACCACCGGAGCATCGCCAAGGCCATTGCCCGGTGGACGCCCGGCGTGCGCGACGTGTTTGTGCGCGACAAGGGCGCGTCGCTCGGCCGCCACCTGTGGGGCGCCGACCCGCTGCGCGTGCGCCGCCTGGCCATTGAGCCGTACGGGTACAACCAGCGGTGGGCCGATCTGCGGCCGCAGGCGGAGGCGGAGCCGAGGCCAGCTTGGCTGTTGCTCGCGTGGGCCTGGGCCGGCTCACAGCGCTGTCCGTTGGCGGGCGCGACTTCAGCGCCGAGCTGCTTGCAGCGCTGCAGCAGTGGCAGCCGCGGCTGGCAACCCTGACGGTGACGCACGCGTGGCTCGGGGCGCTCCGCTCTGCGGCGGCGGCGGCAGTGGTGCTAGGCAGTGTGCGGCACCTGCAGCTGGAGCACGTGGTGGCCGAGGATGGCGAGCTTCCGCTTTGCGCGGCAATGTTCCCCCAGCTCGAGTCCCTGGTGGTGCGCCACGTGTGGGCGCCGTCGGCCAGCCGCAGCGCGTTGCGCGGCGCCGTGTCCCTGCAGAACCCGCGTGGCTGCAGAGCTTCGGCGCGCAGCAGTGGCCGCGGCTGCACACGCTGGCGCTCCCGGCCGTGGCCGACCGCGATGCGCAGTGGGTGGCGCGCGCGTGCCCGCGGCTGCAGCGCCTGGCGACGCACAGTCTGGACTATGCCGGCCCGCGGCTGACCGCCACGGGGCTAGCCGCGTTGCTGCGCGTGCCGGCGCTGCGCCACCTGGCCATCGAGCAGCGCCGCGCGGATGGCGCGCCCGGGTACGACGTCCTGGACGCCGCGCTGGTGCGGCTGCTGACGCCGTCGGCGCCAATGCCCGGCGCGATGGTGCGGCGCGCGTCGACCGTGACGCTGGGCGGCAGCGGCGACGAAGCCGAGGCCTATGGTGGGCGCCTGCGTTCGGCGCCGGGTCCGACACCGAGGTCGAGCCGGACGAGCCGGCGCCGAGCCGGCCGCCGAGCACGCGTGCGCGCCGCCCGCCGCCTTCCTCTCGACGCTGCTCATCCCCAACGTGTCCTTCTCGGCCGCCAACCTCGACGCGCTGCTGCGGCTCCTGCCGCCGTCGTGTGCGCGTCGCTGTCGCTGCGCACCGAGGACGAGCAGCTGGGCTTCCTCAAGGGCAGCCGGAGCGCCAATAAGCGCCAGGCGCTGCTGCCGCCGCCGCCCCACGCGCTCGCCAGCTCCCTGCGCTCGCTGGCGCTGACAGCCGACGCCGACATCCTGACGGACGCGCAGTGGCTGGCGGCTTGGCTCGCGCGCCACTTCCCGGGCCTGCGCGAGTGCCGCACCAACCACGCGCGCTCGCACCACCGCGCGGCCGCGGCGCTGCGCTCGGCGCTGCCGGACATTGTTTTTTCGCAGCAGAGCTCGCGAGCTCCGCAGGGCGTGAACAGCTAGACCCGAATAGGCTTTTTATTGATTTGCTTTGATTCGGTTTGATTTGATTTGATTTGCTTTTCTTTGCTTTGCCTTGCTTTGATTCGACTGGCCCCGCTTTATGGCCCCAGCCTCAGCAGGCTGCCAATCAGCCGCCGCCGCGCCGCGTCCAGGTCCGGCTGCATGACGTGCACGCCGAGCAGCGTGACGACAACAAGCTCGTTGGCACCGTCGCAGTTGATATCGACGCTGAAAATGCTGTATGCCGGCGCTGGGAACCGCCGCTTCCACACGAGCGCGTAGCCGCGGCCGGGCACCTCCTTGTAGATCAGCACGGCGCCCGACACGGTGCCGACGATGATCTCCCTGGTGCCGCTGTAGTCCAGGTCGTCGAAGTGCACGGCCGTGATCAGGCCCTCGCGCGCGCTGCCGGCCAGCGAGAAGATGCCGCCGAACCCGCCCAGCCGCCCCGAGATGTGCGCTGCGGACGCCGGCATGCGGCCCGACACGCCGCCCACCAGCGTCGGCACCGGGTCGAGCCCGGCCACGACGACGTCGTGGTAGACGACCGCATCCTCGCCGACAAAGCCGATAGCGCGTGCACGCGCGGATGGTCGCCGCCGTTGCCGATGGCGCCGCCGATTGGCCACTCGCTGTCGTACTCCTCGCCGGCCCAATGGCGCCGTCGCGGACGCGCCGCACGACGACATGGTCGGCGGCCGTGCGGTCCGGCTGGTGCGCGCTGGGCGAAAACACCGTCGCGAGGATCGGCGCCGCGTCGTACACCTCCTCGTCGGCCACCAGCAGCCGCCGCCGGGTGCTGCCCGCCGCCGCCCTCGACCTGCTCGCTGGCCTGCAGCGCGACGGCAAACTCCTGGTGCGTGGTGACCTGCACGTGGTACGGGCCAATGGTGCGCGCGTCGAAGGCCGTGAACGTGCACTCGCTGCCGGTTTTGGGGCCCAGCACGGGCTCGATCTCAAAATGCCATTGCAGCCGACGGCGTAGCGGTGCACGCGGTTGCGGTTGCCGGCGACGAGCAGCACGGGTGGCTGGCCCGCCACGATGTCGTGCGAGATGCGGTACGGCAGGTACGCCAGGTCGATGCGCACCGAGGCCTCGCCGGCGCGCAGCGCAAACAGCCGCTCCTCGAGGTACGCGTACGTGTTCATCGCCAGCGCCGAGCGGCTGCCCGAGGCGCCCTCGTCCTCCGCTGCGGCCGCGCGGCCACGGCAGCCACGGCAGCGGCCAGCGGCTCGGGGAGCGACGCGCTGCGCGGCGCGGGCGCGCTGTGCGGCACAGGCTCGGCCGCCGCGGGCACCGACGACGCGCGGCCCATCTGCTCCGTGGCGGGCCGCTTGGGCCGTGCCAGAACGTCGCTCGCCCTAACCCTGCCCGCGCTGTCGACGAATTCGCGCGGCGCGGCAAAGGCAAACTCGGGCTTGGGCAGCGCCTCGTCCGGCCGGATGCCGTGCCTGTCGACGAACGCCTGCGGCACGGGCGGCAGCGACTCGGCGCCCAGCGCGTACAGCCTGTACAGCCCCATGCCGTCCTCGCCCACGCCCTTGACGTACGTCGTCAGCGCAATTATCAGCGCCGGCAGGGCGCCGCCGGCTGCCGCCTCTGCGTCTGTGGCTGGTCTGTGGCTGCGTCTGTGGCTGTGTGTGGCTGCGTCTGTGCTGTGTGTGGCTGCGTCTGTCTCTGCTCTGCCTCTGCCTCTGCATCTGCCTCTGCCTCTGCCTCTGCCTCTGCCTCTGCCTCTGCCTCTGCTTTGCGCCTGCCTCTGCGCCTGTGCCTGTGCCTGCCGCTGCCTCTGCTGCCGCCTCCGCCTCAAAGGCCTTGACGGCCACGCACGACTCGTTGTGCAGCCCAAGCGAAATGTCCAGCACGTTCCAGTACCCGAACCCGGCCACGAATACCTGCAGCCCAGACTGCGTGGCCACCACCACGTGCGTGCGCGCGCACTCTTTGCCCTGCTCCAGCCACTGCGCCGCGCGGCGGCGCTCGCCAGAGATTTCGCCGCACACTTGCCGCCGGTGCTCCTGAACCGTGCGCGCGCGCACCAGCTCGTCGATGCCGTCGCTCCACGCCGGCGCATCCAGCCGCAGGTACCCGACGCCCGGCGGCGGGTGCTTGTAGCGGAGCTGCATTGAGTGTGGCCGCGGCAGCCGCACTGGCAGATGTGAGCGCAGGAGGCATGCCCCGTGGATGTTGCTGCGCGTGCCGAGGAGGAACCGGTGGTAGTGAATCTCGCGGAACCGTCGCGCCGCCGCTGCCGTGTTTTCTGCGTCGCTGTGTGTCATTTATGAATAGGTTGAGTGGTGTTTTTGGAAAGGGGGAATGTGAGGCAGGAAATGTGATTGAATTGAATTGAATTGATTGAATTGAATTGAATTGAATGCAAAGTAATGTTGAAGGAAACAGCATCAGGACTAGCTTGCTTCTGCTTTCAGCCACCTGATCCGCCTAAACTTGATCCTGTGTGTGCCCAAATGTATGCGCCCGTAAGTCTGTGCCCCCTCCAATACAAACCAAACTTTCGACTTTTTCTTCCTTCCTTTCTCTCAACTCAACTCAACTTAATTGTTGTGCCCTTCAATTCCTCTCTTCTGTCCATTTAATATTTTATTTTATTTCTTTTCTAACCTTTGAACCCTCCTGTATCATATATTCATTTCATTTCAATTTACACTGCTGCTTTTGCGAAACAAAACTTAAAAAAAAACAGTATGGACAAGTACCAGGTAAGCACAAGGCACATAATGAAATGCACTTTTGTTTCCCCCAGCCTTTAGCCTTTGGCCTTTATCCTTTAGCTTTCGCCACAAACCCACTCGCGCTTACACCCCCCCCCTTCACCTCTGTAGAAGATTGAAAAGCTCGGCGAGGGCACATACGGCATCGTGTACAAGGCCCAGAACCGAGAAACACACGAGGTTGTTGCGCTCAAGCGCATCCGCCTGGACAACGAGGAGGAGGGCGTGCCGTGCACAGCCATCCGCGAGATCTCGCTTCTCAAGGAGCTCAAGCACCCCAACATTGTTGGGCTCTTTGACGTGCTGCACACCGAGAAGAAGCTGACCCTGGTCTTTGAATTCATGGACTCGGACCTTAAAAAGTTTATCGACGGCTACGGCGGGGATCTCGACCCGCTGACCGTCAAGCACCTCATGTACCAGCTGCTCTGCGGAATTGCCTACTGTCACAGAAACAGAGTTCTACACCGCGACCTGAAGCCCCAGAACTGCTCATCAACAAACGTGGCGACCTGAAGCTCGGTGATTTTGGGCTCGCGCGCGCATTCGGCATCCCCGTACGCTCGTACTCCCACGAGGTCGTTACCCTGTGGTACCGCGCACCCGACGTGCTGATGGGGTCACGCCAGTACGATACCTCCATCGATATCTGGTCGATTGGCTGCATTTTTGCCGAAATGTCCACTGGCCTCCCGTTCCTCGCTGGCACATCCATCGAGATGCAGATCCTGCAGATCTTTAGGATCTTGGGCACCCCAATTGACCCGCTTGCGCCCAAAGCCCAGCCACCACCATCCCTCGACAGTCCCCACATTGCCGGAAATCACAGGCTCTTTGAGGTTGATAAAGCTGCGTATGCCCAGCGCTGTGGCCCTCATGCTCGCAACTGCCCGAGTGGAAGACAAACTTCCCCACCTTCCGCCCCATCCCGCTCGAACCGCTGTTGCCCAAGCTCAGCGCCAGTGGGATCGACTTGCTGAAGAGGCTCTTGACTTACGAGCCGCAGAAGCGGATATCGCCGAGGAGGCCCTCTTGCACCCTTATTTCGAGGAGCTGCGCGTTCTAAACAGCACAAATAACCTGCCCACCAGCTGATGATGACAGCGATGACTATGATGATGATGAATTTTTTTAATGTTAATCCGCAAAAGTAATTAGCAACAATAATTTTATAAATGGAGAAAACAAACAATTCAAACAATACATATCCAAATATCAAATTCAGATAAACATTTTAAACAATTGGAAATACATTTATTTATTGTTCCCCCCTCTCTCTCTCTCCGGGCCGCTTGATAGCAATATATACACCAATACATTTGATTTGATTTTGTATTGCCGGTCCATGAAAATCACACTATTACCGACTCCAAATCAGAACCGCAAAAAAGTGTGCTCTGTTTGCCGGTCCGAAACCAAAAAACGAACAATCGACATAATTTTTGCTTTTTTTGCTTTTATCAGGGGAGGGACCGTTTATTTGTTTACTTTTTTGTTTTGTTGTTACTAGAATTAATATATTTTCCATCTAATATTGTGCGAGCGCGTTTTGTGCTTCCGGCCACTCCTTCAATATTAATGCTCTGGTATTCCTAAAGCAGTGCATGTTTTGAATACAGCAGGTATGCTCTCATAACCACTTTAGCATCTTGCTTATTTTCCTTTTTCGTATATCACATTATCGCAATTCAGAAACCTTTACACATTTATATATATACTCCGACACTGAATATGCAACAACATATTATGAGTGCTCTGAGTGAGGGTTTTTTATTATATATTTCCGTCTTGTCATCTCAAATATCGGCAATTTTGAAAGGGAAATTTTGCAACTCACAAATATAGAAATAAATTGCAATCTTGATAATACTTTCTTGTTCCTAAAGAAGCACAAGCGTGTTTCCAACAAGAAAACAAGCCTCCCTCATTTTATCACCCCACTTGTGCATCCCCCACCCACTTTTCCCCGACAAAAACAACTTTTGTTTTGTAAGCAAGTTTGCCCAGGTTTTTTTTTGTATTTGGACTTGTATCTCGGAGGGGTGGACATAATGCTTTGAAACGTGAAAAGCGAAGAGTATCTGCAACAAAAAACAAATTAATTGTTTATTCGAATCATCAAATTTTCTCTTTTTTTCAAAACAAAGCAATTACAACACTTTTTTTTACAATTAACTGAATAACACCCATCCGGATCTTCAATTTTTGTTTCCCCCACCACCACTACTACAATCTCAAATACAAACATGACTATCGTCACCGTTCTCCATCACGATCGATAAATACCTACATTGTTTTTTCTTTTTCTTTTTCAACCAACATAAACATATAAAAATAGGACAATCTTTCCCATTCAAATCAATTGGTCTGACAAATAAATATCCACAACCTGTTTATTTTTTCACTACTATTCTTTTTTTTCTTCCTTTTTTCTTTACTGTCTTTGCTGTACTTTTATTCCTTTTTCATTTTTTACTCACCCACCCACACACATACACACACATATATATATATACATACACACACATAACTCGACACGATGTTCTCAAAGGGCAAGCTGCTGCTGATCCCAGACTCCGCCGACATTGTCCTGCATGGCTCCCCACGAGACGCCCGATGTGCAGTCATTTCAGGCCGCATAGTCTTTACATCCAAAGTCCCACGCACAGTAAACTCACTAGTCGTGCGCTTCAAACCCAAACAAGACGATCTGCTCAACCCGTCAATCTCCATATCAAGTCTCTCCGAAATAATCTGCACAGTGGTCAAAGACGGGAAAACAGAGCCAACATCGGACGAAGCCTCATTTAACGCAACAACTGGCAAGCAAGAGTGGCATTTCAGCATGGGTGTGCCAGGAAATATCAGCGAAACAGTGTTCTCTCCCCCTGCTTTATCGCATACGAGCTCTGTGCTGAACTGCGCACATCATCGGTGATGCGGTGGACGCCGTTTTGCAGATTGACGTGCACGGTGCCTATGGCGGTTAAGCGGATTCCAGAGGCGGGCTCCGCGTGGGCTGCGCTGGCCAGTGAGCAATTCACTATAGCTTCCAAGTGGCGCGAGCGCGTGGAGCTGACGACAATGGCGGGATCGCGCACCGTCCATGATGCGCGTGCATTCCATATTAGCGGCAATGTGCGACCGCTGATCAAGGGCATGCGGCTTTTGCGTGCTGGGTTTGAGATCCGCGAGTTCATCGAGGGACCGTTTGACTGCAACAACGATGGGATGCCGTCGCGCGGCACTACTGTGGCCAGGTGCTCACGCGAGCTGAATGTGGCATCATTGGAAAAAAGCCAGGACGGGTTAAGTGTCCAAATGGGCTACTTTCCCAGCACCACCTTGCACCGGGTCGGCGTGGCCATTGACCAGGATATTTGCATAAGTGGCAGCTTGAACATTCCTTGCGCATACGAGAGTATCCAGTATGATATTGCCTCCGGACCTATTAAGGTATCGCACGAACTTGTGTTTGCTGTGTCTGTCGTTGATGTGAGTGGTCAGGTGCATAATGTCAGGTTGTCTTCGGGAATTTACGTCTTCCCCCTATCAGCTCGGAGGTTGTTGATTTGCCGCGATATGAGAACTGTAACAAGGATATTTTACTTGCTGTTGGCCAGCGCCGGTCGCTGCGGATGGCTTTGGCGTCGCATCCGGATACGAGGACACAGAGGTTTGTGGAATCGTGGGCGGCAGAGAACGCGGGAGTCCACGAGGAGGAATGCCCGCCACCTGAATACTCTCTGGATATGGTCTTTTCGGATCACCGTCGCTCACCACCGCATGTCCATGTTCGTGGTTCTGTATAAATATTGCTGTTTGTTTTTATGTATTTTTAGTATTATATTCTATATTAAAACAAGTGGACAATTGTTTATGTTTGTTGTTTGTATGTTTGCTCAAGAACCACCACAAAAAGAAATAGTGTCGAGTTTATTCGCAAGTGTGGTAGTTAGCTGCCTCTTTGAGCTTGACCAGAGTGTAGAGCAGTGTGTTTACGGGTGTCGGAACGCCATGCTGTTTGCCGAGTCGGACCAAGTACCCGTTGATCCACTCAACCTCTGTCTGCCGCTGAGCAGCCACGTCCTGAAGCATCGACGAGCGATTCTTGGCCGTCATGCGCGCAATATCTGTCACATACTCCTCGATGACATGCGCTGATAGCTTTTCGTGCAAATGGGGCTGAGCGCGCGCGTATATGGCGGCAATTTCAACACACGCCGAGGACAAGTAGTTGCGCATCGACTCGTAGTACCCCTGATCAACGCATTGCGCGGATTCATCTGGCGGGGGCGGGGCCAAATACCCGTTGCGACAGTCGGTCAGAGCGGTGACGGGGTTGATTGTCGCGTTGGCTGCAAGCTTGAGCATCAGCTGGAGATGCAGATCGGACCAGCTGGTGATGCTGGTGTTGAGACTCAGGCCGCCCAATGCAGTCAGCATATCCAGCGTCGACTGTGGCAGCACCGGTGGCGGGTTCAATAGCGATGGGCGAACGGCAAAGCTGCAGCTGCCTATAGCAGTATAATGTGTGACAAACTCCTCACCTTTAACAGGGTTGCGCAAGCACCCATGCGAGTTGGTTCCAATTATAAATGACGGGACCTCCGATACCAGCAGCTCCTTCTGACGCTGCTGCGGCGATGTGTAAAACTCGCGCTGGATGGCCTCGTACGTGCCCATGCCGTTCTGCAACAGGACAACAGTCGATTGTGAGCTGAGACGGTCCTTCACCGACCGGTATGCCTGCAGCGTGTCCTGCGCCTTTGTCGCCAAGATGAGCTGTCCAATCTTGCCACTTTCTCGGCTATCTTTTGCAACCTCCGCAGCGGAGCAGTTTGGTTCTGGTGTTTCAGCATCAACGCCATTTGCTAGCCATGGCGCCAGCCCGCTGCTGCTGCTTTCGCCTGGAAACAAAAGCTTTCGCGAAGGCTGAGTCCTGACCCAGTCGTTGACGACACCGATGCAGCTGCCGCTCCGAGAAAACCGGTCGACGGACGCCTGCGACCGAAGTACTAGTGTGATTGAGTGACCGGACTGCCGAAGGTGTGCGCCAAATAAAAGGCCAACTGCGCCTGCACCGAGCACATGTACGCGGAGATATGTGATTGGGCTTTTAAGCGACATGAAGAGCCCTGAAAAATACAGTTTACCAAAAGAAAAAAGAAAAAAGGTAAACTGTGACAATTAGGACTGAGTGTATAAGGATAGCAGTGTGCCTGAATTTAGTCAAAGCTCTACTAAATTACTTAAAGCCAAAAATATCTGACGTCTTTGGACATGTTACACCGCATATGGGAATAAATTGAGCTGCTGATGGTGTGTGGTTTTCCTGGAAGTATGGCGCATTCTAATATTTTAACTTTATAATAACCGAAAGTGTTTTGCGTACTGAAACGAATATTGGAGTTGGTAATGGTAATGATTGTGGTTTTTAGGGTATTTAAACTATTAGCAGTAACGAAAGAGGCATTTAAGCATTATATACACCTGTCTAGACAAATAGATAACAGATATCTTGATGATATTGCCGATATGCACGCAAAATCTGATAAAGCAATCCTTCCATTGTTATTCCCAGCGCATGCCTCTCACTTTTAGCGCGGCATCGGCTCCTCGCACTTATTTGTTGCTCTTTGACAATTTTTTATTCAAGTTCAAATAACGGAGACTCACCTCAATTCCATGCATACTGCGCCTTTCAGTACATTGCACATACCAGCTAAAATGTTAAATCCCTGACATCACAACATATCTGGTGATCGGCTGAGTCTCCACAGTTTTGTGGTCAGTCAGCTACCCACATTTGTAATCAAGCGGATGATCGAGACTTGGATCACTTTCAAAACACCATAGCAAGGAAAAGTATGTTTTTGTTTCGTGGGAACAGACAGAGCGCGCGTGATGTTGCTGTTGCTGATCAACAGCAGGCAATTAATCGATCAATCGGCTGGCTGGTCTTTTTTGGCTGCATTTGACTTCCCACCCCTGAAAAATGTGGCTTGGCGAAAAAAAGGGGGTGTGGATGGACGCGATAAAAGAGTGCAAAAAAGGGGGTGAGGGCGAAAGGGGGAAAGGGGTTTGCAGAATCCCTTTTTTTCTCATGGTGGCGATTGCCAGCGGCTCACCCGAGCAGGAAAAAAAGAAAAGAGAAACCCAGCCAGAAGAAACTACTTTAAAGACGGCTGGCAGGCGAGCGACTGACGAAAAAACAACTTTCTTCTCCACTTTTCTGAAACCAAAACACAATTCATACAACCGTTGACTCCTCATATTCTTACACCTTGTGCAAGTATATACAGCCAAACCCTGAATTTTTTATCTCATATATCCGCACTTCCACACACATACCGCACGATGACCCCACCAAGCGCGCAAAACATTTACGCTGACGAGCCCTGGAACGACCGACACCTGTCGAACTACGTCGTTCGCGCCGAGAAGCCATTCAACGCTGAAGTCAAGCTAGACAAGCTCATCGAGCACTTTGTCACGCCGACCGAGCGGCACTTTCGGCGCAACCACGGGCCCATTCCCAACCTGGACCCAGAGACATGGTCAGTGACCGTCGAGATCAACTCGCTCGCGTCCTCAGCCCCGCAGCGTACCAAGGTCTTTCGGCTGAGTGACATACAAAGACTCCAGCAGTTTGAGGTTGTCGCAGTGCTTGAGTGTGCAGGAACAGGAGAGACGGACTCAAGGCCATCAAGCCAGTAAACGGAGTCATCTGGGGCGCGGGAACCGCTTCTAACGCACAGTGGGGCGGATGCCGGTTGCGCGACGTACTTGTTGCGGCTGGCATGCCCTCAAACCTTTGCGACCCGTTCTACGAGACGCCGCGGCACGTCGAGTTCGCCGGGCACGGCGAGGCATCAGACGATGTGCATTACGCAACATCGATTCCGCTCGAGTGGGCGATGAACCCGCTGAACATGGTGTTGGTGGCCACAGAGATGAACGGCCACCAGCTCTTGCGCGACCACGGATTCCCAGCGCGCATTGTGGCTCCCGGCATCATAGGCGCACGGTGGGTCAAGTGGCTCAATTACATTCGTGTGCAAGACCGCGAGTCCAACTGTTTTTATCAGAAGCGCGACTACAAGATTCTGCCGCCGATGGCCAACAGCAGCAACTGCGAACAGTTCTGGCCGCGCTTCCCGGCGCTGATGGAGCTGAATATCCAGAGCGCAATTTGCCGTCCGAGCGCCGACGAGCGCCTGCAAGCGTGGAAGCCGTATGTGGTGCGCGGCTATGCATTGTCAGGCGGCGGAAGGGCCGTCGACCGTGTCGAGATTTCGCTTGATGATGGTGTCACCTGGGATCTGGCCAAGATGTATTGTATGAACCCGAAGAACAGCAGCAGCAATAGCAGCACCAGTACCGGCGCCAGCGAAGATGGCAGCGAGGACGATGGCAGCAGTGACGGAAGTGACCGTGACTGGACCGCGCGTCATTGGGGGTGGGTGCTGTGGTCGTTCCGTATCAGCAGCGTGCCTCCAGACTGCTCGATTGCCTGCCGTGCCTGGGACTCGGGAGGCAACACGCAGCCGGCGGCTGCCGTCTGGAACTACCGTGGCGTGATGAACAACTCTGTCTTCCGCGTACACCCCCAGGTCACAGCGTCCCTGAAGAGTCATATGTGAGGGCCTTTGCTTTTCTGCGTTGTTTGCAATGGCCAAGTCGAAGCTGCAGACTGAATCAACTGCCCTTTTTTAATCCGAAAAGGTTCCAGAGCCGGCACAGACCTTTTTCCACTCACGTGATGTTCCCCGCGGAAATTTGGTTCACCCGCACCTTCTTACACGCACACTGGATTTTAGTGTGCGTGTGAGTCACAAAACGCACATACAGTGAGATGCCCGGCCAAACTGGGAAATTGGTGATGCTCATTTCTTTCGCATTTCTTCTTTCCTCTTTCTTCTTTCTTCTTCTTTTGATCTCTTATCAAGTCTGTCAATAATACACATATACACACCCATCCTAATACAACCAGCCCTCGCACAATGTCTTCTTCTGATCGCGTCCTCAACGCAGCCGTGCTCGGCGCCACCGGTACTGTCGGCCAGCGCTTCATCGTGCTGCTCTCAAAAAACCCCATGTTCCGCATCCACTCGCTGGGCGCATCTGAGCGGTCAGTAGGCAAGCCATACAGCCAGGCGACCAAGTGGAAGATGAGCGAGCTGATGCCCGAAGAGGCCAAAAACGCAGTGGTCAAGAACTGCGATCCGGCAAACTACGCCGGGTGTGACGTCGTGTTCTCTGGTCTCGATGCCAGCGTCGCCGGCGATATTGAAAAGTCATTTTTCGAGGCAGACTTTGCTGTCTTCTCCAACGCAAAGAACTACCGGATGGTCCCCAATGTGCCGCTCTGTGTGCCCGTTGTAAACACCGATCACTACGCGCTTATCGCCGCGCAGCGGGCCGCCCTGGGCCTGAAGAAGGGCTTTATCGTCACAAACTCGAACTGCTCGACCTCCGGCCTGGTTGTGCCACTGAAGGCGCTGCAGGATCGGTTCGGCCCCTTGAAGCGTGCCATTGTCACCACGCTGCAGGCCATTTCGGGCGCCGGCTACCCTGGAGTCGCATCGCTTGACATCCTGGACAACATTGTGCCGCTGATCTCTGGCGAGGAGCCCAAGATGGAGGAAGAGGTACTCAAGATCCTTGGCGGGCTCAGCCAGGACACGTCAGTGTGCACGCCGCTGGACGACCTGCGCATCTCAGCCACCTGCAACCGCGTGCCGGTTATTGATGGCCACACCGAGTGCGTCAACCTTGAGTTTGCCAACGCCCCGCCGTCGGTCGAGGAGGTCAAGCGGTGCCTGCGCGAGTACACTTGCGAGGCCCAGGATCTCGGCTGCTTCTCAGCGCCCAAGCATATTATCAACGTGACCGAGGAGGAGGACCGCCCCAGCCCCGCCTCGACCGGAACGCCGGAGATGGCATGTCGGTCACCGTGGCCGCATTCGCGAGTGCCCCGTGTTCCACATCAGGTTCACACTACTTGTGCACAACACCATCCTAGGCGCTGCAGGTGCCAGCATCCTCAATGCCGAGTATGCTGCCAAGAAGGGCCTCCTCTAATCTGCATTACGCGACTGTGGCTTCTTTGTTTGAGGCTCGAATGTGTGGCGATGCCTTTAGTTGTTTTGCTCTATTAAAATACAACTCTATTTTTTCGCATACACTCAGGAAAGTTCAGAGAACCAGCAAAGCTGCTCGATCGCAAGCAGTATGTCTGTCAGTATGCGGGGAAGTCCGGATCCACGTCGCTCTGCCAACCGATAAGACCCTTGGCGATATCGTAGCACTCTTTGTAGCCAAGGTTATCACGGATGTACTGAACAGCCAATTGCGAGAGATTTCCGCGGCGACACAATGTGTAGATGGGCGCGCCGCCAAGGTCATTCACAACCTTCTCCAACTCCTCTCGGCGCTGGTCAAACTGGTCCATCGGTATATTGAGCGAGTTGGGCAAGCTGCAGATCTCAAACTGCACCTCATCGCGAACATCCAGCAAAAGATGCCTACTGGAGTCTGTGAGCAGCTGGCTGTACTCCTTGCACGATATGCGTTGACCAGGGTCGCTCAATATGCTCCACTCCGGCGCGTTGTCATTGGGACCGGCCCCACAGAATGCCGCATAGTCGACCAGCTCGGTCACTGTCGGCATGTCGCCGCAAACAGCGCACGTAGGCTTCCGTGAGCGCAGTTTGATCGAGCGGAAGTGCGGCTGGGATCTGTAAGAGAATATCAGCAAGTTTGGCGCCTCTTCCTTCTTGCGGCCAGTGAGCACTTTAACTGCCTCCATGGCCTGCAGGCAGCCGATGATTCCCGGAACCACGCCCAGCACACCGGTCTCTGAGCAGTTTGCTGTGGAATCGGGCGGCGGGGGTGTCGGAAACAGGCAGCGATAGCATGGCCCACCGTTGTAATTGTACACAGTCAGCTGGCCGTCGAGCCGAACGGCGCTTCCAGAAACCAGCGGAATTCCCAGCATCACACAGGCGTCATTGATCAAGTATCGTGTCGCCGCGTTGTCTGTCGCATCCACCACAACGTCGTAGCCACGCATGATGTCCTTGGCATTTGTGCTGTCAAGCAGCACGTCGTATGCGCGCACTTTGCACATCGAGTTGAGTCGGGACAAACCTGTGAGTGCCGAGACTACCTTTGGCATTCCACAGGCGGCCTCAGTATGGATGACTTGTCTGTGAAGGTTGCTCTGGTCCACGGTATCGTGGTCAGCCAGCCCTAAGCGGCCAATTCCCATAGAAGCCAGATACAGCGCGCAAGGAGACCCCAGGCCGCCTGTTCCTACCACAAGACCGAGCTATTCCGCAGTTTCAGCTGCCCCTTGGTCCCGATCTCAGGAATCAGCAGCTGCCGGCTATAACGACGTATCTCTTCGTTTGTGAATCGCTTATTGTCTTCCTCCTCATTGTTGCTCGCGTGTACATTTCTTGAGCCCTCTGCCTCTAGCGCCATCAGCTCGGCGTGTATTTCTAGTTCCTCGTGCGCAGGCTTGCGAGGCGGGCCTTTAGACTGTCTATTTTGTTCTTGCGATCCATCAATGATAATATTAAAATATAGTATAGTGAAAATAAATGAAAAGTGGAATTTATGTGAAGTGAATTGGAGAAGAAAAGTGGTGGGCGGTCTGGAGGAAAAAAAACATTAAGAAATCGGGCAGGGTCTGAGCAAAAATCAGTAATAAAAAGGGGGCTTAGCTCCCTTTGAAGCGACGAACCCAAAAATAGTGCGGATCAGAAAAAAACGGACTGGCTTTGTGCTTTTAAAAAATTTAAATAGACACTTGAGCGCCTTTGCAAATTATAATGATTACAAAATATGTGGCGTTAACCGCAATGGGGTTATCGGTGTGTCATAAACAAACTGAGATAGCATCTGGCCATTATCAATAAATAAATAGTTTGAAAGGCCGATGATATCCGACATTTTGTAATGGCAGTCTGTTATTATTTCCAGGATAATGCAAATCCGCAACACCTTATTACACTAACAAATCCCCGACCTGCGGGGCAACCTTGAAGATTGTATTTACGCATTTACCTTTACATTTGTGAAAAGGTAAGTGCATTAACGCTTTTCGCCAGAGGGAGGAAAAAGGCAGCACACACGTTAGATACGCTTAGGCATTTAGCAGCAGATTAATCTGTAATCAACCAAATACCTTTAGTACTGCTGCTGTTTTCCAGTATTTTTTGTCATCGCCGATTAAGGATGGCGAAAAAGTACCATCAGGCAGACGGAAGTGGAATAATCGCGACATGGCTGCGGTGCTAAACTTTCGCGTCATCCTCAATTCCCTGCTTACAGGCGAGCGGCCTCCCCATTTTTCACGCAATAATGCATCGTCAGAGTTGGCTGAACCCGAGTGAGGCTACAGCGACGCTCAAGCCAAAGCCCAAGCCCAAGCGTGTGCGCAAGAATCCATCTGCCCCTGCTTCTCTTCAAAAGAAGCAGCGAACTGATTAATATTGTCAACCATAGTGGTCTATTGCCACTAGCTTCTAAACACCTTATCTGGGGAAGGATGTCGGTTTTTAGTACATTGTAACCTCATTTTTTTTTCGTGTAATCAGCCGATTACACCAAAAAAAAATGAGTTGGAAGTGGAAGTAGAAGTATAATTGGATATTAAACAGATAATTAAAAATAAAAATAGGGTACACAATACAAAATACAAAATAGGCTTCACTGGCGAAGCGCAGAAAATCAAGGAGTGGTCTGTTAAATGGTTCAGTCGTGATTGTTGCTCAGAATTTGCTTGTACAGGAACCTTGCCCGGGCCAGATAAAAGTTGAACTGGATACTCTTGCGGTTGCGGCGACAATGCTGGTTGGCAAGATATGCACCAGCGCTCGATACGTCATTGGTAGGATTATTTCTCGGAAGGCTTCACGCCAGGCCAGTCGAAGAAAAGGAAGGAGTCTCCGTATTGACCTCAGCAGTCTCGGGCTGGATCAAAGTGGCTGCGGATCCATTCAATGCCAGCGCGAAAGCTTCCAGAGCACCATGCACCGCCGCTGCCATCTTGTCCTTGACGCCATCGGTGTTGTCGCGAATTTGGATTATCTCAGCCTGGAGTTCGAGTTTGTCCTTGGCTGCTTGATCGATCACCCTCCGCACCTGGTCCTCGACAACCTCCAGGCACTTTGCGTGGTTGGCTTTGGCCTCCTGCAGGGCTTTGCCAGCATTATTAATAAGCCATTGCCTTTGAGTGCTGCATTTTGGCGGAGTCCAGCGCGTACCTAAAGTAGGTTGCCTCGGCACGAGCCATGTTGGCAGACATGTAAACTTTATCAAGCTGCTCAGTCAGGGCAATAATTTGGTCCTTTCGGGCGACGTGGCCGCTGTAACCGGGAATGCAGGTGCGAGCAGCGCGACAAAAAAAGAAGATAAAGCCATTTTAAAATCGGGATAAATAAAAATGGCAGGAATTTAGTTGGCCATATAATGGAACAAAAAAGTTATGAAATATAAAAGTAAAAAAGCAGGAAAATATAATAGTAACAAACAAGGATGATACAAGCGTATGAAAACAAAGATGTGTGTGTGATAGAGCAGCAGAGTTGGAGAGCAGCAGATTGAAGTGTATAATATTATAGTGCAAAAACTAGCACAAAAGACTGGTAGAAAAGAGTGGGTGAGGGCTACTCAAGCGCCTGTACGGCATTTTATAGTATCTGCAACTAGCTCTTTCAACCACTTGCACTCGGCAATATGCGACATGGAACATGCGTTTGCAACATACAGCGGTTCTATATCGTAACCGCATATCATGGGCTGCATGAACATGCATATTCAGTCATTGTTCATCGTATTGCAGGGGGTGTTAAAACATTTGTTGGGAATAGTCTCGGGCTTGTTTTGAGGCATCTGCAAGTACTGTTTTGCCGTTTGAAGGCCGACTAGTGACAAGGCATTGCATTGCATAATTCTATTAAATGGCAAACACAAGGTAAAACAGTATCCAAAAGCACACGCACATTCATCTCAACTCTGTACTTTCTTTATTTTGATGCCATGGCAGATATCTTTTGTAAAACTGGTTCCTCGTCGCCTTTGGCAAAAATAAGTTTTATTTTGATGACCGCAGCAATGCCAAAGACTCCGCCACGCAACACCAGCGCCTTGACAGTCGGCTCCAAAAAAACGACAATAGCGTGATAACGCCTTGCATTGCAAGCATTACTTGCATGCAACATATAAGTGCTTGAGGGCTCCCGCGCTGCCTGCAATTCCCGTTTTGAATATCAGAATAATTTGTGATAAGTCGCCGTTGCCCAGGCGACTTCCAGCGAGTGACATATAATTATTGTTGTTGGAATTGCGCTACCCGCCGAAGCACTTTTTTGGCCACGTGCCATATTTCTGTTCCCTCGGAACGCCGCACAAATACAACCATTGGTGTGGAATGTTCTGTCGATTCACAAGCCCCTGACATCAAATTATCTACCGTTAAATTTGCCGCTTTACATGTAGTAGCGTTTGAAAGCAGAATTTTGTTGCGCTGTTCAATCAATTGCATGGTTTGTTGTTGTTCTATCACAATCGGTAAATGATGGCGCCGACAACCAACAAGCTGTATCCAATGGTAAGCGCAACCCAGCCAAAATATGACATCCAGCAGTATAAAAGCCCAACAACACTGCCCTGTGAGCATTGTCTGCGTTAAAGTCGAGCTTAGACATGTGCCGGGACATAGACTGAGAAAAAGTAGGAGCAATGCCCGAACCTAAAGTTGGGTCAAAATCAATCCATGCGTATGAGAACCGCGTCAATGGAAGCAGTGCCAGCACTAAAGACAAAACAAAACATAAATCAGAAATCTGTTCTCGTAGCTCAATGGCCACTTTACACAGGGTACAATCACAACATGCAAGTGCATTGAAAACAGTGCCTTATAAACATCGATAGCAGTGAAAAAGGTCACGCCAAACATTGCAGCCTGGCAGTTTGCTTGGCTGCTTGGTTGTGTTTCGGACTGGGATATGATATGTCATATACGCGGACCCAGAGTATCCCGAATCAATCACGCCGCGTATATAATCAATCTTATAGATACATGCTGCGCTCGCAACTTGTACATGCAACCTTTTTGATATTTTAAGCATGCCAGAAGTATAATACATATGAGGCTGCACGCGATGCTCAGTGAATTGAGTGACAGAAGAATAGTAAAGGCTCTTTGGCTGTAGAGACGATTGAGACCAAGAGCCGGTGTCGAAGGAATTGGCGTGAGAAGCAAGTATCAAACGGGTTGTTTTGATCATTTTGGCGTCGCCTTTAATTAAGTCTGCCATATTTGTCAGCAATATTGCAGCCAATAAATATTAGAAAATATACAAACAAGAAATGCAGCTCTAAAATAAACTACAAAATAAAACTGTTTGTGCACATTAATGTGCGTTACAGTTTTTTTTAAAAACCAAAGCATTGCGCACAGTTGCGCCATGACTGTGTAAACTATTGCTAGTAAAGTATTGCCATTGCGTCACCAATGCGCCGATAACTCTAGAATTCATTTAATGTCGAAAATATTTTCGAAAATAAAATGAATTTCATTTATTTGATTGAAGATAATTTATAAAAAACATGACACAGTTAGCCCAGGCAAATGATTTTGTTTAGACGGCGATCTAAACTCCATATAAGAGATTACAAGCATTCTCCTTGAATAAGACGGCAGATCTGCTGAGCTGGCAAATGCTGGAGCAGTACATGCTGCTGTTTGGAAGTAATACGGCGTGATATGATTTATGCAGTAGCTGAGGCAGCTGCTTGAGCTGTGGTAATTTTAAAACGAGCAGGTTTCGACAAACCCCATTTTCACTTGGCTTGAGTTTGGCTGTCCTCTGGTAGCACGAAACTACATGCGCTTTAAACTGGTGCTCGTAGGCATAGTGTTTTTTGCAGTTGAAACAAGTAATGTAGTTTTGTTTCTTGCAGTTTACAGAATGACAGACGCCCTCAGATGGTTTTCTGGCATGATAGAATATGTGGTTGTGTGTGTTGACATTAGGAGTGATGTGAAAATAAATATTGTAAAGATGAGGAGAAAATACTCTAAACAAAGTAAAATAAAACGGGAGATACTTTGCACATTATATAGCAATCGACATGGAGTTCTCACTGAATTCCAGATATGCATTGTGCATCACTTTGTTTAAAAGCAAATGCACATATTTTCATAAGTCATCGTTATCAGACGGACAATGTGTCAGGGTGCGGCATTTTAAGCCCAGCCAGCTGCCACTTGCATACAGAAATACTCACACTGAGAACTTGGGCTCCTCATCAGTCCCGTGCTCAAAAATTAATTTATAATGAACCTGCCAAGAACAACAACAATAACAATAATTTAATAAAGGAAAATTTGGGGAGAGAAAATAAAGCCAAATATTACAACTCAAACGAAGACAAACTCATTGCAAGTGGTGCCTGAATTTCCTCTGTTCCAAGGCGAGCAGGTAATGACGATGTCGAAGACACAGACAAAGATCTGAGCAGAGTACGAGAGCAAATCCTGCGTACTCGATGGGTCCTTGTGAAAGCTTGGGCCGGAGTTGCCATGGTTGCAGACACAACCGTGCGATCAATGGTGTTAGCAGCGCCAGGGTAAGATGGTGGAGGAACATCATTGGCAGAGAGTGCCTGGTACCCCTCCAAGGCCAATGGACAGTCATCTGTGGAATTACTTTCCGCTGCCGCAGTGCTTTCGTTTATACCGTTTCGAGGAAGCGTTCGTCCTCACTCTCAAGTATAGAATCTACAAACACAAAGTTTGACCAAAAATCAACATCCCGTTCGACGTTGCAGTCGGATGATGTCTCAACCAGCTGATCCATGTCAGTGTCCTCGTAGCGAGGGAGATTTGCTTGTTTTCCAACTACCTTTGGTAAAACAAACATGGGCGTCGACAGTCGCAGGCTCTGCGGATTTCCTTGGTCGTCTGTAATGGCGATGAAAAGAATGAGCTCGTGACTGGACTTGATGGGACCACGATGAATGTCGTACTGAATGCCAGTGTATATCTCAGGAACAGTCAGAGTGCACGAGATCGATATTTCCTGGACAAGAGGGAAGTCGGCCTTTTCGGGTATTGAATTGCTTCCCATAGACCTATAGTTACTGGTGCTTCTCCTGCCAATGCCGATGCTGCTGCTGCTGCCGCCACCACTTATGTCATTGTCCATTGCAGAATATATGCTATGGATATCGACTGTGCTGTTGGTAATCACTTCGTTATATTCAACCAGCTCCAAGCTACCACGAACAGTGACCTCCCTCGTAATCCGCTCAAAAATCTGAAATCCAGCGTACGCCATGGACATGCCCTTTTCAAGCGGCCTGATAGTGCCGCGCACCGATATTACCTCCTCATCATGAATAATTCGCGAGTTTGTAAAAATAGTTAGCTCCAATTTAGACCGCCAGACCACGGTTTCAGTGATGGGCGCGCTTGCCTGCATCGTCCACAAAGAGTCTATGGAAGGCGTCCGCTTAACCATGATCGAGCAGGCTTTCGACTGTGATGCATTGGCGAACGAACCGTAGGTGCGAGCGTCGGCGACCAACTCGTAGGCAACCACATGCTCCTTGGAAAATATTGTCTCGGCAGTCGACCCCGGAATCTCAATAGAGAATCGCCATTCGTGGCCCTTGCCTGGAATTCTATTATTTATAACATGCCGTTCAGATTGGCCGTCTGTGACCAAAGCCGTTTGCAACAGCAGCGGCGGCGTGAGTAAGCTCTGTGTTTGGAACAGTCGCTGTCGCTGCGGCCGCAGTGTGACTATGAGTGATTTTAGCTGGTCGATGTTTTTCGAGACCACCACTACACGCCCCGTGATATATCCGCTGCTTGCCTGATTTGGTCCACCAAGCAGGATGACTTCAGGCGAGTCTGGGTGTAGAGAAATTGATCCGACCAAGAGCATGTTAGGGATTGAAATGTGATGCACAGTAGCGTAATGTGTTTGTGTGTGTGTGTGTGTATTTGGTCCAGTGTGATGAGGTGAAAACGTCTAATAACAGGATGGCCAGGTGCGTGATAGGTAATATGAATGGCAGGAAATAGCAAAAAATAAGTATAAAATGTCTGTATTAAACAAAGTTGATAAAATTGTACAATAGCAGAGACAAGATGATAGAGTGGTCGTGCATGTGAACGCGCTCGGGCGAATATAAAAAACTGGATATCCAATACCTGGCAAAAGACACAAAAGGCACAGGCGCATACAAAACTATCAAGTAAACAAAAACATTCTCTTTGTAGACTATGCTAATAAAGTCAGTACAGAAAAGGGAAACACGCCTTTGCAAACATGTAGGTAGCAGTACAAAATGACACAAATCGCCCTGTGGGAATCCCAGAAAAAGACGATTGGAAATCTCATGTCACAGAAATCTCAATATGGCTCAAAGTCTGGCCTTCACTCACAAAAGAAACCTGCTGTACTCTTGAAGTAATACGCCCATCGCCAGCAGGCTGCTGCCACTAAGTGTTCATTAAGCGACGGGTACTGCGGAGGTCTGGATGCCTCGTTCTCGGCAACGGACCGACAGATGCATCTCAGAAGCTCGGATGAGGGCAGTGGCAACTGCGGTAATGGGGTATCCTGGGCATCTGCATCTCTCTCTTCATTGGGATATTGCAGCACAGCCTTTTTGAGCGGCCCAGTCATCAGGGCACTCAGCCTGTTAATCCCGACTGGTTTCGCAGCAGGTTTTCTGTCATGGAGCTCACGTCGTCTGGAGTGTCTACGCTATTTGCTGGCTCCGTAAAAAACTCAGATCCCGTAGCTAGCCGTGTCCAGGTTTTTGGGTACCTGTGTGCATTCGACTGCCAGGCAAAGTTACCAAGGGTCGGATTTTTCGGCAAAAGGCCGAACAGCCTGTCATATGTGGTGCTTTGAAAATTGAAGCATTCCACTGAAGCCCTTTTGCACGCCCTGCACTGTGGAAAGCGGAGATTGCACTTGATATTAAACAGTCGGCACCGCACACACATGTTATTAACCCTCCGGTTGTTTTGTTCGTCGTCATTGCAATTGGAAACATCAAGCGAACCTTGTCGAAATTTGCTCTTTCGTTTCTTGGCTGGGGGCTTGCTCGGACTGCTGTCGTGTATGTTGTCCTGTACTCTTTTATCCTTCATTTCGGAATAATATGTGTTGAAAAAATTGCTTGCAAATAACGAAAAAAATCAACTAAAATGAGCGCACATTTGTTTTACCGTCCCACGGTGCAATATCACAATAAAGCTAATATACCCAAATGTCAATATTATAACTTTGTGGGCTTGTGCACCTGACGGCAGGGCTTAAAGGAAAGGGTTTAGACATTCAGCCTCATCAATAAACTGGTTTTGTTGTTGTTTTATATCTCGCTAAATGTATCTGTTTTCTCTCTCGGCATAAAGTAGAAGGCTTGCTCATCAAAATAACATCGACATCGAAACAATAGGTTTTTTTACTAAACCCCAATGATTTTGCAGATAAACAAGTTGCGGACAAGGGGAAGAGCCAGCATTGATTAGCGCTGCAGTACATGTGTGTCGCACTATTTCGCTACAAAAGGGTCGGTATGTGTGCATGTATTAAGCACATTGTTATGCCTTTCAGTCGCCGCCAGGCGCAAAAAAAAGCTAAAGAAAAAACACCCAGCTGAAAAGGGGCTTAGTTGATCTTGAGGAGCTCAACATCAAAGACCAGAGTGGCCTTGGGGGGGATAACGCCGCCAATGCCGCGGTCACCGTAGCCGTAGTCGGAGGTGATGGTCAGCTTGGCCCGCTGGCCAAGGCTCATCTGGGGGACACCCTCATCCCAGCCGCGGATAAGCTGTCCAACTCCAATTTTGCAGACAAAAGGCTTGCCGCGCTGGCGCGACGAGTCAAAGGGAGAGCCGTTGTCAAGGGTGCCATCGTAGTGCATGGTGACAGTGTCACCGGGCTTGGGGAAGTTGATGCCGTCTCCTGGCTTGATGGTTTCGATCTCGACGCCCATTGTTGATGAGTATAAGTGATAAAAAAGGAATATTAATAACACGGAATGAGTTGAAGAAGTTGTACCACGAGCAAACAGCAGAGTATTTAATCGGTCGGGGGATCCGGATGAGGTGGAAAATTTTTAAACCAAGACAAAAAAGATGGACTGTTTCAACTCAACGCGGCTCGACTCAAGTGAATTACATCATCTCGATAGCAGTGGAGTATTTGGTTGGCAATATCTATTCACGTGTAAATTTTTGACTTGGCCATACATGGCATTTCCGAAGTGGCTGCCTCAGCATCAAAAATGCTACTGCATATTTTTCGACGAAAAAGCGCGCACCTTTGCGCTTTGGGCTTTGAATGCGATAAACTTGAGTGTCCTTCAGTTTGGTTCCTCTTGTTTTCTTCACACAGCGGCAACAGTAAATCAGGTCTTCTGCGCACTCTTCGCTTCATCAAAGGACGACGGCGTTGCTACCGCCAAGTACGCTTCCCCCCCGGCTTTCTGCACACTCTTTGTTTATATCTATCAGCACAAAGGTCGATTTTGAAGATAGCAGCCCGACTTGGTCCCTGCGCTTCGAGAACTCTTTGCCGCTTTAGTTTTCAATTCTGGTCAGCAAAGCACTCCACATTTTATATTCCCTACATTCGCTAATTCCTCTACAATATTTCTTTGACACAAATGAACTCGCCCATTAGCTCCGCGGTGAAAGAGCAGGGCCGGGACCGCTCGCTGCATTCCTCAGCATACCGAACGGCCGCAATGGGCAGTGGCAACAAAGGCAGCAGGGTCCAGCCATCGCAAGCGATGCTTTCTCCACACGAGCTGGCCAACATGTATACCAGGCAGTTTGCCATGACCAAAACGACAGCACCAGTACCCAGCATATACCAGGCTGCAGCCTCGGCAGCGAGCTCGACTGCCAACCAGACCTGTCTCCACGGTTTGACAGTTCTCCAGTGCGCACGGTCACAGGCGCCTGTCGATCCACACGTATACAGAGACTGGCTCATCTTGAGGAGCGGCTCAAGCAGAGCTACCGGCGACTGCAGCGCAAGAAGCGTAACTATATGGTCCAAATCATCGCGTTCGGCATTCTGGTATTGTACTTTGCATGGTTTGGCGTGTTTGGACACAAAACTACAGGTTTACATGCAAATTGCTGAGCGCCGGGTCGGCATACTGTATCTACCTCATTGTTACCAACCGCCGCTTCCTGCAGTCCATCAAGTACCCAGCGCAATGCAACCGGTCCCTGCACCAGTTTCGCATGCGCTTTGAAGCAAATCCCATGCACGCACCCAGCCCATTCATAGTGCCGAACAGCACAGAGAACACAGCCGCAAGCTTGCCAGCAATGCCGATACCACTATCAAAGATCCGACCTTCTTGACCGAGTCGCAGCTGTCATTTTTCCCCACTGTTCCTCGGCAGCTGCGCGATGGCTACTTGGAGTTCAAATCCACGTATTACCGCAAGAGAGATGCGGCAAAGAGGCGGCTGCAGGAGCGCTTGCGAAGAGAACAGCAGCGCAAGAGCTCGCTCAGCAACGCAAGCTACAAGACGAATGAGCGGAAGTCCAAGCAGCGCGTGGGGCGACAGCAACATCTGCGTCACCCGAGCAGCAGCCACGAGGGGGATTCGCAAGTGCTGGGTGGCCGCATGTCATCAAACATAGCCGACAACAACAGTATTCACGGGATGTCGGCGCTGTTGGCTGGAGTTGACAGTGCCACTGACGAGGGGTCCACAACCAGCTCGTCAATCGTTTCGCGAAGGATGCCTGCATCTGGCTCCACAAGGCGCGGCGGGTCCAATCTATCTACTCGCTGCCCGAGCAGGACACGAGTTCAGACAGCGACGGCGGCCACCACCACGACGGCATGCATTGAATCCCTTGTAACAACAGCCCTCCTTTTTAATTTTTTTTACACTTTTTAACGCATTTTTGTTTAGACATGTTGAGAGACAGAAAGAGAAAAGAAAAACAAGCAAGGCGGCTGCGAATATGAGAGGATGCAGCCTGTGCCACACTACCAGTTCATGACCTCGACGCGGTACTTCTCGAGGTTCTGCACGCGCTCCCAGTACCGGCCCGCGGGGCCAGCGCCCTGAGTGACCCTGGCGTCGGGCTGCACGCCGTTCTGGCGCTCCACCTGCGACCGGGTCGTGCCGTTGGGCATCACCTCTTCGTCCAGGCCCAGCTGGACCTTCTGATGCGCCAGCTCGTTAGCAATGCGCTCCTGCTGCTGCTTCTCCCATTCGGCATAGAAGGGCACAGGCTTGCACGCAAAAGCTTGAGCTGGTCAGAGATGGACAGCGCCGCGTCGGAGGCGGCCTTTAGCTGGCCAACGAGGCTGCGGAGCTCATCGGAAAGCAGGATGCTGAGATGTGCGCATCCAGAATCGACGCTGCAAAGTCCACGACCTGGTCGAGCGTCGGCGCGGTGCTCACTGGCTAGGAAGCGTCAGCGCCGGCGCCCAGTCGCTGGTGATCGAGAACGCAAAGTGCTGATTGTGATCGTGCTCTTAGGGGCAGCCTGCGGCGCAACAAAGACTGTCGAGTCTGTCATAACCGAGGGGACACCTCTCAGAGAGATGGTCGTCAAACTCTGCGCCCGCTTGATGACCTGCTTGATCAGATCGGATGCGGTCGAATAGCTCTCCTGCAGCTCTGCGTCGGTCAGAATGTCGCCCTTGTCGCTGTCCTTGTACTCGCTCGCGATGCGGCTCTGGGCGGCGTCTGAGGCTGCCAGGAACCTGGCACTGGCGGTGATCTCAACGTTGGCGCCAACCAGGGTCCACTCGCGCATCCAGACAACCAAAAGACGGATTATGCAGGCAATGTGATCCGGGTGCAAGGCCGAAAGGGCCAGCTGCATGGTGTCGCTGTTGCTTGCGAGCGCAGCGATCGCGCCCACAGTGCGCATGACATCGGCCGAAATATCCTCCACCGCGTCGTCCTGCATGCTGTCGCCATCATCAGTCGACGGTGCGGCAAACAGCTGGTCGATATACTTGGCGTAGTGGGCGAGCTGGTACTGGAGCACGCTGACAATCTGGCGCTCGGGGAGATCCGGGCAGCGGGTCAGCGCGATGTTGACCAAGTTCCAGGCAGGATCGCTGGTCAGTATCTTGTTCTTCTTGCTGTCGACGCGCGCCAGAAGCTGGGGCAACAGACCCGGTGCCGGGGCGTGCGAGTTGCACAGACCGCAATTGATAGCATGAACTCAATGACATACGGCGCAAACAGCGGCAGGCGTGACGAGCGCGACACACCGAGTGGCTCGGCAAAGCAGCGGCGCATCACAGTGGTCATCAGGTACGCGCTGATCCAGGTGTCCATGCTGTCATCAATGCCGGCCTCCGGTGTGTACTTGGCGCCGACATGATCCATAAACAGCAGCGTGTACTGCTCGCTGTCCACTGCGTCCGAGACGTTGGCAAGTGCCAGCAGGGTATCGTTTCCAGCTGCTGTGTGGCCTCGCGGCGGGTAGCAATGCTCTGGAACGCCTCCGTAACGGCGGCCTTGCCAAGCTTGGACTTTTTGCTGGGAGCGGTGCCGTCGACAATCGCCTCCCAGCCGCTGCGCAGAACATTGAGGCCCTGCTCGAGCTCCTCGTGCATCAGGATGTTCGATGAGTGAACGACGTTGGTGCGTGCCGCCTGCTCAGCGGGGTCGACAAAATACTTTGCGTTGTTCTGCCGGCGCAGCGAGGCCAAGAGGGTGACCGGAGGGAGGTACGCAGATACGACAAACGTCTCGACGCTCCATGGCACGTTGTGAACAGCCAAAGCCGAAGCAGCGGCAGACCCTTCTTCCCTTCTTTGATGGCCGCGCCTTGGCCAGCTCGTTCTGGCTGTCAAAAGATACGTGGGGCTTTGACGTGTGCGCCACTGTGACAGCCAGAGAGACCTGGTCGCTGGGCGTGCCGCCCTCGTTCAGACGCGGGCTCAGTGACTGCACCTGGTACGTGAGGCGCGGGAGCTGCGCGCCCTTGGAGCCACTGACGTGCAGATACTCAGTTTCCACGGCGAGCTTCTTCTCAGCATGCATGCAGCCGTATTGCAGATCCCAGAGTGTCAAAACGCTCTCGTACGGGCCGGTCCGCGCGTGCGACACAACACTGTGTGTGCCCGCAATAGCCACATACCGCTCGGACAGCGCAGCCAGCGACAGCTGCGACTGGTTGAGCAAGTTGGGCGCCGCGACGCTGCCCTGCCCGGCATCGTTGACGCAGGTAACAAAGCCGCGCAGCACAACCTCCTTGGTGCGCTCGAGCATAATGGCGTCGTCTAGTGCCGAGCTGCCTGTTGTCAGGCTAAGCTGCTGGTACACGCCGGCCTCTGTGAGGATCACCAGCGCGCCCGTGTCGGCGTCAAAGGCGCACGTGAGCGGCTGAGTGGCCAGGTAGGCTGGGTTGATCCGCGTCGTGCCGCAGTCGATGACAGTCGCCTCAGTGCCGTCGATCGCCAGCAGCGACACGTAGTAGGCAAAGGCGCCGCTCTCATCGTCATCTGCCACGCGAGTCAGCGTGAGAACAAGGCGGAAGTCGCCGGCCAGCCAGTCAGCAACCTGCCGCGAGTCCAGGTACGATTTCATGCTCTGTGACACCTCCATCGGCTGGTACCAGATGATCTGAGACTCGCCTGATACGGGCGAGCTAAAGCCATAGACCTTGTCCAGATCCTGGGTCGTGAGCGTCATGGATCCATCCCTGTGCAGGGCAAGCAAGTGGCCGGCGGAGGTGACGGCGGCCTCCAGCGCAAATATCGGGGATGTGAACTTGGCATCGATCTTGTCCTCCAGACCAACGCTCTCCATGCCCCGGTCAGTCCACCGCCACATGATGGTGCCCTGATCGGCGCTGCTGATCCCCTCGCCAGAGTCTAGTACTGCATAGACATACGAGCTGGCGGTGCTGCCTTCGCTGTCGTATTTTACAAAGTACTTTGCTGGGCACGTAAAGCGTACGCTTGGCGGGAACGTCCATGATCTCAGACACTTGCTGTCAGTGGTCGAGTAGATCTGAATGCCCTCGCCCTGCACGGTTACCAGAACCTGATTGCTGGGGGTGGTTGCCGATGCATCGGCAGAAAGGTGATATAGTGAGTTGATCGGGGCCACTGCTGCTGGGAACTGCGAGGTGGTCGTAGTGGCAGTGAACTTTGCCAGCTCCTCCGGGTTCTCAATGTACGCGCTGCCAGGCATTATTTTTATTTACTGATGAGGTTTTGGGTGGGTGTAACTTTTTTGCTCGACTCGGTGCGCGTTCTGAATAGTCTATAATTAAAAAAGTGAGGTGAATACAGAATGCTCGCAAAATTACAGACAGTCAGTCCTTAGAAAGTAAATGGCAAATTCCACAGGGCAAAAAATATGAAATAAAGAAGAACAGAATTTTGCAGAGCAAGAGACTTTGGCGGGCAAACCGCAGAGATGCGCTCTGGTTGCCTTGATCCTCCCTTTTCAGCAGAGCACGCAGCGCCGAGCGAAGAAAAAAAAACTGGCACTGCGAGTCTGGCAAAATTTCTTTGATGCGGTGATCGGCTGATCGGCTGATTTTTTGGACTAATTGGCGCAGGAAATGTGGCGGAGACGTACCGCTGTGTGCTAAGCTTTTAAGCCCGGCGCCGAGCTTTCTACTTAATGAGCATTCGCTGCTTTTTCTTTTTTGCATTTTTGCCAGCTAGATTTTGTGTGCAGTAAAGCCACACACCTCTACCCCCTCTCTTTAATTCCCTTTTTCTCCTTCCCTCTTTTTACATCCCCACTTATCACTCGCTCGCTTCCTCAGCATATTCTACTGCGAACATCCTGAATACAACCAGCCTGTGCTTGCTTGCTTGCTTGCTTGCTTGCTTGTTTGTTTGTTTGTCTGGCCGCCTATAAATTCATCTTGCCAACTCGCAATTTCAGTAGCAATGGCACCCGTGTTCCAGCTTGACGAGGACGACGACCCCACGCACGAGGCGGCGGTCTTTGTCAAAGTGCCCGAGCACTTTATGCAGCAGTGTACTCGCCATTGAGGCAGAAGGTGCGGCAGGCAGTGGCGCGCGAGGTCGAGCGCGAAATGGCAGCGCTGGTCGAGATCCAGCGAGGTACCGCAGCGACGCGCTGGACACGCTGTTTGTTCTGACCGGCATGCTAGGCAATCATGCGTTCTTTATGCTGGCACTGCCGTTCCTACACGTCTTTGGCGGCGGGCAGTTCGCGCGCGGGCTGACGTTTGTCGTTCTGTGGTCGATCTACTTCAGCGGCTGGGTCAAGGACTACGTCAGCGCGCCGCGGCCAACCAGCCCACCCATTGCGCAGATCACGCGCAGCCCGGCCCACACATTCGAGTACGGCTTCCCATCCTCACACACAACGTATGTGGTTGCGACCATCTTGTACATCTCGCACTTTATGATGCACGTTTGGGGCTCGCCGCTGGGGTCTATCGCGACCTTCTGGGCGGTGGGTGCCTTTATTATCGTTGGCCGCATCTACTGCGGGCTGCACTCCTTCATCGATGTTGTCGGCGGCATTGGCATTGGTGTCGTCGAGGCATTAGTCTTTGTCGCGTTCTACCCGCGCATCGACGCGCTGCTGCTGTCGACGCCCGGCCCTCTTTACATGGCGGCTGTCTTGTATTTGGCGCTCAAAAATATCCCGCGGTCGCTCGATCTGTGCCCATGCTGCGTCGACTCCTTCTGCGCGACGTCAGTCACACTGGGCCTGGCTGTCGGCACCTGGGTCCATGCGCGCACCCCATTCCTGTGGCGCAATGGAGTAGTCGACAGCATTGCTTGGGACAGCTCGCTCACGCCTGCCCAGAACACGCTGCGCTGCGCCATAGTCCTGGTCTTAGTGGTCGCGTGGAAGCTGACATCAAAGGCGCCAATGGTCGCCCTAGTCCAGGGCCTCTCGCTCTGCCCTGCACCATGCTGTGATGGCGTGGATGGCAGCAAGCTGGATATTGGTGCGGAAAGCAACCCTGAATGCATGGATACTCTGCTGGACAGCATTTCGGTCAAGCCGAGTCTGTCAGAAGAAAACGCCATGTATATCAAGAACTACCCAGTGCCATCACCCAGCAGTATTGCAGCCGGACACTATGGCACTCACAAGCTAATGGTCACGCCAGAGAACTTTGCACGTGTGCCCATCTATGCTGGGCTTGGAATCGTTATTTATGTCGCTGCGCCCATGCTTTTCTACTTGCTTGGCCTCATGCCAGCCTAGTGTATGTGTTGGGTACACATTTCCTTTGTAGCCCAATGCCCATCAGTTGCCCTTTTATTTGTGAGTACTAAGGCTCACAGTTATAAAAAGGGCAAAACAACAGCATTTATTAGTTCCTCCTCTTTTCTTATTTTTTTACATAATATAAATTCAGTCTATTCATTAAATACACGCATTAACAGCATGCATCCACTCTCTTTTTCCAATTACTCTTTTTCTTTGTACACCTTATACTTTTAGCAACCGATTTCTTTAGACTACACACACTGCTGCATGTGCCAATCATACACCTATACACTGGACCAGACTATGGTGCTCAGTTCAAAGCCCTATTGTTCCTGTTGTTGTTGATAGAAAACATAGTGCTAAAAAGGAGTGAGAATAAATACATTGTGCAAGATATGTTACAACAGGGTATAATCAAAGATAATATTTATTTCTTCCAAGGAGAGCAATTCCTGGCTGCCCGATAGCCGCTCTTTTTATATGCTCTCTTTATGACATAAATAAACTAATAAAACATCATCATTGTTCTAATTGCCATGCGCGTAATCAATTAATCTCAGTGAGGCAACGTGCAACATCATATCCCTAAACTGTGACAGATATAAACATAGCACCAAAAAACCAGTGACTTTGGGCCCGAACCCACAAGGCATGCCAGATACTTTTTGCTGTTGTATTGTTGGCTTTTGGCCAGATTGGGGGGGGAGGGTTCGCAACACATGCCCTAAGATAGCGCCTCGCAGCTCCTTTTTCGCCGTTCTGTTTCTAAGCGCATTCCCATTTACCCACCTTTACATTTTCCACACCCCCATCTTGTCACAGCCATGGCACTGGCCCAGAACCCAGACGCCGCCAGGTCCTCCGACTGGGCATTCAAGCAGCTGTTCAAACTCGAGTCCGAATGCCGGTCGCAGGTTCCGGCATCGCAAGTGCAGGCAATCGGGCAATTTTCCAAGCTGTTCGACCAGTTCCCGTTTCCGACGCTTGTTAGCTCGGCGTTCCTCAAACTGGGCGACTTGTTTCGGAGCAGCCCAAACTCGCTGAGGTTCCACATCGCGCAGGTGTTCGAGGCGTCGCAGCACCACCTCCCTCAGATCACACATACCGAGGAGCTTCTCAAGCGCGTCCTTGGCGTGCTCTACTCCAACGACCCGATTGCTCGCGCGCTGGCGCTGCGGCTCATCGGCAACGGGTCGATTGTGTTTGCCAGGTATCCGGAGGCGCAGCACGGCGTGCTCTTGCGCTACCAGTCGACACACCCCCTGGAGATTGCCGCCGCCGTGCAGACCACACAGTGCATGCTCGACTACTCGCCAGGTTTCCTGGCCGTCGTGTGGGAGACGGTAATCGGGAAGGCCGGAGACACACGAATGCTCGACTCGGTGCGCGCGCAGCTGATCCGCTCGCTGCAGCACGCCGCGCGCAATCTGCAGCTCAGCGCCGTCCTCTACGAGCGCTGCCGCACGTGGATGAGCCAGCCCGACAGCACCATCGTTGTCCAGAACGCAACCATGGCCACGTGGCGCGCAATTATTCAGCCGCACAACGAGCTCAAGCTCGAAGACGCCGAGTTTGTCTCGTGCTACGTGGACCACGATCTCAGCAGCATCCGGCGCGGGGCGCTAAGGCTGCTGCTGAAGTGGGTGCCTGTGGATCAGGTGGCTGCCATGGGCTTCGAGGAGGGTGTTGACATAATCAAGGACCGCCTGGTAAGCTACATCAGGGCGCAGCTGCGCAACGGCGCTGGCGGAATCGACCTGTACTGTGTCCGTCTGGCGCTGATTGTCCTGGCGCGGGCCGAGGCCGCCACCGGATTTCCGGGCGTCCCCGAATGCTGGGAGCTCGCCGAGGCCTTTTCCAAGTGGAGCCTCTGTGTGTTTTCCGGGTCGGTCCCCATGCAGCAGTCTGTGCTGGAGTTTATCCAGAGCGGCATGTGCGAGAGGCCTGCCGAGCGCGATTTGGAAATGGGTGAGCGAGGCCGCGATGATCAACAGAGGGCGGCGTTTGAGAGCGGCAGCGCCTCGGACTGTGCGGGCGGCATGTATCGCCAGCTGGTGGCCGCGGCAATGCTAGCCGTCAACGTCGCTACGACACTGGCACAGCAGGAATACAGGGAGGCTGCCGCTGCAATTGTTGCGCGCTCGTGGGAGGCAATTGCGCGTGTTCCCGTGCGCGCCGGCGAGAGCAAGTACACCAGGTGCTTCCTCAGAACGTCTTGGCGCTGGTGCCGGAGCGTAGGCATGGCGTCTGCCATTGTCGACAGCGTGTACGGCATGCTAGGCTCGCCCAACCAGTACATCACGCACGCCACAGTTGCTATTGCCGCCGCCGGCCTGCTCGGAGCACAGTTGGCTGGCAGGTGCACCCAGCTTGTCGAAGCTTCTTCGGCCTTGCTCGCTTGCACAAGCATGGCCGGCAGCGAGCAGCGGTCGATCTGGTGCGCGCTGGCGGTCATTCTGGCGCACAGCGCGCACATCGGCAATACCCCTGGCCAGGCGGTCCTTGAGTCGGCCAGCCCACTTGCGATCGAAGCTGTGGCAAAGTGGTCGGCGCATGTTGCATTGATACCGGAGGACGCGGCCGAGCGCTCGACGCTTTACGCGCGATCGGGGCCGCCAGCGCACCTGTGTCAAAAGATAATAAGCCTGCTGGCGGCTGGCGGCAGCTGGCTGGCAGCTGGCTTAATTTTCAAAGCGCTACCCACACCCCTGCTGAGTGACCAGACGCGCGGCTGGGTGCATGCCATGCACCTGCTTGCTAACGCCGAGTGCGCGCGGGACGACAGCGATGTGTATATCAGCCTTGCCAGCCGCTCGCAGAGCCTTCTACGTATACTCGACAACCAGGGGCTGCCGCGCCTGTACCAGCTGTATATAGTGCAGCTCCGCACAGAAATGGTGCGGCTGCTAAGCGGGTGGCGGCACTTCCAACCGACCGCGCCGCCACACCCGTCATCAGCGCTGGTGGCAAGGTCGCTGATCAGCCGCACGCACCTGCTGGCTGACCAAACAAACCTTATCCTGCAGACATTCATGACAATCGACAAGGCCACTCGCGGCTGGCTGGCGCAAGTGCAGACGACCTTGGGCGCGATAATCAGTGCGGTCACTGAGTGCGGCGGTTTCCAACGGGGCGCTCAGCCATCGGTGCTGGACATCAGCAAGGCTGTGCTCGGCTCCGCCGGGTGCCAGACACCAGAGCTCCGCCTGGGCCCGTCTTTCTTCTCGACGCCGCTTAACCCCGACATGAGCATCGAAACGCGCCCCGACATGGACGATGCCGAGACAACCGTCACTGTGCTATCCGGGAGCCAATTCCATCTCATTGTCGAGGGCTTTTTGCGGCTCCCAAAGTGCAAACTGCCAGCGTCGCCGCGACGCATCCGAGTCGCCGCTTGGCTTTCGAAGCAGCCGCAACGCAGCTCGAATCAAGACTTATTGGCGTGCTCTAAGCAGAACGCCGTCGCGAGGAGCGCCCAGCGCCCCACGCCGAGTGGGCGGTCTGCCAGCGAGCTGCCGGTGGCTGAGGATGCCGCATGGGACAATGCGATAGCATTTGAGGCTGACCTCGATGGCGCCTACTTCGAGTGCCCGTGCACCATACCCACACCATCGCTGCGCGCCCTGTTTGGCGAGTACGACACGAATATTGTTGCACACGTCCACATCTCGTGTGCGCTGATCGACGATGCCGGCTGCACTTGGTGGATCGGTCCACACAAGAGCTATCCCCTGATGATATCGACCACTGCAAGGGCTTGATTAAATTCTGCGCCATAGGCTCTACCCCGTCTGACGGGCCCATGGTTGGTTGTGTTATGTTAGAAATATTATTTTTTAGCATACATTATAATCATTGCTCATAATAAGATGCTGTATCTACATCTCATCTACATGATAAAAAAGGGTTTCATAATTATATCATTTTATCACTTTATCACTTCAGCAGCTCCGGCATGCTGTAATACTGGAGAAGCGACTCGGGGTTTGCCAAGGTCGACGTGGTCTTCTCATCGGGTGTGACGGTCGTCAGCGCCACGTCGGCGCCGCTCTCTTGCGCAACGCGATAGAGGTCGCTGACAAGCTTCTTGACCGCAATCTCAACCTTCTTCCCGTTGACTGTGTACGGGATCCCTCCAGTCGCTTGCAGAATGAGCGCTGGGACATGTCGCGGCGAAAGCTGGCTGCGAATATGCGCACTGATGCGCTTGACAACGTCTGCCGACATGGCATGGCCCTCCACCATCTGCAAAAACATCAGCACGCGCTCGTCAACCCCCTGGCGCTGGCCAACCACAAGCGAGTCAGCCACCTCTGGGTACGTGTCCACGATATTATACAGCTCAGCGCTACCAAAGCGCACGCCGGCCGGGTTGAGCGTGCCGTCGCTGCGACCAAGCATGTGCACACCGCCGGTGGCTTCGTCGATGATCATAAAATCGCCGTGGTACCACACGTGTGCGTAGTAGTCAAAGTATGCGGAGCGGTAGCGCTGGTTGTCCTTGTCGCCCCAGAAAAAGACTGGCATGCAGGGAAATGGCTTGACGCAGACCATGTCACCGCTCTGCCCGAGTGCCGGCTGGTTTTCGCCTATCCAGCACTCAACTGCCATTCCCAGCCCGCGCGTCTGCACTTCCCCCTAAACACAGGAAGCGCTGTGTTGGCGCCGCAGAACAAAGAGCAAATGTCCGTGCCGCCAGTGATCGAGCTCAGGCACACGTCAGCCTTGATGTGCTCATATACAAAGTCAAAGCTGTTTGGCTTCAGCGGCGATGCTGTCGAGTATATGGCCTTAAGCGTCGACAGGTGGTGGTGCCTCTTGGGTCTGTAGTCAATGTCCTCGAGAGTCTGAATGTATTTGGCCGACGTGCCGAACGCCGTGATCTTTAGACTGTCGACCAGGCTCCAGAGTGTACTTGCCGCCGGCTTGAACGGAGAACCCTCGTAGAGCACAATCGCTGTCCCGACGGACAGCGCGCCGACAAGCCAGTTCCACATCATCCACCCAGTGGTGGTGTAGTAGAGCAGAATATCATCGGGCGTCAAGTCCTGGGTTATCTGGTGCTCCTTCCGGTGCTGCAGCAGCAGGCCGCCGGCCGAGTGCACCAGGCACTTAGGCTTGCCGGTGGTCCCCGAAGAGAACAGGATAAACAGCGGGTGCTCAAAGGGCAGCTGCTCAAATTCGAGTCTAGCGTTGCTGTCGCCGGTGGCCATAAAGTCGGCCCACGTGCACGCATTGGGCAGTCTAGCCGACAAGTCGCCTCCGGCATCACTGTCGCTGAATGGAATTACAATCAGGCGCTGCACAGACGGCAGCTGTTCAGCGACGGCGGCTAGCTTTTCGGCGTGCGGGTGCACCTTGCCGTTGTAACCGGTGGCATCAGTCGAGAAAAGCAGCTTGGGCTCGATTTGGACAAAGCGATCGAGAACTGCAGTGCTGCCAAAGTCTGTTGACGTCGAGCTCCAAATGGCACCGATGCTGGCGGCAGCCAGAAAAGCAATGACGGCTTCGGTGATATTGGGGACGTATCCCGCGACCCGGTCTCCAGCCACCAGTCCCATATTGCGCATCGCCGACGCACACAGGCGGACTTGGTCACGCAGCTGTCCAAAGCTCAGACTTTTCAGCGCGCGCCCCTCGCCGACAGAGTGTATGGCAATGCGCTGGCTATCAGCCACTGCGGCGAAAACGTTCTCCGTGTAGTTGAGTTTCGCTCCTATAAACCATTTGGGAATCTCGTCCATAGTCTTGCCCTGCTCAAGTACCTGTGAGTACGGCCTGCTGGACACAGTTCCTGTGTACTCCCACACGTCGCTCCAAAACGACTCAATGTCATCAACCGACCACGCGTGCAGCTCGTCATATGTCTCCAGCGACAGCCCGCGCTTGGCATTTACAAACCGCCTAAACGTGTGAGTGTTTGTCTGTGCTGGGTTCTTGGGAGTCCAAAGAGGTTGCTGGCTGGCGGCGCTGGAGGTCGACGTGTGCGTCATTTCAGAGTTTTGTATGTGGTACGAATAAAGTGGATAGAAAGTAGAATTTTACAACAGAAAAGAGGTGGCACTCAGTAAATGGCAAGGACCAGCTTGTCATTTTTGCCGATATGAAGATGGCGATGCAACATTGCATGGCAAATCAACGGCTTTTCTCACGCTTTTCAGAGATGTGGTTTTACTTTTATTTACACTGTAGCGCGACATTCTGTAAACATGATTTGCAAAAAATAAAAGTGCCGTTTACCAGATTTGGAAATTAAAAAACTGTTCTGAAACTGAAGCTATGGGTAGCTGATGGTGAAAAAGCCATTGGCATTGGTCGTGACAAGTACCCTGAATACATCCCTAAAGGTCGAGGATACTAAGCGGTTGGACTTGTTTAGCAGCGACGCTGCTGTGACGACTTTTGGTTGTCGCTTTGACAGATTACCATGCTCGATTTTTATAAAATTAAGTCCAACATGCGAGTAGTACTTTATATTGCGATCGGCGCGTTTCAAATCTGGACATATTTGTGTCGCGTTGCTCGTTTGAAACTCGCTCAATATCCCCGAGTACTTCCGAATGTTAGAGCTGTACGTGTGTCCAATTACACCGGCCAATTGAGGCTTGTTTGCGGCAGTAGCAGTAACTGCTAGCGACTGAATATTTAGCAAGACGCCACTGAGAAGTGCAGCACATACACACATCGCTCTGCTGTGGATCCACATGTCCGTTGGCCTTTTGAAATAGAAAATGTTGAAAATATAAAATATAAAAACAGAAAACAGGTATTTGTCCGAATAAAAGGCAAAATGAAAGCATTTGGCAACACCATTGTGAAATGGACGCATTTTTTTGTTCCAGGTATGAATAATCAATTTTGCTTGTACTGTTCATGTCTTGGATTGAACACATAGTGCCTCGATTTAACACGTCAAAAAGCGGCTGTAAATGCGGGGTGTAAAGAAAAATATAGCTAAAAATCAACAATAATTATCGCTTACTTTTCATCACCAATACAATTTTTTATAGTGTGGACGGATACAATTGCTTTGAACAAAAAATAACAAGCGAGAAAGATAAAACTGTAAAATGGTGAAACAAAAGCACTAATTTTAACGCAACTGCCAGCAGCCATCAAGCAGCATCTGCCTTATCGGATGCGACAGAGGCAAGAGGAGACTTGTGTACAAGGCGACCATTGGCGCGGTGGGACTCGGTATAGCTGACTTTCCTCCGATAGCCTATTGCCATGCTGATTGTATTCGCCTCTTCGTAAGACAGAGCGTAAGTCTGGATTGGCTTATCGCTGCTTGTCTTTTTGTGGTGATGACCCTTACGGCTGTGTTTTGACCCTCTGCTGCTGCTACTGCCATGCGTGTAGTAGGGCCCTTTAATCAGATATAGAGGCGCGTAGCTGGCAGTGGGCACTGGTGTTATCAGTATTTCCAGCTGTGCTGTTGGTGTCGGATAAGTCGGCGGCTCATACCCCATGAAATCACCTTTGGTAGTGCTCTCGTATTTCTTCCTGCCCACAGTTGATAGCATGGTGATTGTGGGGGCTGCGACACGAAGTCCGCGGAGGGCGCTCTTGATCAAGATATAATTCGGCGCACTGGACATGTAGGTGTGGCTATGCACCTTTCTGTGCTTGTGCTTGCGTTTGTAGCTGCTGGTGGATGAAGGTCTGGGTTTGACAGTGTGGTGGCCACTGATATCGTTAGTAACTGATGGTTTAATGTTAGCAATTGCTCCGTAAATTGGGCCTGTGCTGGCAAAGGCAGAGGCGAAGGCGGAGGCAGCGTCGCTGCATGTCGTGTTAACTGTAAAGTATGGTGTAGCTGCTACTACCACTTGGTGAGTGGGGCTCGAAGAAGAGTGCTCTTGGATAGCTGCGAGAGATATAGTTATAAATTCTGGAGCCGAATGGTAAACTGCATCACAGCTTTCGGAGGATGTGGGCGAAGGTGGCGCTAACAAAAATGTGGTTGTCGTGCACTCCATAGTGGACGGTGCTGGTGATTGGGGGCTGGTGGAGGTGTACAGCGACCCAGGTTTCAATATCGCCTCGATTGCAGAGTAAATGGCAACTGACTCGGCTGATACGCTTGCAGAAATTTGACTGAATATGATGGCTGTGGAACTGCTGGCAGATGTCCCGGCGCTGTTAACAAGTACATGCGTATATGCTTCAAAGTCAGACAGGCTAGGGCCTGCGCTGTGACCTGGGGTGGCCAGGTGTTGGTATGTGTATACATATTCGTAAGCAGACGTGTTTGGCACTGTCGATACCTGGGCAGCCTCAGTGCTAGACACCGATGCGATTCCATATTCTTTAGCGGACGTATGCTTCGTAACTAATGCAGAGTTTTTAGAAGACTGTGCTGATGTGCTTACTGACGCCGGAGCTGGTGTTAAATACGGCTCATGTGCAGGGGTGACAGTTGGATAGGGTGCAGTGATTGGGAAAGTACTGGCTGTTGATGACGGGATAGCTGTCAGCGTTGGTGCCGGTGCCGGTGCCGGTGCCGATGTCGATGTCGATGTCGATAAGCTCACCAATGCTGATGACGTTTCCGGTGGGGATGACAGTAGATTCGAGTATTCTCTCAATATAGCTGTGGGAACAAACTCAATCAGGGAAGACAGCACCAAAAACAGCACCGAAGATGGCTTGGTGGCTGTCTCCGAAGATGATACTGGCGCTGCTGTTGTTTGCGTCTCAGTAGAAAAAGTACTCGCCGATCCAGAAGACTGCACAGATGATGACGCTAGCTGGCTAGTCTGTGTCTGTGTGGAATTGCTAAAATCCGTGGTCTTTGAAGTGGGAAAAAAGATGTGCCTACTTCTGCGGTGCCTGTCAATGACACATCGGCCTCACTTGCTAAATCCGAATCATCCTCCAGTCTAGAAGCTGAACTTCGGTAAGTGGGAACTCGATTCCAGCCAACTCGATGTTTTGCACAGAATCATCTAGCTGATCGGCAGCGTTGCTACCGCGGCAAATTCTGACGGCTCTTCAAGGATGGAGTCTATGTTTGTTGGAGGGGGCCGCTTGAAAGCGTTGCGCACAATCTGCGAAAACTGGTGATCAGGAACTCGCTAGGCTGTTGTGGGATCGCCGATGCCTGAATTTCCAGTTGGGATTTGGGCGCAACACTGGCATCCAAATAATACTGATGTTGTTCACTTTAATGCGCTCGCGCGGCATCCCAAGTGCGGAGGCAGCCAGTAGTGATATGGAGAGCAAACAGCGCATGGTTGCTTCCAGTGGAAACAAAAAGAATAGATAATAGATGATGGATAATAAATGTTAGTTTGCAAATGACAATGACCAAAGTTGCGTTTATAATATTGTCAAATAATTTAATGATAATATAAGGATATGTGCGATTTAAGCTTGTCAACTTTTAAATAAACAATGCTTGAGCGACAAGCAATCGTGTCTTTTATAGCAGCCGTTTGCATATTCATTCGCACACCCACATTCAATTACATATACAATTCATGCGAGCCCGCTTCTCCCGCAACAAGTCCAGAGTGCTGGTATATTCCTGCATGTTAAATCCCAATTTCTTGTAGCTTTAAAGGAGTGGGATGCTGCAATTCCACTCCAAAAATGAAAACTTTTGTTTAAAAGTCTGGTGTTGTACCAGTGGCGCGAGATGCTTATATTAGCCTGGGTGGAACAGAGAAACGACGTTTTTCGGTAAATAAAAGTCTACTCCGTGTTTCTCATTTCTTTGTTGTGGAAGTGCTGCGTGTGTGGGGAAATATTTGGAATTATCGGATGAAATATGGAGAATTTAGGATTGTGGAGAAGTCGAGAATGAAGATGGGCTGAACGCCCTCTGGAAAATCCGACAGTCAAATTATCGCTCCTGGAACTGCTCGAGATACTCCGACAGCCTTGACGAGCCCAGATCCCACATGCGGCGAAGAGTGTCAGCCTCGTTCGAGTTGAGGAGCCGCTGGGCAATTTCCCGAGCATTGGCACTCAGTTCTTGCAAATCAAGCTCGCCTGAAAGAGCCCTCGTGTGGTTTCTGTTGCCGCTAGATTGGCGTCCAAAAAGCTGATCCGAGCTGATACTCTTGGACCCAGAAAACCGCGTAAGATCGCTGGAGGGTTCTTGAGGCTGGTTTCTACCAGCAAACTGAGAAGATGATACGGACTTTGGCGCCCTTGGAAAGTCTTGCGCGGCTGATGGGGCGCCGGGTCCACCAATACTGCCAAAGCCGCCCATTGTCGGGCCGCCGCTGCCGCCACCAATAGCCCCAAATCCAAGCCTTCCAAAATCTGAGCTAAGCTGCTCTGATGCCTTGGCACTGTTTTCGCGGGATGTGCTGGAAGGTATGGTGTTGCTAGTAATATTTTTCAGAGAGGTGGGAACTGGCGAGGCGGAAACTGAGCTCTGGGCAGCTTTCACCGGCTTGGAGTTGACAGCGGCGGCACGCATCGCCTGAATGCGTTCCTCCTCGCGCGCCTCTGCCTCGGCACGCGCTGCGGCCTCCTCAAAATTGATAATGGGTTGTGCGCCAAGCTTTTTTGCGCCTCCCAACTTCTTTGCGCCGCCCAGCTTCTTCGCACCAAGTCCTGTCGAGCCAGCGGTCGATTTCAGAGCCGCCCTGACTTTAATAGACGCCGCAGGTGTCTGAATAACCCGGGCCACGGTACTGCAGCAACCTTGGGGGCGTCAACTCGCTAGAGACTGGCAGAACTTCGCTGGCGAGTTTCTTGTATTGTCGCCTTCATCAGAATCATTGTCAGTGCACCCGCTACTAACGACGGGGGAGCAAGCACATTGGATGCAGGTGCGGAGGTCTGTTGTCTGGACTGCTCGCTCACGGAATTGGCATCAGATATGCCGGTTGCTAGCTCGAAGTACCCACGTAGACGCGGCTGTCGGCAGAGCTTGCGGCATCCTGCTGTGAGAGTTTTTGCAGATGTGCCTTGTACAGCTGCGCAGCGCGACTAGTGTACTTGGTTTTTATATCGCCTCCAGAGCCTCCCGAAAGCAAATTACCACAGTTCTTGAGACGCCAAAACTCTGCTGCATTGCCATTCCCACCTACTTTCATTACGCGCAGCTGGTCCCAGGACCAGGAATCCAGGTTTGTTGAGCGGACAAATGAGATGTGCACACCCATCGAACGGTGAGCGGCCGAACACTCAAGGCACAGATATACTCCGTATGTAACGCTGGACCAGTTCGGGTTTTTGCTCCCGCAGTCAAAGCATGTGCGATTTTCGGGCTGCCTGGAATTAAGCTGCTTGAACAAAGCTGCAATTTCTGTTCTGGTAGGTGCGTCGACTTCCATTTGTTTAACTTTGTTGGTTCTTGATAACAAATGCCGCCTTGAATTTGGGAAGAGTGAGGCCGAACAGAATAATATTTTTAAAAAAAAGCAATTGGCAGATGCAAAAGATGAAGATGACAAAACCGAACGAGAGCTTTGGAATTGGAAACTAACCACAAATATAAAACAAATCACGTGGTACCCGCGCCAGCATTGTCAGGTTGATCAAAAATTAATTTTACTGGGTAAAGGGCACGGCTGGATTATCCGCCCATGCCACGGCATCTTGCATTGTGGAATAATATTAGCTAAAATCGGGCGTGTGTCGCTGCAAGCAACCATGTAGTGGATAACATATGAAATACACTGTGGTGTCTTCGGAGGGTATATTTGGTATGTGTCATTTGAATGCGCACACAGCGAATGTCATCAAATGTGTGATATTTTTAAGGAACACTCATGTATCTGCAACAATGACATCCGCACCGACAGCATATTCTTGTACATTCTTGTAGATCACTGTACATCCTTTACATTCTCGTGTGTGCAGCCCTCGAAAATAAAATTGGTCAAGCCGCGTCGGCCTTCACATTTTATGTGTAAATTTGCTTTGGCGCATTTTGTTGATTTTTGCGTTTGCAGCGCAGTGTGTTGCATTGCGAATGCATTTGAACACGAGGGTACAAATTTGGCAATATAAAATAATACTAGCTAGGAGTGGAATATGGGCAATCCCTCTTTTTTGTTTGTTTCATATTGTTCATTTGTCTCTTGGCTTACTGCGTATAATACGAGTTTTTAATATTTAACTGATAATTGTGTCTGTGGTTTGGTGGCTCCAATGCATAATTAATACTAAATGCGCTACTCTCAAACTCTCCAGGCTTAGCACCTGCCATGCAAGCGTCAAGTTAACATTCTGTGGATATTTGGTGATATGGAAATAAACTATTTTATTTTACTCGCAACCTAGAAACAACCTTTTTATTATTGCAATAGAAACCCCCACAAATATATTAAATATATTGAATCTATCCGACAAAATAACTTTTAGAATAAATAAATTTAGAGACGCAGACCTACTTGTCCAATAATTTTTAAATCATACACGGGGCAACATTCGTTATGCATCCTCACTATTGCATGATGCTGGCTTGCAGCAGAAAACAAATTAAAAATATGAGGTTTGCAAAAAAATGACGTCTATTTTTTGCCTAAACTCATTTGTGTACCAACTATACAATTAGTGCGTAGAAATTTATTATTGAAAATGTATAACTGTCAAACTTAAAATGCTGGCAATCCATGCCAACGTGCTACATTTATAGCGATGAACATTCACAATCGTTTCTATTGCTTGTTTGTCAGTATTGATGTTTTTTCATAAAGTTCTTGGCCGTATCTGCAAAACTGCAGTATATCATCATGTGCTTTAATTCATACTGAGAGCATCGATTTGTACTGTTGAATATGTGCTGTCGAATATGACTCATATAAACGCGCTGACACACAAAATTATAACCCAACATATAGTCTGAAGCCTGGCATTGTTGCGCAGTCCAAGGACATGGAAGTGGATGTTGAGGTCGAGAATCATGAAACAGATCCCCATTTGCATGCTGATAGATCGAATATGGACTAGATCATAGGATATCAAATAAGCGCCACTACTGACATCCAGCCACATTGTCTGTCTTGAAATATGTGTGCATGAGCGTACACAAATGACGACTACAATAATGCATATTAGAGACCCGGGCTACTTTCATAGGAATCAGTTCTTGCTAACGGAGTGCACAACTGGCGGAATGCACAACGAAGGCAAAGAGACATATAAGACGAGACCGGCGCTGGTAGCACTTTAGAACATTAGTATTAAAACCAATTATAAAATAGCCCCCTATTTTTCCAACACTACTATAGCAGTGCTCACACACACCCTTCTCATCACAATAACATTAATAAAAAGAAGGCTAAGCGCTATTAGATAACGCTCATTCACTAAAACTGACAGCATTAAGCAACGTGCAAATGCTTTTTTGGTTTTGTATTCTTTCTGTGCCATTTTTTAAAAATAAATATTTGGTATTGTTACAAAAGTACTTTAAACTTGGATGTTCCATTTGCATAAACACGTGTTTTATACATAGGCGCTGCATATAGCATAGCGCAAAACACGTACAGCCATAAAATACACTTTTTCTATTGGAGGCAAGCAGTGGCTGCTTGCCACCCCTATGACCCCGCCCCTTACCCACCCCTTCCTTTTTTCTGACATTCACTCATAACATTATTCGCTTGGTAAAAATTACATGTAATTTTTACAAGAAAATCCGCCAATGCAATGGCAAAATGGCATGCGGCTTTGGCAAAGAACATGATGAAAGATTGACCTATCTAGTGGGGTATAAAACAGTCGCCACATCCTTCATCCAAAACAAATTAGAAGCAACGCCCTTCATTATTTATTTTTATCATATCTTCAAAAAAGCTCTACCACACAATTTAATTTTTATAGCTACCTCTATTATCTTAATCGTTTAATCACAGGCTGCGACCACTATACAAGATTTATTTGGTACGTCAGGTTTTTTTACCTTTTTTTGCAGAAGCGTCAAAAATTAAAATTTTTTGATAATTATTCTTTGTCCACGCTATGCAAAACAAATTTTCACTCGTATCTTTTATATATGCGGTCTTATAATTTTCACAGTTCATCGTTTGTTATTCACAAGTCACAATTCATGTTTGGTGATTTATTTATAATTTAATCAATCCAAAATGCATTGGAATGTACTCTCTGTTTTGGCATTCGCATCTGTCCATTCACTGGAATTTATGTACACACACAAACTCAAATTTAGAGCTGTCGAGGATCATGCTATTGTACACAAATTAACATACTTGCATTTGCTTTTGTATTGGCCAAACATTTTAATATTGTGGCTATTTCATTTGCTGGAAGCACCCAATTATCTTATTATAAATGAGTTGTATCCGTTTGTTCTTTTATTGTTGCCGCGACACCCTTTTATCTGCTCGAATTTTTTGTTTTCCATTTTTTGATATCTTTTAATTGTGCGCACCACGCTATTACATCCACAACAGCTAATATTGAATATTGACAAGATTTTTCACCATTTTAGCTTTCCCTCAACCCCTTATCTCTCTCAATACCCGATTTTTTGCAATACTTCTCTGTGGTCACAACTTGATATCCTTGACAGCCAATTTCCACCATCAGCCATACAACATGATGTGTACATTGAACACACGCTCAATGGTGCCGCTTTTGCAAGACATGTCTGACGTGCAAGCGCCAGCCTCGCCGTGTTTTTCAAAAGGGCGACTGCAGGTGTCCCGAGCGCACTCTCAACCACAAGGCAAGAGATGTCAGAAAGGCTGGATCTACTGATTTTCGTTTCCGCCGCCTAAACTCGGCAGAAAACCAGGGCCTTGTCAACCTACAGCAGCAGATGGAAGAAGTATCGGCCCCTATCGAGCCCAATTTGATACGTGCCAACCTTTGCGGCACCTGTCAGCAGCGGCTGCGTCGTGCAGTAGAAGCTGGTAAGGAGCCGCAGGAAGACAGCAAAGAGATTCGTTCGACAGACTTTCGCCGCCATCGTTCGATTCGCGCTACCATTCGCAGCAAAAATGCCAAAAAAGGTCTAGGAGACCCCGTGTTTATTGTGACGCCAATTGCTACTAGCACCATTCAAGTGCCGCCCGCTGAGTGCATCACGGGAGTCCTGGCAACAGCGACAACAAGTACACCGGCTCTTCTTTAGTCTCCACAAACGGAGATATTTTGGCTTCAAATTGCATTAGCCCCTTGGACAGTCCGCCCCTCGTTTGAATTTTCAGGAGAGTCAGGAGCAAAGCAAATATAGTAAACATCATAATTCTTGGTCTCATTGGCAACAGCAAAGCGCCCTGGTATTGCCTTTGGTGGGTGCCCGTCTCCCTCTAGCAGATTTTCAAGTACCCGCTTGCAACAAGATTAGTGAAAATACGCCTCCCAGTTCTGGAATATCCTCTGGTATCAACTCAAACATGGTGACAACACCCACTCACGCATCTGTACCAAATATTTACAGGTATGACATGATGTAAAACCCATCCTTACATTTATGTGATTCACATACATTGCAATGCCTTAAAATGCGCACTCGGTGTTCAAACAATCAAAACCAAAGCCAGCATCCTAAAAAATGCTCCACCCACCAATCTCACATTATATATCTGTATTCCAATAACCACGACTGCTAACCATGCTGGCCAATCTTGATTTCGAACCACCACATTGTTAGTCTGATAAATGTCACTGTATACGATGCAACGCAAACTCGCCTATTTACTGAGAAAGTGGTTGGCAGCATGACGCTGCACGAACTTGTCTATGCCTATTACCCCGATGCGCCAGTCTCGCTGCTGTTCCGGGAGCATACCACATTGATGGTTGTGTTAGCTTCCTTGCCCTTGGCAAAGCTGGCCGCTGGAAATAGCCAGATCGCATTTACAGCATACATGCCACGCAATGCCAGACCGCCCAGCTGGACCACACGTCCACAAACAGACCACACGGTGTTCTTGAACAGTCTGCCGCCAATAAAAACAATTCCTGCAACTGGAAACCCCCCTCAATGGCCCCAGTGTGACTCGGCGCAGCTTGGCGGCGACAGACTAACAAACGACTTATCTGCTAATGTTGCCCGTGGCAAGATAGCCCAGGGCGAGAATTTGGGAAATTCCACTTTAAATAATACCAATCTGCAGAGAAACCCGCGTCCCGGCCGAATAAGCAATTATTCGTCGTATTACCGCAGCTCGTTGTCGCAAGCATTGCCTAGCTTCAACCACGACTTTTCCTTGGGCCGGAATATAGACTCTGCACGCAGTCAATTGGGCGACAGAAACGACATCAATAGACGCGGCAGCGACAGCCAGCCGTCTGATAATACAAGCTCTCTTCAGCAATCAAACTGCTCATGGCGGCACCGGTAATCAAGCGGGTTGCAGTTAAAGGTTGAAAAAGTGACAATGGAGGTTTTCAGTATTCACACACGTATTACTATAATTCTTAATTGGCTTGAAAGCCTTATTTATTTGAATCCAATTTATATTTATATTTATATTTAATTACACTACTACAGCAATATTTCGGTTAAACAAGCTCGACTTCAGCGAACCACAAACTGTCAGCAATTCAGATCAGGTTTGTTTTGATACATCAAAATTTATCATTGACTTCTTTAAATGCTCGGGACCTTTTGCTACAATGTCAAAAGAGCTTATATTATACGCCCGCGCGTTAAATTACCAGTTTGTATTACAAGACCAATATATGATTAATGATTTTGGCTTGAAGGATGTCTCATATATGGCCAAATACAACTTTGCATACTGCTCTGAATATCATGTTGCAAATATCTAACAATGCCAGCAACCAGCTTTAAATGTTTTTCTTATATATATATTCTAGCGCACCTTTCCATTGTACTTTCATTTTAAAGTAAATACTTGTCCAACTTTTTTGGCATACTACTTGACATTGACAATCAAACATTTATACTATTTTACGCTTATGTTGACACATCGCAAAAATTGGTGTCGCGTCTGCGGCTCATGTCTGACATGTCCCCGAACAAATCGGTCTCAGTTTCAGCAAGGCGGTTGCCACTGCGAAGAGCGCCAAGTTAACCATGTTTCTCCCAAAAAGGCAAAAGGTGAGCAATTGTTTAGTTTTCGCTACCGCCACCTAAGTGCCGAGGATTTGGACATTCTAAACGAGCTTCGACCCAGGTTCAAATTCCCGACACCGCCTATTGAGAGAAACTTGGTCCGCGCGAACATCTGCAGCACCTGTCAGCAGCGTCTGCGCAGAGCCCGGATCTCTCGCCGTCGCCTGGCGGCAGTCAAGTGTTATACAACCAGCTCTGGAAATGCGCTGTTATATGATGGTAGCAGCGATAGTGCTCATTCGGACGCTGCACTCTACAGCACGCTTTGCCTCGATAATCTGGCAATTGCGCAGCCGCAACTTTCTGCAGTGCGAAGCACTCTGCAGGCCTGTGCATACAGGCCCTGTGAGAATATTGGGGATTTGCACAGGCCAGGCATGCTGCACCCCCCAGGGTCTGTCGCTACACTCGCCGGTGGCGGCGCGCATGATGTGTGGTTTAGACGCCAGGAAAACATGTCAATTTTAAATGCGCGTGAACCCCCACGCTATAAGCCGTCCAACCAATATCTGGCGGGCCAAGGAAATGTTGGGGCAGTTGGCAGGCAGACACCTCCCAAGTCTGCCGCCGCAATGCCGGAAGCACAATCCGTTCAAAGCGGCATGCAGCCATCAGCACCAAAAATCCTGGATAGCGGAAGTCAGATCGAGCCAGAGTTTAACGATACGGGCAATTTGGAAACAGACGAGCTTGACATAACTCATGTCGACTATGGCCCACACGCCCTGCCTCCTTCAGCCGGCACGATGCCAGCACCACCTCAATTCCGTGTTTTTGAGCGGTCTTCCAATATCAACAGACTCAATGCCGAGCAACAGAACAATGGCCAAGACGGCCCAGCATTCAAACAAAGGTATGTGAAAATTAAATTAACCACTTTAAGAGCAAAATCATTTTCAGAAGCATCGATCGCCCACTTGTACATTTGATTTTCTTACCCGACAAACCCCGTTTTAATTGCGTTGCTGCCGGAACATTTTTTAATTGAGGAGACGGTGTCTGCCATCAGGCCGGAATAAGCATGCCTCTTTAAACGATGGTGGGCACCAACAACTACAAAATACAATGACACACATACGCACACATACACAAACACATTATTTTTTATATTTGTTGTTCGGTCTGTGTCTCGCTGACACCTCACCTACATCCAACATATTTTGTCAACATGCCTTGCGGGTCAAAAATAATGTGTACACACTCGACTCGCCTTTTGTTTTGTTTTGTCGTTTTGCAGCGTTTTTTCTAACAAAAGTTTTCTTAATTTTCGTGTTTTGCTTAAAATGCTCGATGGCATATCGGCAATGACTAGCGCGATGCCCAATGTGGAGTTTCGCGACGCATCAAACACGGTTCTATTTGACGAGTCCCTGAGTGACGACTACCCACTCGAGGACGTGTTCTATCAGTACTATCCAACTGCCCCGCGGGCCCTATTGTTTTATTTTTCAGGAAACATTGCTCTTCCCAAGAGGTCGACGCTTGAAAGCATCTTTGCGCAGTTCAGCGTCCGTAAGCTGCCGGTTATCATTTGGACACGCATGCCTATTGCGACAAACCCCGGGCACACACCGCAATGGTAACGCAGTGCGCCTCTATACACACAAGGCGGCTCTACATGTGATCATAGCAAATAGGTTTTATCGCTGAAATTGTTTGATATTAAAGCTTTAGTTTGAATGCAAAGTCCAAAACATCATCGGTCGATTGGCATTTGGCGGTCCATTTTGTCTGATCAAGCAGTGGCGGCTTGCTCTGAGCGGCGCTGCTTCACGTCCCAGTTAAACACGCGGGCGGTGTTGACTTCCATTGTGGTGATCTGGTCGCGCAAAAACTCAAGATCTTCGGTCGTTTCCTTCAGGTTTTTTTTTGCAATGCCCAGCTTGCTCGTAAGCAGCTCCTGTGCCTCGTTCATCGTGTATTCGAGCATGACATTTGCGCCCAACCACAGGTTTACAGTGTTGGTCGGCGGGATAGTGGCGTGCGCATACAGGGTGTCATTGACCTCAAACATGGTCTTCACAGGTTTGTCGGACTCACTCTGGCTTGCGAGGTACTCAACCATGGCCAGGGTCTTCTCGATCTCGGGAATCTTTTGCTCAAGGCTGCCACGCTGCTGCAGCTTGCTGTTTTCCATAAACCTGTACTTGCTGGTGGCCTCGGTGAACTTGCGCAACGTTGCTTCGACCGAATCCGTCTTCAGGTACTCGTCAACATTGTCGACAAAGGGTGCCTTTGGTATTCCTCTAGGGTTGGCCTCCATCATTGTGTGCGCGCAGTAAATGTGTGAATTCGAAGAGTAAGGGCAAGCTGGATGGATTTATCGAGCGAGGTTGCAAAGACTAGTGAAGGAAGCTGGTATTTTAAATACAAAAAATAGATTGCGCCAATTTTCCGGGCTGCACGTGTAGACGTATTTGACCATCACATTGCAGACTGGCTTTGTGGGGCTGCACACATGATCTGCAAGGGATGCAATTGCGCTTCCCATCCTCAAAGATTGCAGCCACCATAGCTGCTATGCAGACCTGGTTGCAAACTCCTATAACAAAATATTCTAGGGGCAGCGTGGTCGGGAGTTATAATAGAAGGGCATGGTGATGTAAACCGTAACTCCACCCACAACTTGTTTTCCCCACACGTACAATCAAGAGCAGTGCAAAATAAAACTCATCACCTTTCGTCATTGCTATCGCGTAACTTTAGGTCTATATTTTTATTCTGGGTCAGCAATGGAAAGCGCCGCTCTTACTTGTCTTCTGGAATCGCTTGAGCGTGCAGGCGGCATTGTTTCGGACAGGATTCATATTCTGGCGCCACCAGGAGGAGAGAGGGGTGTGTTTGTCCGAAAACAAGAGCCTGCCGACAACTTTGACAATTCCGACGTGGTTATTGCCCCGCTGGTGCGCATCCCAAGGTCGCTGATAATTACATCCGCCGTAGCGGCAAATTCCGAAATTGTCGGCGCTTGCTGTGCAAGCATGGAAAGAAACGGCACTAAAATCAGTGAATCAACTCTGATAGCACTGTTTATCTTTACGCAAAAGGCCCTGGGTGACAAATCTTGTTGGAAGTGGTACCTGGACACGCTTCCGACGTCTGGCAGCGGTGCGCTTTACTTCAATCATGAAGAGTTGTGCACTTTGGACGGAACACCGCTCAGAGCTGCTTCTGAGTCGAAACAGCGACATTTGCGCCAGCAGTTCGCATGTTTTACCGATCCTCTGGCTAGCTGGAAACATGCCCAGAAAATTGATGCACCGGTGGGATTTGAGGAGTTCAAGTGGGCCAACTTTGTTGTTTTGTCGCGCGCAATCTCCTTAGGAGCTTTAGGGAATCTGGTGATGGGTATGCAGATGCACACGCAGGCTGCGACCAAGCGCTATTGCCTGCACTAGACATGTTCAACCACAGCGATCGCCCGTCGGCATTTTGGTCGGCGAACCAGGACGGGTCGGTGTCGGTGTACGCTCCTGGGACCCCCACTGGCCCTGGCGTGGTCATTAATGGCGAGCACTTGACCGAGCTCCATTTCACTTACGGTGAAAAACCCAACACTGAATGGCTTTACGAGTACGGTTTTATTCCAGAAAACAATGAGCACGATGCCTGGCCGTACCTGATAGAGCCTTCTGGGAGCGCCCAACTTATGTCCATCAAGCAAATGTGGATGAGTGAGCTCGGGCTGTTGCCACGCGTCATGTTTGCAGACCCTGCGACCACGGACGGTAGCCCTGACGGGCAGGGTAGCAGCTGCTATATCTCGCGGGAAGCTATAGTTGCACTGTGTCTGGCTGCGATCAGCGACACTTCAGACGCATGCGCAAGCGCAGTCGGCACTGTTACTCTTGACTTTCCCTACTTCATCATTGACGGTGAGCTTCTTATTGACGATGACGACACGTTGCTGCTGGTCCCCGGCCTGCGTCGGTTTGCCTTGGATATGTGCATCGGCAGGCTGCAAAATGCCATGCACACGATGGCTGAAAAGGCGAACCAGCTGTCTTTGATATCCCCATCAGCCATAAAAGCGTACCTACTGGCAGAATGCCGACTGCTTCATCAGGTTATCGCGGCACTAGATCGGCTCAGGTGATAGTAACCAATCTAAAGGCGAGCACAGGTACAAATGTCGCGTGCAGCATATAAGTGACATCGCGTGTAATTTGACAAACCACGGTCCTCTTTTTTTGATTAATTTTAATCCTGCGCTAATTAATTGACCTTTGTAAAAAAAAGCGAAAGTTGAACTTTGTGCATTTGCAGGGCGCTCAGCAACTAACTGCTCAGCGCAAACCACCTTGAGCAGTGCGATGACTCCTCTTTTCTCTTCGTTGCTACGCGCTTTATTTATTCAATTACCCTATACTTGTGATTTTTACTGCTCAATTTTAGTTACTGTTACTTCAATTTAGCTGCTCATTTAAATTTACACTTTCAAAAACGATGGCCGAGTTTAACAAGCCAACCGATTCGGCGGCCACTGTCGAGGTCAAGAAGGTCAGTAGCGGTACTCTATTGTGCAGCAAACCATGCCAAGCAGGTCAAATATTTTACAGCAGAACCTCTGCATATTTACTAACCACACGCAAACATACATATTCACACGCACGTACCGTGATGGCCTTGTTTTTTGGACTGGCTATAGACTGCCAAGCGCGATGCCCTTATGGATATCGAGAAGAAATGGCAGAAGGACTGGCAGGAAAGCGGCGCCTTTGAGATGGACATGCCTGAGGACGATAGCGTTGCCCCTGAGAAGCTCCATGAGGTATACCCCAAGTGGATGGGCACCATCCCGTACCCATACATGAACGGTGCCTTGCATCTGGGCCACGGCTTCTCGGTGTCCAAGATCGAGTTTGCCACCGGCTGGGAGCGCCTCAAGGGAAAGCGCGCCCTGTTCCCCTTTGGCTTCCATGTAACCGGGATGCCTATCAAGGCTGCCGCCGACAAGATCACGCGCGAGCTCGAGATGTTTGGCCCCAACTTTGAACTCCCCGAGGAGCAGACTACCGAGGATAATCTCAGTGAGGAGGTTAGCGAATTGTCTGTTGGCGACGCCCCAAGTTCCGGCCAGAATTTCCGCGCCAAAAAGACCAAGGTTGCCGCCAAGTTTGGAAACGTTCAGTATCAATTCCAAATCATGCGCTCCCAGGGCCTGTCGAACGAGGAGATTGCAAAGTTTGTCGATGCCGAGCACTGGCTTGAGCACTACCCCCCGATCGCCATCAACGACCTTAACTCTCTGGGCTGCAAGATCGACTGGCGCCGTGCGTTCCTGACCACGGACTATAACCCTTACTACGACTCATTCGCCAAGTGGCAGTTTGAGCGCCTCTATGAGATGGGTAAGATCAAGTTTGGCAAGCGCTACACCATCTGGAGCGCCAAGGACGGCCAGCCCTGCATGGACCACGACCGTCAGTCAGGCGAAGGAGTTGGCCCTCAGGAGTATACCGGCGTTAAGCTCACCATGCTCGAGTGGAGCGAGGAGGGCAGCCAGGTTGTTGCCGCCATACCCGCGCTCGCGGGCAAGAAGATCTCGCTTGTGGCGGCCACTCTGCGCCCCGAGACTATGTACGGGCAAACCAACTGCTTTGTCGGTGTCAACCTCGAGTACGGATTTTTTGAGTCCGCTGATGCCAGCGAAGTGTACGTGATCACCGAGCGCGCCGCCCGTAAATGGCCTTCCAGGGTCTGTCTCCGTCCAACGGCCAGGTTGTCAAGCTCGGAACCATCACCGGCAAGCAGATTATTGGGTCCAAGCTCAACGCGCCGCTTAGCTGCTACACGAATGGTGTGTACGTGCTCCCCATGGATAACGTCCTTGCAACCAAGGGCACGGGCGTCGTCACATCGGTGCCCTCGGACTCTCCCGACGACTTTGCCGCCTTGCGCGACCTGAAGAAGAAGGCAGACTACTATGGCATCAAGCCTGAGTGGGTTTCTGGTTTCGAGCTCGTCCCCGTAATCACCACGCCGACATACGGCGAGATGATGCCCCTGCTTTGTGCGAGCAGATGAAGATCAACTCGCAGAAGGACCGCAAGCAGCTTGAGGATGCCAAGGAGGCTGCCTATAAGGAGGGCTTCTACAACGGCATCATGTCTGTTGGCAAGTTCAAGGGTCTGTCGGTCATTGACGCTAAGCCCAAGGTGCGCGAGCAGCTGATTGCAAGCGGCGATGCCTTTGCCTATGCCGAGCCTGAGAAGCTTGTCATGTCCCGCTCGGCAGACGAGTGCGTCGTGGCGCTGTGCGACCAGTGGTACATTGACTATGGAGAGGAGTCGTGGAAGGCGCTGACCGAGAAGTGCTTTGCCATGATGGAAACCCACGGCGAGGAGACCCGCCACCAGTTCGAGATCTCCCTCAACTGGCTCAAGCAGTGGGCATGCGTTCGCACGTATGGCCTGGGCTCCAAGGTGCCTTGGGATCCCACGTGCTTGATCGAGTCGCTCTCGGACTCGACCATTTACATGTCCTACTACACTATTGCTCACCTGCTGCATCGCTCGCTGGACGGCAGCAAGGCCGGCCCCCTGGGAATTACCCCGCAAGACATGGACAGCCCCGCCTGGGACTATGTTCTGCTTGGCAAGGATCTTCCTGAGGGTCACAGCAAGGCCACTGAGCTCAGCGTCCTGCGTCGCTCCTTCCTCTATTGGTACCCACTCGATATCCGCAGCTCTGCGAAGGATCTCATCCAGAACCATCTTACGTTCTTCTTGTACATCCACACCGCGCTGTTCCCTGAGACCGAGTGGCCCCGCAGCGTCCGCATTAACGGGCACCTTTTGCTCAATGGCTTGAAGATGTCAAAGTCCACTGGCAACACGCTCAGCCTGCGCGAGGCGTGCGAACGCTACGGCGCCGACGCCACGCGTTTGACTCTTGCAGATGCCGGAGACAGCATTGAGGACGCCAACTTTGAAGAGACCACTGCTAACTCGGCCATTCTGCGCATGTACACGCTCATGGAGTGGGTCACCGATGCCTACAAGGCGCTCGAGCTGTCGGAGCAGACTCCGAACGAGCCTATCCGCTTCAACGATATCTTCCTGTGCCCTGCGACTGCGCCCTTCACCACGATTGACCGCGTGTTTAATGCCGAGATTGACAAGTTCACATTGGCAACCGGCGCTGCCTACGAGGCTACAATGTACCGCGACGCCCTTAAGAACGGCCTTTATGACTTCCAGATCTCACGTGATGGGTACCGCGAGTTTGCTCTGCCACCGGAATGCACCCGACCCTGGTTCGCAAGTGGATTACCCGTCAAGTTATCCAGCTCTGCCCGATTACCCCCCACTGGTCCGAGCATGTGTGGAAAACGATCATGGGCAACACGGACTCGATCATGAACGCGCGTTGGCCCACTGATCTCCCAGCCACAGCCGACCACGCGCTGATCGCAGCTGGCGACTACATTCGCTCGATGATCAGCTCAGTACGCGTTGCCGAGGTCACTATCGAGAAGCGCATCAAGAAGAAGGGCGGTAAGAGCGCGCCTGCCGATGAATTCAACCCCAAGGCCCCCAAGTCCCTGGACGTCTTTGTGGCCAGCGAATTCCCCGCATGGCAGGAGAGCGTCATTTCAGTTCTCAAGGAGCACTTTGACATGGCGACTGCCAAGTTTGACGACAAGCAGATTGTGATCACCATGAACCAGAGAGGCATTGCTAAGCAGAACAAGAAGGCCATGTCCTTTGCCCAGGATATCAAAAAGCGCGTGTCCCTCATTGGACCCTCTGCTTTCGATCGTGCGCTGAACTTCAAGGAGATCGACGTCCTCGGCGAGCTCAAGCCCTACCTGAAGAGCAACCTGAAGTACGATGAGGTCACCATCATTGATCTGGCTCAAGATAACGACCTCTCGGAGGCGCAGGCCAAGGCGGCAGACAATGCAGTGCCTGGCGAGCCCAGCTTCTTGATTGCCAACGTCCAGTGAGCGAGTTTGTGGCCAGTGTGGGCGTCAGACAGTGCGATGCTTTTTTTAATACTTGCAACTGTCGTTTGCAATTGTAGTTTCAATACAATGTAATGTCGCACTGTAAATAAGAGAGGAAATTGTATTTGATTCCCACATTCACAGCTGGGCACAATGCCGCTTTCTCCTCTTTCCACATTTGCTCGCAAACGACAAACTGCACTATTGAAGATATGGATGTTGGAATTTCCAGATATTTATAGCGAAATTCTATATTTTTAAGTGGGGGATTTTCAAAACCCCGTTTTTCACGCAAAAATCCACCATCAAAGTTGGCTGAACCCGAGTCTACAGCGACACCCGAGACTTTGCTCAAGCCAAAGCCCAAGCCCAAGCGTGTCCACAAGAATCCGTCTGCCCCAGCTTCTTCTCTTCAAAAGAAGCAGCGAACTGATTAATATCGTCAACCATAGTGGTCTATTGCCACTAGTTCTAAACACTGGGGGAAGGATGTCGGTTTATAGTATATTTGTAGCTTCATTCTTTTCTTATAGTGTGTGGAATATGAAACAGGGATGCCTGCATATTCCCTCCGCCATTGTGCAAGCGCCATGCAAATTGACAATGCACTATTTATACATGGCATTATAAAACCTATTTAAACAAAAAATGACCAATCAATACATGGATAAAACAAACAATTCGGAAACCTGCTGCTCACTGGCAAACATCGAGCGAATAGTGAGAGCGGATATGCCCGTATCAATATTTTAGAAGTTGCAATATAGCCTTTGTTTTATTTCGAGACATCACGCCATCAAAATTACCCTTTACCCTTTGAATTTGTATTTGCATTTGCAAACGTTTCCAGTGGCAATTGTGTTTGATAACCCATCAGAAAAATAGGCCGTAAATTTGCCATTGTCGAACTGCTTCTCACTTGAGCCGCCATTGTCATTTGTTCTACTCGGCACTTCTCTTTTGTGCTCCATCATTGGTAGCACAACAGATACTCGTACCAGCTTATCGAAAAAAGTTGCTTGATATTCTCGGGAAAATAACACGAGAGTGGCATAAGAGTGGCACTAGGAAATATAATGAATGTCCACTAATAACTATTTCAATATAAAAGGTTGACAGCTCCTTCCTTTGTCCAATTTCGACCAGCATATCATATTCCTTGTTTTGTTAGTGCATTCATCATCTTTGAATAACAACTATTTTTTGCATTGCGCCATTTCACCTGTTAATTGGGAATATACACCACCTGTCTGCTCACTCTTTTCACCTTATTTTCGGTGTCTTTTAGGACCAAATCGAAATTCAACAGCCATTATGCATTTTGTTAGAGCCGTGTCAACCTTTGTCTGTGTCTGGGCTGCAACGGCGCTCCACAGCACACTAGCAAACTTGGAAAATCTTAGTTTGAAAGACGTGCCCCAGGCGGTCGTTAATAGTGGCGTTCTCAATGACGCGGTGGTATTTGGCTACACTTACGAGTCTATGTTGGATTCGAGCAAGATCCCTTGGAGCTCGCTGACACATCTCGTTTTGGCGTTTTTTCAGGTCAGTAGTTCTGGAAATGTGACTGTAGCAAATAACAATCTCCAATACATTGTTGGTTCGGCTCACAAGAACGGCGTCAAGGTTATCGCATCCATCGGTGGCAGCGATGTTGGTTCGGCAGGCTTAGCCAGTGCTCTGGGTGACGAAGCGGCCAGCGCGCGCCTAACTTTATCCGTAATCGACAACATCCGGCAGCACAACTTGGACGGCATCGACTACGACTATGAGTTTCCTGAAAACACCAATCAGGTGCAAGGTTTGTATTTGGCCCTTCGGAGTGCTCGTGCCGCGCTTGATTCGACATTCGGCAAGGGCAAAAAGGTGCTGACAACCACTCTGTTTTCGTCCAAGGGCCAGTTTGGGCCGAACGTCCCAAAAGTGGATTCCAAGCCATTTTCTGACATTGTCGACTACGGCCTGCTGATGTCGTACGACTATTTTGGGAGCTTTTCTGAGATCAGTGCGCCAAACTCGCCGTTTTATGACGTGCCAGGGTATCCGGGGCTTTCCTTTACATCTTCGATTTCTGCGTGGTTAGACGCAGGTTGGGACCCCAAGAAGTTAGTCGCTGGTTTGGCTTATTACGGCAGAACAGCAATCGTTGGAGTAGGTTCGGCGGGGAAATCGCAGTTTATGGTTAACTCAGGCGCCGCACCTCCTAGCGGTCCTGTCAATAAAATTGCGGGCGCGTGGACATGGTCAGACCTCCGCGACCCTCAAAATGGCGCACTGATTGCCCCATCAGAGGCAAATCAGGGCTGGCAACGGTTCTGGGACAAAACCACAGAAACGCCATGGCTACTACACAACGTTTCGCAAACTTATATTGGCTACGACGATATGGACTCGCTAACCATAAAGGCCAACCACATTATCACCAATGGACTTGTCGGCGCCATGGTTTGGATGGTCCAGTATGACTTTGATCTGGAACTCAATTCGGTTATCCAAAACTACTCAGCCGCTTGCTCGCGCATTGCACAACAGGCCTTGGCAGACAGCGAGGCACCTTTGCTAGAGTCTGTCAGCCTTGCTGACGACAAAGATTCCGACAGCAACTCGGCTAGCGAAAATGGTGAAAGGGCTACCGAGCTAAGCATCACCCCCTATATAGTACACACGAGTGGGTCATCAGGCAGTCTGTATCATTTGCCCATGTTGATGATGTTTGCAGCGCTCACGTTTTCTATGTTCTAATTTTTATATGCCTTTAATTATAAAAATAACAAGTAATCCAGAATTTTGGATAAACACATGGGTGAATAATCTATTTTCGGTCGACGTATGTCACATAATAATATTACTATGTGCGTATGGTGTGGAGTTGGCAGGAAAGCGCGTGAGATAAACGCTTGGAAGCTACAGCACATCCTTCTTTTGATGGCTTTTGTCAGGTGCTTGAATATTTTCCGCTCTTTCTTCTTCGAATATGCTTATATCATGTTAGGTATATGATAATATTAGTATAACATGACTAGATCTGGCCTTGTTTTGGCATTGAATATTTAAATATAAACATTTGGCCACATGTTCAAGAAATGAATAAAGTTTGCCACAATATACCATGCATATCGTGGCTTACAGTGCTTGGAAAGAATGTTTCTGCACATTGTTTATCTTTATTTATTTTGTTCGCGCATTTTCAAGTTAGCCATATTTTTTAAGTTTGAAATTAGGGAGGAAAAGAGAGCTGATGGGAAGAAAAAACTCCACACAAATTAATATAAAGAATGAACACCAGACACATACAATAAATACCACAGATCTGCTTCATTAGATTTGGAACAATTGCAATTTGCTGCTGTACACCTGTTTTCCAGTCATTTACACAAAAATATACAACTCGTGTTATTCTTATTTGGTGTCATATATTATCGAACCCTTCGCATCGCCCAGCCCCCTCCCCAAAAAAATTAATGAGATTACGTTGCAAGAGTGGGCACGAGGTTTGTCATGAAATTAATACGCATTTTTTTTATATGAGCGCGCGCACGGGTGAGATAATATTCGCAGCAAAGCTCGTTTAAATTCTTGAAAGGAGAACCACATTTTTCAATTTTTTTGCTTTATTTTTCATTTTTCATATTTTTTTGTTATTTTGGAAATCAGTTGGTATTATTTTAAATATATTACTTGTAACCCGTAGTGCCACCAAACTTGTTCAACCAGACGCACATTGTAGGTAAACTCCTTTTTCACCAATGTTGACGCGCTCCGAATCAAGTTTAAAAAACTTTAAAGTTTATGTGTATGTGTGTATGTGTGTTGTCGAGAAAAAAACATTGTCAGCGTTTACCAAACAATCCCCAAGTGGATATAGACCTATCTCCATTGTGTCATTTAATCTGCATATTTATCTTTGGGAAAAACCACCAGAATTGCTACCTTTTCCTCACCCTTTAATCCGCGTCCAATGTGCCCTACCCCGCCCCATCTCGTCTAATCACATTCCATTCCGTTTCTTTTCATTGCTCATTTTTTGTTGTTTATTTTTCAGCCCGAGCACTTGTACGCGTGCATGGTCAACACGCTATCCTTTTATATTAAACGTGTTGGTGATATAAATGCGTAACCCTCCAAAAATTGGGGATACAATAATACCACTTTCCATAATACTATTCAGCTCATCATCAGCAACACACTCGTGGGCATGGGCTCCGTTCTGTTTAATGAATACTATCACTTTAAAAGGTTGCTGTGTTTCACACTTTGGCCGGCCTCTGCTTCATAAATCGTAAATTAAAAAGAAATGATGGAGCTTGCGACGATTGCCTATTGCGCATATTCAAATACAGCCGCCTACTGTATACCCAGTTTTTTTCTTACATTGCCTTCTCATTAGGTGGGTATTTGTCATCTTTGGTAAAGCTTACTGTGAATCTTTATATATTTGCTGCGTGCTCACTTAAAGTCGCGGCTTTAGTTCTATTCCCTTTTTTTGGAATTTCCTTTTATTTTGCAAAGCTGACTTCTGTTTAATTTTCTTTATACCTTTTAGCCCCAAGCTTTGTACGCTTGCTGAACACTTGTTGCTCACAAACGGCGTGTTTTCTGAGCCTTGGTTTTTTTTGCTGTCAAAGATATAATGTTAAACAGCCCATGTTGCACACTTATTTACCTTCTTTTCATTCTGTCTCCAAAATATAATTATTTTTACTATTAAATTCTGCCTATTCTATCCCAGCCAACTTGCAGAGTATGTTAATGCACCAATGCACCAATGCATCTATGCATGCATGTGTTTAGTTATGACCGAATGCGAATAAATTAATATAAACCTGTTTTTTGCATACACATATGTTAACAATAGCTTTACCAACTCTTTTCCCTGCACTATATTTGAAAACATTGTTTTGATAGGTAGACGCTTTCCAACACTTGGAACTACTTGCACCATTCTCATTTTAGACTTTATCTTTGGCACAAACGCGTACACACGCACGAATACGTATAGACAATAGCCAGAACCTCAAGGATGATCATCAACAGATGCTTTGGTGTTGCCAAGATGCTTCTCACATATTTTGCGGCAGGGCACATACTTAGCGGGTGCGCGCAGGCATCGACATACAAGGATGACCGGGTGGTGCTTGGGTACTTCCCTGTGCAGCGCATCGTCAACGACATTCCTTGGGACTCAATCACGCACGCCAACATTGCGTTTGCATTTGCAAATGAGGCGGGAGAGCTTTCATTGAGGGTAACGTGGTCAACTCGACGCTAACTAGCGAGGAAAACGCAAGGGCAATGATTGCCGAGGGCAGAGCAAACCAGGTCAAGATGCTGGTCGCAGTGGGCGGACAGGGCAACTTTTCGGAGTATTTGGCAGCGGCACTCAACACAGCCAGCAGCCGGGCAGCGTTTGTGGCCAACACAATCAACTTTATTACGGAATATAACCTGGACGGTATCGACATTGACTGGGAGTACCCCAAGAACATAGACGAGGCGCAGAGCCTGCTTGATACCCTGCAAGCTACACGTGCGGCACTGGACCAGAGTTTTGGGGCTGGCAATAAGCTGTTAACAATTACGCTGTACAACCACCCGTACTTGGGGCCCGACGTGCCAGCGGTTAACTACGAGCCATACGCACAGGCTGTGGACTACGGATTTGTGATGGCCTACGACTACTTTGGCAGCTGGACGGACTACACAGCGCCCAACGCACCATTTGTCGATGTGCCGTTCTACCAGGGCTCTTTCCGCAACACGACCGACGCTTGGCTGCAGGCGGGGTGGCCAGCAAACAAGCTTGTTGCGGGGCTGGCATTCTATGGGCACTCCTCGACGGTGTCGACCGACATGGCCGCCAACACAGCCAACCAGTATGTGGCAATTCTGAACCACACAACGGTTGACGGGCCGGTTAGCGGAATTGAAGGCACCTGGACCTGGCGCGACCTGCGTGACAAAGCCAACGGCGCGCTATCCAGCCCAAACAAGGCACAGTCCGGGTGGGTGCGCACGTGGGACAGCTACACAATGACGCCTTGGCTGTTCAGAAAGTCCGACAACCTGTACATTGGATATGACGACAAGGACTCGCTGGGCATCAAGATGGACTACATGCTGCGCAAGCAGCTGGCGGGCGTGATGATCTGGGAGATTGGCTACGACTACGAAAACGAGCTGATTTCGTATGTGCGCGACTTTATTGTGCGGGCTGACAATGGCGCTTCGCTCGGGAACTGCGCGCCGGATGACCCGCAGCTTGACGCGATCTTTGATGCTTCACGCAACCCAAACTTCTTCAGCCGCCGCTCACTGGAGACACGGGCCGACGTTGCCGGCACCCCAAACCCATCCAAGCCCATATGCCAGTTTGAGAAGCTGAAGAACGAGCCCAACTCTGGCCATGCGCTGCAGTTCGGCGTTGGTCTCCCAAGCGCAATGCTTGCAGCCATGGCGGCCGTGGTGGCCCTGCTTGTCTGAGCGCGGAGCAAAAAAAAAGTCTGGCCCATTTTTTTCTATATTTTTCACTTTACAGGCATTTTTCAACATTATTTTTTTGCAACAATTACGCTCATTTCGTCACCACCGGGGTGATAACTGTATCGTCTCCGAATAGGGATTGCAATTATTGCATGTGCCTTCTTCTCCAACCAGAAAATTTAAATTCAGCCTGAAGGCCGTGATTGTGATTATGATTATGATTGTGATTGTGATTTTCATTTTCATTTTCATTTTGGCTTGGCTTGGCTTGGCTTGGCTTGGCTTGGCTTTTCGTAGAATCCTCTGGAAGTCTGTGGATCGGGGGGCGAAGGGGAGCACAAGCAGCCAGTCAGTACAGAAAAAATGAAGAGAAGAGAAGGGTCTAGATCAACACAAGACTTTGGATGATCGATCTCTTTCCATCGGCTTGTGCGCGTCTGCCGCGGTCTCCTTTCTTTTTTCTTTTGGCTTTTCTTTTTATCCTTCTGCTTGCTTGTTTAAGTTTTATTTTTCAATTTGTTTCTATAGTTTTACACTCATAAACTTTCACTCAACATATAAGCAGTACTTAGTAAAGTGCAAAAAGTTCGCGTAGCTACCACCGCAACTTGGTTTTAAATTGAATTGTTTTCTTATTTCTTCCTATTTCAGCTGCAGACACACACGCACGCGCGCACACACCATTTAATTCCATTTGATTCCATTGAGGCTATTCAAAAGCTAGAAAATGGGCAAGGACTATTACGCGATTTTGGCGGTGTCCAAGGACGCCAGCGAGGACGAGATCAAAAAGGCATACCGCAAGCTGGCGCTCAAGTGGCACCCTGACAGGCACCAGGACGATAAGGCAACGGCAGACGGCAAATTCAAGGAGATTTCCGAGGCGTACGAGGTTCTGTCGGACAAGAGCAAGCGGCAAATATACGACCAGTTTGGCGAGGAGGGCCTGAAGGGCGGCGGTGCCCCGGTGGCGGCGGTCCCCCTGGCGGCGGCAGCGGCGGATTCCCTGGTGGCGGCAGCTTTTCGTTCACATCGGGCGGGCCTGGCGGATTCGGAGGGTTCCATCCGTCGAACCCAGAGGACATCTTTGCGCAGCTGTTTGGCGGCATGGGCGGCATGGGCGGCGGCCACGGCGGCATGGGCGGCGGCCACGGCGGCGGCTCGCAGTTCATGGACGTCGACGGCGGCCTGGGCGGCATGTTCGGAGGCGGCGGCGGCGGCGGAATGCCGCAGCGCATGCAGTCCAGCAGCGCCAGGCGGCCGCAGGAGGTGACGCGGAAGCTGGCGGTGTCGCTCGAAGACCTGTACAAGGGCTGCACCAAGAAGCTCAAGGTCACGCGGCGCGTGCGCGGCGGCGACGGCGTCGTCAGGACCACCGAGAAGGTGCTGCAGGTCGACATCAAGCCCGGATGGAAGGCCGGGACCAAGGTGCGGTTCCAGAAGGAGGGCGACGACATGGGCGGCGGCGCGCAGGACCTCGTGTTTGTCGTCGAGCAGAAGCCGCACCCGCTGTTCAAGCGCGAGGGCGACGACCTGAAGATCGAGATGACGCTGACGCTGGACGAGGCGCTGTGCGGATTCAAGAAGCCGCTGCAGCTGCTGAGCGGCAAGAGCATCTTTGTCAGCAACGCGACAGCATTGTCAAGCCCGGCCAGGCCAGCCGCATGCCCAAGTACGGCATGCCCATCTCCAAGAGCCCCGGAAGCTTCGGCGCGCTGGTCATCACATACAAGGTCCAGTTCCCGGAATCGCTCACGCTGAGCCAAAAGGAGAAGATCCACGAGGCGCTGACCGAGCATTAAGCGCGCCGCCATCTCTCTTCTTACGACTCTCCCCTGTGCCATTTACCTTACCTTTCTCCTTTCATTCCTTACATTTCCAACCACTAAAACTGCCAAAAAATACAAGTATCACCCATGCGCACGTGAATGGGCCCATGAGTTGGCCAATTTGGCAGCACATGTCGATTGTACGCAGCGTTTTTCACTTCAGCGCGCAGACAGACAGGCGCTTTGACACCAGAATTGGCGCCTATTGCTTTCCGGCTTTTTCACTTTACGCTTTGCTCGCGCGCCTTCCTTCCATTTCCCAAGCTACTACTACTTTTTCCACCTTCCACCTTCCATTGCACCATGAGCGACTACGAGGGCGGGCCGGCCAACGACGACGACCTGTCGCTGCCCAGGGCGACGGTGTACAAGCTGATTGCCGAGATGCTGCCGGACGACGTGGCGTGCGCAAAGGACACGCGCGACCTGCTGCTGGACTGCTGCAACGAGTTCATCCACCTGATTGCGTCCGAGTCAAACGAGATCTGCGAGAAGGAGGCCAAGAAGACCATTGCGGCCGAGCACGTGCTGGCGGCGCTGCGTGAGCTTGGGTTCGAGAAGTACGTGGGCGAGGTCGAGGAGGCGTACGGCGAGCACCGGCAGCAGCAGACAAAGGACCGGGGCCGCAAGAGCACCAAGCTCAACCAGCTGGGCATGAGCGAGGAGGAGCTTCTGCGCAGCCAGGAGTTCTGTTCGCACAGGCGCGCATGCGGTTCCAGAACCAGGCCGCGCAGGGTGCGCCCGACGGCGGCGCGGCGACGGAAGTGCTTAGCGGAGGACGAGCGGCGCTGCTTGCCGTGCCGTGCTGCATGTATGTATGCATGTATATATGCGCTCTCCCCACAATGCGTCCACGGTGCCGCCGCGGTGCCTCGCCGCGTTCAGATGGGCCTAGCGCTTTGCAGCTTAAATTGCGTTTATATTTTGTTTAAATTAAAATTGGGTTTACTTTGAAAGCGACGTGGCGGCAGCGTCATGTGTGCTGCGAGCGCAATGTCGCGGGCGGACAGGCCCTGGCAGTCGTGGGTCGACAGGGTGACCTCGACGCGGTTGTAGACGTTGAACCACTCGGGGTGGTGGTCCATCTTCTCGGCGCTCAGCGCCACAGACGCCATGAAGGCAAAGGCGCGATTGAAGTCGGCAAACACGAACGTCTTTTTGATGGCGTCGCGCCCGTCGACAAGCGCCCAGGCGCCGTGCTCGGCCGACAGCAGCGGGGCGAGCGTCTGTGCGCGGTCTTCGGCTGAGAGTCGGCTGGCCATGGCTGAGTAAAAGCGGGATGAAGGCTGGAGCTGAGGTTGAGGTTGGGGATGGCAGTGCGAGTGCGAGTGCGAGTGCGAGTGCGATGAGGAGAGAAGGGCGCCGAGCGCTGGCGCTACACGCAATGCCTGGCCATAGGAGCGAGCCGGGGTCTGTAGCGCGGCTGCTCTGGCTGTTCTCACGGCCGCGGCATGCTGCGGGCCGCGGCCCCTCGTCCTGGCCAGCGTGGCTGCGAGTGGGGATGGCATTGCGTCGGGTGTGAATATGAAGCGGGTGGAGTGTATTGAAAAATCTATTGGCCTGGCTCAGCGGCGGGCTGTAATCCCATGGCTGGCGGCCACTTGTGGGTAAAAGCTGCTGACGCCGTCGGTGTTGCCCTGCACAAGCAGCGTGGCGGGGCTCTCAGCAGGCGCGCGGCAGCGGCCGTGATGTCGGCCAGCGTGATGGCCTCGATGTGGTCGACCATGGCAGCGGCCGGGATCTTGCGGCCGGACACCTGGATCTGGCGGCCCAGGTCCTCGAGCTGCACCATGCGGCTCTCGAGGTTCATCAGCAGTTGCTCTTGAGCTGGTTCTTGGCGCGCCGCACCTCGGCGTCGGTGGGCCGCCGTGCGGCGCATACGAGCGACGTGGCGACGCGCGGCCGGCTGCTGACGGCGACGCGACGGCCTCGATCTCAGCGGCGACGACGTCCAGCAGTGCGTGCTCGTTGCGCGGGCGGCACGACGCCGACACACCAAAGAGCCCGGTGTCGGTGTAGCAGTGGTGGAAGGCCACGCACGACTCGATCCACGCGTGCTGGTTGAGCACACGCGTGTACAGCCGCGAGTACATGCCCTTGCCGGGCCCGCCGGCCGAGAACGACCCGCCGCCGCCCAGCAGCATCTGCAGCGTCGCGTACGCGTACAGCGCGTGCTCGTCGTCGATGCCGGCGCTGCGGAACCCCAGGTGCACCTGCGTGAAGTCGACGTCGCGCTGCGGGTCGAGCCACGTGCCGCCGGTGTAGGCAGGGCTGGGACCCGTGGTGGCGGTGTGGCCACCCGGCCCGAGCGTCTTGCCGGGGCCGAGCATCCTGCCGAGCCACGAGCCGCCGGCCACGGCTTGGGCACCTGCATCGCCCCTGCCATCGGTGCCTGCAACCTCCTCGCCCTTGCCGTCGCCGAAGCCCGCGTCGCTGCACATCCGCACCAGCTCGCCATGGTCGACGCCGACGGCCGCCACGACCATGCGCTCAGGCCGGTACCAGCGCGCATGGTAGGCGGCCAGCGCGGCCGGCGTGGCGGCCTGTAGCTGCGGCAGCGGGCATAGCAGCGGGTTTCCCAGCGTGCCGGCAAAGGCCACCTCGTGCATCTTCTCAGGCAGGAACAGCTCCGGCTTGGACGCAAAGTCCTGCAGCTCCCATGGCACGGCGGCTTGCAGCTCGGCCACATCCTCATCCAGGAACCGCGGCCGCAGCGTCGTGTCAGCCAGCAGCCCCAGCGCCGTGCCGACGTCGTGCGGGAACACCGCTGCCTGGTACATGATGCACTCGCGCGACGACGAGCTCATGATGCTGCCGCCGAGCCGCTCGATCGTCGCCATCGCCTCGGCGCTGCTGAACCGCGCCGAGCTGCGGAACGCCAGCCGGTCCAGTAGATGCCCGAACCCAGCCGTCGCCGCGCCCTCGTACCGCGACCCGCGTCGACGTACACGCCCAACGCCGCAAAGTGCCCGGGGCTGCGCTCCGACACCACCCGCAGTCCGTTGCCCAGCGTCGTCACATGCGTCGCCCCGTCACCCGACACCACCGTCGCGCCGCCCGTGTGTGCGTCCAGTGGAATGCTCGCGGGCACCGCGCGTGCGGCTGTTGCTGTTGCCGTTGCTGTCGTTGTCGTTGTCGTTGTCGATTTTGCGCGTGTGGTGTTGATGCGCCTACGGAGCGCACCGCTGCTCAGTCTGCCTGCTCGGCTCAGTAGCGCCGTCATTTTGTTATTTTTGATTTGTGTGGTGTTGAATTGAGCTGAATTGAATTGTGATAATGAAATTTTCAAATAAAAAACTCGGACAAAACACTACCTACGCTTCTTCCCGCCGCATGCCCGCTGCCGCGATTAGCGGCCAGCAAAAAAATAGTTTGCCACGATCAGGCTCTGCCTAGTCAAAAAAAAAAAAGAAAAAACCCTCGCCAATCAACTCCCGCCCAAGCCTGGCTTACGCAAAGCCCCCCAGCCAATCATCCCAGCAGCTTCTTGACTGCCTCTGCGACCTTGCTCTTGGGCGCCTGCCCGGCGTCGATGCCAACCTCCCGCATGACGGTGCCCATCGCCTTGATGCCGCTGACCCCGAGCCGCTCAATCGTTTCCCTGACGCGCGCCTCGATCTGCTCCGAGCTGAGCTGCTCCGGGAGGTACTTGCTGAGGATGACAATCTCAGCGCCTCCGCCTGCGCCAGGTCCTCGCGCCCGCCTTCCGTGTACGACTGGACGGAGTCGTGCCGCTGCTTGATGGCCCGCTGGATCACCCCTGCCACATCGCTGTCCGAGTCGCGCGAGAATGACGCCCCGGCCAACGCGCTCTTCTCTGCGTACAGAATGTCCGACAGAACACCCTTGATCACTGACAGCCGGGCCTTCTCCTTGGCCTTCATCGCGCCTTCAGGTCGCTCTTCACCTCATGTTGATGGTCGCTGCCGCTGCTGCTGCCGCGCCGGCCTCTGCGCTGTACAGCCGCACGGAGGCAAACGCGGACCTGCTGCCGCCCACATGGGCCCACTGCTGAAATGCTGACGGAACATTGTCTTTACTGTCTGTTTGGTTCTGGTGTATAGAGCTACCAATAAGGTAAAAAAAGATATAAGTGGAGCAAAGATGCGGCTGCGTGCATAGAGGAAACTGCGCCGCTTGCATCGAGCCTGGCCACCGCAGCGCGCCTGCTTGATGTGATCCCAGCTGATCCTCTGATCAGAGCTACTGCAGCTTTTCCAGCCTATTCGATGTGAAAGCGCGACGCGAGGATGCTCGCGTGCGCACCCTGGCCCTGGCCCTGCATTCGCCATGGCTGGTAGATTTTGACAGTCAGCGACTCGGTGATCTCTGCAGTCTCAAGCATTGTCAGGCGGTCAGCAATTTGCTTGGCTACGCGTGGGACCGATGCGGCGCACGCGGCCAGCGATAGGAGCACTGTGAGTGGCTGCCCTGCTGCCAGCGCAGATGCAGACGCAGACACGTCGTGCGCAACCAGCTCGGCCACTTTCCCGCTCGCGCTGAACAAATGCGGCGCCATGACGGCCTGCGCGGCATACACGTGTATCCGCAGGCTGGCTGGCGGCCGGTTTATATGAATCATTGCATGTGAGTTGTCGTTCAAGCAGTGCCACCACAGGCGGTATTCAGATAGCGTGTGCGACACAACCACCCGGAGCTCTGCGACTGCCATGCCGTCCCTGCGCGCCCGCTTCGTTGAAACTTGGCTTTGGATCGGTTGCTGATGTTGTTGTTGTATTGGAATTGGGGTTGACAGATGGTGCGCCTGCGTGAGCAAATCTACGCAGCTTTCGCGCGGACCAGTGGCCGCTGGCTGAGAAGTGGTCGCATTGGCAGCTGTGCGCTGGGGGTTGCTGGAACCAGGCTGTGCTGGTGCACAGAAACAGGCCGCAACGGAGACGTTGGCAATGCGCAAAGACTACTGGACTGCAGCATCAGCAAAGGCGCCCGCTGGTTCTGATGCTGATGCTGCTCCTGCCGCACGTCTGTGCTGGATGAAACAGGCGAAAATTGTGGATTGAAATGCTCTTCCGCAACTGCGACCTCGGCGTGCTTGTGGTGCTGTTGCTGCTGTTCTGACGTATGACAAGGACATCATTTTTGTGATATTGTCTGGTACCGCTGTGTCGGCGTGCCATGGTCTGTGGGGGTGCTGGGTGCTGTTCCCAGGCTGAGCATCGGGCTGGACATTGTCAGTGGCATTAAATGCAATGCTGTCTCGCTGCGCCTCCGGTCCCTGCAACTTATACTATCCATTCGATCCGTGCAATCGTCATCTGCAGACGCCGCTTCCAACAGACCCTTGGCAATCTGCTCATCGTCGTCACCGATTGACTCTGTACGATGACTACACAAACAAAAACATGCATTAGGTTTTGCAATTGCGCATAATCAATAAGCTGCTTTTTTCGCAAGCGACGCAGATATGGTAATGCTTTGTTTGCTGTGTTGATGCACTTACACTTGTCGTCGAGCTAGAGTCCATGTAAGATAGAAGCCATAAATAACGAAAAAGATGTAGATAGATAGGTAGAGATAGAGAACGTTAGCATGGAATGAGCGCATATCCGGCCAGTTCAGCCGGTATCCAGACAGCTTTGCATCTGGGCTTGGTCTCTTAATGACCGTGCTACTCACATTTCTTTTGGCTCGATGGCGGTCTTTGCGACAGGCGAAAGTTTACTTGAGACACGGGGTGCAGCGCCGCTGTTGGCTGCTTCGAGGGTGTGCTGCTCATTTGGAATGTGTGTGTCTGTCTGTGTCTTTACTGTTGCGCCGCTTGTCAGAGAATAGAACAAATAGAAAGGTTTATAAAGTACAACTGGAAATTCGAGAAGGTAAATTAAGGCGTTAATAGAAATACAAAATACTCAGCAGAAGCAGAAGCAGAAGCAAAAGAGACGCGATTCGTGTTTCTGCTGGGGAGGGTTTTTTATCAAGCGACTGCGCACGGAAAATCATATTTTTTATAGCTGCAAAGAAAACTCAAGGTCCAAAGCGACAGTTCCTAGTGGTGTCTCTTGTGAGATCATGTGCCCGCCATCAATTGGCTGCTGAGCGCATATTTTATACCAAGCATTGCAACGTTTCGAACCTTTGCCCCTTTGCTTCTCCGCATCCTCTTGTCATTATTTATTTCCGGCTGCTTTTCTACTTTTTGCTCAAATGTCTGGACATCGTTACGAATCGGTTGGCGACGGAAACATCGGCGTCGAATCCGAGGTCATTTCGCCCGCATACGACTCCGGCAGCGGCAACGACAGCGTCGGCTACGAGACAACCATCCCAATCCACCCGAGGATCCTTGCACCACTTTGCTACATCTTGCCGCTCGCGCCAGCACTCATAATTCTTCTGCTTGAACACCGCAACACGTACGTCCGCCTGCATGCCTGGCAGTCCATCATCCTGGGCCTGGCTGCCGGGACTGCCTCAATGCTACTGTTTTGGATTCCGTTTATTCCGTCGCTTGTCCAAATCGCCGGCCTCTTTGCGGGCTTCTTCTGTGCCTTCCACGCGTGGAAAGACTCGGACACGCTGACCTTTTTCAAGCTGGGCGTTATCGGCGACTTTGCTGAGCGCCAGGTGCTGGGAGCTACTGTCCTTCCCTTCTAAGCGTGTTGAGGGCGGGTGTTCGCGCGAGCAGGTGCTATTACAGTTACAATTAATATTTCTTTGTCTTTTTCGTCGTGTTTAAATTATATTTCTCGATAGCTTGAATGCATTTTGCTGCACGCCAAAGCGGCACGGTCGAGTAGGACTAAGACCATAAATAAAGACACTTGCTAGCCCTTCGTTTGTAGGTTTTTGAAGGCGCGGCCGCCGACAGGCACCGAGTACGTGTCGACACAGCCTTTGCTTGGGTCAGCCTTGCATGCACCAACGGCAAACAGATCTTTGCCATTGGGTCCGGCGAGCTCCAGGTTGGTGACCTCGGCTATGCTCGGCAACTTGATGTAGGCCAGGAGCCTTCCTGCCGGCGACACCTTGGCAATTCTGCCAGCGCCCCAGCGGGCCACATACAGATTACCTTGCTCGTCGGTGCGCATGCCGTCCACATCGTTGGCACCAGAGCCGTCGAGCTGCCCAAAATCGACCAGCTTGCGCTTGTTTCTGATGGTTCCCTTGTCAGCGTCAAGATCGAATGCGTGGATGACGTTGGAAACCACCTTGTCACCCTTGTTGATTGACTCGGAGACATACAGAGTTTTTTCGTCGGGGCTGACCTCGATGCCGTTGGTGCGGTGGAAGGTGCCGAGCTTGGTGGCCACGCCATTAGAATCACACGTCCACAGATCGCCGTCGCCCACCACGGAGTTTGCTTTGAAGCGCATGCCGAGAGGAACAGCCTGCCCGTCGAATGGGCGATGGCAAGGTCGTTGGGCTGCAGCATACCAGGGCTCTGGCAGAACGTTTCTGAGTATCCAAACGAGCCCTTGTTGCCTGGGTCCCGCACACGCACAATGCGGTGGTTGGTCAAATCCCCCAAGTAGGCCTCCTGGACGCCGTCTCGGCCAATGTTGAAGCGCATGCCATTAAACCAGGCGCCCTTGTAGGCCTTGTCCAGGTAGAATAGCGACTGCTTGTCGAATGCTCTGCCCGCAGCAGACTTGGTGCTGTTAAAGTGTATTGCGTAAAAGTTGCCGCTCTTGTCCACGGCTGCGCCCTCGATCAGCGCGCCGAACATTGTGGTGGCAGCAGTGAGATACGGCTTGGCGTAGTACACGGGCACGCGGCTGTGCGCGTCTTCAGGGCTGGCGCAGACAGAGTTGGAGCTGAAACCGGACAATGCCAGCAGCAATGCGGAGACGAAGGTGGGAATAAAGACCTTCATGGCTGAATCTGGGTTTGTATTTCGTATTTTGTATTTTGTATTTTGTATATTATCGCGCACAAAAATGCATTGATGCAGAAGCAAGTGTCTTGCTGCTTTTGCTGTTGTTTTCTTTTGTCGGGTGGGCCTTGGCATCTATCTGTGTTGTGCTGTGTTGTGCTATCAGTTTTGCCATTATATTCTTTGAATTGCAAATAGTACGTGCGGCGCAAGGAGGCTGTGCAAAATGGAAGCGCTATAGCATTTAAAGAACAATTGCGCAGGCGCGGCGCGCATGCAATCGGATCGAATTGGTGTGCAATATGATTGAAGTTCAAGTTGAGGCGCCGCCCACAACTAACTTGAAATATCCGGATGAAAACACGCCATGGATGCAGCTGGCGCCACGAATGCTGAGCAACCGGGTTTCGTGCTTTGTGATTTGTGCTTTGTGCTTTGTGATTTATGATTTGTGATTTGGTGTTGCTTGTAGAGTAAATATAATGAGTACATAAAATAAAGGGGTGTAAAGGGGGAAACAGGGGAGGGAGGGCATTACGTAGGCTCGAGGGATATGTCGCCCGGGCACCCAGCCCAGGGCAAACACCCAAAATGAACTGCTGTGCAAAATCAACTGAATGCCCCTACGCTGTCGACTGTAGGGACATGCGGCCTGAGCTCCGGAAGCAGTGCTGCCCAAAGCTGCGCTGGAAGACCTGGACTGCTGGCTGAAACAGCGCGCTCTCGCCCGATGCCGCGTAGAAATGGTCCAGCTGCTGCGCCCACTGCGAGAGCATGTCCCTGCCGACAATATGGCCTTCCTCGGTCCACCGCGCGGTGGCCATGATTGCGCGCAGCCAGCCATCGGCCAGCTGGCGTAGCGTGTCGCGCCTGACGTCGTTGTTCTCGGGCTTGTCCCACTTGGGCATGCGCATGGCAACGTCAGTCGCCTGTGCCAGCAGGTCAAACCACTCGGCCGGGTGAGAAAGGGCGTTGAGAGGCTGCTGCGGCTCGCTGCCCAGCGCATCGGTGCCAGTGCTGGCTAGTCCGTAGTGTGTGAAGTGGTCTAGGTACATGACGATGGTGTCCGCAGCTCCTCCAGCGCCGGCCGCACGCGATGGTACGTGTAGTCGTCAGAGGCAGGCCCCGACTTGTTGTATGGAAATGCCGCCTGCAGACGCCGTTCGAGCCGCACCAGCTGGCCGCATGCCGAGCCGACCGTCGGCTTAGGCACCAGCTGCCGCACCTGCGCTGCCAGCTGCGGATTATGCAATATCAGAGTGTCGAGCAGTGCGCGCAGGTCCTTTTCCTCCAGGGGCTCCACCAGCTTGTCCACGACACTTCGTTGGGCGCTGCCGTGTGCATCACCATGCGTGTGCGCTTGCGAGCATCGGCCTGGGGGGCATGCCGCCTGATTGTGGCTGCGCAGCCCTGCTGTTGCTGTGTGGGTGTACGCCGCGTCTTGGTTCACCCAGGGGACGAATCTTGCGGCCGATCGGCTCGGGCGTCGGCGACGAGCCATCCATGCTCTCATCCTCGCAGCTGGCCTTCCTCTTCTGGGAACGGCCACTGGCTGCTTCGCTGGCCACAGCCGCAGCAGTAGCAGTGTAGCTGTGAGGCAGGGCCAGCAACATGTTGTTCATCATTGGCACCTGGCCAAAGCCAAGCCCAAAGCCAATTTCACCGCCACGGTGCATTGGCTGCCGCGCTGCGCCCCACGCAGTCCCGTTCAAGCCCGAATTGGAGCTGAATGTGGCGGCCAGCGCAGATGCCTTCCATTGGCCCTGTTGTGACATTTCGGGGGCCTAATTTAGTTGTGTTACAGGGTTTTCTTGAAATTCAGGCTGCTTGTGCGGAATAAATAGCTAAATATAAAAACTGGGAATAGAGGCTCGTGAAGAAAGATGAATAATTAACTGCTAGAAATGTCAGAGGTGGAGCAAGCCTATAATGCGCAAATAAAAAGAAAGGGGGGAATAAACGCAATGAAAAGAAAAAGGGAAAGGAAGAGGCGTGGGATTGCGTATTTGCTTGCGTGTGGAATTAAAAATAAGGGGGAATATGTGAGAATTGGGTTTTGGAATTATATTTATGATTGTGGATTGACAAGTAGGAGAGAAGGAAAAGTTTTAACAAAAAATACGAAGGGATGGGGATGAGCGTAAAACGGACAAACTTGCCCCTTTTTATTTGTGCATCCACACCCACACCCGCACTCGCTCTCGCACCCACAATGATGTACGACATAAAATGTATTGTTTGCAAGCGTCAGCAGCAGCAGTTTTGCATTGCCTCTTGCGCCCTCAGGGCTTGGATTTGGCCCTGGCCCTGGCCCTGCGTTTGCGCATCAACGCCTGAATGGGAATCAAAGTTGCCTCCATAACACGGGCCTGTGCTGTCGATAAGCTTGGCACTGCCGCCCAGCACGCTGCCCTCGCTGGGTGTTGCGGCCAGACAATGTGCGGCTGCTGACTGTCCATCGCCGCAGCTGCCACCATCTCCGTCGCCGTCACCGTCGCTTTGGGCAAGCACGCGGTGAAACCAGAAAATCAGGGCGGTGACCATGCCGATCACGAAGCCCAGCCCATCATGCGAGAAACCGACCAGCGAGGCGGCCGTTGCCAGCAGCACGACAAAGTCCTGGGTGCGGCGCCTTTCGTTGTGCGGGTGCAGCGTAAAGTTACGTGTGACCAGGCCCAACTCGATTGACGCCATGAACAACATGACGCCGAGAAACGACTTGGGAAACCACTTGAGAATGACCAACAGGGACTCGCCGAAAACAACTCCAATGATGATCTTGATGGCCCCCAGAAAGTACATCGACAGCTCCGTGCGTGCGCCAAAGAAGTACTGCCCGGCCAGTCCACCGCTGCCATGGCAGAACGGCATTGACCCGAAGAAGCATCCGACCACGTTCATCACGCCGAGTGATATGGTGATGTGTGTCATCGATGGGTCGTAGCCTGGAAACAAATCCCGCGCCAGCGCAGCCAGCGCCACGACCGAGTTGAGCAGCGTCAGTGGCAGCTGGCCCAGCCCGGCGCTGAGAAAGCCTGAGCGGAACTCCTTTGCGGTTGGCACCACAGTGTGCACAAAGTGGGCCCCCGGATGCACGCGTCCAAACTCGTCGTGAGCGCCGGTTTGCGCCAGCGCAAACACAATGCCCAGAATAAAAATAACCAGCGCTACAGGCACCCTCCGCCGCTCGTAGACCATCAGCACCAGCAGGAACGACGCCACGGCCCACCACAGGTTATCGCTCCAAATGATTCCGTCGCCCCAAAACGAGGCGTTGGTCTTGACGAGGTCAACTCCTTTCTTGCACAGCTGGAAGCAGGTGCCTAGCTGCAGCCCTTTGACCACAGGAAGTGGCACAAAGCGGGTAACCAGCCACAGCAGGCGCGAGACGCCCAGGAAAAACACAATGGCTGAAACTCCCAGCCCGGCGCCGGCTAGCTCGCCGGGTGTGAACTTGTTTACCAATGCAATCGCCGCGATCGACTTCATAGGCTGCACGCACATTGGAATGCCGTAGAAAAAGCCCGTCATCATATTCCACAGGCCACCAAAAAACAATGAGGCTGTCAGGCTGGCTGAGCCCTGCACGGTCAGCGAAATCAGAATGGGCACGAGCGTGCCAATGTCCCCCAAGGCGCCGCTGAACTCGCGCAGCGAAAAGTGCTCACGCATGCGCCGGCCGCGGCCCTTAAAATCCCAGAACTCCGGGATTGGGTTGGCCACGTCGGCCGCGCGTGTGCTTGTCCACTTGTCTTTGCTTATGAATGCTGCAATCTGTCGGCGGTTGGGCAGCTTGAGTCGGTACATTGCTCGCTGTGTATGTGTGGGTGCGTCGCAATAGAAATGGCAATGACAGTGTCAGCGGGATGAACTATGACCTTGAGATAAAAAATAAACAAGCAGAGGATGTCGTTCAAATACGGACAAAGGCACACAAAGCCCATTTTAAATGAAAATGGGCTGTGTTGGCCGTGCACCAAGCTGTATTGGCTGCTGCGCTTGTGGTTGTTTCAACAACCTGAACACAATGACCACGGCTGCCTTGCATGCCGCGCGTCACATGACCCTCCCGCCCCTTGCCATTTCCGTGCAGTATGCAACGGAGACAGAACACGACATCCTGCACTGCGGCAAGTTGGAAAAATTACCGCTAGCCTGGCTGCATATAGCCAACTAGCTAGCTCGACGCACTTTGAGATTACACACAGCATAAATACAATTGGATGCATGGTGGATATTTATTCTGATGCTGGCGATCTCTTGGTTATTATGCAGATCACAAATATTTGTAAATTAACCACTCCAGATAACGGCATGTTAATGATGAGCGAGTGATTGAGTGATTGACCGAGTGGTACAGCTCAAAACGTACAAGTCTGTTAACAGGCTGGACTATGAGTTGGACTGGGTCATTGCGCTTTAGTAACAAGTTTACACGAGCAGCCTAATGTCCAAAAGAACAGATTGTCTCTTGAGTATGTCAAGTGCGCACAAAAAAGTTTAAACACAACTAATATTAGAATTGGTCTACTTGTAACTTTTGGCCACTTGCCCCAATGTTATTTTTGAGGACAATATAGATGGACTTATATACTATCAAAATCAATAATCAGTAAATTTGCCAATGATTATCAGCTTGATTCCAGGTGCAATAAATAGCGCGTTTGTTTATCCCTCACCATTGTTATCGTTTAATTATGCAGCCCATGTTTTAAACCTGTCGCCCACGCACAGTAACATTTACGTATTGAATGTGTCTTCGCAATTAGCGCGTTGGTAATAGAAAAAAGGCAATTTATGTAGCGCATGTAAAACGCACAACAAAATATCAAAGAGCAACTTGTTTCTGCCTAACACGCTTTTAACAACTTATTATTTACGCATTTATATCAATACTACGCTTTATATTTAAAGTTTTATCATGCACTTTAGCAAAACTGTCTTTGCCGCTGTTCTCGCCGTTCTTAGCACGGTTGTCTCTGCATGGCCCATTGCGCATGTTTTTCCGGCGTCAGACAAGCTGCCGTTGACTTGGGCTGAAGTGAGATCCCAGTCCGACGTGGGAATTTTGCGCGCCTCTGGGAGCATGGCCATGGCTGCAAATGTGGGCGACTCATATGTTTCGTTTTCCGTTCAGCCATCAAGGATCGCACTTATCTCGGAATTTTATACTGTCGCCTATCCCTTGAAGATGGATCGCTTATTTCGCCTGTAGGAAGGGTCAGTGCAACGGATCTTTTGCCTCTGGGACTCAGAAAGGGCGGTATGGTCAGTATGCGTATTCCGGCCGAATCTGTTACAAAGCTGGCAGCTGCCAGCGGTGGCGCCTCTGCTGTCAGACTAGCCATCATTGCTCCCGAGGCATCTAGCCCAGCAACTGTTGGCCAGTGGGCGCTAGACAGTGTTGCTTTTGTGTTTGGTTTGACAGATCCTGCTGTTAACAGCGCCAACAACACCAGTAGCATCATTGAGGCTGTAATGGATGTAGCTGCCACCAGCAGTGCTAAAAGCCCCATCAGTGTCAAAAGCACCAGCAGCATCGAGGCTGCAGCGGCTGCGACGACCGCTACCAACGACAACACCTCTGTCAGCATTGAGGATGCAATGGCTGCAGAATCCGATGATGATGGGACTGACTTGCCGATGGACTAATGGAATTACCAGCGTGTAGTCCTGCCAAACAAGAAATATTTGGTCAAGTATTTTTTGAACACCAAACAATGATATTGAACTTCCCCACACATCTTCACCCCTACACATTGTAACAAAATTTGGAAATGCTATTTATTGCACATTTATTACTGCACACTCATACTATTTTAAAATAGCCTCTTGTGGATAAGGTCAGTACGCGCAGTAGTGGACTAAGAACTGCCTTTTCGCCCGCATATTATTTTCATGCATGCGCGGAAAATGTAGAAATACCCTTGCGTTTTTTTTATCTCGACACATGTATGTTTGGAAAACCGAATTAGATTGGCTATTGGCTTTTGCCCACGCCAAACACTGTATGGAGTGGGAGGTCATACCAAGAATTCCCTGTTTTTTGCCGAGCCCAATATCTAGAGCAGTATCATGAACAGGAAACCCACATTGTATAGATCAATTATAGTGTGGTGGCAAAGTCGATGCAAATGTTTCTGCCAAAAGAGTTTATAAATAAGCCAGGCAAGTACGGGGGAGCTAATAATAAACATATATACCCCGCTTACCAGGAGATGTGCCACTGCTGACCAGGATTTTGTAAACTATTCAAGCCGCTGGAAGTGTCGCCTTGTTAGTTGCACCTTTATTGTCGGAATATCAAGTTTACACACGTCTACCTTCCACATAATATTTTCTTGTATCATTTATAACATTCCTTAGTGTCAAATTGGTATATTAAACTCTCAGGTACACTAGTCATCATACGTCAGTTATTTATGATCTGCTTCAGCACGCAAATATTCCAGATCAGCATGCTGCCATTATCAGTGCAAAACTCCACATTGCTCATATTTCTGGTGCTGGCCGCCAATGTACTGGCGCTTAACCACGGGCACACATCAGTACTTCTTGAACGTGGTACCATTTTTGTGCGAAACCGCGCCCAAGTTCATCGCAGAGCACTGGATAAACACACTGGCTTTCTAGCCAGGCGCAACCAGCTTATATTGGGCAAGCAAGAAACAAACGCCGAAAAGGCAGAATACAACCCGACTACCACATTGTTCTACGCTGGCTATGTCACACTGGGCACACCACCACAACGATTTTTAGTCAATTTGACAGTGGCTCTGCAGATCTCTGGGTTCCCAGCTCACATGCACCAGTGCCACATGCCGGTCACACCGCCATTTTGACGAAATAACATCATCCAGCTACATGTCGTATAGACCCGAGCGAGGCAGCTCACGTACAAGTCGCCTTAGGATTGAATATGGTACAGGCATAGTCAGCATTGATCCTGCCCAGGACACACTCGAATTAGGCTTAATCAGAGTGCACAATGTCTCATTTGGGAAGGCAGTACACATGACTCCCGATTTTGATGCTCAGTTTGATGGTCTATTTGGAATGGCATTCCCATCGTGTCAAGCCCTGGACTTGAGCCGCCATTTTTTACCATGGCACGCCAACGCCTGCTCAACGAAAACCATTTAGTTTTACACTTGGTGAGAAAGGAGGACGGCTTGACATTGGCAGGGCTTCTGAAGTGCAAGGCCAGAACACACATCCTGGGTAAAACTGGTCAAACCACATTTTGGGCAGTTAATGTCAATGGCATTGAGGTTGAGATGAGTCATACTACAGCATCAGCACCAGCACCAGAAGTTTTAGCATATAACCAGTCCTCAGTTTATAAACGAGAAGTGTTACCACTACTGTCCCCTCAGATCAGGATACTTGAGAAGCGCCAGCTACCACTTGCAGATGAGTATCAAGACACCACAATCAGCATACGTGGATCAGGTCTCTTTGACTCTGGAACCACCACAATTCTGTGCCCATCCCAAATTGCCACCCGAATCAATCGTCTGATTGGTGCCTCTGATAATGGCCTACACGTCAACTGCAGTGCTTCAACTACTGGTCCAATCTTTCACTTTACAGTTGGAAATGGGCATGCTGGAAACAGCTTTACCATTCCCTTATCTCCACACCAGTACATCCTTGGTGATGGCAATCCAACACATGGCTGCATGTCTGCATTCCAGCCAGGTGGCCCTCAAGACAGGTGGGTTCTTGGGTTACCATTTTTTGTCAACCGCACCTTGACATTTGATATTGACAATGGGCGCATTGGCTTCAGCCAGCTCCATAACAATGCTTCAATGTTTAATAATAATGGTGAAGTCATTAACGAGCAAGGAAGTGGATTTGGCATTGCCTCTGAAGATTTTGGTGGTTACAAAGATGGACCTGCCCCAGCTAGTAATATATTCAATGCCACATTGAATAATGCAGCTGCCAACAAAAGCGATTCAATTTCAAGTGCATCATCCCCAAATGTACAACATTTCTCTATGCTGTATACTGTTGCATATCTAATAGTTATTTATATATATCTATAAACTTATATTATTTAGAGCACAATAAATTCTAATGAAGTGTTGATAATAAACTAAAACAACATTTGCATAATAAAATTGGCATGTGACTATTTAATACCACTGAAATTAAAAAGCACATTGGCAACCAGAGATGCTTTGCATACAATGTGGGTGCCTTGAAAATCTTGAACAGCCCAAGCCAGTAGTCTGTAAGTGGGTGTATTAAATGTATACTAAAATATATTTTTCAAAAACTAAGAAAGAGAGAGAACTAATAAATGTTGCTATTGTTATGTAAGAGCAGGGTGTGAGGAGCACTATTGTATTAATGTTAAGAGAAGTGGGTGAATATATAAAGGGTTTTATTACTAATTTTTTAAAGTACTACTAGCACCAGCCTCATCTTATATATGTATCTCATCACCTTTGTTGTGCACATTGCCAATTGTGTACTCCATTGACAAGAACTGGTCCTTCTGCGAGCAGACCGGTGTCTTGGCAGGTCAATGTTGTGGTCTTTGTGTGTGTGCACTCCACATGTGAATTGCAAAATGGGGCATGTCTGGCATCATTATGATGCCTCCCTAATTTACACCTGCATAATCCAATTTATACCCTACCAATCAGCATGTAGATGGAACCTTGTTTTATGATTCTCAACTTCGACATCCACGTCCATATCTTCAGCCTGTGCAACATTATTATACCCTATTTATGACTGTGAGTCTTAGTGCTCACAAATAAAAGGGCAACCGATGGGCATTGGTGTAATAAAAATTATCAGTAGTAAATATATTCAAGCAAATATCCACTATAAGGGAGCGTAAAGAGCTCCACTTATCAATTCAAAACAATTGCAATTGTTATGTGACATCATAATAATTGATGTCACAATTGGGTTACAAAGAAAATATGTGCCCAACACTCCTTGATCTTAAGACATTACCAACTGCTCTAAGTAACATCTAATTATGTCATCATCGCCATTATATTCGTCAATCCAATCTGACTCTGCTTCTGAGCAACCAGTTCATTGAATGAGATATTGTCTGCAGCATTGATGGTCATGATGATCCAAAATGTTGTCAACCTTATACCAGTCTGAAGTATTGTCGACTGGTCCTGGGCATGGCAGCTTGGCTGGTCTTGAAATATAAGCCTTGAGTGATGATATGTGGAAAACATTATATGCATGGACATTGGGAGATAGCTCAATATGGTATGCAGCAGATGAAAGTGTCTAGGATTTTGTATGGCACAAGCCAGCAATTGCTCAGTTTAGCAGATGAGCAGTTGCACTCATAATCAGAGTTGATGATGCTGGCACTGATTCTCCACCCTTGAACTGGATGTCACAGTGGTTGCAGTTTAATTGGGCTATCATTGCATCCTGGGCAACCCCCAATGTGTCATGCACTTGATGGATGAGACTTGCTGGAGATGGTCCATGAAATCAGACAGGGTAAAGTTGGACTGGTTGGTCTTTAGGCTGAGTAGGACATTGGGCATGACTGATTCATGGCCATGTACAACATGCATTGGTGTGAGCTCAGTGCCAGCTTGCTTGGAAGTATTGATTGCATACTCGGCAAATGGCAGCATGTTGTCCCAGTTATTTTGGTTGTAGTTGGTAAAAGTGTGTAAAAATAGTTCAACTTTCTGATTTCTCCTCTCTGTCTCCTCATCTCCTTTGGCATGTCTTGCTGTTGTCATATTCATCTTGACACCACACAATTTCATCAGCTCCTTCCAACAATCGGATATAAAACGTAGGTCATGGTCAGAGACAATGACACAAGGCATACCATGGTGTTAGAACACAGTTTCTGGGTAAATTCAAGTGGTCACAGGTGCAGATGTCTGGATCTCCTTCAGTAGAATTAAATATAAAAACTTGGACAGTTTACACACAATAACAAGAATTGCATCATGACTGCATGATGTCTTTGCAGTGATGTTACCAAATCCATCGATATTGTGTTGAAGGGGAAGGTAGGACAGCATGTGGCTGTAGTAGACCATTCCTATTGACAGTGTGGTTCTTGATCCACCGCAATGGTCACATGAGCCGATGTAGTACTCAATGGTCTTGTTCATGCATGGCCAGTAGAAGTCATGCAAGTGTGCAAGTGTCAGCTCCACTGCTAAATGACCTGCTGTAGGTGTGTCATGGTTCCTCTTGATGATCTCTGACTGCAACCCATCAGTGTGCAGAATGCAGAGCCATGGTCATGTATCATCAGTAGTAAAGCAGGCTGTCGACTTCATCATAGTGCTTGATTTTTGTTGCCAGCTCTTTATCGATCAGCTTGTTTGGGTGAAACAAAGCATGGTAGACCTTCTTGAAAGTGCCATCCTCCATGTATTCTTGTTGAATCTGCACATGTATTTCTCTATTGCATGAGAACAATGCAACTGCTAATATTTTAAAGTGTGGGTGTCATGACAGCCCATCAGCCAGCTGGTTGTTTTTGCCAGGCTTGTAAACAATGTCCAAATCATGTTCACTAATGGCACTGAGCCAGTGCAGCTGTGTGGGCAACAGTCAACTCACCAAGTAGTGGTGCCATTGCTCCAGGCTCTGGACAAAAGCAAACAATTTCTTGTTTTGCACCTCATACTTGCATTGCACGTCATTTAATTGCTTGAAAAGGTACTCAATGGGGTGATGGCCATATGTGTGAATCTGCATGAGCACTGCACTGACACCATAATTGCTTATGTCAGTGACCAAGTATGTGTGAATAACGAGCAAAGCAGAGCAATGAGAATATTTGCAAGTTATATTAAAAAGAAAGATAAAGATGAAGATGAAGGCTTAGAAAAAGAAAGAAAGTGAAGAGACTGAGGAAAGCTGTCTCTTTTATTTACGTTTCTTATCTTCACTCACTGTTTCCTATATAAGAGACAGCTTTTTCAGCCTCTTCACATTATTTCTCTAGCTTAGAACTTTATTTTTTCTTTCTTTAAATATAACTTGCAAAACTTCTCTTTGCTTAGCTTTGCTCATATTTCACAGAAACATCATTATCTTCAAGTGAATATTATATAGACTGTTCATGCACAGTTCCTCAAACACCTGCTGCAGATGTCACTCATATTCCTCCTCAGCCTGCAAGCACATAAACACATTATCCAGGTACACACGGACAAATGGCATATCCTTGAACAACAAGTTCATAAGTCTGCATAAAGCCAATGGCAAAACCTTGCATCCATGTTGCAGTGTCCACCATTCAGTGATGCCCAATGGGCAATGGAATGCTGTCAGCAGTTTTGAATCAGGGTGCACATGAATATGCTGGTGTCCATTGGCCATTTCAAAAACCAAAATAATTTATATCCATTGCATTGACCCAGTAAAGCACCAATATTAGGCAGCAGCCACAAATAGCCCTTAATTGCTGTGTTTATCTGTTGCATGTTAACAACTAGTCTATAGCCACTGAGCTGCTTCTTAGTGACAAATGCAGGTGATGTAAAGTCTGTATTGTACTTGTAAATCTGGTCATGCTTAAGCAGTTTACCAAACATTTTGTACAGGCCCTCAAGCTTGGGCACTGACATCCTGTAGACAGCATGGTTGTGTAGCTCGACATCCTGATGCAGCTCAAGTTTTGGATCCTGGGGCTGACATGGCAGCAGTTCCTCTGGCAGTTTATCATGCAACTGACCCTTGTAAATTGTGCTGAGTCATGTGGCTTTTGGGTGTGCTCATGTATTTTTATTACTGTTATTGTTTATCATCTAACAGTAAGTAAGAGGTAATTCCAACACTCCCCCTGACAAGGTACTCACCTCATACTAGAGTATGAGCAATGTCTGACAAAGGCATCTAGGGGCAATTGCTTGGTCAGATAGTCAGCAGCTTGGTCAACAGTCGAAATATACTTGAGATGATATACTTGCTGAGATAGTGCAGCATGAGGAAGTTGCAGAGTAGACTTGTAGTGCTTGTTGGCATCAGTCACAGCACCAGTGCGTGTATTGTTGATAGTGCCCTCATTGTCACAGAAAATGGTGGCAGGGTCAACATGTACATGGATGTCACACAGCAGGTCTTGTAGCCACATGAGCTCACGGACAGCAGAGGTCAGGGCAATGGTCTCAGCTTCAACTGTGGATTGAGGTGGCAAGCCAAGAGCACGTTTCTTTGACTTCCAAGCAACTGCTCCCCCTGCCAGAGTGAATACATAGTCAATTACCATGGCTTCCACAGTACGCAGTCCAAATGAGGCATCACTGTACCCAACTAGGTTGAGGTGTTCAGACCGACGATAGTGAATGGCCATGTTGCAGGTGGTCTTCAGATATTTGAGTACTCGCTTGGCAGCACCCATATGTTTCATCAGTGGCTCTTGGTTGAATGATGCAAGCACAGAGGTGACCAGAGCAATGTCAGGCCGAGTGACCATGGCCAGGTACTGCAGGGAGCCAACAATTGAGCGGTATTCAGTGGCATTGCACTTGGCAAGGTGTGGGGCAGTCTCTCCAAGCTTGGCAGAAGCAGCAATGGGCAGATCAACATCATTGGCTTCCTCAAGGCCATACTTGCTGACCAGGTTCTGGATGGCAGTAACCTGGTTGATCTTGATGCCATCAGACATGTGATGCACATTGATGCTCAGGATTGTGCTGCACAGACTCAGATCCTTCATTGAGAACTCAGCAGACAGGGCAGTTTTGACCTTGGCCAGGATGTTGTCATCAGATGCAGCCAGCAGCAAGTCGTCAGCATAAGTCGTCAAAATGCATGTTGCAGAGCCACTTTTAAGCCAGTAGACACCTGGGTCAGCATTGCTGCACTGGAATCCAAGGCTGCCACAAAGGAAAGTATTCAGGCGACGATTCCAAGTGCGTGGTGCCTGCTTCAAACCATATAGGGAGCGGCGTAGCTTGAGAACACTCTTGGTCCAGTCACCAGTCATGCCATCAGGAATCTCGACATATATGTCTTCTTCCAGGTCACCATGCAGGAAGGCAGTCTTGACGTCCATGGAGTGCAGCAGCCAGCCATGATAGGCTGCAAGTGCTATGACTATATGAATAGACT